GATCGATTTGTGTTGTTCTCCTAGCCTCTGACTTCCATTCGAGGTAGAAGTGAGGGAGTTGATGGTTCGTACATATATTCAAGTTTCGAGGGCAACGGTGCTAATTCGAGCTGTCATGCCCCCAGTCTTCTGGTATGTCTGATTCTTTGCTGGTGATGCCTGCATCCAAGAGAGTCATGCTCCCATGTTGGTGTCAGGACGACTTGTCCTTAAATGGGCCAACCTTTGCCCACCAAAGTAGCACAAGGACAATGGCCACGATGGCCAGTATGAAGCTAATGGCGATGAAGCAGCCTATCATTCGGGTGCGACGTTGTTTCTTCCGATTTCGCTCAAGCCATGTATCTCTGTGAAAGGTCGTTAGTCCGTTCACCTCTCCAAAACCTCCGTGCTATCTGCCGCTAACGTACGTATGCTTCAAAGGCGCAGTAGAAGACGCAGTTGAATTTGACCTGGTATCTGAAATGGTTCCCTTCTCTTCATCCAAATGTACTGCCATTGAAAACCGCCGCCAGAATGCTGGATCTCGAACACCTGCCGCCATGATGCTTGACGATTCAGTGATAAAGCAGGTGTGCGTGTCTAACGACGAGTTTCGGCGATTGCGCCCGAGCAATATTCCAAAGGGTTTCTAATGTCGGAAGACCGGCGAGCAGAGATTGAAGGATAGCTGCAGAACGTTTCGAGATAGAGCGACACAACCAAGAGGCACAAAAGGTGGTACAAAATGAGTGGACGATACTGAGGCACAAAGGAGTGAAGTGCCACAGACCTGAACGACGACGAACCGGCAAAGAGAATTAAGGACACGGTAGGAAACAACAGATGGTGCAGGAGCCGCCTTGATCACATTCTGGAGAAGCAAGAAGGATTCAACAAGGCTGGAAGGAACAAAACTTGCGCGGAATATGGCAGATGGAGCTGACAGTCGTCGCCAGAAAGCTCCGCAATCCAGGTTCAATGTATCTTCCCCGTTCCAAGGACGGTGAGGTTCCACAAGAATTTGCCCTTTTAATAAAGCATCGCTGTTTGTTGTTTGCCCACCTTGTCTTTTTTTCCTCTCTCTGAGATTCGTCCAACAAATTCGCACAATTTGGTTTGTTTAATCAAAAACCCTGGTCGTGGCGCGTGGCCATGTGGCATCTTTATACACCTTTGGTCAGGCTTTCCCTGTGCAGCAAACGGTTGGCGTCATGGACGAGGGTACAAGGGTGCGCCAATCAGTGTGATCGAGCGCCCAGAGATGGTTCGAGGGGCCAATTTCGCGCCAGATCGAGGTGATTACGAGGAGCCACTGGGAGTCCAAGGCGGGACTATTGATTGGGCTGAAGGGGAATGGCAGTTGAGAAAGCAGAAACGACAATGGTTTGGGGACAAGAAGGAATGGTGATGGATGGCGGTGGGTTGTGGAGATGATGGGAGATTAAAAGGAAGTTGGACGTCGGTTCTTCATTGGTTGGGAGCTTGGAACCGCAGGCGCCTCATTAAATCCTGGCTGCGAAACGCGAAGCCCAGACGCGCCAACGTCGTTATCACCACCAGCCAAACGTCAGAGGTCGCAGCATTAGTCTGGGTTCGAGGTACAGACAGAAGTCCGGTGCTACTCGGTACTCGTATCTTGCTTCAGAGTCTTATCTGGCCGTCTAGCGAACTCAGTACCCGTCTTTAAAGCGCCGATACTCCACATGAAATCCCAGATGATACTTGAGAACTCATCAAAAGTTGACAATCCCGTCCCCGTTGCGAATGCACTCCGCAAGCCGTAAAGTCTAAAGTGAAGATGGACGCGCCGATCCTAAACACAGCAGCTACTAGATAGCTGGAAGCCCTCCCGACGACCAGCCTATACCCGAACAATGGAGAGATAGCCGTGCAGAAGTCAAGAGATATGGGATGTAGATCTCGCCTTGTGCGTTGCCTATCGATGATTGCTACACCACTGGTCAACAGCGTCCAACGCCTCTTCGTGAGAGAGCAAATTGAGTCTCCTTGTTACACTCAGACTATATCATTGTGTTTGCGCAAGACCTGCCAGAATATCAATGGCTCGACGACAATTTATAATTAGAGGTTAAAGGCATGATGTTTCCTGACCATGGCTGTGGAGTTCTACAACTATCCTTGTAAGGCTAATCTGCATGTCAAGCATGAATCGTCTTGATATAGCAGATCCCAGTGGCAGAAACCTTCACTTCGGTTCGCTCCTTCTGACGAACGACTTCCCACCAAGGCCAACCAGTTCGTCGCAGCTATCGAAATCTGCTCGGTTACTTTTTCTTCTTTGCCGGCGGATTGGTCTCAATTCCCTGGTACGACACGGACCCGGGCAATTTCTCCCAGGGCGCAAAGACATTCTTGATGCTCTTCTTATCGAGCACTTTCCTCAGCTCAGGGAAATGTCTGCCGAGGACATCTTTCATACCAGTATCCTGCACCCACTTCAAACCTTCCTTGGTATACGTCGCAGCATTCCATTGGCCCGCAATGAAGCGATCGCTCTTCAGTCGGCGCGACGCCATGAGGATGAAGATGCGGAATGCAGTGTCGCTAAATCCGAAGCCCGCCGGCACAGGCTCGCTATGCGACCCCACCAGCGTGTCCACCAGCTCGATGTCACCGCCATACGCGTCTGAGAGTGCTGCGGCCAATTCTTTGTTGCCTCCAGTCAGCTGCTCAAAGGTCTTGGCTGGTGGCATGTGCAGCAGTCGCCGGAATTGGTTGTATCGTGGTACCCCGCGCTCACGGTCTCGAAGGATATCCACGGTACCCATGTCTCGATGCAGCCCGTCAGGCGTGGTCAGATTGCGGAGGAAGTCTGGATAGTTCGAGTTCGTGATTGCGCCAGGATAGTTGATACCGAACGAGTAGAAGGCGTCAGCAAAGGTGATTTCACCATCGAGCGGTTTCTGCGCGTCGCGGAAGAGCATGTCCTCGACACGTTTGCAACTTTTGAGTTCGCCGTCACGAGCATTGAAGAAGGCAATTGTGTCTGGGATGAGAGAGTGCATACGATAAACCGAGACGAACTCCTCGGTGAGGGAATACGGTACACCGAAGTGATCGACTCCGGAGCCTGGGATGCCGCTGATGACTTCACTTGTCTTTGAAATACGACCCAGCTTCTTCGTCAAGGTCTCGCCGACAAGGCCCCACCAATTCGCATTCATGGCGATCTTGAGCGTCGGGTGAGCGAGAATGGCCGGAGTCCATTCCACAGTGTGTATCTTGGCCATCAACGCACAGTTGACGAGACGAGCCTTGTCAAAGATCTGGTCGCCAGTCCAATCGGGGTAGTTTCGCCTCAGCATGTCGCAGATGGAATTGTGTTCCAGCGCGAAAAGAGTGTGCAACATCTCCATGCCGATCCACCAGTTGTTGTTGAACCCCGTCAGCGGGTTGTTCTCGGCATCACGCGGCAGGAACTGTGCTCGGCAATCCTTGGTGAGTAACAGCTTGCCGTCGCTGTGTTTGTTTCGCAGTGTTTCTGTCACGGCCTCACTCGAGCCGTAGATCTGCGAACTGTCCCACCACGCGGTATTGACATTCTTGTACCCTGGGCACCTGCGGTCGGTCTCACTGAGAATCTGATCTGGTTCCGTCTGTGGCAGTTCCATCTTGCCATGGGGCCACTCGTCTCCATGAGGCAGGGGGATATCATAGCTGTTCTCGCTCTGTATTTGTATATGTCAGCATTGCCTCCCTCTTCTAAGATCTTTTGCCACCTACACTTTCATGGAAGAACCAGTCGTGGGTTTGAAATTGGATCCACGCAGCAGCGAGCAAGTTCAATGACGTAGCTGGAATAAAGGACTTTCGTGCCATGAAGCGTTCACTTAACTATTATGGCGCGACAAACATGTTAGCATGGTACCCCTGACGAGAAAGAAGGCCCCATATGCCGTAAATGTGCTGATTCGGCTGGTTCACTCGGTATGAGACAACTCACCATCCTCGGGTTTGGATTCCAAAGATCCTCATCGTAAGGTTTTGGGCAAAAAGCTCTGGGAAAATTGCGCCCCAATCGCATACCAGCGCATCCCATGAGTGGCATTTCAGTTGAGTTGAACTTGCCCTCCGAGTTGCGGGCAGTTTCGAATCGCTTGTCGGTCATGGGGACGGTGGATTGAGTGCCTTGGGCAGTTCCAGAAGGGTAGGCATCATGTAAATTGTACTGGCGAAGCTCGACACGCAAAGCGTCCAAGTTGAGCGCACCGACCAAGCTGGGGAGCTTGTGCCATGGGACGATTTTGTTGACAAGGTGAAAGATGCCCACAAGCAACCGGTCAGTGAAGCTGGCCTTGTAGCTGGGTCTCACAGCTTCGTCCATGTTGGCGAGGGCTGTTGATGGTATTCGAAGGAGAAGGATGGGTAAGGCGTTGCACCGGACGGAGGATGATCTGAGTATGTAAGAAGGGATGAAAGATACCAGAGTCGACGAGTGGAAGTGACGCTGCGCCTGCTCTGGGCTTCAGCTGCTCACTCCTGCATGTGCCCATCCCCATCCCCATCCCCATCAACCCTGTTACACAGCGAAAGCCAGCCACGCTCTTTCCTCAAAGACGCCTTGTTGGGGTTGACCGGCTGCCTGAAGCTGCGACTTGCCTTGCAGGCCGTTCATGTTGGGAAGGGGTTGATGTACCACCTGGCGTGGTGACCAGATATTTGCCAAGCCGCGACAGACAAGTTACAATATTGACTGGTTCGGTTGCGCAGCCAGGCCTTCAGCTCGCATGCAAATCCCTCTCAGCTTATCCAGCTACAACACGAGAGTTGGTCAGGGTCCGGTTCTTCTTGGTTCTTGTGACCCTGATCCTCAGCTTGTGTAACCAACACGTCGAATCGCAGCACATGCCAGCCTGGACGTTGACATGTGCGTGGAGGAGCAATATCAATTCATCTGATCATCCTTGGGTGTTAGCCTTCCATCATCCTTTGAGTCGACAGTATCCAAACACACCTGAAGCCCCAGAGTAATCTGCATCACTACCGCAATCGCCAGTATGCACTTGACCCTTACCAACATTGCGAAGACCGCGTTCACGGGAGGCTACCGCGACAAGTCCACAGCAACATCCCACCACGACGAAGAAGATCACAGATACATTCGCGGCGACATCGAAGCTCGTGGTCCGTGTCCCGGGTTGAATGCATTGGCGAACCAGGGGTATCTGTAAGTAGTATTGTCCGGCTTCGTCCCCCTGAAGATGTCCTGTGTTGATTCTGGTGTAGTCCACGAGACGGCAAAAACCTCACCATTCCTCAAGTCCAACATGCACTGGAGACCGCCTTGCACATGTCACCACTTGCCGCCGCTTCCCTGTGCAGCAGTCTTCCTCCTCTGTTGCGTAAGGACGGCACATTCGACCTGGTTGACACACGGCGCCACAATGTCATCGAGCACGACTCATCCTTCACCCGGCTTGATTTCCACCAGGGCGACAACTACACTTTTCAGCCAGATATGCTGCAGGCCATGATCAACGATGCGGATGGCGGGCCCGTCACTCTGCGATCATTGGCGAAGACATTCATCCGTCGGGACAAGGAGAGTCGGGCAGCAGGAGCACCACGGCTGCCCTTTGATCTCTGGTTTGTGCGAGTGTTGCAGGCAGTTGGGGTGATGAACACGGCTCAGACTGGTGGGATCTTGACCAAGGAAGTATTGCATGCTGTTTTCGCCGAGGAGAGGTTCCCGGAAATCATCCTCGAGAACCCGACACCGAGGACTGTCTTGACATTGCTTGGGAATGCCTTGGGGATGATGCGATATGTCATCTTCGGGCCTTAGGACGAATAGAAGCAGTCGAAGCACCTCTTGAGTATTATTACCGCCACATCAAGGTTGCGAAGCTCGATTATAGTTTTTTTCGAATTCTGCAAGGCTCTAATCTGCCCAAATGCTCCCCAGTACAACTGTCCGATATATTGCCGATAATCCTGCATGCCCTGTTTGCCTGTTCAATCATTCAGTCTTTCACCTGTCTTCAAATAACAGGAGTTTGTTTTCAGCCCAGCGCTACCTCCCTTAGACCTGATGCAATTACTTCAAATCTCAGTCTCGCGGGAGAATTTACTACTCCGGAGCCTGACCGTTTGTTCCAGTCTCTCTCGGCTGTTCACCGGCGGCAACCTCCTCGATGGCTTCGCGGAGGATACCCAGGCCCTTTGCCATGTCTGCCTCGGAAATGTTCAGCGGCGGGATGAACCGCAAGGTGTCGTAGATGGAGGTGGTGAGGATCAGCATGCCCTTGTCCATGCACCTGGCCTGGACCTTGGAGGCGAGGCCCTTGCCGGACACGAACTCGATCGCCTGCATCAGCCCGAGCCCGCGCACGTCGTGGATCATGTGGCCAAAGTCGGCTTTGGCCTGGCGCAGCATGTCGGCCATTTCCTTGCCGCGCACGTTGACATTCTCCAAAATCTTCTCCTCCTGGAAGGCCTTGGCCACGGCGACCCCGGCCGCGCACGACACCGCGTTGCCCGCATATGTCCCGCCCATGGAGCCGGGCTTCTGCGTGTCCATTAGCTCCTTTCGTGACACGATCCCGGACAGCGGAAAGCCGTTTGCGATGCCCTTGGCCATGACCAAGATGTCGGGTCGGACGCCCCAGTGCTCGATGGCGAACATCTTGCCGGTCCGACCAAAGCCAGATTGCACTTCATCTGTGACAAGGAGGATGTTGTTCTTGTCACAAATCTCCCGGACCCGTGCGAGGTATCCTGGCGGAGGGGGAACGTATCCGCCTTCTCCGAGAACGGGCTCGATGAAGATGGCTGCGGTATCTGACGGGGCTGATTCCCTCTTGAGGAGGAGCTCCAGCTGAGTCACAGGATCCATGCAGCAGTTGTCGAAGCCATGTTTGCCGGTATGTTGAGCAATGGAACACTGCGCACAGTAAGGGAACGGCACCGAAAACACTCCTGGCATAAGTGGTCCATAATTCTCGGAATAAATGGTCTTTGACCGCGTCATTGCCATGGTCCCGAAGGTGCGGCCATGGTAAGAGCCCTGCATGACAATGATGTTCTGCTTCTTGGTGGCATGGCGAGCCAGCTTGACGGCCGCCTCCACGGCTTCCGAACCCGAGTTCCAGAAAAAGAACGTGTCGAGGGATTTGTGCGGCATCAGCGGCAATAGCGACTCGATGAGCTCGAGATAGGGTTTTTGGAACGCAATATTGACCTGAGCATGGACGATTTTGGCGGCCTGAGCTTGAACGGCCTTGGTGACGGCGGGATGGCAATGGCCCAGATTGGCCACGCCAATCCCGCAAGTGAAGTCGAGCATCCTCTTCCCCGACGCCATGGTCACATAGCTCCCCGAGCCGCTTTCGATGACTTCTGTGGAGAGACGTCCAATTCCTTTGGCCACATGGCGAATGCCAAACTCGGCGAGCTTGGGAGCGCTCATGGTGGTCGATGCTTGTGGGTGGATGGGTCTCCGGATGCAGTGTTGGCTCCTCGAGTAGCAAATAAGAAGTCAACGCAGTGACCCAAGAAGACAAGGATAATCTCTAGGTAACCCGGCTGCCCAGATCTCGAGTATTAGAGGCTTGGAAACGGACAGGGAAAAAAATGAAGCCGCTGGCGGTTGCAGTATTTTGGCCTGGATGTTGATTACGTTTAACCTTTACGTCATTGGCCAGCAGCGGACAAGAGCGGATAAGTGACGTTCGGGTTCTTTGATTTTCCGGCTCCGGGATACAAAATGTCAAACAAGCTTCGAGTTCCGTAGCACAAGCAATTGCGGGAGATAGTCGTCAAAGCTAATACTCAAGTTGCCATACTCTACAGCATACTACTACAGGACACTAGTATCTCAGTAGCTCGGGCCTCAGCTGTCTAGTTGTCGTACCCAGCCCAAAAAAGCTACGAGCCCTGCCTGTCCTCTAGCATTCTAACAACCAGGGAGCTTAAACAGCAAACCCCCCTACAGGAGCAGAGGTCTGAGCCCTGTATACACCTGCTCTGCTCATATCTTGATGTTCTCCTCTGGTTTTGTGTGCTCGACGGTTGCCTCAACCTTCTCAGTCATCAACTCTTTCACGCCCTTGAGGAACCAAACACCGACCAAGGCAAGGACAACAAAGGGGATGATGCTGGCCCAGGCAAGTCTATACGCGTGAGCATACGCCCAGTGGCTGGCATCCAGCGTCTTAGCCTGAATGGTCTCATTCATTCCTGGGACTGTGGACAGGCCAGTCCCGGCAGTCAGAGCTGTTATGAGGGCAGGCACAGATGACTCGGGTAACCCGGCTGCGACTGCGGCATTGCCGACCTTGGTGGGATAGGATTTAAGCTTGCCGTTGATGATGGCATCAAGAACTGCCGAGCCGAATGCTCCTCCGATAGCGCGGGCAGAGAAACCCAGACCAGTTGCAGTGGAGAGGAAGGCGTGAGGAGCGGTGAATTGAATCAATGCCACAATCAGGGTCAAAGGACCGGACTGCCCAAGGCCGGACAGAACATTGAACCCAATTTGAGCATTATTCATGCTAGGTGTGATAACGGCATAGCAGATGCAGCTGGTAATCACAGTCCATTAGTGTGGTGCTTGGCGAATGACCTGCAAGCACTTACACGACGAGGAATATAATGAAAGTCGCAATCAATGGAGACTTCAAATCCTTGTACTTGGTAGCGTACAGCCTGCGTATCTCGTTAGCAGCTGCAACTGCTAGAAGTGCCGCACACTCACGTTAGAGGGATGGACGCGAACAAAGTCACAAGATTGTAAGATAGCTGTCGGATGGAGATTTTCCATGCATTGGTCTGGAAACCGAGATTGAGCACGATTTGAGGTGTCACGCTGTTGACGGCGCTGTAGAAAATCCACCCCTCGACTGCGAAAGCAAATACCGAGAGGGCGAAATTTGGTGACCCCTTGAAGAAGACGTGGGCGACAATTCCATCGGTCCGGCCTTTCCATTCTGTATTTCAACGTTAGCGAGTGTGATGGCAAGAAGACGCCTGTTCTGCGGTGGTACAAACCATAAATACAGAAGATAGCCAAAAATCCGAGTCCAATGCCTAGAGGAGCAGCAACATGGACATCTGACCAGGCGTAGGCACCTCCTGCCCAGTCCAATGCCAGTAAAAGCAGTGTACAAGCCACGATGAACACGAATGATCCAATGGGGTCGATAGCCCAAATGTATTGTTTCAATGACATCTTAGGGTAGTCGGACCGTCGAGTGGGATGGTAGAAAAGGACGAGCCCGAGAAAAGTAGCGGCGTGGAAGGCGGCTTGCATCCAGAAGATGTCTCGCCAGCCTGATGGACTTTGGTTTGTGACACCACCTGATCCCAGACCACCGATCCTGTAGAAGTTCGGTCAGCAAGTGGTGATACATCTTAATGAGTCGGGCGTAGCGTACAGTCCACCCACTGCACCTCCGAGAAAGGCGAAACCATTGGCGAGGGCTCTGTATTTGAGAGGCAGGACCTCGCTGGGAATGGCTTGGACAATGGCAATCGTGCTCAAAGTCACACCAATGAGGATACCCCCTCCAATGAGCATGGACATTGAGGTTGCTTTGGCTGATATGACCGCACCCGCGAAGGCAATGAGTGGCGGGATTGAAGCGAGCCATTTTCGATCCAGGACATCGCTTAGACGACCGACGATGGGAGACAGCACGCTCTGCATGAGCAACGGCCCCTCTGTGATTCTCAAAGTCAGCAACCGGGAGCGGTAGTCAAAGCTATCCTCTTGTCACTCACGAATGATCCAGCCTGCAATTGGTGCATCGCCCAAATCTCGAATGATGAAGGCAATCACAGATCCAGCAGCCACGACGACGAAAACCTGAGCCATAATGGCAAAACAGGTGACAAAAACGACGAGCCATGATCGCCAACTCAGGTTGACGTGCTCAGCCTCGTTGAGCTCTTGGATATGTTGCATGGGAGCCTCGAACTCTGCGGCCCGCTGTCTCTCAATCTCTTGAATTTGCGTGGCATTTTCGATGTTTTCGGTCGTCTGTGAGACGTCCTTCTCAGCCACCATCTTGTTGAGTTTGAGTATCCTCGGAACTAAAGGTGAAGAGCGACAGAAAGGGAGGCAGAGAGCGAAGTTGGTCAGGGGAACTTTTGACTGGAAGCCTTCTCCAGGGAGTTATAGGCTGTCCACGGACCGGTACGTATCATGTTCGACTTCTTTGTCCACGTTCTGGCCACCATTTTTGCCCCGGCAGTTGGTCTAGAGGCGTTCACCGGGCACACTCCGTTGAGCTCCTCCACAACAAGCAGCAAATTTCAGGCATGCGGTGGCTGAGGATGGGGCAGGATAGTCAATCTTGGGGTACAAGCTAACTGTCAATCGTCCGCCTAAGTCTTGATGATGCATACTTTGGGGGGTATTTTCCGGGACTGCGTCTGACCCGCACGTGGCGATGATTCGGCGTATTCTGGGCGTAATTGTACGAGGAGGTGTTTGGGGGCACGCGGTGCAAGCAGTGGGTAAAAGCCAGGATGGAAATGGAGGTGGATGGTGGAATTGTGGCATCTTGCGGAGAAGCTGGAGCTGCTTGTGGGGTCCAATATGTCGACGATGTCCTGTTTTGACAAGTGTCAGTCGCCTGCGCACAGCTCACCGGCTTTTTGGATACCCGAAGGATTTAGCCACAGCTCTGAGGTGTTCGGAGCTGCGCTGGTTCTCCGTGCTATGATTGAAGCCACACTTCAGTGGTCGAAAGGGATCCCTTATCAGGGCATCCTTCAGGTGGGCTGCATGACTAAGTCAAGATGTCTGACAACACATCTGTCTTGCTGTTGCTCGTGAAATGGTGGATGGGTAGAGCTTCGAGATATGGGACAGTATATGCGACGAGAGTGTGGTGATAAGCCAGCTCTCTCTCCAACGCTACAAAGCTGCGCGACAACTCCAGACACTACATTCGCCATCAACGCCTTCAATGAATGAAATCTACGCTTGCATTAATTTCTCTTCACTGTCTAGTGAAGGTCTGAACAATAAGTACCATCACAACATCGACGGTGAGAAAGACAGCACAACTGAGTGCTTCATTTGCGTGTCTTCACTCTTCGCTTGACTTGCATGTCTTCGGTATTGACTTCACTGTCATGGATCCTTTATGCACTCATGGTGATTTTCTTGCTCGACATAGTCACAGGCAAGTGACGCATCTTCTCACGGTAACTGTCCTCAAATTCACTCTGAAGACTCAACAATATCTAATGCACTCACAGAATTCGCTCGTTGATTGTTACATCCACGAGTCTGTCACTACTACGCTTTTATAAATTCCTCTTCAATATTTTCTTTCTTTCTTTTTTTCTTCCTCGCTTGACAATTGCTTCGTGGCCTGGTAAAACGTCAATCCACACCATCATGGATGCACCAGACCTCACACAGAAGGTCAAACCAGAAGCACCAAGATCCAAACCAGGCTTCCCTCGGATGGGAGGTTTTCGCGCCACAGTCGCGTCAACAGTCGCGTCCACAGGGAGTCCTCTGCAGAATGATCTGGACCGGGACATGGAGATTCGGGACGTTGAACATGGAAAAAATGATACAGACTACCCTGTACTCAATCCTGTGAATGTGCGAAAGACACCAAACGCTTCAGCTCGAAAGCACGAATCGGAAGACAGCAGTGTCGCGGAAGGAGACAAGCATCAATCTGGAATTTCTAACGGCCCACCGAACAAAGGGAGGGTCATCAACAAAACACCTCGATTCAACAAAATCTCCAAACCAACGGGTGAAGAAATCAAAGAGTTGTCTCAGTCAAGTATGTCTTTGATCCATGTCCGTCAACGCTCTCCTTGGGTTTGATATTGTTCCCTACCGACTGCTACTGACACCAACCTTCTCAAGGAAGCGCCGTAGATTGGCGAAACCGCAAAGAAGTCGAAGAAGCTTACAGAAAGAAAGTCTGCGCAATGATTGACGATGACATCCTGGACCAAGTCAACGCAGAAGGAGGCATCACCCCGATCGGAAGAATGTACAAGGCTGTCTGCTGGATGCTGAAGCGACAAAATGGTGACAATGCGCATGTTACCCAGAAGGCAGGTCAAGAGGACATCACAACCTTGAGGGCTGAAAATAAAGCAATGAGGAAGGCGATCGATAGATCTATGCAACTGCTGGATTCTGCATGAGCCAAGGATTCTTATCTGTCGCGAAAGATCTTCTGGTTGACTTTGTGCTGGACTGGCTTTGTTACGGAAAGAGACTGTGCCGGCACAACGAGACTGCGCATTCGGGGCTCACGCCTCACACCCTGTGAGCGAGGTTCTAAGATGTTGAACATGGTGATCCACAAGCTCCAGAACATGAGGTAGCAAGATACTGAAATGCGCTATTCTATCCTCCCACCCAGGTATAGAGTCTATGTCTCAAAAGTACAACCGCGTTACCCCGACCACTGTGATTCTAACCCTCGGTGCCTCTATAACTTGGCCTGCTTCGGGCTCGGGAAGACTGCTTTATCGTGCACACACGTAACACAGAGCTTGTCGTTTACGTAGATCTTGCCCACAATGTTTGCCGTGTTCCTCCCAGCCGCTTGAACCTCACAGTCCACAATCGCCTTGCTGCCCATCGGGACTGGCCGCAAATAGCTCATAGTGATCGTCCTGCTGACATGTCCACCATCTAGGAACCCCGGGCGCGCGATCGTCAGGAGCGCCGTACTCGTCAGATTATCCAGCAGCGTCGCCGAAGCGCCACCGTGCAAGTTGCCAGATTTGTTGCACAACTCCGACCCGACATCCAGGCTCCATTTCACAAAGTTGGGTTGCGCATCGAGAAGTTCCAGGTTGGCGTTTCGAAGCGAGTGCGTGTCAAAACCGAAGTATTCTGGGTCGTCAAGGACTTCTTTTTCGAGACGAAGGACCCGGTCGCGGAGCGGTAGAGCGAGGAAGTCCGCGACCTGGAAGACTTTGATGTGGTGGCTTACTTTGCTGGCTTCTGACATGATGGCAAGTGGAAAACAAAATTACTGGAGACTTGAATGCTGTTGATTTTGGTTGGCTGCTCAATTCTCGGACAAAGTAGTTGTAGTTATATCAATTTCGTTTCTGTATTTCTTGGACTTGGAGGTGGAATACAAATCGGAGTGTTCGAAGCTGAAAGAGCTAGTCCTTGAAGACTATCTATAAGACTTCTATGAGGCAGTCAGCCGCAAAAGAAATGGACGTCAGCGAGGATGTTGGTCACGGTTGAGTGTAGAAAATGGGAATTTGATGAGATTGTCCTCAGTTGCCGAGGCACGCGAGGTTCACTACTTTTAGCTTCAGCACGTGGTGATAACGATAAAGAGAGGCAAGCCGCCAATTCGAGCATCGCCGACGCAGTCAGCCTCCCTTCTGTCACCCCGCTCTAAGTAACGAGTTAAACAGCCATTGGCCCTAGGGGATGCATGATTACAGTGCTAACTGGTCCATTCCCCAAACGTTTGATCGCCAACCGACTGACTATCACGGCAATGTATGAAGATGCTAGACGCGCGCTTTGGACCCCGGACGTATGCAACCTAAGGATAGTGAGGCTGATGCGCATTCCAGTCCCCATCACGGACAACACGAGTATTAAAGCCAACGTTGCCTATTCTCCATCTCCACTCCGTGGGATCCATCTCGTTTCAGCTTCTCAGCCGAACATTACACTTCTCTAGACCCCTCTTCTTGAATATGGTGTTGTTGGAAGGGTGGTACCATTGTCAAGACGATGGAAGAGGACGAAAATGTCGATAACGCTACCTCTGCCGAGAACAACAAACAATCCAGACGGGAGCGGCTAAAGGGAGCCCTCTCCCGCACCAAGAGCAAGTTCAAGAAGCACACAAGTGACACAAATGAAGAGAGGGATCTTCCGGATGACGTGAACGAGTTTTTGGCTGCAGGCAGGACATCTCTCTCGAGCGGACCACGGCCAGTAGATAGTCTTCCGCATCTTCAACGCACCCCTGCCACCTCGAACCTTGACCAGAGCTCGCCGGTTTCTACCAGACCATCGACGTCTGAATCATTCACGAATCCCTCCGCCCCCCAACGCTCACCGAAGAAGGTCTCTGTCCCAAGAATAGACGTCACAAATTCTCAACGCTGGCCTCGCGCTCAACCCATTGGAACTACCGAACAGGACATCAACGACTTCTTGCGTCCTGAATACCAAGGGCGCAGTCAATCGGTCAGCTCCTTCTCCAATAAGCCGAAGCGCAAGGGACGTGGTAGAGGACTCAGCGTCTCCTTTATCGAAGCCCCCCCTGTCATTATTGGCGAGGGCGGAGACGATGCGCCCACACCTCCAGTTGAGATCTCAAAGGCCAGACAACGAGCCCGATCTGCCTCGCCGATGCCCAACCGCGGGCAATCTCAGTCGCGTGACCACTCGGGAAGTCCTACGAACGGGGCCTACGATCTACGAAATGCTCCCCTCCCTCATCCACCACGTCAGGGAGGTCCACCCCCAGACATCTTGCGGCCTAGGATGCTACAAAGAGTACAGACAGGGAACTTCTCGGGCAGCAGAGGGGCATCTGCGTTGGATAAAGAGTTTGAAATGACACTTCGTCTGGGGTCAAATGCAGTCAACTCTCCGGTCAGCCCGGGAGAATCACCTAATACTCCGGAGCTCCATGCTCCGAAACCAGTACGGGTGATCCACCCGCCACCACCAGTGCTGGAAGAACCCATACAGTCACATATCGTCAAAAAGGAGGTTCAGAGCACAGATCTGCGCAAACAGTTCAGAGAAGGGGATGCCTTACGTATGCATCTCGATACGGAAGCGCCAGATGTCGTCGACAGCATCGCTGGTGATGGGGCAGTTAGGGGTGGGATCCATCCTGATGAGCAGAGGCCTTCCAAATGGATTTGAAAACGATCTCTGTTCGCTTCCAAAGTGCTCTACGTCTATGAAATGAAGATCTAGCTAGATGTCCCGTTGACTGCGGTCAGCGCCTTGAAACCCTGGATCAGGTCATCGAGCAGGTCCTTTTCGTCTTCAATGCCGATGCTGACCCTCAGGAGATCCTTTTCCACCGTTGAATCGGTCATTGTCCTCCATTCAATCAAGCTCTCGATCCCGCCTAAACTGGTCGCGTGATGGAAGAGATGGAGCTTGCTAGGCAATGCCCTTGCGAACTCCTGCGATTTCAAAACGATAGAAAATACCGGGCCATAGCCGTTGGGCATTTGTTTCTTCAGCCAAGTCTTGTAATCCTTGGTTTGCAGACTCGCATGATCCACCTTTTTGACGACGGACTTAATGATCTCCGCGTCAGAGAGAGACAGGCCTGTGCCGACAGTGTGACCCGTCAGAGCGCCGTCAAGGGCATCAACTATCCTTCTCGCCGATTCACTCTGCTTCATGACTCGGAGTTCGAGGGTTCGAATACTCCTTACACCAAGCCAACCTTCCAAACCGCCCATCACGGAGCCCAGATACACTCGATCCTGCAACATCTTGGGTATCCACTCCTTCTGTTTCACAGCCAAGACGCCACACAGTAAATCGGAGTGGCCACCAAAGTACTTTGTCCCTGAATGCATGACGATATCCGCACCGTGCTTGAAGGGATCCTGTAGGGGCGGCGGCGCAAACGTGGAGTCTACGCTGAGGTATGCACCTCGTGAATGCGCAATGTCCGCGTAATGCTGTATATCAAAGGCCAACCCTGTCGGATTGACTGGTGTTTCCAGATGCAAAAGGTCCCCCTCCTGCAAATCTTCAGGTTTGCAGTCCAGCGGCAGGAGCTGCAGCCCAGAAAGCCTCTGGTGGAGTCTCAACACCCCATGGCATCCATGGTATCCTGCGCCAATAGCCACTCTCTTTGGGTTCAGAAACGTGATCAGTGCATTGAATGCAGCGAGCCCAGAAGAATATGTCAAGCAAGGGTTCTTCAGCAGCACACCTAGGATCGTCTCCAAGCGTGATGTACTGGGTGTCGTATGGCGGGAGTAGTTGTGTTCTGTAGGCTCAAAGATAGGTTCCGATCTTTCATGATATGGGCGCAGTTGCGCAGGGTCCTTGTCATAACGAAAGGTCGTGGAGACGTGAATAGGAGGGGCGACGTCGTGGACCACGTTGAGAGGGTCGTCGGCATGGATGGCAAGGGTGGAAGGAGAGAGCGACGTCAAGTCAAAATGTTCAGATAGATCTTCAACTGCTTGTGACTCGGCGGGGGGCGCGGGCTGAGGGTTTTCGGAAGAACTGTCCCCATCAAGAGGCAAGGTCCCGTTGGTGGTGACCATCTTTGGGGGATGCGTATGAGATGTTATGAACCCGACTCTAAGGGGGATCTTCAGGATACTATTATGATCAGTGAAAATGAATGATCAAAATCGGCGCCCTCCCAATGACATGGGACAAATTATAGGTGGATTAGTTACGATAGCTGCGGGGAAGCCCGTATCCCACCAGCTCACTCCCACTAACCCTGCGTGCCCTGGTGGCCTTGGCTATTGAGCTCCAGCTAGCCCCTTGCTTGAAGTGATTGAACTGGATACAAGAAAGTTCGTCTTACTGTGAGAAGGTGGTACGGTAAGCCATGTTATATTTTATCATGGCTGGCAGTAATTGCCAGGAACGAAGGATATCCAAAGGATGCCTTCCCTAATCATCACCTGCGGCGCTGGGCAGGTCCAAACAGTCGCTGGTTAGTCAACCACTTGAGTTCCCCCTCCAGCCTTTGTGTTACACAACATGCTCTCATGAACAAGCTTGTCAAATGCTCTCAGAAGGCCTGTGCCAATCAAGCATGATCACGAGGCACACAAATTGGCTAGTAGTGCTAAGCTTGTGTCCTTAAGTACCTTGTGTCTCTGTTGGCCGGGTTCAGGACTTCATATCTTCCCAAAGTATCGCCCCAACGATGGAGGTATCCATTGCGAATCTTGACTCAAGGTTTACCAGAGACAAGTTGAGAGAGTCCTTGACTCCTATCCTCTCCGAATCTCAAATATATGTCTTCGAAGTCCGGAAAGCGATTGGGAAGACATTCGCAACTCTCACCATTGCAGATGCTCTCAAAGCACGGAGCCTTTTGTCCAAAGCGCGTGCTTACCCAAATCTCCTCTTATCTCCATCTGGGCGACCTGCAGTGTTCGATGTGAGTCGTAGACGGGCGGATCCTCACTGGCTGCGTGTGCTGCACAAGGAAGAGAAGGACCGTCAGAGCCTCCAAGCAAGGCAGAAGTCTTCGAAGCTGGCCCCAGAAGCCCCAGAAGGCGAAAAAGACAGGGATCTGAAAATTACGACACTGCGCTGCGGCCGATGGGAGGCAGCGACTGGAAAGACTACATTCGTGCCTTATTTCGAGGTCCGTACAGATGGCAAGCTGACGAGGGAGACACGAGCACTGGTGGTACAAGTTACCGCCACTCCTTCCAAGCGCCACGATCTAGTAATGGATCTGTACTCCATCCTCGCTCTGGCTGTATCACCGGGGAAATCCTACAGTACTTTGACCATCACGCTGAAAACTGCACCAAAAATCTACGAGCATGAGGCCCCTGCAGCGACTCCCGACCTACCTGAGCTGTTTGAAGCTTTACACCTACACTCGCAACCTTCCAGGAGGTTTCGTGAGTGCACATTGCCAGGCACCGATTCTGGCGTCGTCGGAAGCTGCCTGACATACAGCATGGTTGTGTTAGCAGGAGCTGCTAACCTGCAACGCCGCGTCAAAGCAATGACTTACCATCGATTTCCTATCACAAATCTGCCAGCCACTTCTCCTTTCCGACAAGCCAGCTTCTCAAGACAATTGTCCAGTCTGAATTCACATGTTGCGGCACTAAACTGCTCTTTCGCATGGAGGTTTCAAATACACGGATTGTGGGCCAACGGCGTCCTCTCTCCAGCGGACGTCCAGTTCCTCCTGCCCGCGATGCGTGACTTGGTAGCTCGGTCAGGCGAACAGACAATGATTTCGGTTGTGCGACGACTTAATCTACAACTCTTTCATAACGATGCCACCACTGACCAGAAACACAGCGCTGTAAACATTGCGTTAAACAGTCTTCAACAAGACGCGAATCTTTTACTTGACTACGATACCGCGCAAAGTTCTTCGCAAGACTTGGTGTCGACTCACCACGTCACTGTCACTCCTACTGGCATATACCTGTATGGTCCAGAGCTCACCACGTCGAACCGTGTCTTGCGACAATACCGTACACATTCTGACTGCTTTCTCCGGGTTCTGTTTTCCGAAGAGGATGGATCACGCGTAGAGTTTGATAGGGACACTTCCAATGAGCGAGTCCTGCAGGGTCGTTTCAAGTCACTTCTTCGTAATGGCTTGAACATTGCCAACGAACACTTTGACTTCCTCGGTTTCTCGCACTCGTCCTTGCGGTCACAAACATGTTGGTTCATGCGACCTTTTGTCCATGATGGCTCTTTGCTATTTGCAAGAGACCTCATCAGCAAGCTTGGAGACTTCAGCGTGATCAGGTGTCCGGCCAAATGTGCGGCACGAATTGGTCAGGCATTCTCTGAGACCACATCGGCTATATGGGTGCATCCGGACATCGTCCGAGTGGACCCAGACGTCAAGTTTGGACAATATTTGTTCACGGATGGTTGTGGTACAGTTTCAAGGACCACCTGGAAACGGCTGAGGGGCAATGTGCCGTCCCGCGATCAACCTACTTCCTACCAGATTAGGTACAAGGGTGAGCTAAGGTGAGCCAAAGTGGTCGAATGGCCTTTGCTAACCGCTTGTCAGGTGCCAAAGGAATGCTTACACTCGACACGCGCCTGGAGGGAGAGCAGATACATCTACGAGAATCAATGGTCAAGTTCAGCGGTAGCCCATCCGACGAGATTGAAATCTGCGGCTCTAATCTTCGGCCACTCCCTTTCAAGCTGAACCGCCAAATTATCAAAATCCTGGAGGACCTTGGGGTCCCTGACTCGGCGTTTGAAAGGCTGCAAGAACAGGCTATGCAGCGACTACGTCTCAGCGCCTCCTCCAAATCTGTTGCTCTTGCCTTTATCAACGAACACCTCTCCGATGGTAATAGCGGATTGCCCAGGCTTCTCAAATATCTAGATCGCATTGGCGTTGATGCCACGGGGGACAGCTTTTTGAGGGATATCCTGGGAGCACTATTACAAGTCCAGCTCCGAGAGATCAAATATCGGAGTCGCATCCTGGTCCCAGAAGCTCTCACGCTCTACGGGATCAGCGACGAAACTGGGGGGCTAGAGGAAGGCGAGGTCTTTGTGGCCTTTTTTGACAAGAGGACCGGAAGCCATTCCTGCTTGAGTGGACGTGTGGCTGTCACGCGGTCGCCTGCTCTACATCCTGGCGATGTTCAACTTGTTCAAGCCGTGGCACCACCTGACGGGTCTCCACTCTGGAACCTCCAAAACAGCATTGTCTTCAGCCAGCGGGGTACTCGCGACCTACCCAGTATGTTGAGTGGCGGCGACCTAGATGGTGATCTCTTCAACGTCATCTACGATGACGAGCTCTTGCCCAAGAAGACTGTCATTCCCGCTGCATATCTGCCAGTGGTGCCTATGGACATTGGCCGGGCAGTCACTGCTGACGACATGGCAGGGTTCTTCGTAGACTTTATGCAAAATGACCAACTTGGGAGGATCGCCAGTCTCCACCAAGTCTTCGCTGACCTTGACGGCACCCTCTCAGACAAGTGCCTCCTGCTCGCGGAGTTACATTCCAACGCCGTGGACTTTTCCAAGAGTGGCGTCGCCGTGGACACCAAGCGGATCCCGCGAGGCCCCGAGTATAGACCTGACTTTATGGCTCCAAGTGCAAGTATCAAGGTCGAGCGAGGGATCAAAAGACCTGAAGAAGAGACACCTATGCCAGATGGCCGCCAGCGCTATCGCTACTACGAGTCGGATCGGATTTTGGGTCGTTTGTATCGAGCCGTGAACGAGGATGCCTTCTTTGACGACCTCGAGGACGATACCTCCTCGCTATTCAGCAACCCTGCTACCGATGAAGTATTGAGAGACGTTTGCGACTGGGTGGAGAATCATCTCGGCTACTCCCGTATTGAGACCTTTCTTGCCGCCGCGAGGGAAGTGAGAGACTAGTAAGTTTTGTTTGGATGACGCTGAGCTGAGCTAACATGGGCGAGTTATGAATCGATGTTGACGGACATAATGGCTTCATATGCAGTTCGGCGCACGGAGCGACTGACCGAGAAAGAAGTGTTCATCGGTAAGATCTTGGGTCGCTCTGGAGCAGCAACCAAACACCAACGGGAGCAATCCGATTACATGAAGCTGCAATTCAATCACGAACTTCGGGAAATCAAGTCACGAATGGAGGTCTTGACTGTGGATGACGGTGATTCTGGGTTTGTTTGCCTCGCTGCCGCCTGTCTTAATTTGGCTGTGCATGAGACTGCAAATCGTAACATCAAGTTGTGCAGCTTTGGGTGGTTTGCTGCAGGCTTATGTGTGCCCGATATCGTGAAAGAGACAGAAAGCGTCCTGAGTGCGTGACAGGCTTTCCGTCGATCTTCCAGGTGTGATGGATTGTGAAGGGCAATGAAATGACCCTAGTGAAAGAATGATGTCTTAGTTTACGAAGGAGACTTCACCTAATCGAGTCTCAGTGGGCTTGACCTGGAAGAGAGGATTTGGGAATCTTGTCAAGAGGTCAGATGTCGAGATTCCCAGTGATAATGATAATGAATGCTTGCGATGAACAGTCTGCGGGATCATTGTAATTGAACCGACAAGGATGCAGATCAAACCAGCAAATGGGCACTACTAGTGGACAGGGCATCCGGTGACAAAGTTACTTGATGGTTGTCAGGAGTGCATAATATCCAAGTTGATCCTTGAGCGGATCTGCTTGTGAAGAACGAGATAAGCTGTTACTTATCGAGGGCATTTGTTTTCTCTACCATGAACAACGTGGGATGTACCGAGTACACTAGAGAATGAGAACCCCCTTGTCTACAAAGCCTTGCTGGAGACCCGGTCCTCCTTGATCATGGCCGCGCCCTTCTCTCCAATCGCGTAGACGGTCGCCATGGGGAACGCGCTCGGCTGCATGGGCAGCACGCTGGCGTCGACGACGCGCAGTCCCCGCACGGGACCCGTCACCCGCAGGCGGTCGTCGACGACTTTGCCCAGCGCGCACGTCCCCAGCGGGTGGTTGATCAGCGTCACGGCCTCGCGCACAGTCTCCCGGGCCACGGCGGGGTTCTGCACGTCGACTCCCTCGGCCGGGTACACGCGGCGCTTGACGCGCGGGCGGAGGTGCGGCGAAGCGAACACGCGGTCGGCGAGGGCGAGGCCCGCGGCAAGGACGTCGACGTCGGCCGGGTGCGAGAGGAGCCCGTAGTCGATCCGCGGTGGAGCGAACGGGTCTGCGGACGTGATGTGCACGGAGCCCCGGGAGGCCGGGTACATGAGGACGGTTTGTAGGGAGATGCAAGGGTTTGTCGACGATGGATTTGGGGATGATGAGAATGGCGGCGGCGGCGGGCCGGGCATGAACTTGGACATGTCGCCGTGGCCGTCGCGAGTGTCGCAAAACGCCGCGATGAGGATGTACTGGATCGCCGAGGCGGTGGGCGAGGCGAGCCGCGACGCCAGGATGCGCGCATGTCGGGAATCGATCTCTGGCACGGGCGACGACGGTGACGAGGACGAAATGGGTGGGAGGGAGGTCAGCGACGACACACTTCGTTCCAGCGTGCTCGCGCTCACCAGCCCCGCGTACGACGTGAACCCGTTCAGCCCGGGGCTGCTGGCCAGGAGACCCTCGCGCGACGTGGCGTACAGCGCCTGCTGCGCGGGCAGGAACGTCGGGTCCGTGTAGATGCTGTCGAGGCTGGTTTCCCCGTCGGCGAGCTCGTAGCTCACGTTGGTCATGATCTGCTCCTGCGCGTTGACGCCCACGTGCGGATTCTCGACTCGTGGAGTCACGCCCGCCGCGCGCAGGATCGACGCGTCGCCGATCCCAGAGAGCTCTAGGAGTTGCGGTGTCTGGATCGCACCGGCACAGAGGATGACTTCGGCTTTGGCGCGGACGGTCTGTAATGGGGTGTGACGGCCCGCATGAGCGAATTCCACGCCTCGCGCGATCTTTAACGTGGAATCGCCATTGTCTTGTTCCAATATGACCTTGGTGGCGGTGGCTTCCGTCAGGATCTTCAGGTTGGTGCGTTGCAGGATTGGCGCAATGTACCCCGTCGCCGCGTAGCTGCGCGTGCCCTTGTTGACGCTGCGGTCAATGGCGTTCAAGCACCCAAACCAACCCTGGTGATCACCCGAGTCCGAGTACGGCTCCTTGGCCAGTGGCAGACCCGACGTCTCCTGCAGGGCGGCAAGGACGGCGTCTTCGGTCGAGGTACGCGCGCTGGCGCACGACGTGTGGATGGGGCCCTCACTGCCGTGCACCGCCGTGTCGATCGGGTAGAACTCTGGCTCGGGCTTGGTCGCGGGGTCGTAGTGCTCGACCCGTCGGTAGTAGGGGTACATGTCGTCCCACGACCACCCGGTGATGCCCAGCTCTTTCAGGTCGTCCCAATCGCGTCGCGACGGGTACGTGTAGGCCATGAAGTTGATGGCGCTGGAGCCTCCGAGGACTTTGCCGCGTGTGACATGGTAGGATCTGTTGTTGTTGGCGGTCTATGAACGGTCGGAGAGGATCAGGTTTGTTAGTCAACTTCTTTCACTCGAGTTGTTTCACATTCGAAGGCCATTTTCATACCTGAGGCACCGTCATAAAGTCCCACGCGTACGTGGGATTTCTTAGAAGGAACGCCAGCGTCCCCGGCGTCTCGACCAGAGGATCTCCCAGACGGTTCTGGCCGGCTTCAAGGACGCCCACGCGGACGTTGGGGTCCTCGCTCAACCGCGCTGCCACCACTGCACCGGCAGTCCCGCCGCCCACGATGACATAGTCAAAGTCGTTGGCAAGGAAGTCCTCGAGCGAGCAAAAGACTCCCGTTCCCGGCCCCGCGCCTGTAGATGTTTGTTGGGTTTTTTCGGATCCCATTCTCATCAACGGTCATCCAGCTAGAGCTTCCTCCAGGATGCTGGTCATGACATACATGCTCCAGGCCCGCGAGCAGATGTGCGGTTTATATCCTTCCATTATTCAAGGCATCTCACGAGGTGGGTAGTGCGCGCGGTGGAGTCAGCAAGGCCCAGTTGAAGCTGGTTTCAGCATGGTACGTGGTGTAGCAACGACCATGTCATAGGTACCACAGGCAGGTAAGCAGTGTGCCTCAGGGTAAAAGTTAAGGGTAAGGTAAGTAAGCCTTGGGTCTGGTCCAGAGAGTCAGAGACGCTGGTGGAGAGGCACAAATGGATGCTGTGGTTGCGAGTTTGGACCCACGGACCCGTGATGAGGCTGTCCGTCGGGGAGGTGTCGACATTCTAATGCGTTTTTGCCATCTTATCAAGCGTGACAAAGACAGGAGCACCATTAGACCAGATCGTGCTGACTACCTTGAAAAGACAGTCTGTGCGGGTCTGGCTTGACTTTTTGTTCATTGTGGGCCCAGACTTGGACGGAGGATTTGCAGGTAAAACGACCATGTGTCGGCACGTGATTAAGTGAATTTGTCAATGCAATTTCGACAAGGCTCATATTCCATGATGAAGCTACTCGTGGCAGTAACAGTCCTGAAGGATTTTGTTAGTCGGCCCCCTCACAACTCTCTCTGCGAAGTACTTACTTAGCCACTCGTTATATCCTTACTCAGCCCCCAAACCTAGCTGTAGTCCCACCCACCCCTAAGCAAAGTGCTTCCGCGGACCGCACAAGCCGTGTCAGGGACTAAGGAACGAGTATGTCCGCAGACTTAAAAGGTATGTAGGAGCATTAAAGTACTCGGTACTCGGTATATACCCGTCGATGTGCTTGGAAAAAAAGCGACCAAGTTGTTTCCCCGTATTGAGTTCATCCACCTTCCTCTTTGGACATCTACCTGGGCACCTGCAGGACATATTACTGGCTCCACACTCATATTATATGCCTCTAGGTACTACCGAGTACTTAGTAACTGAGGGAACCCGTAGTTCCGTCCTGCCTTACTTGCCTTACTCGTCCCTACGCCAATCACGATTCCATTTTCCCATTCACCCATCAATCCTTCCACCTACCCAACCACCTCTCCGCCCCTCGTCCTTGTACATACCTGCACACGTACATACGAGTACCTACACCAAGGAGTATATGGCGGTCCGCTCCGTAGATATTACATATACATGATGAAGGCTTTGCATTACTCAGCTCAGGCGACTGTTCATTGCACAAGTGCAAACAAGACTCACGTTATGTATATGCGGTACTTGTCGTGAACCCATTTGTTCGTGATACCTTGGTCCCTGTCAGGTCAGTAAGCCTTCTTGGCTGTCAACATATATCACACATATACTCGGTACACCCTGAGCTGTGCTTTACTTGCGCACGTGACGGAGCATCACGAAAGCCACGGCACAATACCGGAGCCCAAGGGGAGCGGTGGGGGATTGTGCTCGAGCAACGGTTCGACAAAGACTTCAAATTCTCGGGCTTAAATCTTGAAGTTTACACGAAAAAAAATTAATGGAGAGACGCCTCGGCTGGATCTGCGTGTCAATCGTGGGGGACGATCGGCTGGAACTGCCAGTCCAACCCGGTCGAAATTTAGCTTCGATGAAGAAACCCTCCAGTGGTTTCTTGTATGACCTCTCAGGCTCTCAAGCAAGGGCTCGCTTCCCTATCACAGCGGTCTCATGACCACTTCCCATCAACGATGGGAAAGCCTCCACGACGGAGATGTGAATTCCGTTATTCCACCAGGACCCCATAACACTCTATCCTGAGGCTAGGCACTCTTGTTTTCACGGAGATGATGATAACGGAGGCTTATATTCCGATATATGGATTTCCACCATGTTAAATTTGTGACAACACATGCCTCTGCTTGAGGTTTGATATTTACCAAAATCGGGAATCAAGTTTGACAGAGACATTGATAGAGCGCTTTACCAGTCACACCATGGCAATCGAGGCGGCCACCAACGGCGTCCACGACACGTCAAAAAATGGCGCCGTCAATGGCACAAAATCTACCTACCAGTATTCGTCTCATTATATGTGGAAACCGCGGCCGATCAGAATCATCGTCGTTGGCTGTGGTGTGTCGGGAATCGCGGCCGTCAAGATCTTCAAGGAGAGATTCCCGGGAAAGCCAGTAGAGCTGGTCATTTATGAGAAGAATGCAGGAGTTGCGGGAACATGGTTTGAGAATCGTTATCCAGGGTATGTTCTTCCACGTCACCGCCGACTCTCTGGCCGCTGACATCTATGCAGCTGTTCGTGTGATGTGCCCTCGCATGCCTATTCGTTTTCTTGGGAGGGAAACCCGCACTGGTCCCGCGCATATGTGGACTGGAAGGAGCTGCTAGAGTACTTCACCGGCAGAGCAAAGGCGTATGGGGTGTATGAATTTGTGCATCTCGAGCACCGAGTTTCCAAGGCCGCGTGGAACGACTCCACTGGGCAATGGGAGATAGAGATCGACAACTTGAAGACAGGGGAGAAGATTGTGGACAAAGGGGAAGTCCTGGTCAATGCGACCGGGTTTCTGAAGTAGGTGAGAGCCTTTAACTTCTCCCAGGGCTACAGAATTAACACTCTCTTAGCAACTGGAAGTGGCCTGACATTCCGGGCCTGCAATCTTTCAAAGGTGTTCTCGCCCACTCGGCACACTACGATACATCTCTCCAGCTAGACGATAGAGTCGTCGGCGTCATAGGCTCTGGATCCTCAGCCATTCAGATCGTGCCTCAAGCCCAGCGAGGTGAGTATGTGGCATCGTATCATGTCCTAGTAGGGAATGGCTGACCAAGGCGCCTTTCAAAGTGGCAAAGCATTTGTATTCATTCCACAGGTCCCCTACATGGATTACTCCGGAACTCGTTGCTGAGCTCGCCCCACAAGGAAGAGAAACAGTCTTCACCAAAGAGCAGCAGGAGGCATGGGCAAATGATCCTGATGGATTTCTCCGACATCGAAAAAGAGCCGAGAGCACCATGAATCACTTTTTCGACATCCAGGTCAAGAACTCGTCTTTACAGAAGCAAGCGGTGGAGGAAACGAGGAGGCAGATGATAGACCAGTTGAGCAAGAAAAAGGAACTGATTCCCAAGCTCGTGCCCGAGTTCGCGTTGGGCTGCCGCCGGTGAGCATCTTCGGTCCTCGAAATCCACCAAAGACTAACGCGATGGATAGGATCACTCCCGGACACGGCTACCTTGAGGCATTGTGCTCGGACAATGTGACAGTCCAGACCGAGGAAATTCGAGAAGTCGTCCCGGACGGCCTCATCCTCGACGATGGCACGCACATCAAGTTGGACGTTCTCATCTGTGCCACGGGCTTCAACACCTCGTTCTGCCCGCCATTCACTCTGGTAGGAGAAGGTGGCCAAGTGATAAATGAAATCTGGAAAGACGAGCCTCGCTCATATCTAGGATTTGGTGCCGCAGGATTTCCCAATTACTTCAGTTAGTCCGTTTCCAACACGACACATTGTCCAGCGATACTGACTGTGGTAAAACTACAGTTACGAGCGGACCTAACTCCCCGACCGCCAATGGCGCCCTGATCCCGTGTTTCGAGTTTTGTTTGAGGTTTGCATACAATGCGGCTGAGAAGCTCATGACCGAGAACATCAAGTCCATCACTCCAAAGCAGGAGGCAGTGGACGACTTCCAAGAGCACAAAGATTCTGTCATGAAAGACCTTGTGTGGACTTCGTCGTGCCGATCATGGTTCGTGGTTACTTTTCTATTCTATCCAGAACATGAAGGCAATGATATGACACAGCACTTCTAACTATCTTGTGTCTCTAGGTACAAGAATGGAACAATAGATGGTACGGTATGGGGCCCTTGGCCCGGTTCAGCCGTGCATTTCCTTGAACTCATCACCACCCCACGCTGGGAGGACTTCAACTTCAAGTATCGATCATCCAATCGCTTCGAGTTCCTGGGCCGCGGACGAACTGCCCGAGAACTCGAAGGCGGTGATCTCGCGTGGTACCTGGACCAGCCCGGCGCCTCTGATGCCGCGAGACAAGAGATTGTGCACGTCAATGACCCAATAATGGCGTCGGATCCCGAGGAGTCAATAGTGGCCGGGGAAGAATAGTCTTGTACCAGGGTGTCGTGATCGTGGTATGGTTACCAGTATGATCTGCAATGCAATAGATCTTAGTGAACCAGATGGAGTATGAACAAAACAAAAGGATAGATCCAGGATATCTTGTTCCAACCCGTGGGAACTTATGCTGCAAAGTTGATCTCTGCATAGTGAGTAGATGATCTCCATGCAGTATACGACAGTGCCAACCATCATGGTGTAGAAGGTGGCGCCGGTAGGCAGCTCTGGGTATCGGGTCACCAGGGTCGTGTTTGCGGCGGGATTCCAAACAAAAACCTCTTTGGCGTCAGCCTCGGCAGCGCCAAAAGGGAAACATCATTGGTCAGAGCAGCTGGGCAAAGCGGTCCAGAATGCTTTGTACGGCATTTCCGGCATGCATACTTCCGGCGCGAGAGACCTTGAACGTGGAGGGCCGGAAACTTTGATGATGCCGCGGTGGATTGAATCCAGGGCTTGTGATCCATGCACGTCTTGCTGTAAACCCCTTAACTAAGTTGCACTTCTGCCTCTGTCAATAGACAAATCATCCTCAATACCTTAGAGCGAGATTTTTTAATTGACATACATATCCTGTCTAGCCTTTTCTCTCCGTCCGAGGAAAAACTTGATTGAGGATGGGTTCTTGCGCTCCAAGTCGAGGACCGTTTCAGGGAAAGGTTGCCATCGTCACAGGAGGATCGAGAGGTAGAGAGACACAGACAAAGACATAAGCAACGACTGGCGCTGACGACGGAATCCAGGCATTGGGGCGGCTGTTGTGAGAAGTCTGGCAGCCCGAGGCGCGGACGTCTGTTTCAACTATACATCAGAGTCGTCCATCACCAAGAGCGAGACCTTGGTGGCAGACATACAGGCAGAGTACGGCACGAGGGTTGTCTGCGTTCGAGCCGACCTTGGACAACCAGACGCCGGGGACAAAATCGTCGAAGCCGCCAGAAGGTCTCTCACCCCGCCAGAGGGCGGTCGGTTCCAAATCGACATTGTCGTCAACAACGCGGGAGTCTGTCCGGCGGATCTCCTGCCGGATATCACCATAAAGAGCTTCCATGATTCCTATGCCATCAATGTACTGGGACCCATCCTCGTCATGCAGGCAGCTCTACCGTACCTCCCCCATGACCGATCCGGGCGCGTCATCAACATCTCTTCCATCTCGGCCACCATCGGCACACTCGGACACACCGTCTACGGAGGCACGAAAGCCGCACTCGACGCCATGACGAGAACGTGGTCGCGCGAACTGGCCGAGCGAGCGACCGTCAACGCCCTCAACGTGGGCCCCGTGCTGACCGACATGCAACCCGTCCCGTACGTGGCGGAAAAGGTGGCCCTCATGAACACGATGACACCGTTGGGGCCGATCCGCGACACGGACACTGACGAGATGAAGGCCGTTGCAAAGTCGTTCAATGGTCGCGTCGCCTATGATTACGAGATTGGGGACGCTGTGGCCCTGCACTGTATGCCTGAGGCGCGATGGACGACGGGCATGATCATCGGCGTGAACGGTGGGTTTGACTTTATCCGGTGATCGCTATGGGTAGCAGCAGCAGCAGTACAGAGATAGATGCTCACAGTACCATTGTATACGGAGAAGGTAATGTGCTACTAGTGCTGCTACATGTGCAAGAAGCTTGTGACAACCCTTCACATGACCTACAAAGGACGCGCAAGTGACTTGGTAGTCGTTGGTAGTCCAGGAACTTCCTTGGCCAGACTTGGCCAAACTCGCCAAGAAGCAGAGGCTCGCTAAATGTTCCCCGGATTTGGCCAAAATCGTTACTCGACATCCTGCCCCACCTTTTCCCGCCTTTTGTTCCGAGGGCAATGCCGCCTCGCCCGCCTCACCAAGGAGCAAAGGCCTCTCGCCTTGGGGCAACCTGCCTCGCCTTCCTTTCCAACCTTCGCTATAGCGAGACCGGACAGCTCAAGCAGTACACCATACACCATGATTCGAAGTGAAAGATCTCAATCCATGTCCTATCGAAGGAATGCCTCGTTGGCATGTATGGGGTGCAGGAAGCGGAAGATCAAAGTACCACAAAACAGACAGATGTATACATGGCATTTCTCCCCAAACTGACTTGTACAAAGTGCGACGAAGTCCGTCCGACTTGCTCAAACTGTCGCAACCACGGTGATGTTTGCGTATTTGGCTCAGACCGTCGAAAGTTGGTGTTGTTCCTGTCCGTGGTTTTTGTTTTGCTCCCTGCGCAGCCCTGACTTGCTTCCACAGAAGTGCCACAAAGCGTAAGGATTTGGGCCTTCTGGTGTCCAGGTTGAATGGCTTGGAGGCTCTTGTCGCCGAGCAGCGTGCTCTCATGATCAACTACGATGTCCCCGGTCACTCTGCGTCGACCGACCCATTGCAGCCTTTTCTCCCCTCGACGACCGGAATACTACAGGATCCTGAAGGGGACCAGGATCAACCTCAGCATGTACCTCAGAACCAGAGTGAAGATGGACTCCCAAATGATACAATTGCTCAACTGGATCAGATCGGCTTTGCCGTCAGCAGGCCGTCCGAGGCCAGTCCGGACTGGGCATACTTGAATTTTGCTGCAGACGACTACTCCTTCGAGACCGACCAGATGGACTTTCCCGCCCCGAGTATATCCACCGACGAAGAGTCCTCGCCGTCCACGATGATTGTGGCCCCGTCCCCGGAAGATGTGTCTTCTGAAGAGGGCGAGGACCCAGACTCTGCGCTGACCCAGGAGCTCTCAACTCGAATGGGCCGACTTCAAATGGCCGAGGACGGCAATCTGCGCTACTACGGTGCGACGAGCAACATGCATCTATTGCGGAACGGACTGCAGTCGCTCTTCAAGCCCTTTACCCAGTCGGTCCGAGCTAACGGGCAGGACGCCCTCGTACGAGCTGGTCTCGCTTGGGCCTGCCATCCAGCCTACGAGCAGCACTTGACCGACGTTTTCTTCACCTGGCACGCTCCGTTGTTGAATGAGGTAGACCAGGAAGTATACTTGAGGGAAAAGCAGCGTTATGAGGCGGGCATCAACACGCCGTTCTTTTCTCCAACACTTCAGGACGCCATGTATGTATATCACACTTTCCATGGGTCACACTTTCCAGCCCCCGTTTTAGCAGCTATTCAAACTTACGTGGTGGGTCCTAACCAAAACGTTACCTTGCAGATACTGCGTTGCCACCACATATGCGACGTGGACACCTCCGACCATCAAAGGCGACCCAGCGCAGTTCTTCGCCCGTCGAACCAAAGTGTTGCTCGACATCGAGATGGACTGTCCAGCCATGGCGACCGTCCAAGCCATCCTAGTCATCTCATCATACGAGGCTTCCAGTGGTCGAGATTCACGTGGTACGTATCAGTGTCTCCCTCTTCTGTCAGTAAGAGCTCTTTCGGGCTGATACACAAGTCAGGGTGGATGTACTCGGGTAAGCATCAGAAATTGGCTTTGCGACTGATTGGAAAAATGCACTGAAAGCTTCAACCCAGGCCAGGCAGTTCAGATGGTCACCGATCTTGGTCTACATTTGAATCTCGAGATGGAGACGGACGACGACGAGGCCAAGGACGAGCTTGTGAGGCTGCGGCGCGCCATTTTCTGGAGCGTCTATTCCGTCGACACGTACGTGCAAGAATCGAAAGTGACTCGCCCTCTGATTCTATCGTGGCTGGTTTCCCTTTTGTTTTTTTCCTGACGGGCTTGACACAGGCTTTGGAGCTCCTACATTGGACGACCTAGTTTGATGCACAAGCTCGAAAGCAACGTGCCACTTCCAGAGATCAAACTGAATCAAATGCACGGGTTGGGTTGCTTCTCCGCAAACCAGAATGCCGCCATTACCTATGTTCCTCGATACATGGCCGAATTGACCATGAAAATCGGCAAAATCACAGATACATTGTGAGTATCTACTCATCCTCCTCCTCATCCCCACATGCGTGGTGTCTGACGAGACCGAGGGATAGATATACCGGGAAACGGATCTGCGCTGAAGAGGCTCGTGTTTTCGTCGATTCCATGTCCCAGGAGTTGGTGGAGTGGAAGCAATGCCTCCCACAGCTCCTACAAGTTGACACCAGCTCGATCATGATTGCAGGGTCTACGAGTGACGAATATGCGCCCGCGGCGGTGTTGCAACTCTTGTAAAACTCCGCTTCCTCTTTCCTCAATTTCAAGTGTGAGTTTTTCTTGCTGACACGACCACCGTCTCGTATAGAATGTTGTATTATCAAGCCGTCATTCTCCTCCACCGACCATTTCTCGGCGAGTCGCGGGGGTTTAATGCAGATGGCATGTCCCCTCCGTCATCGTCCTCGACCGACATCAGCGGCACATTGCCAGGAAATGCTCCCTTCGCTCGACGACTGTCCCAGTCCCTGCCCCTGCCAGTTGGTCATCGGTCGTCGCACGCCTTCAACTGCACCACGTCGGCGACGCAGATTTGCAAACTGACCATCCTGTTCCGGCAGCTCTTCACGCTCCGCCACGCCCACGCCGAGACGACGCACATCCTCGTCACCGCGGGCCTGATCCACGCGTACAACTGCTGCATCTTCTCAGGCTCAAAATGCCAGGAGGCGCAGAAGCTGCTGCTGATCTGCATCCAGGCACTGTCCGACATGGGCCAGATGTTTGTCAGCGCGAATCGGGGGCTGGAGGTCCTGTTGTCGCTCAAGCGGAAATGGCAGAACAAGGACTCGGTCTCCAGGGTGCGCAAGTGACGAACTGCACCGTGTGCACCATGCAGCTCTGTCTAATTCCGCCGCGCAGATGGAAGGCTGGCTTGGGGGGCAAGGACTGGCGTGTTATTAATGTATCAAAGGGGAACAATCGCACATCTAATCATAAGTCATAGCAACAGACCGCTCTCGGGTACTATCAGGACCCCTACGCGACACAATAGTCCTCATAGATCAGGGAGCTGTTAGTATAGCCCGCCTGCTTAGTGTTATTAGGTGGGGAGTGTCTAGTAACACATATATAATTGACACGGGAACGAATTACTCCCCGCTACCATATGCATGATACCATGCACCCGTGTTCTTTTTCCATCCATCACGGGTGAATGTCTACAAACCCCCCGTCCACCACGATGTGCGCCCCGTTGACATAGCTACTGTCGTCGCTCAAGAGGAAACTGATGACGCTGGCCTGCTCCTCGGGGAACGACATGCGGCCCATCATGATGCGGTCCAGGACGGGGCTCTGCTCCGTCTCCGCCGTCCCCGCCACGCCCTGCCGGCCCATGACCTTCTCCAGCAGCGGCGTGTACACCCACCCGGGGCACACGGCGTTGACGCGGATCTGGTCCTTGCCGTAGAACTTGGCGCCGTTCTTGGTGATGCCCAGCACGGCGTGCTTCGCGGGCGTGTACGCCCCGAGCCCTTGCGAGATGAGGCCGCACACGGACGATATGTGGACGATGGAGCCCCGCTCTCCGGGGATGGTCCGCGACGACGATGGCCCCGACAGGCTGATCGGACGGGGCGGTTGGCGTTGCATTTGGGCCGCCTCGTATTTCTGGCACAGCCAGACGCCCTTGGCGTTGATCGAGTAGACCCTGAATTGTAGTCATGGGAATCAGCTTCAGCACTTCCAGGACACGAAGATTGTCTTGACATGGTTCCCCTGGCATCTAAAGCAGAGGGTGCTCTGTGACTCTCCCAACTTCTTCCCCCCCAAAAAACCAAACCAATAAGAGCTCCACGCAACCTAACGCACCGATCAAAGTCCCGAGTCGTGATGCTCTGCTCTTCATGCCACACCGTCTCCGACACTCCCGCGCAGTTGGCCGCGAAATCCAGCCGACCAAACCTCTTGACCGCGGCCTCCACCATGGCTTTTACATCGTCTTCCAGGGAGACGTCGGTGTGGACGAATATGGCCGCGGCTCCAAAGTCGGTCTCGAGCTTTTTCGCGAGTGCTTCTCCAGCCTCGGTATCGAGGTCGGCAATGGTGACGTTGACCCCGCGGCTGGCGAGTTTGGTCGCTACGGCTTCACCGATGCCCGATGCGCCTCCGGTCACGATTGCGCTGAGGGACGGCATAAGGGATATGAGGATGTCACGACCTTTCTCACCAAGTCTTCGGCCAGCAAATCTGTAAAATGATACTAGATGAGCTGTGAAAGAAAAAAAAGAAAATGGCTGTCACTGAGAACCTGTCGAACGACCAGAGGTACGAAGCAAGACAAAGGCCATTATGCGAAATACAAACACTGACTAAGTCCCAGAAAATGGGATACTTGCCTTTTACATGGAGTGAGGGTTGGTGGTCCAATCTATCCAGAGGCCCGCCCCCATCAGATCGCTGATGAAAACCGATCTCGAAGTAAAAGGAGAAAGCCACTACCCTGCAGAACCGGAAATCTGGAATTCTCCATGATTCGTTGGGAATGGCAAGCAAGCAAACAAGCAAGCGTGGAGATATGAGTTTCACTCACCACTGTACCTCGTACCGAGTAGTCAGTTGGTAGTCATTTGAATCGTCAGTAAGTGGAGCCTGAGGAGTCTAGCCTATTTGAGAGATATGGGAAGTAGGCCCTGGTATTTATGTTGATAATATATATTTTCTCCCACCCACTTTCATCAGTTGTCAGTTTCACGTAAATCTTTTCACCCTCTTCGTGCGAGTCTCTAGCATCTCTCCAACGGACGAAACCGCTCGTCCAAGATGTTGGACTCTCGGTGCGTTTGGGTTTCCTTGATTTCTTATTGAGAAAGCCCAGCTCCAACATGCCCCGCAAACCTTGGGATGTTAGATGCCGTTCCCCATGGGGAAGGGCCCAATGAGCAGCAAGCCCGGAAATGCGGAATAGTAAACGGGTTTGGCCCTGACCAATGATAACCATGTCCGCGGAATTCGAAGTGTTCGCTGGCGGAGAAAAAACTTGGGAATTTCCGCAAGGGGGTGGGACCCAGCGGCTTTGATACCTGGGGTATGCGGGAGAGAAGACTTATTGATATGGCTTGCTACACGGCTCACGGCTCCCTTTGGTATTGCCCTTGAAAGAAATCTCTGTAAGATTTCTGACAGAACCCACCATCCTTGTGACAATCACAAACGTATTTGCAAAACAGCGAAACAATTGCCACCATGAGCACAGCAGAGAAGGAAAAGGCCCAAGAGACTACCTTGGTCGAGGCGGAGCAGCAACACATCGAGTCGCCGTCTTCACCATCCTCTGATCTTGTCCCTAACCAGGAAGATGGGACAGCGGACAAGGTCACCTTCAAGACCTGGTTGGTCGTTTTTGTACGTCGATGACCCTGGTAGCTCTTCAACTCAATCAATACTGATGGTCGGCCAGGCACTCTCCATGTCTTATGGCATTTCCTTCTGGCCCGTCCCCATCATGGGCACGATCCAAACGCAGCTGGCGGTGATCTTGAATGACCCGCCTCAATCGGCGTGGCTGGGATCCGTGTACAACATTGCAACGTGCATCGCCTTCATGCTCTGTGGTGCAAACAGCGATCTCTTTGGGCGACGATGGTTCCTCATCGGCGGGAACGTCCTGATGGTCGTGGGCTCTGTGATCGTGGGCTCCGCGAAGACCACAGGTGCAGCCATCACAGGTATGGTCATCAGTGGATTCGCGGGCGGCAATTGCCAGATCTCTGCCTTTGCCATTCCCGAATTGTTACCCAACAAATGGCGCCATATCGGGGTTGTCATCGCCGACGCCTTCGTCTACGTGGACGTGATCGCGGGTCCGATCGTTGCTCGGTACGGGCTGGCTGCCGGATCCCCGGGCTGGCGTTGGCTCTTCTACTCGACCGCGTTCGGGAATGGACTGGTGGCAGTGGCCCTCATCTTGTGGTACTTTCCACCTCGCCATCCTCGTGGAATCCCTTTTGGCCAGGCCTTCCGCGAGCTCGACTATATTGGAGGCGTCCTGTTCACGGCCGCCGTCTCGCTCATCCTGGTCGGAGTCGTTTACGCGTCATACCTCCCGTCCAACGATGGGAAAGTCATCGGTCCTCTGGTATCGGGATTTGCCACACTCGTCGCCTTCGCCTGCTGGGAAACGTGGGTGCCCCTGAAGCAACCACTCACACCCCCTCGCCTCTTCAAACACAACTACGGCCGCTCGTTGTCCGCGCCCATGGTTGTCACATTCTCTGTGACCATTTATTATCTCGGCACGAACGTGATATGGTCGACAATCATCGGGACGATCTTCACCACCCCATCATCGCCCACATCGCTCGCGGCAAAATACTCACTGGCCCAAGGCATGGGGGTATTGGTCGGGGCAATCTGTCTCAGCACCATCGGGACCAAGCTGAAGCACTGGAAGTGGAGCCAATGTTTCTGTGTTACCATGATGACCATGTTCGGTGGCCTGTTGGCGCTGACTACCGAGAAGACTCGCGCAATGTCCATTGTCTTTTGCTTTTTTTGCGCCACCTTTTACGGCTGGGCCCAATACTTGTCCATTACCTACGTCCAGTTTGGGGCTGAACAAACCGAGTTAGGCATTGCTGGTCGACTTGCGTAAGCCTGAATTTATTGCGCGGATCACCTGCTTCATTGGCTAACCAAAAAACAGGGGCACAGGTCGATATGCCGGTACATCAGTCGCCTCGACCGTTTACGTGACGATTCTTTCCAACGCTGTTTCCAGCAATGGGGTGAAAAAGGTCATTCCTGCAGTGATGCAGGCTGGCGCTTCGCGAGCTCTCGCACAACAGGTTCTGGCTGCCTTGCCCTCGGGGCTGGGTGCCGTTGCAGCTGTTCCTGGTACCACCGACAGCATTGTGGTCGCGGCTGCTCTCGCCTGGAGAGACACGTATGTTGCCGGGGTGAGGACGGTGGCTCTGGCGTCAATCGCCTTCGGCGCTCTCGGAGCCATCACCTGCCTGTTTTTGGAGGACATCACGCCGAAGATGAACGAGAAGATTGAGATTTATCTGGAGAACGATGTGAATGCGGAGCGCAACGTATATCATTGAGGCGAATCTTCGTTTGTGATGGGGTTTGGTGGATGTCCACCTGGGGTCTTTCTCGAGGCCTGCGAAGATGTGACTCGGATCTTGTCGAGATCTTGTCGATCAGATAGTTACATTGTTTCCGGTACACAGCCAAGTATGGTAAACTCCATCCTTAAAAAGGCCCTCGAGTTCTCTGCCTCGATAACCGTGTTTCTCTTTACCCCTGTGCCTCTGTCTGATAAATCCTACCGTTTTTGAGGTCACTAGGCTGGGCTAGACTAGCTCACATGTAAAGGGGGACGGTGGGAGTGGACTAGAGCTGCCAGAGAGCCAGAGAGAGTTGAAGAGGAGCGCTACGACAGTCTGGGGGAGGATATCATATCTACAAATATGTTCGCGATGAAGCTGGTAGACGAGGCATATTGGATCTAAGAGATATCTGCTCTCACTCGTCACTCGGCATATTGAGAACAGAGATGATCATCACTAGTGTCCAAGTTGAGTTTAACAGCCTCGACTCGACGTTGACCTCACTCACACCAGAAAAGTTGTGGGGGTAAAAAAGAGGGTTTGCAAATGTCTTGAATTCATCATCTTCTGAGAAATATCTCGGTGCCCCCCCCCCCCCCCCCCATTGACAGCAGCAGCCAGCGGAGACCATTCCGGCTGGGCACGACAAACCAGCGTGACTGGCTACGAGCGAACGATCCAAAAAGGGGTGGTGAATATCGAATGACCTTGTGATTTTGTTCTTTGCTTGCAGCCTGCGTCAGGTCAACTCACGGCTTCAGAACAAGCCCGTCCTCCATCTCGGTGGCCTGCTTCAGCCCCTGCTGGGCCGCATCCGCAAAGTCCTTCAAGAACAGCCAGCGGGCCTTCTCGTTGAGCCGCTTGGCCTTCCAGTCGTTGAGGGAGCCGCGCGGGAAGAACTCGACCTCGGACTCCTTGTGCAGCAGGAAGGTGTCGTGGGCGATGATGACGAAGACGTTGTCGGCCGCGTCAAACTCCTCGAGGTACTTGATGGTCAGGTTGGCGCGGTCCGTGTCGTGCGAAAAGTTCTTGGTCAGCCGGTACACCTCCTGGTCGGGCTTCTTGTGTGCGAACACGTCGCAGAAGGCGGCGCCGCTGCCGGGGCACAAGCCCACGCGGGCTCGGACGGTGCTGCGGTTCCACCACGACGAGAGGTCGAGGTCGATCTTCTTCGGGAGCGGGAGGTACTCGGTCGGCCGGTACTCGCCGCCGTGGTGGCACGCGTCGCCGCCCATGAAGACGAAGCTGTCGGGCGTGACGCGCGCGAGCCCGCACACGTGTCCGACCGCGTGGCCCGGCGCGTCGACAATGTAGAAGGACCCGTCGCCGAAATAGTCCAGCGCCCGGAAGTTGCCCACCTTCACGTCGCCCGCGGCCGCGAAGTCGACCTCGACCAGCTCCCGCCCTTGCCAGTCCGTCTCGAGCACCTGGCTCTCCGGGTTGACGGGGTAGCCCGGCACGAGAGCGTCGCGGAACCCGGGGCCGACGATGAGTTTGGTCGAGGACGGGAACGTGCTCGGGTCGCCCGTGTGGTCGTAGTGCCAGTGGCTCCAGATGATGCCCTCGATGGACTTGAGATCGACGCCCTCTTCGGTGAGGATGTCGGCCACGCCCTTCTCCACCTCCAACCCCCACTTGTGGTCGATGATGGTGTTGGCGATGCGCGGCGCCAGGTTCTTCCAGTCCTTGCGCGTGCCCAGGTCGAACAGGAGCTTGCGGTTCAGCGGGCCGTGCTCGATCAAAAAGCTATACGACGGGCACGAGAGCTTGTCGTGGCCGGGGATGTGAGGGCCGAAGAGGAGGCCGATCGGCACCTCGATCAGCGACGTCGAATCGATGATCTTGACAGACACGGTCGACGACGAGGGTGGGATGTTGAGCGCGGGTGGTGTCTTGGGCGGGACCAAGTACTGGCTCGCGTCTTGGGAAGCCATCTCTTCGATCTCTGGCGGTGATGAGACAACAGTCCTTTGTCAGTTTAACAGGGGCAATTCTAGTGACTATGTATGTGTCCTGCAAGTTCAGGGAACAGGGAGGGAAGACTATTTAATAAATTGACGCTGACGAGAAAACCAATTCGAGTCACGTATGTCATATAGCGTTACCGATGCTACTCGCTCCATAATTTATGTACCCCTACGATCTATTATACATTGTCCCTCGTTACCGTTTACCAAAGGAGTACTCCGTAGTAGGCGGGTGGTGCATTTTCGGCACAAGAAAGGCGCATCTCCTCCCCTTGTCACCTCGGGAAAGACGCGAAACCCCTCGACTCCAGATCCCCCCCGCACGCATCGCACTCGGTGTTTGTTCTCCCTTTTCCCCCACTTATGCCTATTGGACGATTTAATCTGTTGGATCGGTGGTGATTGGAGATGCAAGGGGGGAGGTAATGAGATAACCAGTCATGATGGGTGATAACCTAGGTAATGAATGACATAGCCAGACACTCCTGGTTCTGGGAGTCACGGGACTAGGGGGAATACCTGGATGCTATTTACCACATACCAAAGACTGATATCTTTGGTATATCATTATGGCTGACGTATTGACAGGGCGTAGTGACGATGAGATGTATGTCGGGAACAAATGTTTTTATGTTTATACAAGAACCCCATGAACCCATCTGCGGCTATCAATCGGCGCCAGACAGACCATGATCGGGGTTAGTTGTCCGAAGAATAAGCTTGGAGCCCCTCAAGAACCGGCTTGAGCCTCGTGATCATCCCGTCGAGATTATTCGACAAGACATTACATGTTGCTACAACACTGGTTAGCAAGTATCCTTGTCAGGGGACCCAACACATCTCTTTTGGGTAAACACTTACCAGGCCAGACCCAGCGCTCGCGGATCATGTCCCGGTAGATCATGATGGGGAGCAGCTCCCTCTGAATCGGCTTTTCGTACTTGTATTCGCTCTCCGCCACGATCTCGTCCATCATGGTCGTGATGACGAGCTCTTCCGGTCCGGGAATCTCCATGAGGCGCCGTCCCAGAAGATACCAGCACATTAGGAGACCTAAGAGTCCCCAACGTCAATTACACTTCTCGCAGTAGTACGCAAGGGGACCTGTGAGACTTACTGCCTTCGTATGCTGCGAGCGGGGCATAACAGGGGTAGTTCAAGCACGATGTCTTCAGCAAGTAACCCAATCCCAAGCGAACGCGCACTAGCAGGCAACGACATGCGCGGACGATTGCTTTCATGAGGTCGGGAGGGTTATCGAGCTGATACAGCTTGGCGATCTGACTCCGAGATACCTGGTCGACAGGCAGGAGAGCGAGCGCCTTCATCTCGTTCATCTGCGCGTTCGCATAGAGACGATAGTACGCCGCATTGAGGACGACCAGTGCGTTGGCCATCAACGGGCCCTGTGGCGCGTCGGGGACCGTGGTACAGTGTGGATGTGTTCTCCACGCCTCCTCCCACGTATGCAGTGCCAGGCGGAGCGAGTCCTCGTCTGCCACGACCGTCCCAGTGGCATTGCCCAGGCGAAGTGTGGAGATGTGCGAAAGGATGACGCTGATCAGGGTCAACAGGCCAAATGGGCTGATTGTGTTGTCGAGTGGAGCGCCCGAGAGAAGCTGTCTGAAGCATACCACCGAGGAAATTGTGACTCGGGTCGAATTCTGCCAACTGAGTCCGCCCGCTGTCCACAGTTCCTCGGAACAGGGTAGCGACCCCTCCAACTCGGTGTTGGAGCTCCTCAGCACCGCATTGTCCTCGTTACAGAGTAGGACTGCTCGGAGGACAGTGGTCCAGGACACGCATCTGGGGCCAGAGGTTTAGCGAGCGAATTGTAAACGGACCGGATGAAAGCCCAACCACGGGACATGCACGATTACTCACCTAATCATGCTCTCGCGGAATACCCATCCTGTCCAGTCATTTGCAGAGACCTTTGTCGCTTCGACGGAAGCTTCTCGGCAAAGCTAGGGAGGATTAGCTGGTCCATCTCAGACTTCAACAGCCAAGTTGGAAGAAACATACCACGTGAAGCCTTGTAAAAGACAATCTCGCCTGTCGTTGGATCCGATCATCACCTCCATAGAGTCCGTACTGGCAGGTAAGGAGCCTCGTTTGTAACTCCCATAGCTGGAAACCCGAGTCTCTCTGGCCAGCGATGACTAAATCTTCGTTCTGTGACGCAGTCCATGTCAGACCTTGACCATGATACTCTTCATTGTATCTGAAAAACCCTGGTGACTCAAATGTCCGTTGATCACATACCTCGCTCAACAGCTTCAAAACGGCGTAATATAGCCTAATACTAATCTCTTGCTCATTCAGGTAGACCGCTCCGCACGCCATGACAGCGAGCAAGAGAGGTGCTAAAGGCATGCAGGGTTAGTGCTGAGGGTCAAGGCCACGAAGTCGAAATTTTCATAGGCACATTTACCTACCTTGAATCGTGCCGATCGAGAACGTTGGTGCATGGATAATAGGGCAGTGCGGCGCGAAGTGTTTGAAGAATCCTCGGACGAGCCTAATGACCATGTAATTTGTGGGAAACACAAAGTCGCAGAGTCGATTTTCCACGTCGAACAGCTGCAAGTTGACTTTGGCTTGCTCGATTTCCGACGGGATCAGCCCCAGAAACAAACCCGAAGACTGATATTCTCCATTGTCTGGATCGGTGTGCCTTGCTGCAACATTCCTGCCCACATCCTCTGACCACGGGAGGGCATAGAACGGCTCGTCCCACGGCCACTGCACAAAAGCATCGTCAAGAAGCTGGAAGTCCATCTGGGCGCGAGGAATCACCTCTACATTCGCGGCTGGAGCTTGCACACGGTCCAGGGTGGCAACTTTCCATCCTCGATCTAGACCCAGCTCGAAGGTGCTGGGGTTGGTGGCGACCCCGCCAGTCTGTGCGTTCAGCAGGGTCGACAATGATGGCAGAACCTCTGGGATGACCTGCCCGTTCGCTAGGCTGGTCGTTTCTCCGCCGTTGGTGTTGTCTGGCTGATGTCCCTGTACGGCCTGACCGTTGAGATCGTAGCTAGAATCATCAGACGATGTGTCCTGGTTCATACAAGATAGCTGGCCGTCCTGCGAGTCGGCTGGCTTTCCGGCCCCGCGATGAAGTACTCTCATGTGCCTGGAGATAACATCCTTGCGTGCAGACGTGAGCCCGCATATCGGGCAAGCATGTGGTCTCTGCCAACGATCTGCGTGGATAACAAGTCAATTGGTCAGCTCGGCAACTGGCCACTACTGCCATGCTATCGTTGATGATGGCGTGGAAAGGGACTTTGCTTACGACCGAGCTCATGGCGGCGACAGTGCTCCTTGCGCGTAAATGATTCGCCACAGACGTTGCAGAGATAGCGACGTTCTTTCTGGCTTCTCGTCACCCCATTCCGTCGCGGCTTGAAAAATCTCAGTTCTTCAGCCAGTGGGGTCCAAGCAGTGGGAAAGGCCGATACAGTTCCTGCGGCCATGATAATTGATTATGATTATTTTTTTTTTTTTCAGTCCCTAGGTAGCTTGCTTTGAGTGGAGTGAAACAATGGGGAATTGATAACATCAAATGCTCTGAGCGGAGGAGGAGGAAGACAAGCTGCTTGCCTCGGGTTTCGGGGACACATCGCAAGGGGCGCCTCCCTGAAGGTGAGAGCTGGGGGATTCAAGCAACGAGAGGAGCTGATCAGGCGCCGTGCATTTACTGGCGTGACTGGCCCAGTCTATATTGGGGTAGTCATCAGACTTTGTACCGAGTAACGGAGTTCCCCAAGTAGTTGGTATTGGCCCCCCCGTAGTCCCTTGGTCCCTTACGGCCCGTTTTTTTGCGGGGGAAAACCAGCATCCTGGAGGTTGCCGAGTGGGGGAAATGGATAATTTCACAAGCCACGAGATGAGTGGCATTTGTGAAGGTTTGTCGGCAGGACATCGCATGGTCGCCCCTCTCCGATCGGTGCTGTTGCTATCTCGGTCCTGCTGCTTGGGGTCACGACGAGGAGAAACTCTCTGATGCTCGACCTATCCCCACCAAGATCCATGGGGATGAGGAGCAGACCGAGAACAGTCGGTTAAGACGAGGAGGGGTTGTGTTGTCGATTCGCAGTTCCCGTACATATTACGGGAAGGATTCTCCCTGCGAAAGCCTAGCCATCCATAAACTGTGTCGTTTGTGAGCCTGAAGTGTCTGGATATCAGAAGTCTCTTGTACCGCGCATAATATAGCACCTCCCAGCTCTTAAGTGTCTTTATTCCCGTGCAAGATGCCTGGCCGACTTGAAGGTAAGGTGGCGATTGTCACCGGTGGTGGGAGCGGGTTCGGAAAGGCCATTGCGACCAAATTTATCCATGAAGGCGCCAAAGTGCTCATTGCCGAAATGAACCCAGCAAGCGGTGAGGCTGTGGCTAAAGAACTGGGGTGCGCGGCCATCAAGGCCGACGTGACCAACCGCCAAGACTGGAAGAATGTTTTGGACAAGTCGATTGAGTTGTACGGCGGCCCTGATATCGTGGTTAACAATGCTGGAACATGCTACTCGAACCAGGTAAGTTCTCCCTCAGTAAGTGGACGATTGCATTCTGACCGTGGTAACATCTAGCCATCCGAAGGCGTTCCCGATGACGAATTCGATCTCGTTGTTTCTGTCAACTTCAAGTCGATTTATCTCTCGGTGGCGGTCATTATACCATGGATGAAGGAACATAAGAGCGGCGGCTCATTCATCAATATCGCATCCACGGGAGCCACGAGACCGAAACCACGATTGACATGGTACAACGGAACAAAGGCTGCTGTGTGCTGTGCTTCCAGGTCGCTGGCACAGGAATATGCCCCCAACAACATCCGATTCAATTCGATATGCCCGCAGTTTGCCAGCACAGGATTGTAAGAACCACAACTCGCAGCTATATTTCATCGTTGGCTAACACAAGCTCTTCACGCAGGTCGCACAAATTCCTCGGCAAGGAGAACACACCGGAGAATCGAGCCTATTTCGTATCGTTGATTCCTCTGGGAAGATTGACCGATGTTACCGACATTGCCAATGGTTGCTGCTACCTGGCCAGTGACGAGGCGAGCTATGTTACCGGCACCGAGTTGATTATTGACGGCGGCCGAAGTGCGTAAAGAGACTAGGGAGACTATAGCCAATACACGCGGTGATATACTGTATGTTGAGGGAGCAATAACACAAGTACCGGCAGAATGACATGCCTACCGACGTCTCTACACCCTTGCACGTAAGCCGTGTAATTTCACCATCCTGGTATCGTGTACGATATCCTCCGCATAGCAATGCATAGCGATAAATACCCACTGAACAATTCACCGCTCAGAGCCATATTTCCGAGCGACTAATGGACACGGTCAATGCACGCACATGGACCTTTTGGTCTACCACTTGACATGTGTCTCTATGCTATCCTTACAAGGTACTAGTCCCCAATCCCCCATCGAAAAGACACACAGCCAGGCTCACTTTATCCAGACTCGGTACTTGGAGAGGATCCGGCAAATTTCCGCTCCAGCCCCTTTGTCGCTGGTGTCTTGTCTCCTCCTCTCCCCATCTTTTCCCCCTTCCCCACTCAATATCACCCCATGGCACAGGTTTGACAGGTATCCAGGGCCCAGTACCTTGTACTCTGGACGGTGGGCTTCGTACGGTGTACGGACGAAAAAGAAGATTTCCTGCCATGCCGTGGCTCGAAGCTTGATTCTGGCCACGCAGCGCCCCTTCCGCCATGCCGAAGTTCGGGGCCTTGTCTGATACACCAGATACGGTAATTGCATAAGGGCTGATTGTCAGAGTAGAAATACGTGTGGCTGACAGAGCCGTGGAGTCTTTGTTCCTATATCTCCTTCACGTTCCTGGCTTATCGGTGTCGTAACGTGGACCTGCACAAACACCTCCAAGGTCTCGACCATTGCTTCTGTCTAGTGGTGTCATCACACAGGCTATCATACCCAATTGACGCCGCATAAGTCTTCTGTCCAGAAAGATGGCGGCTGAAGAACGCAAAGGTTGGTTCAAGGACCAGATCAGACTTGTGAGCATTCTGGTAAGATAGACACTCCCAATCCAGCAGATGGCTCTAGTGATCTAACCGTCTGTGCCGCCAGATCACAATCTTCATCTCTCTGGGGTCTTTCACCTATGGCTACTGCAGCTCCATCATCGCCACCACCCTGGGCCAACCCGACTTCTTCAAGTACTTGCATCTCGACACTGAAGGCCCCGGCTTGTCTCACACAAATGCCATCACCGGCGCCATGAATGGTTTATTCCAGGCTGGTGGTTTCCTCGGAGCCCTCTCCATTGGCCCTATCTGCGACTGGTGCTCACGACGAGGCGGCATTGGCATTTCAGCTGCAACCTGCTTGGTGGGCGGAGCTCTGCAATGTGGATCCGTCAACGTCGGCATGTTCTTGTTCGCTCGATTCTTGACAGGTATGACCATTCCAGTCTCGATGGCACCCATACAGTGGGCAAAATGCTGAGTATCGCAGGTATTGGAACTGGCATGATCGTCTGTGGAGTACCTCTGTATCAGAGCGAGGTCTCTCCCCCCCATACCCGTGGTGTCTTTGTCGGAGCGCACGGAGCTTTGCTCTGTACCGGCTACTCGGTGTCTGGCTGGGTCGGCTACGGCTGTTTCAAGTACTCTGGACAGTTCCAGTGGCGGTTCCCACTTGCTGTGCAGTGCTTTGCGCCCTTGATGCTACTAGGCGGACTGTTCTTCATCCCAGAGAGCCCTCGTTGGTGTAAGTCGATCTGCCCACAAATGTGAACAGGAACCGCCATGCCTAACGAGTGTCACCCCACAGTGGTCCTTCACGACAAACACGATCGCGCCTACAAGGTGATGGAGTGGCTGCACCGAGATCCTCGAGACCCCGAGGGCATCCTCGTCAAAGAGGAGTTCTATGCCCTGCTGAAACAGCTGGAACTCGAAAAACTCCGTGGCGCCGGAGGGTACAAGGAGCTCTTTACCGGGTGGCCCAACCGCAAGCGTCTATTGCTGGGCTTCTTCACCGTCTTTGGCGGTCAGTGCACTGCAACCATTGTCATCAACAACTACGGTGTGATTCTGTACACGGCCCTCGGATACGTGGCACCGACCACTCTCGCCTTTACGGCCGGCTGGGTCACTGTTGGAGTTGGGGGGAACGCACTCTCGGCGCTGATTGTTGACCGCGTCGGACGTGTGAGGCTGTTAAGTGAGTTCGATTCCGCATTGGAGAGAAGGGAGATGAAAAGCTAACCAAATATGTCTATCACCAGTCATCGGATTCTGCGGTTGTCTGATGGCGCTCATCGTCGAAATGGCCCTGCTGGCCACGTACAAGGGCACGACCAACAAGGCCGGGCTGGCGGCGGCCGTGGCGTTTCTGTTCATCCACGTCGGATTCTACAGCTCGTGCGTCGACGCCGTCACGTACATCTACTGCACCGAGATCTTCCCCAACCACCTGCGCGCGCGAGGGTCGTCCATCTCCGTGTCGGGCCTCTTCTTCGCCACCGTCATCTACACGTGCGCCGCGCCAACCGCGTTTGCCAACATCGGCTGGAAATACTACATCGTCTTCGCCATCACCACCGCCATGACCGCCGTGGCCTGCTACCTGTGGTGGCCCGAGACCAAGGGCCTGTCGCTCGAGGAGATCAACGCCCTGTTTGGCGAGGAAGTCGCCGTCGACGTGGGCCACATGACCAAGGAGGAGAGGGATGCTTTGGACGAGAAGATCTTTGCCCAGACCCAGGAGATTGAGGGCATCGCCAGTCAGCCGGTGCCGGAGCACGCAAAGGCTTGATCTCTGTGGAAAACCTTGTCTGCTCCGTCCCCCCTATCCTACAACGTACCCGACTTGCACTATCCAGGATATTTCATCAGGCGAATAGACGAATGGGCAATTAGACTAGACTTTCTGGAGCTACAGAAGCATTCAAATGGCACGAACTAGATTTGGGCAAGAGAGAACCCCCCTTTTGTTTTGGAAGATGACCATCAGAAGGTCCGGTTTGATCGTGGTCTTCATTGGAAAAAAAAAAGAGGACAAGGTAAAACAAGGAGGAGTTCAGTCCTTGTTATTCCCAGATCTTCTTGGTCTTCACTCTTGTGCAGCAGAGACAGATGTCTTTATACAACGTAGAGAATAAATAGTAGATAATACTTATACGTACCCAAAGCGGGCTGGATAGCTGGATTCTCATCCTCTCAGTCAGAGCGGGAGGAAGGGAGTATCTCCTCATCACAAACATGACATTGCCCATCACGCATTCCCCCAGGTGCCCAGTACGTTGATTATAGGAATATCATAGTATGTATACCTGGATACCTAGATTTGCAGATGTATAAGACAAATAACACCCATTTCCAGATCAGCTCATCTCGAGTCAATTCAACTCACATCCTCAATCCTGTACGACTCTTAGGTCTTCAACGGCGGCACCTCAATCCTCAACAACGGCGCGTGCTGCTGCGTACCGAACGTGTCCCTTTCGCCCACGCTGCCCTGCAACTGATTTGCCGGTCGCTTGAACGTGCACTTCCACCCGAGCGCGGGCTCGAAGAACATACAGGTCAGAATGTCGTCGTCGCTAGCCAGGTGGTAGAGGTTCCTCATGACGTCCTTGGTGAGGACGGCGCTGTCGCGCACGTGCTTCCAGATGGTGGGGTCGTCGAAGAGGATGTCGAGCGTGATTTCGTAGGGGCCCGAGTTCTTGGAGCGCACGACGGCGGCGAGGTCGGCGATGCGGGTCGGTTGCGACGGATCTGGGAGGGCGTGTTTCGCGGAGGCTGCAGAGTGGATGTTTAGTATGGGTGCTCATAGTTTTCTGCATAAACTACCTTCTTTTCGGGTCTTGGAGTTGAACTTACCTGCGCCTACAGGAGTGACTACATCTCCAGCCTGTCGAACCGGCCGTTCAGACCGCACCAGCTTCGACCTCGATGCGTCCGGGCTGCCAATCACAAACGACTCGATCGGGAAGAAACTGAGCGGATCCTCGACGTCCATCAGATGGTACACGCTAAACTTGTACACCGGCCCCACGGACTGCTCCAACGGCGTCAGCGGCGAGGCGAAGTTGCCCGCGGTGGCCAGTTGGCCGGGGTATTCGCCGTGGAGGACCATGACCCTGGCGTATCCGGCGACAGCGTCGGCTTCGTTCTGGGTCGCGGCGATGACTTCTCCCAGAACACCGATTTCGTGGGGCACCGCGGTGGTGGCATCCGGATCGAGCGGGCCCATGACAGCGTTCTTCCCGTAGATGTGGAATATCAATTGCGGACCATTGGCTTCGCCGAGTGTCGGGAACGCCGCTTTTGTCCTCGGCCGCACCGTGTGCTCGAGAAAGTCGTCGATGCCCCGGATGAGGATGGGGTCGCGAATGCCTCCAATGAAGGCGGAACGGAAACCGACTTGTGTAGCCCCTTCAAGTTTGATCTGGTATGTCGGCGTAGGCACAAACTCGGCCCCCTGGATGTGGATAGACCGGCCGTCCGTCTGTGGCTTAAACTGTACCTTGTCCAGATGTAAGACGCCACCCGGGCCAGGGAGCCTGTCTGGACGGGTTTTCTCGTACATGGTGTGCGCTGCCACAGAGCGGGGTATACATCGCTGGCCCGGTGTGATAGGCGTCAACTGAAAACTGTCCTGGTACATGGTCGCCAGGATCGAGCGGCCCTTGGGCACCGCGCACTGTCCGCCACACTCGACGATCTTCCCCATGTGCCACGCCGGGTCGCGCTGGACGCCGCGGTGCATACTGAATGCTGCAAAGGGCGCGGGATCGTATGATCGCCCAGAGATGACAATATCCACGTCCGGGTCCTCGAGTGCTTTCATAAAAGGTTCAGCGCCCATCTGCGCGACGATGGCCACGGCGTCCGACACATCTTCCTCCTTCAACGCGGGACCTGGGCCGCAGGGTGTGATGGCGCCCGCTCGTAGCTGGCTCAGTATCACCTCGCGGTCGTTCTTGAACTTGATGGTCGCCACCTTGAACCGGTAGCCCTTGCGCTCGCTGATCTCGCGCACGATGTTGACCAGGATGTCCACCTGCTCATTCGTGCCCGCGCCACCGGCGGAGCTGACGAGCAATTTAATGCCAAAGTCGAAGCAGGCCTCGAGAATCGGGGTGAGGTCGTGTGCAAAGGCTTGTTTACTGACAATCGTCCGGCCGCTACCCAGCATGTACGGGCCTGGGTCGGTGGAGCCGCTGTCCGCAATGATGGCGTCGGGACGGGTGTTTTCGTCCAAGACGGTGGTCCAGAAGTCGACGACATCATAGCCGTAGCCCAGCATGGGCGTCGGCGCGAAGATTTTGACGGGATAGTTTTTGGCAATCATGGCTGCTGATGTCTGTATCCCCTCTCTGACACAGCATGAATTCACATTTGTTCCTTTGTTCAAGTTCTGTCAGGGTCGAATTAAGGCCTGATCCGAAGGGCAGAGATCACCTGTCGCTTGGGGAGTATCGTATTCGACTCCGCTGTCGGAGTGGTTGGATGGTGTTGTCGAGGTGAGTCTCTGGATCTGGGGGATTCGAGATCGGACAAACTCAGCCTCGTCGGGCCCGACACCGGGCGAGGCTGTGACCCTGACGTCCCTTATTGTTGGCATCAATCGGCGCAGCTTCGGAGGAGGGTTCCTTCGTCTTCCTTCATGATCTCCAAAAGGCTTCTCTCTCTCTTCTTTCTGATGGCAAGCCTTCACTATTCCCCCACTAGACTCTCTCCACGTTGCTTGCATCTCTTGCAGCTGTCCTCACATGCCATATTCCCCACTGGACTGGTTTCCCACTGGGACGAACTCAACCCGTATCGACCCCGGAATTCCTACCCCGGATTTCATCTTCCGCTCTGCACATGTTTGTGCGTGTATGCGTATCCTGGGCAAAGAGCTGGGAACATGTGACGATGAATTTTTTGCGGTCCACGGCTAGACAGCCCGGAAGACTGGGTTGAGTGGACGATACCCCTCTGAGGGTGGCCCGGGAAGACCTTGGGCGAGGTGTCTGTCTCTACAATGTACACAGGTGCCTACAGATGTTCGGTGGGGTTTTGGGAATGCACAGTTCAAGGCACTTCTCGTCTCTAGACCCTGACTGATTGACTGATTGAGACTTCTTCCTGACCTTTGGCTTTTTTGTTTATAGAGAAGAGGAAACAAATACTCGTTTCCCTTGAATCGATATCGTCTCCTCACTTTGTGTCGCACTGGTCCTTTTATCTTCTCTTTATCACTATCAAGTCACTTGTTATCAGCTTCTTCCGTCAAACATGGGTTCTCTCGGTTCCTTCCAGCAGACCAAGTCGCTGGCCGACGTGAAAAACAAGAAACTACTACACTACAAGGGCTTCATTGACGGACAATGGGCCGATGCCGCCTCTGGGAAAACATTCGATTTGATCGATCCAGGCACAGGTAAAAGCACTACTTACCTTGACAGCCTCCGTTTCCTGTTTTTTTTTACGCGCGATGGCAGAATATGGCAGACCTAACAGCTTGTGTGATTTCAAGGCGAGAAACTGGCCACATTCCCTGAAATGGGCGCGGCGGATGTCGCTCGAGCGATCGATAGCGCCTCTAAAACCTTTGTCACCTGGAAAAACACGTCGGGCCGTGAGCGCGCGCGCATGCTGAGAAAGTGGAATGACCTGTGCCTGGAAAACACCGAGGACTTTGCCTTGATCATCACCCTGGAGACGGGTAAGCCGCTGTACGAGGCAAGGGCCGAAGTGATTTACGCGTGCAGCTTTCTCGAGTGGTTTGCGGGCGAGGCTGAGAGGTGCGATATGATCCCCCACGGAGCATGTGACGCATCAATAACCTACAATGCGGGTTGTGCTGACAGTTTGGGACCACCATTAGGACGCATGGTGAAAATATCCTTACCGCCAACAGGAAACAGCGACTCGTCACGATGAAGCAGCCCATTGGAGTGGTCGGTTGTCTGATGCCGTGGAACTACCCCATGGCCATGATTACCCGCAAAGCCAGCGCGGCCATCGCTGCCGGATGTACCACCATCTGGAAACCTGCAGGCGAAACACCTCTCTCCGCTGGCGCCATGGCCGTCCTTGCTATGGAGGCCGGCATCCCAGCCGGAGTGATCCAAATCATCACCAGTTTGACCACCGTCGCAGAGGTGGGCAAGGAGATTTGCACAAACAAGCTGGTGAAGAAGGTCAGCTTTACGGGCAGCACGAGAGTGGGGAGGTTGTTGATGGAGCAGTGCGCGCCGACGGTGAAGAAGCTGAGCTTGGAACTTGGGGGCAACAGTCCCTTTATTGTCTTTGACGATGCAGATGTCGATGTTGCCGTCGAGGCTGCCGTTATGGGTCAGCAGCACCAGCACCTTGCCCGTCATTTTCTGTTCAGAAATGCTAATTCCCCGGGATAGCCAAGTTCAGAAACACCGGTCAAACGTGCGTTGCCGCCAATCGAATCTTTGTGCAAGACGGCATCTATGACAGGTTCGCCAAAGCCTTGTCCAACACGATTTCGACTTTCAAGATCGGCCCGGGCACTCAGGTACCGCAGCCTGGTGTCATTTTTGATGAAGAAATGAAGTATACTGATGAGGATTGCAGGATGGTGTCTTTGTCGGACCATTGACTCACGAGAACGTACTGTCAAAAGTGCTGACTCACATTGAAGGTCTGGTCTCATTACACAAACACATGGTGACCACCAGAACTATGATGCTGACCTGGATTATGCAGAGGCCAAGAACAACGGTGGCAAGATCATCCTGGGCGGGAACCGAGTAGAGGGAACAAAAGGATACTATGTCCAGCCGACTATTATTGCAGGTCAGTTTCTCCATTGATACTGGGAGTAAACCTTCTGGGCCCTGGTCGAGATACTAACCAGACTGCCACCGCGAACAGATATGCCCCGCGGCACCATCACTGAGCGAGACGAGGTGTTCGGCCCCGTCATCCCCCTATACCGCTTCCACACCGAGGAGGAGGTCATCGAACTGGCCAACAACGTCGACGTCGGGCTCGGCGCCTTTGTCATGACGTCCAGCATGCCCCGACAATGGCGCGTGACAGAAGCTCTCGAGGCAAGTTGTTTCTTCCCCTCCCTCTACCAAGACGACTTCATTCTTTCCCCTTGTTGGATACTCTGCTGACAGCATATGACCTTTTGTCTATGTGTGTGTACAGGTCGGTGTCGTCGGCGTAAACATTGGTCTCCTCTCAGCCGCCGAAAATCCCTTTGGAGGCGTGAAGCAGTCCGGTTTTGGTAGGGAGGGTGGACGTCAAGGGATTGACGAGTACCTCGTTCTCAAGAGCATGTTTTTAAATGTTGCGAGTGGTTGAAGTCGAGTCTCAGGAGAGAGAATGGAGAGCCTGGAGCAGGCGATATATCTACATACCTACCCAGGGCCAAAGTATCCGTCACAAGTTCCTGTAGATATCTCTGTCAGAGCATAATATGTGAGGTGTTTGAGAATTCTTATACCTTGTTGATTGGGCGTTATGGTTTCTCTACGGGGTAATGTAGGTAATGTAGGATGCTTCTCGATACCAATAGAAATGCTAGGGTACCGAGTGCTCTCGGAAGAGAAAATGATCTGTGCAACTGAGCATATATCTCTTCATCATACACACTTTCTGACTACTGTGACTTTACTTCTGAACGCTGGACCAAAAGGCAGTACATGGTGATATCAAACATATTCTTTCGTTTATATGTCTCTATAGTCTCTCTACTCAAAACCCCCCTTTCAAAGTAGCCCCTCCAGCGGCAGCGTCAAACTCTGCGGCCTCGTTGATCCCGACGACCCTAAAAATATCGTAGATACCCCCGGCCTTGTCCTCCCTCTCGGTGACAAAGCCCGTGTCTCGCAGCTCGGTCATGGCGCGGCGGGTCGAGTTGTACACCTCGGTCAGCGACAGGATGGACCAGATGACGATCTTGAAGCCGATCTCCTTGGCTTCGGCGGCGGTGATGGCCGGGGTGACGCCGCCGTGGACGATGTTGAGCAGGCACGGGATCGGGTGGAGGGCCTTGACGGCGGCGCGGGCCTGTTCTTTCGACACGAGGCCCTCGAAGAAGGCGACGTCGGCGCCGGCCTCGTGCGCGGCCTTGAGGCGGCGGATCGCCTCGTCAAAGCCCAAAGACTGCAGCGAGTCGGTGCGCGCGATGATGACCAGGTCGCGGCCCGAGGCTTCGCGGGCCATGCTCGCGGCGCGGATGCGCGTCAGATACGTCTCCAGGGACACCAGCTCTTTGTTGCGCAGGTGGCCGCAGCGCTTGATGAAGGCCTGGTCCTCGATGTGCAGCGCGGCGACGTTGCCTTCGATGTACGTCTTGGCCGTGCGCGCCGCCGACAGCGACGAGCCGAAGCCCGTGTCGGCGTCGGCGATGACGGGCACCCTCCAGTCCAACCCGGCGATCATGCTGGCGTTGGCCGCCATCTCGACCATGTTGATGATGCCCAGGTCTGGCGAGCCCGTGCGCGACGCCGCCGTGCCCGCGCCCGTCATGTACAGCGCGTCGAAGCCAATGTCCAGGGCGATGCGGGCCGTGTAGCCGTCGAAGACGCCCGGGCAGACAACGATCTTGTCCGGGTCGTTGATCATTTCGCGGAGGATGGTGGCGGCCTGTCGAAATGGCTTTTTGCCGTCGCCGCTCTGCCTAGTCGTCCAGGCCATGGTTGGCGTCGAGCGTGTGAATAGTTTTTACGGGGAAGAGACGTAAAGTATACGGGAAGTGTCCAGACCAACCAGTCCTCAGATACTCAGAAGCATTCAATTTCTCGTTCCAAAGACTTTGGATCACGAGCGTTCAGCACGACACACGACACGACGCGATCGATACACGCAAAATGAGTCCCTCCAGTTCTCTATCTACAATAAAGAGTAGTCGACCAGGTGACCCTGTGCGCGACTGATTTTATGCAACCTGTACCCAACTACTCGGTTCTCCATCTCCTCCTCTTAACTCTGTAATTTTGTACAACGATCCGTGATTCGCAAATGCAAACGTAAACCGCAAACCGTAAACGCCGGAATAAGCGACTTTGTAAACAACACTCACTCTTCTCTCTCTCCCCCCTCATCCCCACTGAGTGGGAAAAGGAGGAGTCGAGTGGGGGGAGAAAAAACGACGGGCACAACGGCCAATACCGTGGCTTGCAGATCCTAGATCCCGGCATAAGCGAGGCGCGAAGCTAGGATGCGCTTGAAAGGAAAACCCCTCCGATACTGGCGCAGATCGTTAGAGGAGCGATCGGATGGTGCGAAGACGGATGGACCCTTGCGATTTCGGGGGTTAGGGCCTCTTGGGGCCGGCTATTGAGAGGGCCGATCGGAGGTTGAGAGCCAAGTGGCACCTTGGGGACGGTGGAATAGGCTGGGATGGGATGTTGTGCTTGTGGTGGATAGACTTGGATGCCGGGCCAGTAGCAAACAACCTCGACAGTTTGAGACTTGAACGGATTGTTCTGATCTACCTCTACCTCTGCCTCTGCCTCTGCTTTTGAAAGGGGGGCAAAGGGACGTTTTATATACCTCGTACTCAAAGCTTCATTGCTATTTTGGTATTTGAGAGGCTTTGCTCTGCTAACCAGGATTCTTCTTTCCATTCTGTATCGAATCAAGTCGCCTGACTCCCTAGGAGTACATGGTCATCCCCCAGCGACTCGATAGGCTCCATAGTGCTCGCACCAAACCATTCCGAAGACACACCACTGTTTTCCAGCCCGAACAACACACCGAGACCAGAGACCAGAGGCCAGAGCTTCAAGTCCTGTCCCATTCACGCATCTGGACTGTCCTCCGTCTTCTTCAAGGCCCGAAGAGCAAGTTCGGCAATCAACCGCCCTGCCTGGTCCGCCGTCATATTGTTCTGGAACCCGATCTGTCGCAAACTGCCCCCGTTCACCAATCGTTCCGCCATCGCTCTAGCAAGCTTTGTACGAGCCTCGATGACTTTGTCGTCCTGTACGCCTTTGCCTTTGCCTTTGTCAAGCGGGAATTTGGGCAAGTCAAACAAGTTGGCAGCCTTTGTGAGCACGCACGGTAAGAAATTAGCAATCGCGGGCACAACAAAACGCTCTGTGGCTTTTTGAGGGCATTTACCTTTTCAGCGGGTTGCGACGCGTTGTTGGAATCCATTCTTGAGCTGAACGGGAGAGATTATTCTGAGTGACTGAAGGTATTTGAGTGATTTGGGTATGCGTAACTGCGTGTGTTTGCGTGTTTGTGTGTGCGAATTTTGTCTTGAATTAACCAGAGGAAAGAGATCCAGAGGAGGCTTTTCAAGGGAGAAATGGTCTGCTTTGACGTGTGACGGCGACCTTCTTGACAAGAATGTTCATTCACCGACGACTTGGATGTGATTGTTTACTGCGTCCTCCCGCAGGCCATGGTGGGCGCGGTATCGGGCTGTCTTCCTCCCACTCTCTCACAGCAATGGTATTTTCTACGAAGCGAGCAACTGGCTCCCTTTGGCTCCACTGAACATCTATCAGATATAACCCTTTGTCTATCTCTCATCACCTTCTTTATTTCTACTCCGTTGATGCTAACAAGAGGGCGACAATGGTGGTGACAACGTGCTTTGTTGCCGAAGTAGGAAAGAAAACCAGATAAAGACATGGATGGTATACTATCGTTCTGCCATGGGAGAGTCTGGAGAAGAACACCAATCCACCCAGAACGACTCGTTGGAACTCCGTCAAAAGCTTCTCCAGTAAGTAGGTATCTTGCCCACCGTGTCGATCGTGTCGTACATGCCACCGTCAAGCGTGCAAAACCTATCGAGGCATCGAAGTGGCTGCCTTTACCCTGGATCTTTCCTTTCTCAACAATCCTCAACTAAACACCGCTCATTCGATAAAGGATGAACTGCCTCCAGGCTGTGCAAGGCAGTACATGCATGTCCACTGCCTCACGGCAGGTCTCCTCACTATTCATGTCAGAATGCATAAATATTCGTTGTCAAAACATTCTCAACACTGTACTTCCTCGCCACATGACGGCACAGATAATCAGCAATCAACTCGTCCATCTCCTGATTAGAATCTCCCCAAGCTCGACATAGGTCACCAATGACAGACCAGAAGGATCCAACGGCGATATCGGCCAAGGACAGCAACAACCCAGCCATGACCGATACCATCACGGCCTCAGGGCAAGCAGATCCGAAGGCAAGTGCGGTATCCTCACCAGCGTCGTCAGACGTGCCAGGAGGGGTGGCAACTCCAAGACGATTCATCCGATCGTTAACATCCAGGAAGTCATTCAACGTCGCATCAGATCCGTCTCTTGTGCCCGCGCCCCTCACTATTAGAAAGCAAGCCCGAAACGTCTCGGCCCCTGCATCCCTCCCGAGCAGCGACAGTGCGACCGCAGACGCCGCCCATCAGGCCGAGCGCCATGGTCATGATCCCACCAAGCCGGAACCAGGGTCCAGCAGCAGCAGCAATCCAGGCAGTATTTGTCACCACTTTCGCAACCGACCCCGCTCGCACCAGCACGCGATCCTCGCCGCCGTGACCAGAATGGTCGCCAACGGCGAGGCCGAGGTGGCTGAAATTGCCGCGGTTTTGGACATGGAACCGAGCGAGCTGGTCCAGTACATTGCGGATTTTGAGGCGTTGGCCCGAGAGGCTCCGAGCGTGGTGGACGAAGAGATCACGGCGTTCTATTCGTCGATTCCTGCCACAGTGCTGAGCGAGAGCGAGGTGGACGAGCTCTGCGGCGGCACGCCTCTGGGATATGTCGAGACGAACGAAGCTGGCGTTGTTGCTTTGACAGGGAAAGAGACAGGGATGGAGCCGGTCACGCACGAAGGGGACGACCTATCGGATGATGGGAGCGAGAGCACCATCCGCGCGAGGCGCTTGTCCTGGGTAAGTAGCGACGACGACGATGACGGCGCCGAAGTATACTACGACGCACAGGAATATCCCGACGAGAGCCCAAGTCCAAGCCGCGTGCCACCACCACTCTACACTGTTCTATGGAGTAGCGACCACGACCACGCTGACAGAACCGTCCACTCCCACTACCTGACACCAGGCCGCCAGGTACTTGAACTTCAACACCGTCGACTCCCCATTCCTGATACCACCACCACAACCACCACTACCGCAATCGTCCTCTCCGTCGTCCTACCCGTTCCAGACCCAGCAGCACCTCGTACGGCTCCACCACCGCCACCGCAGAAATCGCTCCTCCAGAGAATCATCTCCAAGGTCCCGAACATCGTGTGGATGGGTCTGGCCGTGCTGGTCGGGAGATTTCTGGGCGTTGCGCTGTCCGAGGCGACTTCGCCGCATCGTGGATATGGGTACATGCACTCGTATTACTAGCGAGAAGCGATGAAATGACAAGGCTACGAGGGGATAATGGATTAATGGATAATGGAAAAGTGGATCTTTGTTCGGACGAGGAGGTACGATAAAAGAAAAAAAAAGCCTACGAAGAAGGAAAAAAAGACGAAAAATGCCAAAATAAAGTAACATCAAACAAAATACAAAGAAATACAAAGCATACAGTCAGTCAGTCAGTCTACTCTACTCTACTCTACTTGTAGCCGCAACATCGTATCTATAAAATTTTTCAGGGGTGTGAGTACATTACGCACACCAGGACAAATACATCCACACAACACACATACATATATACCTAGGTACATACTCAACACGTATTGAAGAACGAGGCACACACACGAGGTGAGCCTGAAAAAAAAAGGCGATCAAGTCAGATCACGTGTATCCGCTGCCCCCCTGAGGCTCTGGCGAGGCTGGAATGCGTCAGGGGCGCACATTCCACGCCTCCCAACCTCTACATATCAGTGTCAAAAAGATCATCCTTCACATCCGCAATAGTAGAAATACCGGGCCTACCGAGGTACGTACGTAGGCAGACAACATGCATGTAGATCTGCACTTTCCTTCACGTCACTTCATGTCGCTTCACTTATTTTACCCTACGCTGCACTACCACGTCAACTCGGCGTACAGGGTATGTACTAATGTATGTACGCACTACGTGTCGGAGATGGCCCTCTACTGAATACACTAGACGGCATATTACCCATCACCGTCGAGGTCAGGAATAGTCTAGAGATGTGGATAAAGCTGTGTTATTTTGCTTTTATGCTTACATCCAAATCTGTGCGAATGTCGTTGATGTCATGTAGAGCAATGTTTGGATTCTTTGCATGTCGTCTGGTGTCAAATGCACTCTGGTTCCCCCTCAGCCCGAACCGCCTCCTCTGATCAAGTGCTCCATGTATGTGGTGATGATACACTTGCCAAGCTCGGAATAGAAGACTGTAAATGTCCCTCATCCCATCAGTCTGTAACGTGGAAACAGTGAAACTCGTCCCGAGCTAGCCAATCGCGTGTCGTCTGATAGGGCAATTATCATCATAACACCACCCAAGTGTCATTGGTATCTCAAGCCATCCGAGCTACAATCGCCCTCGTTAAGCACCGAGACCTTGACCTCGTCGTTAGGTCAGTACCCGTCCATCATTTGCTCAGTCTTCCTGATCACACCACTGAATCGTCCTGTACCGCCTTCACTCTGTCCATCTTCGACAGCGGCCCATCGCTCAAGATTATTGGGCCAGCCAAACGTCATCTGCCACGCCTCCTCGAGGACCCGCTTTTCGATCGGATGGATGCACTGAGTCAATGCTCCCAGCCAAGGGTATTGCTCGCCGCTTACCGAGGCATCCTCGATCATGATCTCATCCGCGTCCGTGATATCCGAGTTTGCCCTTATCCGAAAGCCCTTTTCAGGATCAAATTCGAATAGTATTGGCGGGACAAATCGTGCCTTGCGAACGCACAGAGCGTCGTCCATGCTCGGCTCGGCGCGGACAACGGCTGCGTTTTGATTAAAGTCCGCCGCCTGTCTCTTTGGAACTGAGATCTTCACGTAGCCACAGCTGTTGAGAATGATTTGTTGGATGTGTCCACGGAATGTTGCCTGAGGCATCGGGTGAACTTTTCTGTCAACAAGGCCCGCGTCATACTTGTGTGCAAGCAGTGTCTTTCCCGGCGTAATGGCATCAAGGACTTGGACCCAAGAAGCACCGGTGGGCAAAATCTCTTGAGTCCAGTCTTCTCGAGGATGAAGACAGTGAAGACGACCCATCATATTCCACGTGGGCGCGGTGATATCACCATCATGATGCGCGGTCATGCTGACCGAGTCAAGGCTCAAGGAATGGAGGCTTGTGTCGCGGCTGTCCTTCATGAATCCCCGAAGCATCGATGGCGTGAACCAACAGTTTTGAAATTTGAGCTCTCTCACGTGGTCGAATTTTGTAATCAGGACGCCTTGCTTTTTACTAGCATTGTCAAACAGCCAATCTCCGGGATTGTCGACAATTGGCGCAGGCAAGACGTGCTTATTACGGGCAAACATGCCAACAGCATGTTCTCCACCCCCGGTGTAACCAATAGTCAGACTGTGTAGATTCTCCATCTTGACAATGTATCTCCTCAGGAATTTGGTGAACTTCTCGGCAGCTTTAGATGGCAAGATCGTCATGTGCCTTGCAAATAGTCGATCCCCCGTCACGTGCTCCTGACGCCAGTCGGGGCTGATAAGGACCTCCAACGTCGTTAGTCCAGACAAGCTCTTCCAGAACTCTTCCAGTTCTAATGATGGAAGGAGTCCAGACGACAGTTTGCTGATCCGCAGGGTATGTATCGACTTGAAGTTCTGCTTTTGTGTGATAATCGCCGTCGTGTAGGCTGACAGGAAAGCACGCTGCGCCCATACAGTCTCCATTAACCATTGCGCTTGCGGCTCCGTCAGCATGCCTGGTAGAAGTGGAGATGCACCCGGATTAGCCGTTTTGCTTTGGATAAATGTACAGTGACCACCATGCTCAGCAGCAAGATTGTGACCACTGAAGATTAATGGCCACTGAGGTAGTTTTCTTCCTCCTTTCCGCGCATGTGCCAACAGTTGCCGCTGGATCGCAACCTGATGGGCCTGCGAAAAGTTGGGGATATCGCCATTTGCATCCATCAGAGCTTCCACTCCAGGAACTGGGCTCCCTCCTACATGGCATTCAGGGTCGTAATCGAATTGCTCGTCCTGACGTCTGAAACTCTCAATGTCTCGGATTTTGAGTCCTTCCAAGAAGCGAATTTCTCTGGCAGCGATCTCTGGGGAAGGCTGTTTCGCCATGAGTGCCTTGATGGTTCCATTGATAGTACTCTGTTGAGCCCATCTAAAATATTCATTACGAGCAAATGTAACCCAAACGTCTTCGGTTGGGAACGTCTTCCCAAAAACTTTGGACCCCTTCGTAGTTCGTCGGTTGAAAAGGGCCATATCGGAGATGTCAGGACCTTCAAGCCAGCCGTGGCCACTGTCGATACATAATCCAAGTTCTGAGGCCTTTGTTATGTGGCTAAGCGCTTCTTTGAGCAATGGACGGTTATGGTCGACCAGGTCCTCGATTGCCTGCAGTTCTGGAAAGCGTGGATACTGTTCAGTAGGCCATGTGAACTTGCCGAACCATGCGACTTGTTCCTTTTCAATGGTTTTCGTCTTAGCACGTGACAAGCCTTGCAGATCGTACTCGAATGACACGCCAAATTTGTTTATATTCACGCCATACTTCTTGAACATCGAGTCAGAGGGGAGGAGCCCCAACCTGCTATTCCAGTCGCTGCTGCCTGCGTCGAAAAAGTGTCTATCAAAGTTGACCACAACATTCCTGAACTGAATTGGAGCTATGGCTCGTGCGAGAGACTTGCTGACCAGTCGGAGATTTCTCACATCTTGCGTGGAGAGATAGCTGGTAACTTCTGTCCACAGATCGGAATCAATCTTTTGTAGGACGCTGGATTCTGGCTTGAGAGGTTTGACGGCTTTAAATGAGCGTGCTCTAGTCGAACTTGTTGATATCGGAGACAGGCTAGGAGGTATCGAGGGTTTCCAGAGGCGGGGATACTGTTTTTCGGGGACTGGATCGGGAACGTCCTCCAGACTCTCGGCTGGGTGAAGGATATCGTCAATGGTGAACGCAAGTCGTGATCCCCTCCTGGCAGCGATAGCCGCGTAAAGGGGTGTCCTTTCGGCATGGCTTAAACGCGTTCGTTCTTGTGGCTCAGCCGGACTGTTCCCTACCCAATCGTTCCCAGCAGAACTGTTTCGCTTCGCATGCCTCACCTGGTCCACAAACTGCTTCTTTTCGCTTGGTGGTATGGTTTCGGGAATAAGGCTCGAATATTTGAAAGAAACGAGTGGTGAAGATTGGTCCTCCGACCCAGATTGGACGACGTCGTTACTCGCAGGGGGTTCCTTCAATGAAGCCTGGCGGTCCTGGACACAATGAACAGAACTGTGAGATGATGCTTGAAGAACTTTGTTGCCCGTGGGCTCCTGCGCACGCGAAGAGGGAAGACAGCCTACGGACAAGGTAGGATCGTTCTCGGACTGGGAAATTGGATGAGACGCCGGAGTTCCCTCGTGCTGGAGGGTGCCAGGATGATGAGCCTCCGCACGAGATGCTGAGATGTCAGTCCTCATCACAGCTGATGAGCCCGAGAGTGAGAGGGCCTTGGAGTGTCTTCTCTGACGCAGCCTTGCGCGCAAGGGGCTAATAGAATCTTCGTGAGCCGTGTTTCTGACAGCCATTCTCTTGCTTTTGGTGTGCTCTTCGAACGTAGTTGCCCTAGAGGGACTCGTGCCGCTCGGTAACGAAGTGGGGGCATCTTCTGGATGGGAATTTTGCTGAGGTAGGTCTGACAGGAATGGGATTGGTAGTGTTGGCTGAAAGAGCGTAGCCTTTTTCTGATCACTTGCAACTTGGCTCGCCTGGTTGAGAGAGCTTTTGCGAGCCAGGCGTTGCGATCGTCGAGTTGCCAACGCCCCAGCAGGAGGGCGACCGTTGACTTGCTCAGTGAGCTCTGGAGTAGCAGATGGTGAGAAGAGGCCATGCGTAGTTGACGGAGCACTGCTGGGATGAAGCAGGCCAGATGCCTTGTGTTCCAGCGTCTCCTTCTGTTTCCCCTTCCCTTTCCCTTTAGCCGTTTTGGTGTCCCGTTCACGCCTCAGCTTGTCCACCTCTGCCCGCAGATATTCAACCAGGGTATCAGGACCAAAGTCGGTCGTAAAGGGAAGGTGGGCAGGGTCGGCTTCGGTTTCAGCGAGGCAGTCTTTCTTCTTGACGGCTTTGGCAGCGGAGGAGGCCCGGCGCTCAGTGCGAGCGAGCAGAGAAGTGAAATCATCTGTTTCTCCCTCTGCAACCTGCAAAGCAGGGGCGTGTTCGCCGTCTCCCGATTCATTCAATCGCGGAGGGTGTCGGAGGCTCATTGTTGCGGCAGATCGAGAGCACAAAGAGCACGGACGAAGAGACGGGCATTGGTGTTATTTAGGCATGTCGCTCCGAGGAAATCAATAAGGCAGGTCCCAGTAACATAGACAAATCAACCCTGTAAGAAAAAACTTAACAGTCACCAAAGCCAAGTGAATGAATTGTGGTAGAATAGGTTGCTCTTTTTTCTCCAACCACATCCACGTCTTTGCAACCACGCGGTTGTCGACGGGCAGAATGCGCCCCGCACATGCTACGGAATAATAATTTACCATCCCCAGCCTTGGCGCATCCCAGCCTCAAGTGTAATCCTCGACATTGAATTGGACGACGCCGATCTTGTCCAGGCTTCGTATACAAAGCATCTCGAACTAAGCTCTCACTCGTATTCAACCTTGTACTGTAATCTCTATCGAGCCAGGCAAGCTTAATCAAGCAGACTTCTATCCTGGATATCAAGGCCTTGTCTCCTTTCCTAGTCGAAGTAGCATTCCGAGTTCCCCATGTATGCATTCTTCTCTTCTCCACTGGTAGCACGATACCACGACTGCAGCAGCATATCTCGGTAATAACGGACTTTGTCTGTCCTTGAAGCCAGGCGTGCAACGCTGCGCTTCAATATAAATGCATGCGTCCGTCTCTTCTCAACTTCCTCTCGCAAAATGCACGAAGGCGGAGGCTACAACGGTGGGCTACAAAAGTGACCAAGCAAGATCAGACTTCGATTTTGGACCCTTCTCACTCCGACGATAGTAATTTCTTTGCAATCAGTATCTAGCCATGCCGCACTCGAACATTGCAGCACTCCTCCCGTCTCCCAAAGCACCTGCTCTCACCGTCTCTCCTGCCCCCTACTCACCTCCGTCTCCTGGCGAAGTGGTTATCAGAGCTCACTCCGTGGCAATAAACCCTGCCGACTGGGCAATCCAACGGCTCGGTATCCTCATCTCAGAAGAAGACGGCTACCCATGTATCCTCGGATGCGACGTTGCTGGGGAGGTGGTTGAGCTTCCCCAGGAAGGACAAGCAGACGAACGCGTCTCTAAACTTAGGATTGGCGATCGTGTAATCGGCCAAACATCGCCACTAAGGGTCAAAGATTGGAAAGACTCGGAGCTCAATGAGGATGACCTCGAACAATGGCGCGGGAAAAAGGTGTACGCCTACTCTTCCTTCCAAACGTACGTGGTTCTTCCTTCGCCGTTCGTGGCAAAGATCCCCGACAGCATGACCTACGAAGAGGCGGCCGTATTGCCGCTCGGCGTGACCACCGCCGCAAGTTGCCTTTTCCCAGAGGTGATGCTGGGATTGGACATGCCTCCCATGAAAGGCACAGCCGTGAAGAACAGCAAGACCCTCGTGGTCTGGGGAGCCTCATCAAGCGTGGGCTCCTGCGGCGTCCAACTCGCCGCGCTGGCGGGCTACACGGTTGTCGGTGTCTGTTCGCAGAGAAATCATGACATGGTCAGGTCGCTGGGCGCGGAGGAATGTTTCGACCAAGGAGATCCAAACATCGTCGAGTCTGTGATCTCATACCTCAAGAGTCAAGGCCAAGAGGTAGTTGGGGCGTACGACGCCATCTCCACGTCTCCGACCCTGCAACCTCTCTGTGAGATACTTCACGGATGTGGTGGTCGCAAGTTCATTGCCTCGGTCTTCCCAGGCGCCGAACAGCACGCCAAACACGACGTGTCGATTGTGACCAACCTGGCAACGGTGGGTGACTTTGCCACTGGTCTCGCGCCAGCGATATGGAGTTGGCTCGAGACCGCCTTGGAAGACCACCGGATGCAATGCATGCCTCCGCCTGAGCTTATGGGAACAGGGCTGGAGAGTGTCCAGGCAGCAATGGACGAATTGGCCGGGGGAACTGTGAGCGGAAGGAAATTAGTGGTCCGTCTTTAAGCGTGATCGAGATACAGCACGTTGCACCACGAGAGGCTAGAAAACACATATCTAGAAGAGAGCAGGAGTGACCCAAACTCAAGACGAGGATAAGAAGAGAATGAATCCCCAGGTATTCTGGAATGGGGGCAGCGCAGGGGGTGGGGGAGCAACGCAAACAGAAATTTGTTGACATCTGTGAGACCCCCGCTGCACGCAAGCACGTCTAGGGTTCTACACTGACGCAGTTAATCACAAAAAGTTACTAGCCCACAGAGTTTCATATCATCTTTTCTCATTCGTATGCTGTCTTTCAATGCTAAAGCAGAGCACAAGAGCAACTCCAAACTTGCAGCCATAGGGTATCTCTATGCACATCGAAACTTCCAGCCAACACCATATCATGAAGCTCAAGCCATAACAGCAACTAATGCTTGGTAGAATCCCATATGCTCGTAATCATGCTAGTTCACTCGTGCATGAGTTCCACCACCCATTGTCCAATAGATGCACAAAAAATCAACGCTAGTGCCCGCGATCGTCGTTTCCTAACGATTCTGCATTCCTTTGTTGCTTTCGATTCGATGCTCTCGAAGGTCATCTTGTCCGAATGACACAATACTTCAAGTCTCGAACAGAAGCAAGGTCTGACCGAATAGGTTCACATGATCTTGGCCGAGGGCCTCGGGCGTTCCGTCAACATTAACCATGTTCACTGAAGCCTTCGTTGTTAGACCATACAAGCTGAGATTGGATGAGCATTGAATGTCGACCATGTTTTCTTGACATGACTCTGTATCCAAGCATGTTTGGAGATAATTGTCAAAGAAGCTGTAGAGCCCTGCACCATACATGTGAAGACCACTTGAGTCCACGATCCGCAAGCCCCAGGCCTTCTTGCACGAGTCAGTGGTGCAGTCGGCAAAAGTAGGATCTGAGAATGCCGAATTTGGTGGAAACCCTCCTTCCAAGGCGTTGGGAGTAGCTTGCATATAGGGCGTTTCTGTTTGAATCGCACCCATGAAGATATCCCGAGCACTGGAAAATTGATAGTTGTAAAGCTGATTGTGCTCTGATGACGTTCCGTACAGCCAGACAGGACCTTGGCTCTCAACCAACAATCCACGACCGTTGTAAATATTGGTCTGGTTGTGGGCGGTAATGTCAAGCTCATGGTCAGCTACCCAGAACCAGCAGTTCTCCAAATAGGCGGAGGCTTGCTGAGTGATGTGCATCAGTAAGAAGGACCCTGCACACTGGGGCTTGAATTCAAAAGAGCCAGTGATGTTAGCCTGGCATGTATCTTGCTGCAGCTGAGTTCCTGCAGTCCCTCCGATCCGGAAGTGGACATCCCACATGCCACAAGAACCCTGGGACGCTTCTGCAACATTCCACTGCATCATGATAGCACCAGGAGCGGGCCCAAGAGTCTCGAAAACGAGGTCCGTTATCTCCACAGAACCGACATCTCCTTCAGTTCCGACTTGAAAGACGGGCTTGGGGTTGCTGACATCTGAGAACGCCGAACCTTGAGCCATAATAAGAGGCCAGATTTCTCCTGTGATGCGGATGTTGGAGGGGACCATGACTGTATTGCTAATGACATAGGCGCCGTGGTCGAAGTACACGACCTGGTCGGGAGTGGCATTATTGAAAATGTTTTGAATTGCTGCAGTGTCGTCAGTTACGCCGTCGCCTTTGGCTCCCGCCGATTTGACGCTGACAAAGGACGACACCGGGACGTCTTGGTATTGAGGCTTGGAGCGCTCAAAAACCTTATTCCCGTTCATCAGAGACGAGGCCATGCTGGGAGCAGTCAGCGGTTGTTGAACACGTGCCGATTTCAACGACACCGGGGTTGGAGAGCATGTGCCAGGAGTTGATCCAGATAACAGTGTAGGCTGAGATCGTGTAGCATTGGCCGACAAGCTTGAGGAAGCGTTGCCAGCAGCTGTCGGAGACGCAGTGACATAGACAGTGGTGGTTGTGAGCAATATGCCACTGGGTGGTGGTATGGCCGAAACGGTGAGTGTACTGGTAGTCGTCGAGTAGTACGAGATTGACGGAGGCTGGAAAGACAAAGGCCCAAGTTGCGGTTCTCTCTTGACGTTTTGAGACGATCCACTCGCAGGAGTATAAGAGTCACCTTGACCCCAAGATTCCACAACAAAGCCGCCAGCCAGGATGGGAGTGGTCCCGTCTGCACCAACAATAGCCGTCTGAACCCCAGTGAAGTCGACATTCTGCAAAGCCAAGGTCCCTCCAGTAGTGGGCTGGCTACTCATATTGTACGAGGTTTTTATACCAATTGGAGTGCCAGTCATGGCACTGTCAAGAAGAATCACAGATCCAACAGTCTGGTTAACTCCATTGTTCAAGTTCGACATGTCGATGCCGACGTCGCATTGGTTGATTGTCACGGACTTCAAAGTCCACAACCAGTTCCAATTCATGAAAATGGCAGTGTTGCACCCGTTGAAGGTCATGTTGCGCGTGGTAAACTGTTGGTTGCCTAAGAAAGCGCCGTAATTGCCACCATTGAATACAAGATCCGACATGAAGCCTCCGGAGCCGTTGTCCATGAAAATCCCTTGCTGTTTATTGGTGGGGCTCTTTGGGCGCATATTGAACACAATATTTTGAAGACTGGTGGCTTGTGCAACCTGCCAATGAATGCCCGCTCCCTGGTCTTCTGGCATCTGGGAGATATCGACAATGAAGTTGCGTATCTGTCGATAGAAATTGTTTTGATTTGTATACCACTGAGCACCATTGCCACCTGGGATGTAAGGATCGGTATCGAGTACAGCCAGGCCTTTGAAGCTAGGTAGGGCAAGGACAGTGGGAATATTGACCGCATCACCGACAAATTGGGTGTAGTAGAGCTGAATGATGGGAGCTGAGACAGCGTAGGTACCAGGTGGAAAATAGACGAGTGCAGGGGCAGTGGTAGAGCTATCGCAGCCTTGTCCGCATCGCGACCCATCGGTAATGGCATTGTTGATGGCAGTGGTGTCATCGGTCACACCGTCGCCAACTGCGCCATAGTCTTTGACATTACGGAAGATCTTGTAGCCGGGGCTGGAGTCGTAAGCCACGGTGCCTTGTCGCTGGATCTGGGAGAGCCAATACGAGGACGCCGCTTGTCGAGATTCGATGGGGACGCGTGTCGGGATGGCCCTGGCCAGCCAGGCTAGGAGAATGAGTAGGAAGGGGAACAGCATGTTTGGCGTCGATATTGAGGCGATTCTTTTGCTGTGACAAATTTGAGAAGTAGTGGTTTCGAAAAAGTCCTAGGACTGAGTGGGAATTCTTTATAACGTTGGAGGTGACCAGCACCAGACAAACGAGGTCGAGGCAGTTGTGAAAGGCAGCGATCACCGGGTCGGCGGCTTCAACACGCGTTTCAACAGTGGTGACAAGGGTGTAGTAAATTGTGGAATTGGTCGTGTGAACTGTGCACCGGAGAACGGAAGGCAGGATAAAGAGGCAGGCACGGGTTCAGTCGTGCAAGTGACGAAGGGGTTTTGAATAGTGATGAATCAGAGTGAGAGGGACAATTGATAACGGACAATCGTAACTGCGTTCTCACGCGTAAACAGACAATTGTTGTTGCAGAGGGTCCGGTAGCGACAACGAGGGAGTCTGTGAGAAGGGCAATTCTTCCGAGGCCTTTCTCTCTCTCTTTCTTCCTCCTTCTTTCTCTTCTCGAATGAGTGACAAAGATGTCCTCGACCCACAAGAACCGACTTGAATGAAACAAAGCAAAATGACGAAGAAATCCGAAGAGAACCGAGCGAATGAATCAAAGAAATGGTAAGGGACAACGAGCGCACCCTTGGAATCTGCTGAAAGAGCGACAGACAGAATGAGAAGAGAAGGACTTTGGTGTTGATGATATGCGCTGGCAGGCGTTTGTTCGCACAACTCGCACGCGCACAGCACAACGCAGCAGGAACACAAGAAGATGGCAGTCTCACAGAGAATCCCGGCTTTCTTTTCAACCCTGTTTGACCTCTGCAGTCAGTCTAGCGGTGTCGATCACTTGTACGTACTCGGTACTCTGTGCACGACGTCAGCCAGCCAGCCAGCTGCTTTGGGTGTGTTAGTTGCTCTTTGTCCCAATTTCGCAACACGCCGTTTTGACCCATCTTTCGGTGGACTCCTGCTGTCCTTTTTATTTCCCTTCTGCTCGCTGAACAAAGGGGTACCAAGCAGGAAGCCAGTGTCTCCGATCTTTCACTGCCGACATTACCTCCTGGACCAGCTGTCCCGGTGAAGCTAGGTCAATTCGCGCCGCTCCGCCTGGAAGCAACCGCGTGGTAGGGGATCCAAAAACAAGCAACTCTGGACCACCCGAGACATCTCATTCGTTGGACACGGCGATCCTGCAAGCTCCTTAATCCGCATAGAGCTTCCTCTCCACTCTCTGAGTTATGAACTCGGAAAGGTGGCGCAGGCGAAGGAAAATCTGTCGAGAAAGAAGGAGGAAGATGACACGAAGCGAAGGGGGTTCGAGATGCCAGCAAATTGGCCGATGACATCTTCTCCGATTGGCGGAATCAGCGCCAGGGGTATGAAACCTTCGAAACGTGCTAGGTTTGACAAATGGAGCACTTCGGGTAGTGGGAGTGGCGCTGTCGAGGCTTGACTGTGTGGCTGGCCATTGCTTCGACATGCTGCAACCTGCGCAAGCAGGAAGAATGTGAAGAAATTACTGGGCTGCTGGGATAATTGGCCAAAGGACCAGGTACGGCAACGATAAAACAGGGATCAGAGCCAAGTTGGATATTTGACTGGTTGGCTACCCCGAGCACTGACAAGTCATATTCTCATATTCCTCATCAGAATTCACGTCCAATGTCACCCCAGCTCATCCTCTACCAGACCTCATTGCTTCTAACTCGGTTTCAATCACCCCGGCCAATCGAACGATACCCTCCTCGATTACATCCAAGTCTTCCCAGGCATAGCACAAACGGAGATCCTGTTCAAACCGCGCTTCCTTGATTTTTCCATCTCCGTCCACCTTGAACATAGGTCCCGCAATTACAGTCAAGTTCGCTTCTTCCAACGCTCGTTTGTAGATGAGCGTCGAATCCAAATGGGCAGGCAGGGTCAACCAGATGAAGTAGCCTCCAGCAACATCCTTATCCGCCTGAGGCACAGTCACGCCCATTGGTAATAGGTGTTGCTCGACTGCTCGCATCATCAAATGGTATCGTTGCGCATATGCTGGCTGCAATTCCTGTAGGATGTGGTTTTGCAAAACTCCAGTGGACATCATCTGGGAAATGAAGGAAGCAGCCAGATGGGAAGGCGCACCTCCCGAGCGACTTGAACCCGTTTGTGACAACCCATAGACGAACGCGGGAGTCCCTTCAGCCCACCCTGTTCGACAACCGGGCCCAATAATTTTGCTAAAGCTCCCATTACTCACCGCATGCCCATATTCGTCGACTACTCCGCCATCCAATTCTCGGTCAACATCAACTATCCGTGGCAGGACGGCTGTATCCATCCTATGTGAGCCCGCCTTGGGGTCAGAGGGCCACTGAAGCATGTCGTAGACGTCGTCAGTGACAATGAGAGCGTCGTAGTGCCGTGCCAGACGAACAAGGGCTCGGCGACGCTCAAGACTCATGATTCGACCTGAAGGATTAGAGAATGTTGGTACTGCGTAGATGACGTGCTTATATATCTTTCTCCACGGCTTAGGCGACTTGAATCGGGGCGATGAATTGTTTTCAGCCATTGCGCGCGCCTCGCTCTCGTGAATGGCTCGCTGGAGGTATTCGATGTCGATACCTTCGGCATCCTCGGGTACAGCCTTTAACCTGTTGTCAAAACCAGAGTCGTTGAAGATCCTGCAAGCCAAATAATAAGTCGGTGCCACCATCCAGACATTGCGAGTATAGACTGGGTCAGTGAACGTCTGCAAAACGCAGGCTAGATTCTGGCTGGCACCGCCACTAATGCATATTCTCTCGCTTGAGATTATATCCTTTGGTCTGTAGAAATTATTGAGCCATTTGGCAATTTCCCCCCTGAGCGGCTGGTAGCCTTCGTCTGGACCATAAAACAATACATCCGAGTTGGCGGGATCGGATAATATACGCTTCGAAGCCTGCTCCAGCTGATGGAGCGGCAGGAGGCTCGTGTTTGGCCAGCCCTTGAGGAAATCAATATGCCTGGTTTTGGGTACCTTGGGAGGATGCGCGCGGGGACTGGCCCTTAATGTCATATTGGGCGCTATCGACACGGGATGTGCCCGGAGATGCAGGTTCAGTGGTTTCGCCAGCTGTCGACAATAATAACTCCACATGCGTTTCTGAGCCCAAGAAGATTATTATGTCCGCATTTAAACACACCGAGATAGGTGCACGCGGTGCGTAATCCCTCTGCACATGGTCAGCAAGTCGAGGTCAGAATTTTCCTTTGCTGCTTAAAGCCAATGATCCCGTCAAGGTGACCCTGTCCCCATTGGTGTCCCCATTGGTGTCTCGCTAAGGTTGAACGTTAGTGGTAGCTCAAGCATCGCCTGCAGTGGATGGTCCCTTGATCTAGGCGACAAAGGGCAAAGGTTGCCACTGAAAACTGGAGATGTCGACGTCAACGTCAACGGTAGAGGTTGAAAAGCGAGCGTGGGTGACGCAGGCACATTGTCTCTTCTAACCAACAGATCCAAAAGGATGGCAGAAGCGGTCGAATTCCAACAATCGATGGGGGCACAACATGCGACGTCTAGGCATCTCCAAGAGAGGATCGCGAACCTCATCCTTGTCCTTCCGGATGCCCAAGTCTCCATTCACCTGCTCATCATTCTCACTGCGACTAGCATCACCACCCACCTCGTTACATGGCAGGATTATTTGCCTCACCTATTCACAGCCACTCAACATACGCACACATGCGGCTCACCTGTCATCCCCCCTGCAAACGCTTTTCCGGGGCGTTAGGACATGCATGACCTATCTGATTTACCCTTTTCATTCTCTGGCCCTCTTAGACCCTCAAGTTTCCTTCCCGGTAGTCACCTCTCCTTGAATATGGTGACACGACAACACATTGAGCTGTATTTAGCAACCTGGAAAAGTTGCGCCATTCATCACGGGCACAAGTGACCTGCGGCCATGACATTCACTGGTCGAAGAGCTGAATAGCATCACATTCGTTAATTGGCCTGAGCGGGAAACAAGAAGGAATATATCAGATCTCCTTGGGGAATGTGTCCGTGTGTTTAGAGGCGGCATACCAGCAACATGGCGAAGCGGTTATCATCCTTATTTTCCCTGTCGCGCGATTCCGCCGACAAAATCAATCCCGATTCACCTCCAACGATGCCCGCTGCGACTACTGTTTCTCCTCATATTGCACCTCAGTCTACTAGCCACGCTATATCACACAAACTGCACAAGCACCGCATTACCTCTTCCTCCGAGGTCGATCTCAACGCTGACTTGCCCCCACTTGCGCCTCCTCCTCTTCTCTCCGACTCTGGCGCAGTGCGTCCTCCGAGCAGCCATCATAGCGCAGCCGATAGTGTTCCTGGAAGTCGGAATAGCAGTCCCCATAGTCTGGTACGGAGCAGGGATGCTAGCAGAAGTCGACCTCAGACACCCAACTTGTTGATACCACCCGGTACGGCTGGCTCCCCGTGTCATCCTGCAACTCCTCCCTCCGCGAAGATCGCAAAGAAGAAGAGTTGGCTCCATGGAAAAGCAGATAAACACAAATTTGCCGACGGCGAAGGGCCTTCCAAGGCGTGGATCGCTGGCTTACGGGAGCATGTTGCATACGACCTCACGCCGCTGTTGAAGGGTGACAGAGTTACGGAACTCTGGAGTGATTATGGCGATACAGTCGTATACCTCTATCCCCCGTCCTCGGGAAAAGGGCCTTGTTTCCGTATCGACTCTACTCTTCTCGCCGACTCAAGGTCGCTCGTCAATCTGCGAATGAATTCTCCAACGTCACCAGTGGAGAGGAACAGCGACATTCCTCAGATGCAGACAGCGTTTTCTGAAATGTCAATGAGCCCATTGCAACCACGTCCATCGTCACAAGGGAGCTCGATTTACCGTCCCACAAATTTCTCTGTCCCCAATATCGTCACTTCGATCAATCAAGAGAAGCATGTCTATCTGCCCCTGGGGTTTGAAGTAGACATATCGCAACCAGGGACAGAGCTGCACGGGGATGATCTCGAACTTGTAGTCCTTTATCGCAATTTCTTTGCCTTTCTCGCTGGTGGCGCCTTGGTCGCGACGCCTAGACAAGTGACTCTGTTTTCCATATTCATGGGAATCAGCAGCATCCTCAAGAGGTTTTCGTTTTCGAATGCAGACGGCTCTACATGGGGGGATGTGCCCTACAACAGCTTTTCGCGATATTGTGATGAGCTCCGACTGGCTGATGTGAGGTCCAGTCGTGAAAAGACCATCGAGGCCATAGTGCTCGGGGAGCACCTCAAATCATGGCCGTTGTACAATGAAGGATTCTGCCACGCCGTCGGTCGCCTCGCAGACATCAAGTCAATCAAAAGTCCAAAGTACGAGAAAATGTCACCGATCACGATAAACCGGTTGGAGCGAGCCCAGATCGACATGGAGCAAAGGCTGTTAACGGTCAAGGGCAAACTCGAAGACTTCGACTTCCCTTCCATGTTTGCTGGGATCGCCAACTCACAGACTTCGACTGAAGCTAAACTGATTCGGTTTAAGGAATGGAAAACCGCTTTTCTAGACTTTAGACGATTTACTATGGCCTATCTACGCCGACGTTACGGTGCTTGGCCTCCCAAAGCGTCCTCGAAAAAGAACAACTTTGAGGAAAGCGGCCTTAATCGGATATTGTTACAGGAGCTGTACAAAGACTTTACAGACTTGTACGACATCTTTGTGGACCGTTCAGCGATTACGACAAGGACTGTCGACATGGCGCCAATGGCCGAAGATGCCGAAACTGATGACCAGAATGAAACAATACAACATGCGCTCCGAAGGGTCGAGAGTGAATATGATCGAGCCACACCACCAGTCATTCCCCCTATCCCGTTCGATACGCCGTTGATTCCACAATTCTCCAACAGTTTTAATCGTCGCCATGTGGTAATATCTGACAAATCGGCCGCTCAAAGCAAAAAGCTGAAAGAGAACGAGATCAACGAGGTGCTGTTGGGGTCCTACAACCGCGAGTCGATCGTCGCCAGCACCTTCATTCAAGATTTCTTCAGTTACGAACGTCAACTTGGTCGAGGAAAGACCCTTGATCAGGTCGTAGACGCGCGATGTGGGCAATGGCTGTTCATGTACGCCGTCCTTCAGGCTCTTCCCATGACTGTGGTCGACGCTAGGGACCTGAAGCATACCGAAGGTGTGGAATATTTCCTGTGCGTCGCACCCAGAGGAGGGCGACCCTGGATGAAGGAAGATCAGTCCACTTCTCGAGCATGGTACAATGTGGCCAGTGGCGGTGGCTACGTGAGTCTTCCAGCAGACCTGATTGATCACAGTGTTGAAGGGATTTACAGACGGAGCCACTGCTGGACAGCCGCTACAAAGTGGCTTGAAGATTCGCCTGGAGAAGGAACCACGGAAACATCCCAGCGCGTGGATGGCAATGGGCACCAGCTGCAACTGCGGCCTGCCAGCGCATATTCACCGTATGCGAGTCCCGCCCAATCTCCTTATGTCAGTCCCCTACACTCACCGCTACTGCGCCCGGCATCTCCTACTGGCTCTGGCGATTTCCGCAGCCTCAGTCGAGATCGAAGTTCGGTCAATTTGGGCCTGGAAGCCATGGATGCGCCACCTTCATACCGCAATAGCTCTCGAACCCCCTCAACGCTGAATCCGAACATCACTTTTGACGCGATTTTGGGCACTACAGACGAACCGACAAAAGGAAAGGGGAAGAAGGGCAAGAAGTGAAATGTATTACGATAATCACCAATTTTGCATAGCGCGGGCTTGGGTATTATGAACCGCACCATTTGTTTTGGAGTGAAGGAAAGGCCGCATTGGTTATGACGAGCCTCGACATCAGCTGAAGCCAGCAAGTGTTTTGAGCTGGCCAGCGGCTTTTTGGTGCATTGCTTCTTGGAGTGGAGTTTTGTCCTTCCTGCACGGCGCACGTAATGCTTAATACGACGGAGGGTGGTCCATCATCCAAAGTCATCACGAGGTACCTACCTATCTATGACTGACGGTCTGGTCAATCACATACCTAATGCCGAGTTATTGCTCCGACATTATCAAGGATCTTATGAGTATTTCGTGCCAACTACAACTTGATTGAGTCGAATCGTGCGACGGCGGTAGATTCTTTTTGAATAGCCATCGCCAAAAGAAGTATTTTCTTTTTGCCCTTCGCCACTGACGCGGACGGAAGAGCGGTCGAGGCGGCCGCGTGGTGGGTACGACGTGAACAAGAAGAGAAGAAGACAATGTTGCAGAAATTCTCAGTCGTAGACCTCAGAGAGAAAAGGAGAGATGTATCTGAATAGGATAGACTTCTCCATCTATATCTCGAGAGGCTCTTTATGTCCTTCTATGAGTCCGCGCTGTGACTCGCTCCGCTATTATGCTCCGCTCTGCTCTACTCTCGCAAGGCAGATGAACTCCAGACAACACCGGTAAATCTCGTCGCAGTTGACTGCTCACAGTTGACAGTTCACAGCTTCGCACCCCTGCCTCGCTTGGGCTCATAGACCTGCACGTCCGCATGCGTCCTCCAGTCCGACGGAAACATCTGCGGCCCGAGGATCTTCTTCTGTACTTTGCCCGTGCCGCCCTTGGGGAGCTCGCCCTGCACGACTCGTAGGAGGGTGGGGAGCTTGTACGGGGTCAGTTCGCCGCGGAGGTCTGCGCGGAGGCGCTCAATGGTTAGTCTCGGAAGGGTATCTGCATTCGCGTTCGAAGGCGATGTCTTGACGGCGACCACGGCGGCGACGCGCTGGCCAAACTCGTCGTCCTCGACGCCCAGCACGGCCACCTCGCTGACGTAGGGCAGCTTGAAGCACGCCCTCTCGACGTCGATGGCCGAGATCTTGTAGCCGCCGGACTTGATGATGTCGACCGAGGCGCGGCCCACGACGAAGTAATACTGCCCCTCGCGGCGGAGGATGTCGCCCGTCTTGAAGAAGCCATCGGCGTCGTGCGCCTGGCGCGTTGCCTCCGTATCGAACAGGTACTTGGAGAACATGTACGGCGAACGCACGAGCAGTTCGCCCTCGCCGCCTTCGGACAGTTTCAATTCCACCCCCGGCACGGGCAGGCCCACGCACCCGGGAGGGAGATCGCCTGCGTTAGACGGCACTTTCAGGCACCCGGGGAATTCGGTGGCCCCGTAGCGGGTCAGGATGGGTCGCCCTCGGCGCAATGTGGTCCAGAACTCTTGCACAGGGTCCTGGAGCGCGCTGGAGCCGCACATGACCTCGCGGAAGTTGTTTGCCGCATCGTCGTACTGTTGTCGTTCTGTGGGAGGCAGCGGGGCGATGTGCTTTTCGTAGTGCCATTTCAACCGCAAAAGGATGGTCGGCACCGCAGACAAGACGGTCAGTCCTCCCCGCAACATCCGTTTCCACACCCAGTCCGGGTCGAACGAGCCGCGCTTGAATTCGATGCAAGCGCCCGCGACGAGGAAGACGAAGAACGAGGTCTGCAGACCGGTCGTGTGGTGGACTGGCAAGACATGCAGGAGCACGTCCGTGTGCGACACATCGTAGCCTTCACCGATCGCTAGCGCGCTCTCGTGCGTGTACAAGCGGCGCATTACAGCGCCTTTCGGCCGACCTGTCGTGCCTGAGGTGAAGATGACCACTCCGGGGCCGTAGTCGTCTAAGCGCCGCGTTGAAGAGAGTACTATTTCAAAGGCGGAGAGGGCAGAAGACTGTGGAATGTTGGAAAGAATGGGGAGTATAGAGATGTCGACACCTGCGTCGGAGTGGATGTACTTCTGAACGTCTCGGCCATGCTGGAGGACTTCTTCGCTCACGAGAAGCAGTGCTTGTCGTGATTTTGTGACGAAATAAGCGACTTCAGCCACGGGTGCAGAGGTAGCTTACAATAGTGTCGAGTCAGCCGGAGTTCTTTACGGATACATGGTAGCATAGCATATGACAAGAGAGGCAAAGAACAGCATTTTATTCACACGGACTTACCTATAGGAACCACCGCGGCTCCAAGGGCGAGGACCGTCAGCACAGCAACGGTGAATTCATAACCGCCGGCAGCCATCACTCCAATGTAGACCTCGTCACCCCTTTCGAGAGCGCTGATGGTCTTCTCACTCAGTGACCGCTCGACCACAGACCTGAAGGACAGCACATCGGATAGGATTTCAGTATAGGTCTTCTCGAGTCCCAGATCGACATCTCGAAGGGCAAGACGATCGCGTCGTGCATGGCGCAGGAGCTTGCTGAAGAAAGGGCTATTGGGAAAGACATTGGGGCCGGTGTGTGGTGGAAGGAGTAACGTGCGATCTAGGTTGTCCTCCATTGCTCGAATCGACTACAGGGATTGATATTTGTTGACCAGTGCTGACTTTCTCTCACTCCAGTCTTTTTTTCCACATAGGTGAATGACTCTGCTTGCTTCGAGAGGCTCACGATCCCTTTTATATCCAGCCGAATAATGGAGGCCACGGCGATTTCATGAGGACGGAGTTTCGCCGATTCCCCCATGCGGCAACGCCGGCATTCGGTTAAATAGTGACGGCACTTGCTTGAGTTGGAGGCATGAGGGATTAAACAAGAGTCAGAGGTGTACCCAGAACGAGACTCTGTGGGACTGATGTAGTAAGACAATCCCAATATAGAGGTTGATCCATGACCGTTGTAAACTGGGTGGCCGGTGAAGCTGGTCAGAAGTTTGGGGACATGATCGTCAGTTGCTGTCGGAGAAAGATTCAAGTATCCTTCCTCGGCGCAAGGCTGGGCCAGCGCAAGGCTGAACGAGAAACAGCTCAGCCTCGTCGTTCGGCAGCCTCGTGTCGGTGAGAGCCGCCATCCGGTGGCGTCAACGACCCATCTCGACAGTCAAGCCTTGTCTGAAGATTTGGAAGGACTCGATGGAGATGTTCCTGCATTACGACGGCAATTCAGTCGATATGGGCTGTCTGGTCTTGAATGTCCACTCCATCCGGGTCTTGGCTCCGGTTGAGAATCTTCCAAAAGCGGCGGGAGCTTCCTGGCTCCATCACTTCAATCTCAACTTCCATTTTTCTCATCAGTGAGACTTACCATGCACTGCCAGGTATCGATCGCTTTGCAGTGCAAACCCTCCTTAGCTTGGGGGGCTTTTGACCTAGAGTACAGTGTATTTCCATCCTCATGGACCACTTTTTCTCCCTGATTGCCGATACTCCGTCTATCAAAACGAGACCAACTTCTGAATATGACGCCGCCTAAATCACGACTAAGACAAGGCCAGCTCGGGAGCAGGAAATCTCATGATGGATGCATCACCTGCAAAATCAGAAAAATAAAGTGCGGCCAGGAGCGGCCCGCCTGCAAGAGATGCTTGACTACCGGGAGAAAATGCGATGGCTATCTTCACTCTGGCACAAAGTTGACCTGGGAGACCTGGTCACCAGAGGCAAATCGTGCAGTGGTACAAGTGAAAAGACCCCAAATATATGTAGGGTCTGAGCGAATCGAGGTTCAAGCTTTCGAATTCTTCGTGCGGCGAGTCGTTCCCGATTGTTCACGGACTGTGGATGAACACTTCTGGAGCCAGCTTCTTCCTCAGCTCAGTCACTCAGACCCGGTAATCCGGGACGCCGTCATTTCTCTATCGTCTCTGATCCAGCACTTTCAGTCATCCACCACATGTACAGTGGCAAGCAGCGTCGCAAACGCAGAACATCAAAGGGCTTTGACGTGGTACGGCAAGTCAATTGCTCGTTTACGGTCACTACTGAAAGAAGCCACGCATCAATCAACAACCGCTGTCATATCGTGCATCCTCTACATTTGCATAGAGTGCCTGCAAAACAACTCTTCCGGGGCAATAGCACTCTATCAACGAGCAGTCGCCATGTTGGAAACGGCAGCAGAACCCAAACATTCGAGTTGTGCGCCAACACAGTCAGAGAGCTCGATCCATAGTACAGTCCGTGACTTGTTACAAAATATGTCTGCATCGCAAAGACTACCACTGGACCGGCAAAGGGCTTTTGGTCGTATGGTGTTTGAGACGTTGGCGGATGCTCGAGACGGACTTTACGTCTTACTCTTTGCCGCCCACGATTTCATTGTCGACACGAGGGAAATCAGAATCAACAAACCAAAAGACTGGACGCCCTCCTCGGATCTGGGTACCCGACAGGAACGACTTCGAACGGACTTTCTCAAGTGGCACACGGCTTTTGAAGAGAGGATCCGGTGTCCCAGCAGACCACCTCTCCAACACGAAGTAGAGCCTTATTCGCTGCTCCATGTGGTGTACGGCTATTATTTCATCTTGGTGTGCACGGGGTTGAGCATGTATGAAACGGATTTTGACAAATTTTTCCCCATCTTCCAGACCATGGTCGACCACGCCGGTCGCATCGTCACTCCCCAGGTCGACGAGCTGCGGCCCGTCTTCATGTTTGAGACTCGAGTCATCCCTTCGCTGTTCGCGGTCGGAGTCAAGTGTCGACACCCGGTCATTCGGCGACAGGCAATCGCGTTGCTTCGAAATGGGACTCGTGCGGAAAATACTTGGAGAGCCGACACAATGGCCGACATTGCCGAATGGTCGGTCGGTATCGAGGAATCAGGCAGTATTCACGGGGTCTTCTGTCCAGACCCTCAGGATATCGAGCTCCCGCCCGAGAATCATCGAGTGCATTGGAGTCAGGTTATTGAGCTTCCAGACTCTGACGGACGGGCGTCAAAATTCCACCAGGTCCAAAAATGGGAGCAAGACGAGCACCATGTCTGGTCGTTGGTCGACCACTTGGTGAGGGTGTGAAGGGAACTGTCCGTACGTTCGTTCTCGTGTACCTGTTGCAATCCTCCATACGGCGCATTTGCTGGTGAGACAGGGCAACGCCACCAGGCGGAGACATTGCTTCGACTGAAATATGAAGGGCGTTGTTCTGGAGAAGAAAACGTGCACTGGAGCTGGAGTTCGCCAGGTTGAGAACGAGAGTTTGTCAGCGAATTCTCCGCTGTGGGAGCCGAAGTGAAACCTATACTATGCCAGCATGCAGGGGATGTTGCCATAAAGAGGCCCCGAAACGTCCCTGTCTGGAAACTCGCGCAAGAAACTCGACTGCAACTTCGGCCGGACCAAAGCAGTCGGTGACGACGCATGGGCCAAACATCAAGTAACGAGACAAAGATTCTCTGGCCTTGTCAAGCTCCCCACAACCCGAGCACACCAATCATTGCGCGATGGAGGCCTGGCCCCAACCTGACTCGTGGGAATAAGCCTTTCCTCAGACGAAGAAGATTGAATGTCTCGAAGGGATCCAATGGCGCGTCTCTCCTTTCTCTCTGTCTGGAACCGCGGACCCACCGAGAGGCTCCTCAACTGTCTCCACAACCCGAGCTGACCAGTCACAGCACACAGTCAGACCCATCGATGACTTGGGGCACGAGAGCATTCTCCCAGCGTGCGCAATATAGAGGAACTCTACTTGGAAAAAGTATATAGCAGTAAGAAGAGAAAATGACGGACCAGAGGATTACCCGTTGAATTTGAACCGTCCAGTGAGTGAGTGAAGGGGGCCGAGAGACAACAATCATACAGCATCTTTCTCACTGCTCTGTCCCTCGCCGTTCCTACTTATACTTGTCCACTTACTTACAAGTACATCACCCTCTATTTGTGTCTTTACGACCTCCCAAAATCTTTATCGATCAATCGATCGACCGATCCCTCTCCATTCCCCTCCTCCTCAACCCTCCTCTCTCCCTCGATCCAAATCCATAGCGGAGAGGACACAGGATGATCTCCTACCAAGGCATCGTCGCCATCTGCATCGCCAGCGCCGCTGCCCTCGTCACCATGGGCTTCGTGGTTCACCGCCTCCTGATCAAGCGACCAGACGTCGCCGATCCATTCACTCCGTCCGACGACCAAAGGCGCTATATGCGCGAGGTGCGCGAGAGGAATATCGTCGAGGCGCTGGGCGATCAGCGACTGAGGCAGGCGCTGCGGGGGTAGCGTCTGGGGGAGACTTGTGGGATGGGACGGTGTCAACCGAGTTATAAGAGCGACTTCATCCGAGTTGATTCGAGGCGGATCGAGTCGAGAGTGTGTGTGTGGTCGTTCAGTCTCGTCCCGTCACATCTCACCCCGCCTCAGCCCAACATGAAACGATATGATATGGAACGATACGACGTGATATGGCATGACACATCAAGACATGATTCTTCCAGCGAATCCACCGCGCTCGGAGCTTACTCACACGCATGCGACCATCACGAACCACGACGCACCAGCCACCCAGCATAAAGAGAGTTGGACCTGACCGAATCGAATCGAATCACAAATCCAATTCCAGTCCTGAATCAAAACTTGACCCTAAATCAACCTGACCTTGGTTGATTAATAGACGATAGAACAGAAACCGGAAACCCGAGATCAGAGGGAGAGACAGAGACAGAGACAGAGATAAAGGCAGAGGCTGGATCAGAGGCAGAGGCAGAGGCAGATATGAACCAGCACCCGCACCGGCACCAGGGGCATATGGTAAACACGGCCACGGCCGTGGCAACTGCAGCGGATTATGGGAACGACAAAAAGACAAAGGCAATGGTCGCCCACGGCCCAGAGCCCTGAGCCCGGAGCAAACGGCCCATATAGGGGACAGGGTCAAAAGAAGAGGTGTCGCTCTCGACTTGGATATATGGCACAAAAGGCTCATATGCCTCGTATGGTCATATGGTCATATACAAGATGTCGGGAAGACAAGGAGACTGCTGTATGGATATCACCGTATCATCGTATCATTGAGTTACGATCTCGCTGACTAGTTGATGTTGTGGACATATACCTGGTCAACCGGTGGAATGAGTGAGGCGACTGTTCTAGTCTCTTCTACTAGACCGCCTAGATATATAACTCACGGCATAGCCTCGATTGTTTATGTATGTTCAATGTATTATATTGTAACCCCCTATTCAGGGAACAACACCATTAAAAAAATAACCTACCGCCTGCCAGTCATGACCCCTTGAACCCTTGAACGAAACCCGTACACCTCCGTCAAAGCACTGAGGTTCTGTAAAGCCCCATTCCGTCCGAAATGATCCCACACGTTTGGAGACTCCAGTAAGACGAAACCAGTCACCTACTCGATCACCACCCCAAAAGAGTTCATAACACTCAGACAAGACCTGAAACTCGCCTTCTGAATATTACAAGGCCTCTATAAGACGTCTAATCCCACTCGTTCAAATTGTCAGCAATAACAACAGTCGTCCAGGCCTTCCCAAGAAGGAGCGGCTAGTGAAATCGTCGCTTAATCTTGACTCGGAACAGGTACCGCAGCAGCACGTGCGACGGATCGTAGAGAGCATACTCGTTGAATCCCAAGATGCCTCGAGAGTGGGTGTGACCATAGGGAATTCTCGTTTCGGGCTACAGAGGTGTTAGTGCACACATTTAGTACCCCCATCGTGTCTTTCAGTAGTCTCTAAACCTGCGAGGATGCACCATTATTATGGAACAGAGGAGCCACGTACAATCAAGGGCACGCGGCCACTCAAGGGCGGGTCCAACTCCCAATCAACCTCCCTCCATCTGGACGGACCTGTGCGGCCGAGCCCCTGGATGCACCGGTATCGGCCACAGGATTGATTGATGATCTCGTGACCGTTGTAGATGCTGGTCGTCGAGCGGAGGAGGCCCCCACCGATGTCAGCCTCGCAAAGGAGTAGGATGCCCTGGCCACCCCAGGCGTCGGACTTGCAGAAGCCAGCAGACTTGCTCGACGCGTCGGCCAGGTAGATGGCATTGCCAAACATGGTGCCCGTCCAGGTAGCTCCCGGGCGGCGTACTTGCAGGCCCAGCTCCAGGATGCCGAGCAGCGAGTCCAGCGCCGTGCCGTGCCACAGGAGCACCCGCAATTCAGAGCCGGATGGATCAGGGACCGTCTGCTTGCTTTCGATCCAGTCGCGGTACGGGTTCGGCAGCTGGGCTTTCACGAACAGCCTGTATATATCCTCTAGCTCCACGTTCAAGCAGTGAATATGGTGGCACGATCTCTCCAGATAGTTTCTTAGCTGACGGAACTCCGTGGTTGACGAGTCCGTCAGGCGGCGGAACCCGTGCCGCAGAGAGCTATAAGCCTGGTACAGAGGTTGGGCCAGAGTCTTGTGCTTATTCAATTGCAGGGATCCCCGGCAGTGCATTGCCTTCGCCATGGCAGCGATCTCCTGTTGCGGCCAAAGGCAGTACAGAAATTTCGCCTCGAGGAAGAGCGCGTGGTAGCTTGAGATCACTGGGGGGCGTTCCTCAGCGCAGCAGAACGGAATCTGACTGCGGTACAGCGACGAGAGCCTGAGTATGGTCATCCAGTTGATGACATTGCCGGACTCGATGTGCTTACGGATATACTCTAAAGTCTTGAATGCTGAGAAGACTGCCCACGAACTGAGCTGCTCGTACGGAGCCGTAAATGCTAGCCATGATCTGGACGCGCTTGGGTTCTCGCTGCTGGTGGTTCGACTGCTCGCTGGGCCTCCAAAGAGTATGTACTCCATCAAATCCTTGACCTCCTCATTGACCTTCGCATTGATCGTCGTGTACGCGGGAAGCTCTAAAAGAGAGGCCGAGGTCTTGTGGTAATCGAGCTCAACGAAAGCATATTTCCGGTAGCACCTCAACAGAGCTTCGTACCTTCTGGTCCAATTCGAGTATGTTTCGTCATGAAAAGACTTGCGAAACCTGTCAGCAACAGTGGCGAAGCAGTTAGATTCAATTTCGACTCTTCCGCGCCCCTCGAGTCCAACGCGACCTTCACGTGTGTAGAAGGCGTATGTTTCGGTTTCCGGGTAGTATACGACCTGTCCAGTGACACATTCATAAGCCAGCCTGCCTCCATCAAGACAGTGCCTTTGCGCCTTGACATACCTGGTGTCTTCGGAAGGAGTTGATGTTCTTCATGATGTCGACTCGCAGAAGGTAAACGTCATAAATCGACATTCTACCCCGATCTATCACGACCGTCGCATCGAAGCCTGCCTTGGGATCCCGGGGGATATGTAACCTTTTCCCACGCCACGTCTGACTGCGGAAATAGCCATGATGGGAGATGCGTCTCGACCTCGCAGTAGAGGGGTGTTTCTTGGGGATATGGAGGGCCTCAAACCTTAGCCTGTACTCCTGGTATCTTTCGCTTTCACTCAGGAAAGTGTCATAGCCTTCCCAGTCAGAGCAGATTCGAGGAAGGGGAATGGACGGGCGAGGTATTGACGGTGCAGGCAATGGAGATGAGGTTACAGGATCATCTTGGCCTGTAGCGTTTGTCGTTTCTTGCGCGTCAATTGGAGGTGGGTTACACAAGCCATCGAAATCCTCATGGATAAGCGGAGTGACTCCCACGGCGCGCTGTGTAAGTTTCGCTGGATTGATGGTCCCTGATGGATCTGGAGCCCACAACCGTTGCATGGATTGACAGTCGGTCGACAGGTCTGGTCAGAAGATACAATTCCTCTGGGTATGTGGACTATCATGGTCTAGAGTCGCGAGAGGTCGTTGCACGGTCGGGCGGATGTTCAGCCTCACGAGGCAAAGGTATTGATTTCGGCAGCCAAAGAACGGTATTCGAATTCCAAGATATATGATGCTCGAGATTAGGTGTGCTGCGGGAGCAAATGATACATGGAAATGGACCAAGAAATCCGCTCCCTTGGGATGAGGTTGGTAATGCAACGCCAGACGGGATGTCCACGTTCATATCGAGCATCTGAGCTGGCGGTCACGAGGCACGCCTGTCCTATTCTAGTCAGGCGCGAGTTGCCTCAGGGCTTCCTTCCTGCTGGAGGATCCTTGGCGCCTCGTGTCGTTACTTCCTTTCCTGGGGGATCCGCTCAATTGGAGGAAGGGCGCAAGTCTGAATGGTGACGTGCACTGCAGCTGAAACAAAGAGGGCGCAGGCAAACCACCGGCACAAATGATCGGCTTCGACCTGGGGCCTAGAACAGGCTAACTTTGGGACTCGGAGAATCTGTTATTTCCGCATTTTCCCACACAGCTGTGAACTTTGTATCTTTCAACCAGGCAGAATGCCCTCAAGTTCGCCCTGAACCTCGCATGGTAAGAATAGGTGGCTCGTGGCTGCCCTTTTGAGACGATCGTGACGGAGGGAGTTCGCTTGCCCCGCTTTCCCCGCCTCCGGCTATTGTTCCTAATTTGTCGCTAGCCCTGGGTTAAATGAGGTTAGGCATCGGTGGTTACATCCAAAACAGCAAGTCACACCGAACCAGCCACGTGCCAGCAGATGCTCGACTTCTGCCTTTCAATCGTAGCGTTATAACAACCTTCTGCGCGCTCACCCCGCTCTTCTGCTTTTCAAGGCCACCTTGGACAGAGTACAGCCCATGTCCCACCACGAGCTCTGAAGGCGCCGCCTTGAATGACCCTCTCTGCAAGGCCGAGGGCACATATTCTCCCCATATGGTCTTTGCCACGGCACCCCCCTCCTGGCCCACGACGTCGGTACTCGAAATTCTCACGGCCTTGACATCTTTAGGGAGATCTGAAGGTGTAGATACCACGCTCGCTACCGTACCACCACCTAGACCGTGCAGCACCGCCGCGCATTGTCGGACAGTCGTGTCAGTTCCGATGGCGTCATAAGCGCCCACGACAGGCACCCCATGTTCTTTGAGCAACGATACAAGTATCGGCACGACGTCGGGGTTGTGGTAGTCGAGTACGAGTGAGGCTCCGAGGTCTTTGCAGTAGGAGTAATTTGCTGGCGAGGCCGTGGTGACGACGTTATAGCCAGAAGCCACAGCAAGTTGGATGACCGACGAGCCGACCGATGATGATCCGCCCCAGAGGAGGAGAACGGCCTTCTTCTTGGTTCTTTCTCTCGCATTATCAGACATATTCTTCCTCTCCAGTGTCGATGTCTGATTTCCCAGTGTGTTCGCAACCTTAGGATACTTCAGCCCCAGCGTCCCTTTCAGGTACAGCCCAGCAGCTGCCGTGGAGATGCTCAACGGAAGCACCACTCCAGTCTGGAATTCCATACTGGCAGGAATCTTTGCGACCGTCTCAACCTTGGCCCGTGGGTAGAGTTGAAACCCGCCATAGGCACTCCCGTTCCCGAGTCCCAGCGCGTGCGCAATGACGCGATCGCCTTTTTTGAACCGCTTCACATTCTTACCCACCTCCAGAACTTCACCAGCGATGTCTTCTCCCAGAATCCCCGGGTACTGGAGACCGAAGCCGCCCGACGCCTGGATCTTCCAGTCGACTGGGTTGACAGCTACGGCGCGATTCGTGATGACGAGCTCATCGGGCGAGAGATCCGGAAAAGGTGCCGTGGCGACCACAAGATGGGCATTCTCAGAGGGAATCCAGGCTGCATAATTGACGAGTTGCATGTCTGCTGTTGGTAAGCGAGTGTGATCGAGGACGTTGCTTTGCGAAGTGGTTAACTGGAGAGAGATTTGTCAGGCATTGAACAGCTCTATTGTCAGGGAGATCAAGAGCTCTGGTAGCGTCATGCGGGGTAATTTAGGCACCCAGCCTCATCTATGAAGGTGAGTTATCAACGCAGAAAGCCTTGCGCAGGACATCTCGCAGCCATCCAATCTTACCGTGGCCGTCCTGATCGAATTCTTCCGCCCGCCAGACAACTATCCCGTCAGGACGAACCAGCACTGCGCCAGAGCTACAAACACCACGTTGAGAGGCCCATTTCTCATCTGTATCCTTCCAGAAAGTCTTATCATCTGCCACTTCGCTCGTATCTGCGATGCCAATCAAGGTCACCAATCCATTCAATTCTTCCACAGCCAGTCTCCACAACTCCGGCCTTGAGGTAATAAGGATGAATCTGTCGTACTTGACTAAATCTCTAGTCGACAACCTCTCTTTCCCCTTCGCCAACCACGCGTGTGGCAGGTGATGTCCCGGAATTGTCGAGGGATGGTAAAACAATAAATCCATCTCGCCAGTGTCCGTGAGCTGTCCGCTGTGGTTATTCTTTTTGCCCTCCCCGCCGACATCGACGTCAGGATAGAACCAGCCAATCTCGGCTCCCAGGGCGTGGAATTCGTTGTCAAGGATCTTCTGCGCGCCCTGAACTGCTTCTCGGCGCATGGAACCGTCTGTATTTTCGGGCGACGAATCAAAGAACGAATTCATATTTGCAACATTTTCGCTTTGGCTATTTGCAGTAGAGACGCCGATGGCTTTGTCCATGACCAGGCCGAAAGCCTGTAGGTTATGCAGCGCGCGGTCTCGCACACGTTGACCAATCGGTCGACGCTCGGTGTCGTACGTATCGAGGAGTGCGTTGCAGTCACTATCCACCCCGATGGCTGACGGAATTCCGTTGATGGCGAAATTCAGCTTCCACACCAGATTATCCACGTCTTGAATGCCCGTGTTAAGTCCCAATGCCCCCCAAGGAGGAATGCGGTGCGCGGCATCCCCAACCAGAAATACTCGGCCTGTGGATTTCTTGCTGCGATATCGTGTAGCACATAGCGCGTTCACGTACCAGTGGTTTGTGGACAGTAGCTCAACTTTGAGGTCAGGAATCTGCAACGTATTTTGCATGCGCTTCAACATTGCCGACTCATCGAGACGTTTTGGATCTGTCGGGCTAAGAGCACATGCAAAGACCCATTCCTCTGTGTCAGGCGTCATGGGATAGGGGCCTAAGTGGTAAAGGTATCCTGAACCAATGGTGCCACCCAGCTTTGGGTTGACGAACCAGGTGATGAAGTTGCGGATATCAGGGTGTGCGAGAGATATAGGAGCTCGAACGTGAGCAGATACCATATCAACAATATCCCGCTCGCCCTCCCAGCCAATTCCCAGGTGATCTGTCAGCATGCGGCCACCGTCGGCACCAATAACATACTGTGCTTTGACCGTCATCGGTTCCAGGCCTCTCTGTAGATACGTGACAACGACACCGTCATCATCTTCCTCAACCTTTTGAACTTCGGTATTGTAAAAGATTCCTTTGGGGTTCAGTTCCAACGCCTTTTTCTGCAATATCGGTTCGAGTCTGATTTGTGGCAATATTGAATACTGGCACGGCGAGGCAGAGGCGTATTCTTCTTCGTATGCTCCGCCGCCCCAGGAGTCACGGCCAAGGATTTCCCTTCCGTGAGGTCCAAAGCTGGTATACCAGGCTGTTCTGCTGACATTGTCTGATGGGGCTCGTCGCTTGATCAGCTCCTCTTCAATTCCCATGCGACGCCAAATCTCCACTGTGCGGTGGTTGTAGCCACATGCTTTTGGGTGGATGGATGTTGAAGGATACCGTTCAAAAAGGATATGGGGGATGTTGCTCTGCGATAGGAGGATTGAGGTGGATAAACCAGTTGGACCGCCTCCGACGATGACGACTGGGTAAGATGACGAGGAATCAGATGCCATGATCGGTCTGATATAACTCGTGTCTTAAGCCCCCTTTGTATCTCTCAGACGATGTTGTCCAGCTAAAGACCTCGAAGTAATGAAAATGTTGCGATGCTCGAGCCAGGACCAATTATCATCAGCGCGGTGTTGCGAGCATGTTGAGGTCGAGCGTTGTGGAGATGATTTCTCAGGCCTTCATATCAAGATTGTACCCGAGGGCCTCAAGTGTGTGTTCTCAGCCTGCTTCTATCTTGGTTTCTTAAAGACCACCTCCTTCTCCACATGGTCAACGAGTCGACCCCACGAGTGTTGGAAGATGCAGCAGCTCATTGCGGAAGACGTGGGGCAACGAGAGTTTTGACGGGACTTGGAGATTAAGAGATAGAATTGCATTCTGGGCGAGTGGAGTGGATTTTGCATCAGCGGCGTAGGCTGTTGTGTTCGGAGAGACTTCGGCAGAAACCGAGTTTCGTCGACCTGGGTCTGTTGATGTGGTCTTCCTTCAGCAATGGCATTGACAAAGCTGCATTCGAGGTCGGGGGCTCAGATCACAGAGTTGAAGAACTTCGTATGATACAGCGGCATTATCATAGACGGAGACAAGGGTCGTTGGATCCAAGTTTCGGGCTTGACAGAACGTGAGAAACCTTCGTTGACGATTTCTTGCCGATCAAAAATTTCATGGACATGCCGCCAGACGAAGGCCTCGTTCTCGACTTGAAGTGATGTCGACTGCGAACAGCAGCGGTGGTGTCAGCGCAAAAGACTTTGCTCTTGAAACCCTCCTCACACTGATCGAGGACTACCACTCGTTCAATCCAGACACCACAGTCCCGACTTATGAATACCCAACACACCTCGAATTCAGCCAACAGGTAGCCCGCGGGCGACCGTGCGTATATCGGCTTGACAGGAGCGTCCTCGATGATCGCGCGGTGAGTGGAGGGAGTGAAGTCGAGGATGGAAGCTACGGCAACGGCAACAGCATCGACAACAGCGGAGGTGAGATCGCAAAGGTTTCGTCGCCGCCGCGAATAACAGAGAAGAGCATCCAACGCCAATGCCTGCGAGATGAGCAGCGGTCCATACTCTCGGCGCCGTGCTTTGCGTGGACGAAAAAGAGTCTCTGCGAGCTTGTACAGGGCGAGGTCGAGGTCGCTGTGACGCCGGACGGGAGGGCAGATGCGCTCTACTCTCTTCCTCCGAGGACGAGGACTCAGTCTCGGTCTCAACGAGAAGCGGATGAGGATGAACCAGAACAAGTCTTCCTCCAACCGGCCTCGACGTACATGACGCTTTCCACACTGATTGACAAGCTCTGTCCTCCGTTAGAGCCATCACAATCTTCATCACATCTTCCTCCCTCGCCTTGCTCCCCTTCAGCCCCGCCCCAATACCAATCCACATCCACATCCACATCTGCATCCACAGCCACAGCAACAACGACAACAGAACCAGTCCACTACCTCCAATCCCAGAATTCCAACCTGTATACCCCACCGCTATCCTCCCTTCTGGGTTCTCTCCCACCGACACCACCGCCCTTCAGCGCCGCCGTGCTCGGCGACCCCGAAGCCGTTAATATTTGGATTGGCAACGCGCGGTCCGTGACCAGCACGCACCGCGACCCGTACGAGAATCTCTACGTGGTGGTCAAGGGCCGGAAGCGGTTCGTGCTGTACAGCCCCGTCGAGGAGGTGTGTCTACACGCCCAGAAAGTTCGGACGGGGCGGTGGGTGCTGTCGGATTCACAACGGCAGAAAAAGGAGACGGAGTTTAAGATTGTCATGGACGACGATGACGACGACGACGATGACGACGACAATACCACCACCACCACCTCAGATGCCAACAGCGGCGACGACGCAGACATGAACCGTATCCCCTGGATCCCCATCGATCCGCTCTCACCCCCGTCTGCCCCCGCGTTCAAGAAATACCCATACTACAAATACACGCGACCTCTCACTGTCACCGTCTCGGAGGGCGAAATCCTCTACCTCCCAGCGGGATGGTTCCACCACGTCACCCAGGAATGCGGGCTCTGGGAGAGTGACGACGAGTGCCCAACGACGGCGCCCTGTATAGCCGTCAACTACTGGTTCGATATGGATTACTCGGGAGAGAAACACGTGATGAGGGAGATGGTCGGACGATTAGTTGAGAAGATCCGAATGTCGGAAAACACGTGAACCCAATCTATGTCATCATTTCTTGTATCAAGGAGTCCATTTTCTATTCCAGGCCAAACGAGGGCGTCTAGGTCAGATGTCTTGGGGAGCTGACCTCCACTAGTGCGGACTAACAAGAACGTGTCGCGCAAAGGCCGCTTTCCTCTCTGTCTATCCTTTCCTCACTCTGGGCTCAATTCTTTTTTTTTTTTTTGCAAGGTCGTTCACAGTATCCGCATGCTCCGTTTTCGTCATCTCATGACCCGGTCGTAGTCGTGACGGTTCATCCAGAATCGACAAAGGAGGTCAAATTCAGTTGCCACTCTCGATCTTCTCCAAGATCTTGGGGAACTCCTTCCATTCGTACATGATCTCGATGCAGTTGCACTGTTCTTTGAGAATCTGGGCCATCTGCTTCATCTTCTCCTCACCATCCTCCAGTTTGTAGACGCCGACGTAGCCAATGCAGGGAATGCCAGCGCGCATGGCAGCGGTGGCACCACTCTTGCTGTCTTCGACGGTGATGCACTCCTCTGGCTTGACACCGAGTTGTTCGCAAGCATAGAGGTAGATCTTGGGGTCAGGTTTGCTGGAAGGTGGGTTGAGCGAGGTGGCAGCGCTGTAGACGTGGGCGTTGGGGAAATAGTGGTCGATGCCGACCTTCTCGAGAGAAGCGACGACACGGGGTTTGGCAGAGGTGCTGACAACCGACATAGGGTACCCGGCCTTGTGCAGACGCTCCAACTCCTCAGGGGCACCAGGGCATGGTTGACACTTGGCAGCAAGTTTGGCGGTGACGGCTCCAAGTTCCTTGTTGACGTATTCCTCCAACTGGTCTGGGGGCATCTCAAAGCCATGCTTCTTCTGGAGACCAACCATCATACCACGAAAGTTCTGACCGACAAAGGCTTCGAGGAGGCCCTCGACCGTGTAGCGTTCTTTGACGCCGTACAGCTCGAGGAGTTCATTGGTGAGATCGGTGCAGGCCTCAAACGCAAGGCGCTCGGACAAGCAGAGAGTGTTGTCGCAGTCGAGGAGGATGTACTTGACCTACAACGAGGTATCTAGTCAGTCTTTGATGGCAGGCTTTGCTTTGTGGTGCGGTGGCAAGGAAACCAGCGGTAAACCGCCCTGTTTGAGAGATGGAGGGGTAAGGGAGGGTACACGAGTCGGTGAGACATGAACTTACTTTGCCCATGTTGACGTTGTGGTAAGTAGTTTAAGTGTTGAGTCTAGAATAACGAAAGGAGACAGATGAAGATGAAGTCTATAAGTGAGGACGAAAGAAGAAATTTGCAGTAAAGAGATACGGTGGTGGTGTTTTAAGACGGGGAGGAACGTCAGAGTGCAGGGTGGGATGTGACACCCTGATAAGTTTTTTGTTTATGGGAAGACATGCTCATGAGAGATCGGGCACCGGTGGGCAGCGATTGGCGCCGGACGGTGAATGGTGGGGGCGTGTTCGAAGCTGGGGAAGACGCCACAGCCACTCAAAAGCTCCGGAAAGTTGGGGGGTGTGGTTCTGGCGGCCCAGGTGGCTTTCGGGCTTGGAGGGCTAAGAACTTTAGGCTCCTATAGGCTTTTGGTGGTACCTGGGTGAGCGGCAGCATGTCCTGCTGGTTCAACAGCTAAACCATTGGTCCGCGGCTACGTCATCCCCATCCCATTCCTTTTTCTCCTTGTCAACAGCGTATCAACGGGACCACGTGAGGCTTTGTGCCCAAGATGGCGGTGAAAGAGATACGAGTAGCAGATTGCGAGAGCTCCATTCTCGCTGCTCCTACGAGGCTATCTCACCGTAGCTTGCGTGCTCGCTCATCTTCCGAGTGGGCAAGTCTTTCAGCCCTCATTGTTCTAGACCTTGACGCAGACAAGCCCAGCTCCTTCACCGCAGTCCCGGAAGGCTGATACCTGCATCCGGAGCCTCACTTTCCTCTTTTGAGGACCGATTGAGATGGTTGTATCTCCTCAAAAGGAAACATTTCCTGCCTGTGGGACACACCGAGTACCTTGAGAAAGGTAGCTTGCCTGTAACGCACCGTGTGGAAATTTGGTCCATCACACCAGTCGGCCGTTTTTTGGAGCGTTGGTACTTGCAGCCGAGATTTTGGCAATCGAGACACCTTTCCCAAGAGCATAACCAAGAGGTATTTTGTTCCTCTGTAGCGGACCAGTTTGCAATGGGCGATAGTTCGCCCATGTCACCCGATCAATGTCCTTCTGCTTGAAGGCTGGTTTCAGCTTCAATAGCCTCTCCTAGCACCCCTTCCGCCTCGGTAGCCACCAGAGTCAGGAAGCCGTTCTCCTCGCCTCCACTCACCGCTTGGTATATGCCCTGAGCCGGAAAAGTCACCTCTTGATCCGTAGCCGTTAAAGCTGCCCCTGCTGCTCTGGCCGTACCCGCCTCGTACTCTTCCGTAGCCATTCTCTCTGGAGCCTCCTCTGCCGCTGACGCTTCCCCGAGACACCACGGTGCCATCGCTCAGCGGAGGAAAGACGGCACAATCGATAAAGTCTCCTATGACAAACCGTGCATCTTCCAGCGTCTTGTCTGCATCATCTCCCTCGAGCTGGACAGCGCCGCCGCCACCGCGACGCCCGTCACCACCACCATTGGAATATTCCGGCGCCGAGACCACCACACTGCCGATCTCTTTGCTCAAGTATCTTCCTCTCCCTTCGCTTTCTAGTCTCCCGCCTCCACCTCGACTGGCGTGGACGTCCGGGTAGACCAGTCTGAAGCTCAACCTCGTCCCCACAGCCGGGTCTGGTAAAATTTGCGGCAGGGCCTGCGTCAACAGGAGCGCGAGTTCTCTCAACGTACAGCTCATCCACGTGTAGATTTGCAGATGGGCAGGTAGGTGAGGGTGCGGGTTCGAGGGGGTCGGGATAGGGAAGTCGGTCAGGCTGTGAAAGGCGGAGGATCGGTAGCAAAAGTTCAGCAGGAAAGGCGTGGTGGATTGCCGATCCACTGTTGTTTTTGCAGGTTGGGGGGTCGGCGAGCGCGACATCGTGAGGGATAGAGGTTCGTAGGTTTGGGTGAAACTCGATAGGTCGAGATGTCGGAAAGGTACTTGAGATTCAGCGCAGGGAACTTATCTCCTGGCAGTGATCGGTCCTTTGGAGCTGACAGAAGTCTAGGAAAATATGCGACAGATAATAATAGGGTATATGACCAACAGAGGCACAGCCAGAGGGAATAGTGTACCGTTAGTAGTCTGTGTGTTCCGTATGTCCTGTGCTCCTGTTGACTGAAAGTTCTGTACGTATTATCTGTAGCTTGGTCGCATCTCACGCCTTGGGACTTTTGCGAACTTCCTGGATCAAAGTTGCAACCAAATATCCAAGCCTGGTGGAGAAGAAGCGCAGCTGTTTGCATCTGCGAGCACTGCGATGCACAAATCCCCATTCTGAGTAGAGCGCAAGCCCGCATCGCGGCTGACTTTCCCCCAATCGAGGACAACACCACCCCCTCCTAGTACCGACTCGCCGAGTACGCGGCACAGTCTCGCGTCCTACCTAGCCTCGCTCGGTATTCTGTCTACCAATTCCATTCAATAACTCCCCAACTAGCACCCAGACATTTCGATGCCTCCCCGTCGCGAACTAACACCTCAACTACGCTCCAGGATCTGTGAACTCCACCGTCTCGGCTACTCGTACGAGTTCATCGCAGACCGACACGGCCTACCGCGATCGACCGTGCAGACAACGTGTCGACGCGAAAAGGAACGGGTGAACAACGTCTCCAAACCCCGGTCTGGTGCGCCACGAAAAGCAGTCACGAAGAGGAAACGCAGAGAGAAGTAGTGCTATGGTGGTGCTATCGTTGCCGATACTCGCATTCCACGCCACCGTCTGCTAGCATCGAGTCGATCATGTAGTCAAAATGAGCATCACTCACAAAGCTCTGGGTCGGCCATCAACCACACACACTAAAAGGTTTGTAAACGAGTCCATGTGATATGACTTGCGCGTGGACATACTACATGCTCAAAGGCCTTTGCTTCGCTACCGAGTCTCGGGGCCCGTCTTGTCGATAGAGCGCAGGAGCGGGTGGAGTAATAAGGAAAAGCAAGCCAGATACAGGTCACGGGTACTTCAAAGTAATAGTCGCGTTTCTCGCCAGATATGGCTGTGCAGAGAGAGTTGGATTGCGAGAAGATGAGAGAGGGAGTGGGATAGAACCGGTAAGTGCTTGCAGTCATACCAATGAGACAGGATAATTTGAGGCACTCGAGTCGATCCAGCTTGAGGTAACAATAACTACTCGCAACCATTTTCTGGACTGTCAAACACATTTTAGATGAACGGACAGAAAGTACTCTTCCATTCATTAAGGCTCGGCGAGTCAGCGCGTGTTCTTTTAGATCAGCCTCTACTTTAGCTAGCAGCGGGTCTGGAGTTGAACTCTAATACGGCCTCCCTCCATTATTTCTGCTGGCGGGTCACCCAGCGCCTGGCCCTGGGTCACCTATGCGCTTCCTTCCTTAAGAAGATTAGAGTAGCAAGTAAGGCTACGAGTGGTTCCTGCCTATGATATCCTGACAAAAGTCACACAATATAGTAGAGGGAGTGCAGGAGCAAAATACAAGGACTGAGAGAGGGGAAGGGAAAGGAAAAGAGGAAGAGAAGTATTCATTCTATCGACTTAAAGGGAGTTCATTCAACCCTGCATGTGCCCCATTCCTCCCGTCGAAACCGTCACGCCGTCGAGCGATATCGATATACAGTCCCCGCACTTTCTGCGTGAGGCTGAACCTATCCGCGCCTCGCCATGTCTATCCACGTCTATCCACGTCTTCCTCGATCTAAGTCCGTGACAGACGCCGTGCTTGTATTGCAGACAGACACGTGGTCAGCCTTACGTCGGGGTATTTAAGAGGGGCATCCTCATCCGCATCTCCATCCCAGCTTCCAACCCTTCAGTCTATCACGGCGAGACCTCTCAATTGCGTGCCTTGAAGGAGTGTATCAAGCATTATCTATAGCCTCTTGTTTGAGACAAGGGCTCATCTTCAACAGGTCTGTCAAGATCAGGAAAAGAAAAGTGAGACTCTAGAAAATGAATTCCAGATTAGATGACTCGACTCACTAAGCGCAGCCCTACTGGTGTTGTTCAATCAGAATGACGAGCACACTCATCGTCGATGACAGAGACGTCGATGACAGAGCTTCAGTTAGAGTTCGTATCCATCAAAGAGAGGCCAGACACGGATATCTTGAGGACCATGACACCCTTGCAACACTCCTCGTCTATGAGGTTGCTGTGTCCAGCCAACAAAGTATCACTGAAGCCATCAAACGTATCGACCTAGAGTGTCATATCGCCAACTATGATGGCAGTGAAGCCCCCATTATCTGGGACGTTGCTCCTCATGGAATGAATCTTGTACATGGTGAGCAGACGGATGTAACTGCTGGGACAATCGGGGGTACAGGCCCCTCAGTCAGATGGGAGGCGGGTGAAGCACCAAACACTCAGAGGTTCGCGATCATTTACGGTTCTTCCCGCCAAGGACTAGCCTCATGGGTCCTCGATGTGAACAAATTTTCAGAGCCTACTAGCGTTGTGTTCCCATCCTTTCGGATTGCTGTCCTGTTGCGTCGTTCGAGCAACAAGAAGTTCCAATGCACTTTTAGGATCGACATCGCAAAGAGGCTCGGAGGATTTTTTGTTTCATCTTCTCCCAAAGATGTCTTCGTTTATGACCCATCGTTGCACCCAAGCAGCAGTCCTAATACACTACGAATCGAAGACCTGAGGAAATCAATCGATTTCCAGAACGACCCTGACAAACCCTTCGTCCGTGACGAACCCTTCGACCCTGACACTGGTAAAGCAGTTGAACCAACTGCAGAAGGGTCCACATCCATACCAACCATAACCCTGACATCTGGATATCAACTTCCAGCTGAAGGGGAGATTGCACCTCAACAAGGCCTGATCAAAGCTACTGAACTTCCAAGGCCAGAGAAATCAGTCGAATGGGCGAAGTTATCATCCTACTTTCAAGGAACAGCTGCAGCCGAATCACCAAGCACAGACGTCGCACCTCGGCGTGAAGCAGACACGCCACCGCACATCTGGGTAATCAACCGCCATTTCGATGAAATAACCGTCGTGGTGTCGAAAGGCGGAGGCTTCAAGACCTTGCCGGATGAAACAACTACTCCTACATATAGCCTTGTTGGAGAGGTCACATTCAGCGAGACGGTATAGTCCTCCTCACCCTTCCTTTCACGTACATGCGCCGTGCTCAATTCTAATCCTCTAATTGGCAGTTGTTTCGTGGTCCAGCGGTCAGAGAAACCCTCGCTCCTTACACTGAAGACTGCGAGTACTCTAGTGCGGTATTCCCTTTATGGCCGGGAGACAGCGGATTTGGTACCATCAGCATATTTACAGGGAGCGATAAAAAACTGTACCTGGAAGATGAAATGGTGCCAGCTGGTGCCAGGATCTACTTCGACCAGAAAGCGGACAGGCAACAGCTCAAGAATCAGAGTGCAGCTCAATCGCGAGACAGTCCTTTATTTCCCATCACAATCAACGGATGGACGCTTGACCCCGAAGTGGCCAACCATAGCAGCACTGAGTCGAACTATATCTTGATACAGAGTTGGATGCCTCTTACATCCCTGCAGATGAAAGAATTGGAGCAGATGGACCTGACATTCCACGAGTATGTGTCCTAGAACACATACCTGTATCGCCGTCGAGGGACCAATCTGGATACCAGTCGTCGCTTGTTCTACGTCAACTATGCGGATATCTACCCCCAGGAATACAAGATCTCAGGTAGTCTGAGGGAGGTGGCTCGGAGTCCCAGGGGGGATCGTTCCCGCATTCCACACAAGGTTGATATTGTCTTTCATGACGATGTCAACCTCGAAAAAGTCGGAAAAGAAATCGCAAAAATTGCCCACTTGAGACCAGAAACAATGCAATTCTGCCAACACAAAGTCCAGCAGTTGATCCAGGAGCAACACCTGTCCGACATAGCGTCGCTCGACGAGGTGCGAGTCATTGAAAAGGTTTACAAATCGACGGGGCGAAGCCATGTGGCGCGAGGAATTCTTCGGGCCGATGCTGCATGGGATCCTGTTGACCCACTGATACAAACTTTCGAGGGCGAGGGAGAGGTTATCGCTGTCGCAGACAAAGGATTTGACAGCGGGCACATAAGCAACCATCACCGCGCATTTTGGCATCAAGACGGCCAAGGAAGCCGCGTTTTGTCAATATACCCATTGAGCAACATCCCTTTAGTAAATGACTTTGACGGCCATGGCACCCACGTCTGCGGATTGGCTGTAGGCAGCGGCCATGCTGCAATCGAGGGAGGCATTGATATCCAAGGAACAGCTCCGAGGGCGAACCTGGTTGTTCAATGTCTTGGTCCCGACTACGATGGAGTACCTAAAGATCTTTGGCAACTTTTCGAGATGCCTTACTGGAAGGATAGAGCACGAGTGCATTCAAATTCCTGGGGTATGACTTGTGGGAGACACCAACATGGTTACGAAGACCGGGCCAAACGGATCGACCAATTTGTTTGGGAGCATACGGATATGGTGATTTGCTGGGCTGCTGGCAACGATAACATCAACCCTGGCACAGGACACCCGCTTGCACAGATTGGAGCCGAAGCAGCTGCGAAGAACTGTATCACAGTAGGTGCAACTAACAACGACGTTCACGACGCCGATCAACTTTTTGAGGATAGCAGTTGTGGACCTACCAGAGAAGGGCGGATCAAGCCTGATGTTGTGGCACCGGGAATACGTCTTCTATCGGCGAATTCGGCACATAAAGGGCATCCAGAAGAGCCCTCTGACGACCCCATGTGGAGCTACATGACTGGTACGAGCATGGCCACCCCACTTGTCGCTGGCTGTGCGGCTGTCCTACGGGAGGCTTTGAGAGGGCAGATGGACATATGGGAACCTTCTGCTGCATTGATCAAGGCGCTCTTGGTCAACGGTGCAGTACGCCTTGAAAACAGGAATCAATCAGGTTTTGGTCGAGTCAACCTTGCCAACTCCTATGCTGCAGCTCGTGGAACGGTTGACTCTGGTTTTAGAGAAGGAATAATCGAAGACGCAAACGCGTGGGGCCAGATCGATGTCCCAATCTCCAATCATAATGGGCCAGTGACCCTGAAGGTGACGCTGGTCTGGTCAGATTATCACGGGGCAAGACTGCAGAATGGCCTGTATCTGGCCGTCATGGTGCCAGGTAAACCCAAGCGTTATGGAAATGACGAGAACGACCAAAGGCGGATGGATAAGACAAACAATGTCCAGCAAGTCGAATGGAAAAGGATACCGCCACCAAAGGCAAGTATTATCATCCGTGCTTGGAAGTTGGATCGGGGCCTACAGGAGTTTGCCTGTGTTTGGAGAGTTATACCTACAGCGTAACCAAGGGGCTCTCTGAAGAAATTATTGTTCGGTACGCCTGGAGGCCAGAGCTGGAGAGAAGGACTGGAGCAAAGCTTTCTTACGATATAGGGCTGGGTGAAGATGTCAGGTTACTTGATTCTTGTATCCCGTGTTTATTTTCCGATGGCAGTATCGAGGCAAATTCCGGTAGGATGCATCAAGGCTACCACGAAGATGAAAGATGAGAAGACACACAGATTGGAGGAGAGAGTGAGAGGAACGGATATTGTAGGAGAAGAGGATAATGCCCGAAACGACAAGGAAAAGGGTGGAGTTTTCTATCTGTCCCTGGTACAAAGTAAACGACCTTGAACGATTTTATCAAGAAAATTCTGGCAACGGTGTAAGGGCACGGAATCTGTCAACTGTCACTTGCCCCCTCCCCCCCCCCCGCTCCTTTTGATGGCTTGTCTGAGACAGATACAATATCTCCCTGAGAGGTAAAAAGGTCACTTGAGTATCACTACAAACAAGGACACAGTGCACGACCAGGCCTCCTCGATGCGCCGTCACAAGTTCAATTAAAGCTGCCGTGCTCGCTTTGCTGATTGAGAAATGGTAGGGGATAAAGCACACCTCCGGTGTATGTATACCGGTACCGAGTACGCCGATCACTTTGGAGTTGGTATTGTATCTCATTCATTCGCTCGTTCGCTCGCTCGCAGATAACCCAAAAATTCCGACAACAATCATACCTAGGTATGGAAGGGTTTGTCTTGTACCATCCAGAAAGAAGAGCGCCCGAGGTCGTCAGTTGTCGAACAAGTGACACACAAACCAAAGGAAAATGGCGCACCCGACACACACCTCAGTCATCCTCGGCAATGTCAGGGTGGTGGCTGGATCAGCTCCGTTTTCCTCCTCGCCGTACTCTGTGCAGAGCCCTGGAAAACCACTCCGCGCTGTCCGGGTGCATCGTGTCCGTGTACAGAAACCCGGTAAGTACATTCCTCACATCGTCCCATCGGACCAGGCCGAGTCGTATGGCCTTTGCGGCGAAGTGTGTGGTGAACCAGCCGGCGCGCGGCGCCTCCTCCTCTTCCTCCTCCTCCTCGAGTTTCGTGTCCGTGTCCACGGACGATTCGGCAGTGGCGCCCACGTAGAGTGCCCAGAGACGGGCGTTCTCGTACCTTTCGTGGTCGGTCACAGTGTCAGGAGACCGCTCGCTGAGCTGGAGCAGCTCTCGCATGTTGGCTAGGATTGTGGGTGTGGCGTCAAAGAGGCGCACACCGCACACGGTCCCGTTGAACGAGATGGCGCGGATGTACAGCAGCGTGGCCAGGGCGATGTAGCCCTGGCACAAGACCGAGTTGACGGACCGTGGAGTCTCCGAGATATTCGTATTCGTATTCCGTACATCTATCGCCTCCTTTGCCTGCAAGAAGAGGTTGACCAGTTGGCCCTGGTGCAGGTATACCCGCACAAGCAGCCAGCCCATCAGCGCCGTGGTGGTGATGTGGCTGGCGGACGGTTCTTCGTCGGAGCCCAAGCCCGCGTCAGAGCCGTTCTGGAACAGCCACACCGCCAGGCTCTCGCGCCGCTCGATCAGTAATATACGCAGTCGGGGATTATCGATCGACGGGTCGAGAAAACGGTTTCTCACGTCCGACAGATTCGGGGGCAGGTAAGGGCCCGCGGCGTCGATTACGGGCTGCAGCCGCTGCGGAAGCCACCTGTCCACGTCGAAGATGGGTTTGCACAGGAACATGGACGACCGGTGGACGTCGTGGTACAGAATGTACACCAGGAGGTCCGTGTCGACGGGCTTTTTCTGGTCGTCATGTTCAAAGTACCACCGCAGCATGTTGAGGTGGGCGCCCGTGCTGACGAGGTCCCCGATCAGCGTGTCGGTACCCACAAGCAGATTGATATGCCAATAGAGCTGGCGACGGTTGAACCGGCCGGCCATCAGGCGTTTGTGCAGCACCGCCATGCTCTTCGCCCGGTAGTAGGCCGCTTGCTTCCGGACAGACGGGTTCCTCGATATCACCGCGGCCTCGGCGGCGCAGCTGGCGATGAACCCAGACCCGGCGCCTTCGTCCCCCAGGCCATCGACCCCGTCGCCCAGTCCGTCGACGCAGTCTCGCCAGTCCCGCCACGCACTGGCACTGGTCATCCACCGGTGCTTGGTGGTGTGGTAGAGGGCTGGGATGACAAAGTCGCGGTGGAAGCTCAGCAAGTCGTTGGCAGCAGGGGTGATCTCGACGGCATAGGCTCCAAAGGGGTCTGAATTTCCTTTGCCGAGGATGGTCATCAGTGATTGCCGTTGGAGTGGCTTGATGTCTGCCTCGTTGCAAACTGCCACCGGTTGCTCTGCCCGTTCTGGGAGGTGCTCACGGTGCTGGTGGTAGTCCATGTCGTTGTCGTCGTCTTTGTCGTGGTCATCATCGTCGTTGATCAGCGAGCGGATCGCAATCTTGGTCGAGGTTCGCTGCTGGTTTCCAACATCGTAGTCTACCGCCTCTGCCCTTTGCGCATGCTCAGCACTCTGCCCTGTTGATGTATGCCGAATATCAAGCACAGGGACGTCTATCGATGTCGACGTCGATGGTGGGGCATCAGGTATGTGAGGCAGCGCCTTGATCGAAGCCCTCAGAGCCCGATTCTCCTGTTGCCGCTTCCAGTTGCGATATTGGTTCTGGACGTGGGAAAAGACCTGTCGCCGGTTCGGTGAGGCTTTCATCTGCTTTGCATTGTGGTTGACGAACAAGAAGTCGCCCTCGAAGGGTTTTCTCTCGACGGGCATGTTCGTCCTCCTTTCGTAGTCTAAAAGACCATTATCCTATCTCTTCAGGTCTGCTCGACAGCAACGGTGAATTCTACTCGGCATGCGTGTGTTGTTTATCGTTGTTGTCGTTGTCCTCCCCTCCCCTCCTCCTCTTCTTTCTGGGTACCTAAATACTTTGTGAGAAAGGCCCCATGGCACAAACACATACGCTTTCGATTCACCACCCCCGCGTCCTCGGTAGCCCTTTGGTACGCCTCCGTTGGGTACTCCGAAGAAGGATTTCGGCGGCTCGCAGGCTGTTGGCTGGCTAGCTAGCGGCTAATTGGTAAGGCGGGGGCCCGGAACTTTACCAGAAACAGGAGTTGGCGCTGTACCTCCCACTGGTAGACCCCCTCGTAAACTTCGGGTTATGTGGGATGCGAGCAGTAGGTAGAAACCCTGAACCCTGAATCCTTGACAGTGTGTGAATCCTTCCCCAGCCAAATAGGATCTGAGGAGGGGTTCGTAATAATCGTAAGTCGTGACAAATACACACATCCACACATACATACACACACACACACACACACATACACACACCGACAAAGACACACGGACGCACAGACGTACAGACGCAGCAGGGGAGGAAGAACTGAAACGAAGCCAAAAAGAAAATGGTGATGGTGATGGTGACTAATCTTCGCTGGTCCTCGTAAGACTTCCAAAAACAAAAAAAAAACCTGGATTTGCGAAAATGTACCTCCGAGGGGTACGAGGTACAGATGGTGTGATATGATGTTATCGAAAACAAAATGAGAGAGAGAGAAAGAGGGAGGTGGTGGTGGTGGTGGTGGTGTCGCTAACACCTACCCATCTATATCAATCCACCCCTCCATCTCTCCATCTGGTACATGGCTTGGTACCCAAGTAGGCATGTACCGCATTACCTTCTCTGTAGGTATTGATACCTCGTATGTTTCTACCTACTTCGGTAGGGCAAGTAGGGCTGGGTACCTGGTCATTTGGTCAAGCTGGCAAAATATAGGGCGCAATCGGCGATTCCTCGCCCGCTAAATTGATAATTTATCCGTGATCGCGATCATGATCGCGATCATGATCTGGACAAGCGAGGATGAAGCGAGAGAGGGAAATAACCCTTTAGGGAAGACTGGGGACGGGGTCCCGGGTACGAGGTACGAGGTCTAGCGAGTGCACTGAGTACGGAGTATAGTGGGCACATATATACTCAGTACATACGTACACACGTAGCTCGAGTTGAGCGTTGAACTTGACTCTACTTTACAAGTACAACATCTCTTTCTGTACTGCCTCATGGTCGAGTTCAAAGAGAAGATAGAAAAGGAATAGAGGGGTATCTATCTCTTTATTGATGATTCACATCCAAGTCATCATCTATGAGCTACCCAACCTATGTAGGTACCGAGTTTGTGTGTATATGTGTGTATATTCCATGTGCCCATGTATGAATGAGTTCATGGGTAAGCCGAGAGTCTCCCTTCCTCGACTTGCCGTGTCGTGTCGTACCCTATATCCAATGTGTCAACGAGTGCAGAAGTCAACAAAACACAAAACACAAAGCTGATTGCTAGCACCTCTGTGGTATCTCTGGTGTCTCTGGTGGCTCTCGCAAGCCTGTCATAGCCTGTGATGGCCCGTCTGGTAGGCACCTTCGGTCAGTCCTGTCTGCCCGCCCGCGGCCATGCTCCGCCCATCGAAACCTCAATCGGGACTCACTAAACGAACGAACCTCGCATATCTCGTTCCACGGCCCGCCGCCTGCAGGAACCCTGTCGCCACTGTCACCACTTGTTGGCACGTTCCGGCGTGCAGACCCGCGAGTGCTGAGAATGGGCCAACTCCATCGATCGAACCACCCAGTCGTCTCGGTCGCTTTACTCGTAGGGCTCGCGTCGATTGAAAAAGGGAGAAAGGCCTGTTGTCCCGGATAATTCCATACTACGTATATCCCACTGGCTCTGAAAATCCAAGAGTTGTGGTCGCCTGCCGTATGTTCCACTTGAAAGATGCGTCTCACATCTCGCACTGTCACCCACCGTCCATGTCTTGTTCACAACCACACCGCCGTCGCCGCTCCAGCGCCATCGTTCAGCTTCGTCCTCGCAACCTCTTTAACCTCGACACCGTCCCAGCCCAGTACAAATACAAATCCCTCCTCACTATCGGTCAGCGCCAGATACTCTACTCCGTCAATCGTCGGACCGGGCTGGATCGCATTCGCCCAGCCGCCACTCGTAGGCGTCTCCCACAAGTACAGTAAGCCTTCGTAGAGTCCACCGAAATTGTATGCCACGTCCTGGGAGTTCGCGGCGGCCTTTCTGTACGATGGGTGGGCAGTGACCGAGGTGTCGACCAGGCCTTCGTTGGTCAGCTTATATACTGCAACATATCCCCTCTTGCCCTCCTTCAGTCCCCGTGTACTCGCGTACAGATACTTTGGTTTGTCGCCCGAGGATAAACTCGTCCGTACTTCGTCGGCCCAGTAGTCCTCCGCTTTCTCCTCTAGAGGAATTATCCGGACGCCCTGTTCATGTTGCAGATTCACGCCGTGATTAGTGGTGGAGAACACGTCCACAACGCTGGTATGTTCCTGCAAGCAATACACGAATTTTCCGCTGGGGTGAGGCCAGACATGTCTGGGCCCATCTGTGGGACGAGGCGAGATGTGTTTCTCCCCTAGCGTCAATTCCCCCGTTTTGGGATCGACTGCGAACGTCCAGATACAATTTCGCCCAATGTCCGCAACGTAGAAGGCTCGACCGTCGGGCGAGAGGTCCGTGGAATGAGCGCCGTGGCGAAGTCCTCCAAAGTCCATGACACTTCCATCATCACGCTGTGCGTCTGCGTCCACAAACGAGAGGAGTTGAAGCGGTTGGATTCTTCCGTCTTTGACGACCCCATTGGCTTGAGCATGATTGGAATTTACCGGTGCGATAATATTGCCTGTCTTGGGATCCAGACTAAAGACCTCTCCTGTAGCTCCGCCCGCAGAATAGAGCGCTACTTCGTTCGCTGTGACATAGCCACTGCGAGACCGAGTTGGAGCACTACCCAGCAACTGGATATCTGTCGGGGAGTTGACGGCATAGGCAACCACGGCGGGAGGCTCTGTCCATGCAGTGGCGTACAGGTTCCGCTTCCCAGTCTGCTTGGTGGGAGAGAGATGCAACCAGGAGTGAGACCCAATGGCAGTGGCGCAGTGAAGGACTTGGAGACTGCCTGCAGAGTCTTTCGAGGACGATAGGGGAGGGGTGAATCTCAGGGTATAGAGCTCAGGGGTGTTGAACGTGCCAACGAGGAAGTCGTAAGTTTGTGGCATGGTACAATATTCCGGCGGTGCTGGCAAGCCGTGGGATTAGTTTGGGGTGTTATTTAGACATGGTCAGGGTGCAGGACTCCTTTTCTCAATTTCAAAATCGAAAGTCAGCAGTCCTCCTTACACGCCGGGGAAGTCGGATCTGTTTTATCGTCTTTCAATGGAGTCAGTTGGGTGTAATATTGTATTTGTCAATCGGATCGAGCCCTACCAGCGAATTGGAGCCGCAGCCGAGGGGTGGGTGGCTGATGTGGAAATTCGGCCTCTTCGGGAGGTTTTTGTTGTCCGCAGGACAATGGCGAGCTTATATGCTCTGAGTATATCAATTCAGGTGATAATTCTGGAAAATAGACGGAGGACAGGGTTCATGCGCTCTATAAAATAAACAACTGCATATACAAGGTGAAAAATACAATTAAATTCTCGACTGCTTGTTCGGATCAGTACAAGGTGCGGAAAATAGTTTCCCCGATTCCCGTATCCGATGGGCTCCCCGCAATTCGACATTCTTAGCCTTATCCGAAATACGAGTCGCCCGTTGACTAGTGACTAGCCAGGAACTCCTCCGTTGCAGCTCGACTCAAGAAATCCTTGGTCGATGGGAAAAGACCTGATGCTGCAGCATAATGAGGCTTGAGCACCCATGGGGCTTTGCTTGGGGACGTGGTTACTATGAGAAAAGAAGTCCGCCGAATCATTCCGAATCACTTAAAGGGCAGACTCTGTTGCCACTCCTTGAGCTCTTCCGGGTCTGGGGTATAAACGCGGATTGGGTTTTTCTCCCAGTCCCAGTGTTCCCGGGTATTATCCTGGAGCCGTGCCATGATGAAGCTTCAGGTGGTAGAAGAGGTGGGTGCCAGAAAACTCGGGGGACGGCTGCGGTATAATGTGTTGGGACCGGAGCGAGGGTGGAGAGTAAAACGAGGAAACAAGGGTCGCAATGGCACCAGAACAAGTCTCAGTGGCGTTTTTTGAAAAGTTTCAATGGCACTGTTTGACGGAGTTTGGTTATCTCTGAAGAGTATATCCAAGAATCAGGAAGGGCCGACCAAGTCAGGTGATTTGTGACATAGTAAGCGCCGGATCAAATTGGCTAGTGTTCGACGTTGAAATCCCTTCTACAGCGCATATTTGATGTGGGGCCTGCGCTGTGGATGGGAGCCATGCCCTGGGTTGGGGCGTCCTTCAACTTCTGCCTTATTGTGCTGCCTGAGCTTCCCCTAGTCTCTGTGGATAGCAAAGCAGAACATTCGTGGTATCAGACTCCCACTCCCTACGTTATGGAATCCACCACAAGTCGTGGCCTTTGTTACTGCACAGGCGATTTCCGAGGACGTCACTATGAAAAGCCATGTCAGGGGAAGCGAAAGACCGCTGAGGATTGTCGACTCCGTTCAATGACTAGACTCGCACCTTCTCGTGGAGTCCGGCCTGAATCCCTACAGTACTATTTCACCAGAAAAACAAGATGTACCAGTTTTTGTTCGCGGGCTAACCTCCTAAATACTCTCTACTGAGTCTACCGATCAATCCCCGAAAACAATAAATCAGTGAGTTCCAGGGCATAATTGGTTTGACTGCCAAGGACTTGTCGTCGGCGTCTCCCACATTTCAATCGAGGCCCAAGTGCGGATCATGGGCTATGCCTGAGCAATACACAGGAGAAATAAGTGACCCGAACTGGTGAAAACAAGGAGAGACTAATACCCACAGAACTAGAGGAGTGTCGTGCATTGAGACTGCTTTCCACATATCCATCGGTGGATTGTTCGGACACGCCACAGACCACTTACAGCAAGGCTCCGGGCCGCTTTTGGAGTACTTTGTCGGTGCAGGAGGTTTCACCCTATTAAATCGCACACCCACGCGAGCACGGCCGACATCTGTCTTGAGTTGGACAACTAGAGCCACATGCAGAGAGAGAGGGGTGGAGGCAATGGAAAAAGTGAATGCAATTCGCATCCTCGCCGAACCAAGTTAGGAAAAGAACCAGATCTCTGTGTACGAGCAAATTCAATGAATTCAATCGATTCTCTAGGTTTATAGCGGTCTTCCTGCACAGACTCCGATCACACGAGGCAAATGCGGAGGTGTCGAACCTCAAACAAGTAGAATCCATTACTTGGCGCCGTGGACAAACACCCGTTCTTCGAGCGGCTTGAATGTCTTCGGGTAAGGCTCGCCAGCGGGCTTGCCAAAGACCAGCTGTGCTTTTAAGCTCCAATTGTTGGGCACGTTCCATGTTGCCGCAATCTTTTCGTCGATCAAGGGGTTATAATGTTGTAGGTTTGCGCCAAAGCCTTCCTTCTCCAAAGCGGTCCACACTGTTTCCTCCTGTCAGCCAAAGTACAAAAGTAGAGGGCGATTCACGAGACGCGAGGATGACTTACAAACAAATTGGTGGATGGCATTGGTGTGTTCACTCCATTGAGGGAATTTGTCGGCATAGAGAGGGAAAGCTTCCTGGAGCTTGGCGACATCCTTGGGCTCCTCGTAGAACAAGATGGTGCCATAGCCCGCCTTGAATCCCTCAAGTTTCTTCTCCGAGGCAGGCCACGCATCGGCGGGAGCAACCGACTTGACGACGGGGATCACAATATCACCCCACAGTTTCTTGTGCTCCTCGTTCAGCAGGACAACCACGCGGGTTGACTGCGAGTTGAAAGAGCTCGGTACATTTGTGATGGTTGTGTTGACAATCTCGTGGATCTTGGAGTCAGGAATCGGAGACTCACTCGTCAAAGCATAGTAAGACCGGCGAGATTTGACAGCTTCTAAAAACGATTCCGACGACATTTTGCTGATCGACGATGTGAATTGACGTGCTTGCGACGTTGACTTTGTAAGATGTGTAGTGGTTGGAGTTTTGAGGGAGTGGGTGTGAAGTGGAAGAAAGACGGACGCAGACGGCGCGCGAAGTGGTCTGATGTTTAAATATCTGAGAGTCTGAGATGGCGCTGTGAGACGCATAGTTCTTGCTCTGGTCCTTTTTCTCTTTCCGATCTTGAATGGGCGGTCCACAACAATGAGCCAGCGCAGGGTGAAGGAGAGGTGCTTAAAAGTGGAGGGTTCGACTGAGGAACGGATTGGATCGGGTAATGCTTGGTGATGGGGTGATGGAAGAATTGGATGACCACTTCAGCTAGCTTGCTGATGGGATGGGCTAGAAGCTGGTAGACAGTTGGTTCTTCGGTGGCTCCACACGGTCTGTAGCTACGTGAGCAGCATTGACAAGGCTGGAAGATATTCCGCGCTTTGTCAGTTTTGGTGATGATGATGCCGTAAGCAGTGAGGATTGCGTCAAGATGAATCGGTCTTGTGGCGCGACGATGGAGATTTTGCGGGTAGCGAGAGGTGGTGATTCGTGGCGTCGTGGAAGATGGAAGAAATCGAGAGTTTCAATTGTGGTGGTGGTGGAGCTGGTGCGGCTAACATCCACAGAGCGTCCCGGCAGTTCAACATCCGCCGTTTGGATCAACCACTATAAGGACAAGTGTTTTGTCTGCGCACTGGTTTGCGAACCTTGTCCTGTCGGGTTATTTCTTCGTTCTCAAGAGGTTGCGGTGGGTGTGTCAGATACAGCTGACCTCCAATTACCAAAGCTTCCTTTCTCCTTTTTCAGAGAAGGGTGAATAGCTCCATAATCATTGGGCACATCCGAACCTTGTATCAACTCCCATACGTTATGGTATACCCGGATGAGTGCCGTCTGCTCAAATAGAGCTGAGGAAACAGACAACAAGCTGAAGTCTATATAGCTTCATCTCGGTGCCGCGTCCCATAACCTCGGGCTGGAAATTGGGGCGAAATTGATCCGATAATTCTTCCAGACAAGCCAACATCGACGATCTACTACGATGCTCCTGATCGTATGCGACGAGACGGCATATCGGGAAATTCTCCGCTTAATTTTGACTGTATATACTGTGGACCATGTCTCCCACGATACCGAGAGCCGGCAGTCCGTATTCCCATTGTTGACAAGTCCACCCCCCATGGCTAACTGAAGACTCCATATACAGACAACGAACCCCTTTTCATCCATAGCTCTGGTGTGCTCTGGCTGAATGAATCGCATGCTATGCACTTTTTTCTGGATCATGTCCGGGATTACTGGTTGTCGTTCCCAGGCTGCCGTTCGTGCGAGTCCTCCTCGACCGCACCTCCAAATCGTGGTGCGCACGGCTGCGCGTAGCATGTAAAGCGGCCATGTTGGCTTCCTGTTCTTCTTCTTCACTACCACCCTCTTCGTCCACAGGCTTCCGGATCGCCATGGTAGGTGCAAATTTGGATCTTTGGCGGAGCTTCTTGCCAAAGAAGTAAAAGCACACAGGTATCGGGACGCAAAGAGCAGCAACGCAGCCAAGAAGCGTGGCAGCCCATTCGATGCCGAGGTTATCAAACATCTGGCGCGCAAAAAGGGGGAATCCTGCAGCAAGACACGATCGCAGGAAGGTATTTGCTGCAATGGCCGAAGCAGCGCTAAAGATTGTCAGTACGTGCGTCACTAAAATGTCGGGGAGGAGTTTCCGACTTACAACATGAGGTACGAGTCAATGATGTAGTTGAAACAACAGATGAAGATAGCCAACAGACCAAACCCGGTAAAGAGACCAGACAGAGTCGGAACGATCCAATGAATTGATGCCTTGTAGCCCGTCCAACCAAACCAGAAAAGACCAGCGGCAAACAGCACTCCCCCGACAATGACCGGCGGAAGACGCCATTCTGGGACTGGAATTCCGCCATTAGCCGCAAGCTTCTTGTTATAGGCCTTGGAATCCCAGATGATATAGCCGGCGACGATGAAGATCCCAGCGACCATTCCAAAAAAAGGTAAGCCTGCGACACCAGGAGTGATATGGTGGACACCCTGGAAAACCAGAGGGTAGGCCGTCAGAAAGCAGTACAGGAGGCCATAAATGAATGACATGTAGCAGGTGATGGCCAGAATGATGGGCTCGGAGACCAGGAGTCGAATTGGACGAGAAAAATTCTTAGTGATGAGCTCTTTGAAGTCCACCTCAACCTCCTCTTGCTTCGCGTGAATGCCCCAATTCTTAGTTCGGCGGCGCAGTTCGGCGGCTTTGCTCACCAAGACCACAGGGGCGTAGGATTCTTGGACGAATAAAATGACCAGGCACACAGCCGCCGAGCCCATTATGCCCGGAATGTACAGGTTCCAACGCCATCCTAGGTAGGATTTGTTGATAAAACCTCCAATGAACGGTCCGAGCATCGGGCCCATGAAAACCATTGAGGAGAAGATGACAATAGCTGTGCCTCTCTGTGTGTTGTCGAACATGTCGGCGAAGACGGCAGCCACGACGGCCAACGGACACGAACCGAAAAACCCTGTGAAAAATCTGGTAATCATAACTGTCTGTAGATCCTTTGCTGTGGCACAGCCAAAGCAGAAGACCGAGAAGCCAAACATTCCAACGATGATGGGCAGTTTTCGACCTGTTTGGGCAGCGTCAGCATGTCGGCTTTCTCTCGGTTCTGACACCACTTGCCTCGCAATTCTGAGAAAGGAGCCCATATCAACGGGCCAAATGCGTACCCTAGGACGTAAAGGGACGTGCTGAGCGTGGCCACTTCAGCACTGACTCCGAAATGAGCAGCCACACTGAAGGTCGAGGCGGAGAAAATAGAGGATGTGAAAGTACTGCACAAGCAGACATAAGCCAGGATTGCGCCCATGTACAACCTATGAGCAACGTCAGCATGAGCGACTTCTGTTCCGTCGTGCCGATCCGTACTCACTTTCGCCTGAAGGGCCAATTTTGAGGATGTAGAGGATCATCTTTGCCATCAAACTCCACAACGTACTCTTCCTGCGCTGGCAGATCGGGAGGATATGGTTTTCCACCACCAAATTCGGGTAGAGGTTTGGTGTCCGCCTTTGACTTTATACTTGCTCCCACGGTCTGAACTTGCTGCAGACGATGTGTTTCCATTCTGAGGTCCTCAATGGGATGGGTCCTCGTTCTCACGGCCCGTGTCGAAGGAACTGTTGCGCTTGAGGCTCCAGCAGTAGCTATTCTGCCCATATCGGGTGCAGAGGATGTGCTGGAGCCTGTAGAGCTCGAAATTCCAGATTGCTGAGATCTCTGGCTGCGCAATGACCGGCGCTCTTTACTTTCATGAGACCATTGGCGCGTGGCCTGGAGCTCAGCCCGCTGCATATCCCGATCGACAATATCCATGTTGGCAGATGCGCAAGCTGCTCTTCTCGTGTGTATTCGTGTATTCGGGTCGTAGGGAGCCTCTGATATATGGCGGATTCTTCTAATCTCGTAAGGATGCCTCGGTCTTAAAGGCAAAGTACACCTTCCGCACAACTATGTCAAGGCAGGGGTGGCGATGCAACTGTGGATAAGAATCAGCCGCGCATGTGTGAAATCGGCGCCGGCTCGCGATAGTGAAAGCACCGATAAGTCGGATATAAATGGGTATGAACGGGGTACGGGGAGCCGATATCCGGCAGGAGTTCAGAGAGGTGTCGAAGAGCAGAAAAGAGGGGATGGCAGCGCAGCGCGATGGGTAAATATTATTGATGGTTGTGGTGTGGTCGATGGTGAGGTCGTGGAAGCGAGAATATCTCGGTTTCAAGGCGATAAAGGATGCAATGGGTAGTCCATAGGCAGAGCGACCGATTCGCCAATGGATACAAGCAAAAAGGATTGTATGTGCGAAGTGAGGGAAATCCAAATACTACAATGGCGATGATGGTGGTAGTGGTTGTGATTGTTACTGTGGAGAGGCGTGAGAGGGTAATGATGACACAGCTGCGGGCCACTTACACCAACTGGGGCTGCGCCCACGAACTATGACATGGCCGCATCCTCCCCGCGACAACCCTTTTCCTTTCCTCGAGGCCGCTACCGCAGCTTCTGCATTAGCTTCGAGAGCCCAAGCTTGTGCAAGCATATCCGGGCGAGTTGTCAACCACGAGTTGCGGCCGCAACATCACACCCAAAGGAGCGAGACGGCCGATGGGACGCCCAGCGCAGTCCGAAACCTCCATCCATGCCCAGGCGCTCCCAGGTTCCTCCCAGCGCGCCCACCGACTGGCACCGCCCACACATTTAGCCGAGTCATCGCACAAGAAACAATTGTTTACTTTGCTGGCTGATTAAGCACCTTTAATACTAGTCTTGACGCCAGTGCCGACAATCTCTGGCCTCCTTCATCGAAGACTTCAATCCTCCCGAGGCGCTGACACAGTAACATGTGGGACAACTACGGAAAACAGACTACCTTGAATTTTAACTTGTTCCTAAAGATGGCCGTTACGCGGCCTCGATATTTGTCTCAAAACTAACTCGTCACCAACTTTGACATCGACAAAAAGTCTGTTGCCAGAGTGCGCTGCGAGGGCTCTGTTCTATGCAGCATGAGTGTCCCTGCGTGATGACGAAGACGATGTCTTACAGGAGGTCTTATTTCTGTCATTCCAATGCGGTCAAGGGATAGAGATCGAAAGAAGCAGTGATACTAGGTTGGCATATTTCACAAATCCCAATCAACAACTATCGCTACAGCATACCTCACGACGTGACCCCGTGTCCAGAAGTCAAGCGATTTTGCCGTCGAATTTCCGACCATCGAGTGTACTCACCTGCCTCCAGGACGTTGATCTTGCGGGTCAATCCACTCGGGTTACCCAAAATCACAGGTTCCCATTCTTCCTCCGCCTTTTCCATCCTCCGATCCTGAATACCTGGGATCATCTGGACATTTCTCCGTCTAAAGAGTACCACAGTGAGAAGAAGAGTTAAGATCATAAGTACACCTGCAACGATGCCGGCTGCCTGCATACCACCATACCTTCGCTCCACTCGGCCCCCAATGCCCGTGGCCACCGCGCCGAACACGAATTTCAGAAACTGGGTGACGGCTATGCCCGCACTAACTCGTGGATAGCAGGAGAAATTTGTGCGCTGTTCTCCTCTTCGTCCTTTGACTGATCTCCGCACAGGGCGCCCAGTCATGCCTGGTTGCAAGTCTGATGTGTCGAAGGTCAACATTATTTGAGCATAACATTCTGCAATCGCCAAGTTTGAGCCACATCCAACAAAAGCGGCGAATACGCATGGCACGGCGACTGGAAAGGGGGGCTTTCTTGACGACAAGGCGTATCCGATTGCAACAAGTGGGAGAAAAACCGTGAAGAATATGCGCCGAACGGTATGCGACCGCCAGATCATGGCCCTCTGGAAGGTCATGCTGTCTGTCCTGGGACGGTGGTACCGAGCACGACTCAGCCAAGATGCTTTCTGGAAAGGTATTGCCAAACCTGATCCAAATGCTAGGGAGAGAACGCATAATCCAACTTTGTCTGGACGATAGCGATATTCAGTGGAAGCTAAGGCTCCGAGCAACTGTTGACATTAGTCAAGCCCGTCAAGCCCGGCAAACCACGGTCAAGAACTCACCATCAGAACCAGAGTGAATTGTGCGTACACCCAAGCAGCATAAATGGATAGTACTAGCAAGCCTGGCTGCTTAGCCATCCGCCAACTCAGCCGCAGAGCTGCCATGACTTCTTCACCCCACCAGTAGGGCCCGTTCCCGGTGAGATGAAGTTTGATCTCGCCACGAGCGACCCTGCTGAAGCTTCTGCCCTCGCCAATGACTTCTGCGATTGTTCGCCGGAATGCCGATCGCCGTACTTCTGGCGCAATGAGATTGAGCAGGATGACTGCCAATAGCAGCAACGACGAGATCCAAAACCCCCAATCCACGGAAGTGTCGCTAATGATGAGTGCTCCAATTAGAAATCCAATACTGATCGAGCCAACAGTGCACCATGACCAGATAGCTAGCCAGACTCCCATGCCACCTCCGTGCCGGCGTACATCGTATGGATCAGGTAGCTCATGTGAGTCACTGCTCTTTAGCGATGCGCCGAAGATATCCAACAATGTGGCGAGGTTGTTGATGTCAGCGAAACCAAGAACAAAACCTGACAACCCACGAGAAAGGAGGAGAATAATGCGATATCTCTTCAAATCGGGGGATCTGAATGAAGTGATCATGAGCCCCTGAGGTATCTGCAGACATAATGTCAAGGTGAGTGCTGCAAGGGTGTAAGGTTTCCGTCCGTGCAACAAGGGAAGGGGCCAGAATACCAAGGACGGAACGGCAAGTCCAAGATAGAGGAAGAGGTTCCCAAGAATGACATGACGATTGAAATCGACAACGACATACTGAATTGCCGGGACTTCTCCTGCATATATGCCGAGAAGTAAACCTAGACAGGCGACATTGATGCAGCTCACCACCGCAGCGAAACGCTTTCGAGACGGTGGCCAATTTCGAGCCACAGGTGCATGGTGACAAGTGGTGCGAACATCCAAATGTTCTGCTCGCTCTGGCAGGTCGATATGCTGTACACCATTGAGGTCAATGATGTAGGATGGATATGGCGATGGACGTTCCATATTGATGCTCACGTGCCGGGATGGAATGCCAAACATCTCACTGAAATGCCTTTCGTGACCCGGTCGAGGGGCACCTAACAATGGTTCCTGGTCTTCATCGAACTGGACAACCTGCTGCCCGGTGTTCAGCGTCAAGGTTGGCGCTGGCCTCGAGGCCGAAGATCTGCTTTCTGCGATACCTCGGGAAGATGTGGTACGAGGGCCAATTTGCGGAGGGGATAGGAATCGAGCTGGTCCGTTCTTGGGCTCTGCAGCCGATGCTCTTGATCTTCTGTCCCTCGACAGTTTCTTCTTTCTCTCCTCCAAAGACTCAGCGACAGGTTCCGGGAGGGGAATTTGTGGGTCATCGGTACTACGCGTCTTTCGGCGGCGAGGAGCAGAATCTCCCGTTTTTCTCTCGTAATTGCTCACACGCATTTCCGCAACAGATGTTCGCGACTTCAGGGAATGCCCGCCTTTTGGTGAGGATACGATGTTGCATGTTCTTGAGGAGACTTCTTCCAGATATTTGCTGATCTTCTTTGCGAGACCTAGCGACGGCCGGTTCGGTGGGCTGGGCAGATTTCCGTTGTGTTGTTCGGGTACGAGACTGTCGTCTTGAACAGACCCGGCATTTTCGGCGAGTTTCACGGCTTCTTCAACCAGTTGCTCTAGTTCTCGAATGGTTTGAGCCATGGATGCCGACAACTTTTTACCCGAATAACCATCATCTTCGCTAGTGTCGTCATTGCTCTCGTTGCGTAACCTCTTTGGAAAGTCGCCATCTTGTGCAGGGTGACTTGCAGAATACTTAGTCGTTCGGCCTTGCTCTGCTTCCATTCGCCGAAACGTATAAGTTTCGGATCCGGATCAGAGGGTTCAAGAGGAGTTCGGCGTCGTACAATTTGCGAGGTGGGGCGATTGATGTAAGGACTGACTGAGATAACTGATAGGGAGGTTACAAGCTAACAAGGAAATTTCGGTGGAATTGGTGGATAATATCATATCTTGGCCGAGGAGTGCGTTATGGAGGGCACTGCAAGGCTATCAATTGCGCAAGCCGCAGCATTCATTCCCACGATCATCGCTGAGATCTGGCAGGGTCGATCACGAACACGCAGCCAAAGCGGCTAACAATTAGTGTTAGCAAGCTAAGCTTTCTCTGGGCAAAGCTTGGTTGTGGCTTGGCTTCGGTAAGACAGCAAAGACTGGCGGGCGTGGCGGGGTACCTGGAAGATTCGGAGCGAGCCGACGATTGATCCGTCAGGATTACATCTACAACTCTACTAGGTATGTTGATGATGGTTCTGCAGATGGAAAAACCTACAAGTGATGGGTATTGTCTGGTCCGTATTCCGTAGGTACACAGGACTCAAGAGGCATAAAGGAAAGAAGATTGTCAGGTGCGCGCAGTGGCTCGTCCCCGAGATTCGTCCTTGTACCCCTCCTGTGCCTGGCCCCTCCATTGTTGGCTCTCTGCCACGGTTTGAGGATGTCAATGCGCCTGTCAGCGTCTTTTTCTGTGCCCACGCCACACGATCGTGTCATGTCCCCCCTTCATTAGCACTGACAGCACAGTCATCTCTTGTTTTCGTCTCACTCTTGACTTTCACCTTCTTTTCCTCTCATCACCCACGACACCTTGCTCTCCTCCCTCTTCCCCTCTTCCTGACCTGCTTTTTGCCTTGATAACGTAGCTAACTAACTACAAACCTCTACCGATCACTATTCCAACCCAACGCACTCCACTGAGCAATGTCCTACTACAACGATCGAACCGACGGCTCCTACGGCCGAGACTCGTACAACCAACCTTCCTCTTACGGGGGTCCACCTCAAGTGCCTCATCCATGGGTTGCCGAATGGGACGACCGTGACGGCCGCTGGTTCTTCGTCAACCGCGAGACCGGAGAGCGGACCTTCCAACACCCGCAGCAATCCTATGGAGGAGGCGGTTACGACGAGCGCGGCTACGGGTCTGGTTATGGAGGACAGGAGCAGGAGCCGGAGAAGAAATCTCACACTGGTCGAAATGTGGCGTTGGGCGCAGCTGCAGGACTTCTCGGTGGTGCCCTCTTGATGCACGAAGGAGAGAAAGTTGGTAAGTGTCAAAATCGGACTCTTGCCCACTCGGTATACCGCCGTCTGACGTATCACAGAGGAGAAGTGGGACGACGCCAAGTATGATGTCGAGAATGACGTGCGTGATGGGGTGCAAGATGTCGAGGACTTTCCAGAGAATGCCGCCCGCTGGACTGGGGAAAAGGTTCAAGAAGTCGAGGATATCCCTCAAGATATTGACCGCAAGTGGGACAATGCGGTGCAGGATGTTGAGGATGTGCCCGAAGATGTTGCCGGCTGGGCCGGTCGAAAGGTCGGGGATGTCGAGAGTAAGTTGATCGTCGGATCTATGTCTCTGGGATACTGCCGAGTTTCAATCCTCAGTACAGCCATGCGTTGCTAACGATAAGGCAGGATTTGGTGACAACATGGACAACGCCTACGACCAAGGCCGTGATGATGCCCGATACGACGACAACAATTACTAGGGTGCGTCGAGATCCTTGATGCTCCATTCTATGAGGTTCTCGGCGGCTTAGACAGCGTTCACGAAGTGAAGACAGCGTTACAATGGTTATGTTTATGCTCTTATCCAGCATCATGGTAGCCCTGCTGAGCGATGGAGTCCTCGTGGCATTATGTGGACAACTAATTGATCGCCGTGCCCAGACAATGCGGTAACCACTGCCTTTTGCTGTTTGTCGGGCACTCCAGACCGAATGAGCTTGTCACTTGAACAACCTCGAGTCTAGCGAGAGATCCTCTCTCCAACATTGGCGCATGTCCCTTTATGGATGTTTTTCCATTTTCTACTTTGTCCCGAGACCTTTGTGTGTTTCACCCGAGGGCGGGGGACAGGAGCGTCCCATTGTTACACCATCTCATGCGACGGTGTGGGAGGAGTGCATTACAAGTCTGCATGCAATTCTCAAGACGACTCAATTCCAGCTGTCAAAAGCTTCGTCTTCAATCACCAGTTCTGAGCCTTGTTTTATCTGCCCAGGCAGTAGAACAAGGCACTGATTGCACCAACACTGCCTTTGACAAGTCTCCTCTTTGTGACGCATTACCAAGAAATGCACTCTGGTCCTTTGTTCATGTCACTGTCTCTCGGAAAGACAAAGAAACTGGAAACTAACTTTCTCGATCGCCCCTTTGGAGGCAAGGCTATGTCAACCCCTTGCCAAAGGCCGCTGCCTTATGAAGATGCCTTTGCGGGCTGCCCTGGCTTGTGATATCTCAGAGCGAGAGGGAGCCATTACTTACTCTCTCCTTCTTCCCTCTCGCTTTGTCCTTGGTTTACCGTCTCTCAGAAATACCACCATTCAGAGAGAGAACGAGTCTCACGCAACACTGAAGACAGGAAAGAAAAACACCCACTCGCGGTCATTATCCAAGTCGTGTGAGAAGAGAGAAACAACTTCACTCCCCCTTCCATCTGCTCTCTCATCCTGTCCTGCCCCAAAAGGAAAGGAAGAAATGGCTGACCCAACCCAGAACACTCCACCAGATGACAGAACACTCCCGTCCCTGCGCCGGTTCGCGTCAGCCGATGACCTTGCTGACTTTGTGCACGGGCAGGATCCAGGCGACACCTCTCTCCCAGCAGGTGAGTCAGGCAATAATGTCAGAGAGGACGTGATACCGCCTGCGACTGCTTCTCTTGAGGAACAACTCGTTCGTTACTTGCGAGAACAGCAAGACCTTGAAGGTGAGGACGCTACTGCCAGTACCAGTGCTAGTGACGGTGACGGTGACGGTGATTCCGAGTACGAGTGGTTCTCGTACCAAGTGTACTTTGCCGAGGAGGACCGGTTACTTCGTGTTGGTGCTGGTGCCGGTGCGAGTGGCACTACTAACGTCCCAGCTGGCGGTGCTCTGAACTCTCATCCCCCGATGTTTTTCGGAAGGGCTGTCGACCCTGACGATGACGATGGCAATGACGATCATGATGATGCTGACGACGACGACAGTGATAACCCCTACACCGACGCGAACCAAGTCGTTTCTGACCTCAGTGACGTATCAGACGACGACAATGACGAAGAAGAAGAAGAAGAAGATATTGATGACGAAAACACCCCTCAAATAACCCCCTGGCACCCGCGCCTGGTCGTCACGCCCAGCAACCCATTCCGCCAACGCCGCCCCCGCAACCGCAGACAACCCGCCCACGTCCACGACGGCGGCCCCGCCATGCTGTTCTTTGCCCTGTACAACTGGCGCCAGGCGCGGGACCGATCAGCCACGGAGGCTTTGCAGCGGGCTGCCGCGCTTGAGAGAGAGCGGGAGCGTAAAGCGGAGCGCGAGCAAGCCGAGAGACTCGAGCGGGAGGTTCAATTGGAGAATCGGGTCTTGGGGATCGGCGGAGCCGGGAGCATCTGGACCGGGATGCGGCTTCGGCGGGACGAGAGGGACGGGAGGCCTGTTGTCGATGATGTTGGCGGCGGTGGCGTTGGCATTGGGTGTTTTCGGGGTGATGGTGATGACAATGCCGCCGCCGTCGTTATGAAGGATACTTTTGATTATCGCAAGTTGGCGACGGCCGGGGCGAGGCGGGAGAGGCAGTTGATCGAGGCCCTCGAGGAGGGTGAGCGTGGGTTTGAGTGGTAAGTACTTTACTTGGTGAGATGTGATTCAATTGGAATTGGGGACGGAAACACAGCGGACGTTAGAGGAAGAGAAACACACACATGCACAGAGAGAGACGGAGAGGATGTAGTGTCTACTGTAGATGTGCGTGTGGATGTATGTATGACAGCAAGAGTCTCGACAGGATGAAAATCAAAGGTACTGTAAACTACTGTAAAATACTTGACTCTTTAGTGAGTGAGTTGGTATTGAACAAAAAAGAGCCCCATCTCATCTATTATGCCACCTCTTGTCACCTTTTTTCCATTTGAATAACGTCTAGATTTATACTTCCGTATTCGTATCCGTGCCGTACCGTACACGCCCTTTTCGCCTGGGCGGTATACACAGGGCGAAACCAATATTGTAGGCTGTGAAATGAACAGTTATGCATTATGCAATCTTTTCTGGACTTGTAATCTCGCATCTCGCGAAATTCGCTGGGTCGGACGGGGCGGGATACTCGTGGAAAAACGTAGTCGCGACTATGTATTTGTTGGATCTAGACCTAGACCCAGACCTAGACCTGGATCTACGCCCAGGTGGCACGACTACTACCACTTCTTTCTGTACGTGCGTGACATGTGTTACCTTTGGTGATGGGCGGTGACGATAGAGAAGACAAGAGGTGAGGAGCACACACACAGAGATCATGCTCATAGCTCTGCCAATATCACCACCAACTTGCTTCGAGCCCATCGCACCTCAACAATCTCTCACGCTGCTTGTACTTGTGCTTGTCCTTTGTACCAGTCGAGCAGGCTAGACAGGTCTAGACAGTGTCGTTGTTGACCTTGCCAATACCCTCTTCGTGGACGGCGACGGCCCCGACGTTTCCCCGCGCCTGGGCCTTTTCGTCGACGACGTGTTCGATCTTGAGGTGTTCGCCAGCTTCGTCGAGCGTTTCGGCGACCTAGATTTTTGGAGAAAAAGTGCGTTAGCATGGGTTGTCTGTACATTCAACTGGATCCGACCTTTGGCAAAAGAAACTCAAGTGACACAATCGAGGGGAAAGAGAGGTATAGTATAGTAGCGCATGAGGAGATCCAGTTCCTACCTTGTCGCCGAAAATGGCCTCAATCTCTTCCAGTGTCTTGTGTCTCGTCTCCGGGTAGAACAGGACAAAGACAATGGAGAAGATGAAGCTCGAACACACAAAGATGAGGAAAAACTTCCACGAGATGGTCTCGATGGCCTCCGGGGTGAATTGCACCAGGATGATGATCAGGACGTGCTGCGTCATGTAGCTGACGGCCACGCCGACGGGGCGCACAGAGGTGGGCATGATTTCGGCGGGATACTGTAAGTTCATCCCGGACATGTCAGTTCAGGTCCTTAAAAACTAACGCATTTGGGGTGGAATCAAAAAATAACAGGGCTTGGGGGTACGAACAGTTGCCAAAAAGGCGTTGGCAGGTCCAGCGTATCCAAGCCCGACGAAAAACATGGCCACAATGATGCCCTTGGCGAGACCGCGGTTGGTGCTTCCGCCGTTTTCGTAGACGGCCCAGGTGATACAAGTCGTGAGGGTGCCGGCGATGATGAGAATGTACGATGTGATCTGTCCTTTGGTTTAGTGGCTGACAAGTTTCAATTACCCAGGCAAGGAAAACTGACCATGGTTGGTCGTCGTCCCATCCAGTCAAAGCAGAAAGCGGCGTATATGGCAGAGAGGGTGCCAACGGTGCCCCATACACCGGTCAGGATGAGCGACATGACGTTGCTGAATCCAACATTCGTGTAAAGAATAACCTGGTAGTTTTGGATGACGATGACACCGGAAAGCCTGTAGCGGGACAACGTATCAGTACTCCTATGTCTCCATCCGGATCGCGGTCATAAACTTACATGCATGCAATGGCGTACCAAAACACCAACAAGAATCGCTTGCGGTACGAGGGCTTTTGCCAGATCGCCTTGAGTCCCAGTCGCTCTTCCCTGTCAAGCTCGATCTGGGCCTTGATCTGGTGGAACTCGCGCATGTAAAAGGTGTCGTCGTGCGTGGTGCCGTGCATCTTCTTGAGAACCGTCAAGGCCTCGTCGTGGCGGCCCACGTAGACGAGGAAACGGGGAGACTCGGGCATCAAGAAGGAGCAGGCAAACATGAGGGTGCCGGGGATCAGCTGGCAGCCCAGCAGGAGGCGCCAGGAGACGTCGCCTTTGATAAAGTAGAATCCTAGGCCACTGATGGGAAACTCAGCATTCATTCTTCCCAGGTGGCAAAAGAGATAGACTTACACCCATTCGGTAAAACAATAAGCTCCGTTGACACTGACTCTGCGAAATTGTCAGCTCAATAACCTAGCAAGATCGACAGATTCCTCACGCATAAAGCCCGCCAATCCGGCCTCGCATCATGGGAGGTGCAATTTCGGAACTGTAGGCAGGGCAGACGACGAAGATCAAGCCCGAGGCCATTCCGCCGATGACTCGTCCAGCCACGAAGGTGCCATAGCTGTGGGCACCTGTCTGCATGGCCGCAGCGAGTATAGAGGCCAAACAGCCGATCTGGATGGTCCGAATGCGGCCGTATTTGTTGGGTAGATACCAATTCGAAGCCATGCCGACAACGGCGCCAGCGTAGTATGCCGATCCCATGGCGCCAATGGTGGTAGAGTTCAAGTTGAAATATTCGAGGAAGGAGGTATAACCAAGCACCGATGTCGTGCAGGCTGTGTCAGGTGTCAATTTGCCGCCGTGTCTGCAGCGTTGAGATATGCAGAAACTTACCAGAATCATAGCCATAAAATACGGCCCCGAAGGTCACGTACAGCACGCAAAGCCAATTGTATCGATTCATGCTGGCCATGTTTGCAACAGCATTCAAGGGCCGACTTCTCAATCAGATTGGACAAGGGAAGAGAGTGTACGGTAGTTGAGCTCTGGAGAAGCCCAAGGATGGGGCGTGATTTATGTATATAGAAAATACGAGCCAGGGTAATCATCGGGCTCAGTGCCGATCGCCATTGTCTGCCATGCGACAATCAATCCTGAGTAGGATTTTCCTGACTACGAAGGGTTGACCAGGGATCAGGAAAGGTTAGCAAACAAGACCTGGGCTTGAGGCGGGCAAAAGCCAGAGTTTGTGGAGTCCCCACAGAGTATCTCAGTCTTGCCTCGATCAGGACATCCTCGGAAGCATTGTCCAGTCACACGTGGGGAGTTTGTGGGCTTCTCCGCCTGTAATTCTAGGACCAGCAGTGCGGATCTGGTGGAAGTCGGCCGAATGTGGGATCTGGAGTAGCGGGAGAGCTCTAGAATAGCCCAAGATTATGCTGCGGTGTGGCGTCTGGTAACCGCATAACTCTTCGTGTTCAAGGGGACGGGCCAGAGCAGCAGAAATTGCACAAAGTTCTTGCGGGCATGTCAGTTTTGATAATTCTCGTTAGTTCTCTGTGAACCTGCTGGCGCAACTTGCACAGTATCAGCAGAAAACACCCAAAAGAGTCCATGTTCCGAGACCCCGGGATGCTCCTCAAGTACCAGGATCTGTAACTGCATTTCTTGCACTAGATACCCTCTGGAAAGCCCGGTAGCGCCCTTGGCGCCCTTGCACTCTTACCTGGTCTAGTCCGGGGGAAGCGCATTTGTTTGACAGCCAAATGATTGGCCCCCTGGTGTGAAGGCGGCGGTGTGTTCTCCACACCTGTAGCTTTTCAAGTCCCGTTGTATACCTCATAAGTCAGGATTTGATGACATGGACCGAGTCATAGAAACGAGTCTCATAATTTTCTGGACCGACAGGTGTTTCATCTGCTCCCGGAACAAGCGTAACATCTCGACTCGTTGGTGGTTCATTGCGTGTAAAACATTCACATTGAGCTTTTTCCCCGTGGGATGTTCCCCGGCTTCTTCACTGCCCCAATGTATCACTCAGAGTTTTTTCTCGGTGGCGAATCATCAATCCCGTGGAGAAGTCGAACACTATTAAGATGCCCCGTAACGCTGGGGGGTTGTTGCGGGGTTTGCTCACAGTTTCTCTCGTTCTAGGTCTATGGGGAACTTGGGATGTTTTCTCTGGGGTGGTATTTCTGGGGAGCATCACCACGAGTATTAAGGAAATGTCGAGCAGAACAACAATTCCTGAAGTCGCGTAAGGAATTTCGTTGACGAATGATGGGAGGTGAGATGAGAGGAAAATTACTAGGTAGCTCTCATATACAGTGGCTTGGCGCGCCATTCCCGATGAGGCTGTATATAAACCGACAAACCCTGTTCACTCACAGCTTCGACTGCCCGTGAGGCCTGATCACAAATCCAACACGGGGAAAGTGGATTCTCACCTCCCCCACAGCTGGACCAGTACCCTCGCTCGTCTTTTGAGGCGTGATGACCACTTCTTCCGGCGTGAGGGTCACTATTGTCCCGATGGTCGGACTATCCCTTCCAGTATCGTCAGGAGCAATCGTCACTTCCGCACCGACTGTAAGACCATTGCGTGTATCAAGGTCGCGATGCGGAGGAGCTGGGGTCGCCAGCAGCGGGACTTGATCCAACAGCGGCGTCTGTTTCAATTGCTGCAGCACTTGTTCCACACCCTGTGTGTTCTCCTTCTCGAGCTTTGTTTCCACACTCGGCAGCCCGTCAACGTATGCTTTGAAGCGCTGGAACCAAGAAAATAACCCGGGATACCGGTCTCTGTTGAACACGGCGCCCATCCCCTCCCCGTCCCCATCACTCGTCCCTCCACCTGTCAGGTTATCGATCCCTTCTCCACGACTGATCTTCTCGCCCCAGTCGAGCTGGTACCACAGTGCCAGGTCCGCGACACTTGGCAGGTCGGTTCCGAAGAGCCACGACCTGGTCTGCTCGCTCGAGAGCAGCGGCTCCAACAAGCTCAACTGCAGATCCAACCCGCTGAGGTTTTCAGGAACTTTCCTCGCCAGCTTCTCCGCGTCGAGTTTGTGGCCGATCAGATTCGAGCGGTCGGCTCCAAAGTGCGTGCGCCATACACTCGCTGGGATAAGCCCCGTGGTTACGCGGAAAAAGGGGCGGTCGGTCCAATATGAGGCAAAGCCGCGGAGCAGAGGGCGAAACGAGGCTGCAGAAGATGGGTAGAGGGATCCGTAGCCGTGTGCGGGAGGGAACTGACTCTCAAGAACTTCGAGGATCAAGGAGGTGTCGATGTAGACCTACCACATCAAGGCTTACATTCAGTTCAACGCGGACTTGTGGCAACCCAGGAGTATAGTGCCGAAGAGGCCGGACTGAGCCAAGAGGCAAACTTGCTTACCTCGCGCCCAATGGCCAGAACCGGGATTTTTCTGTACGTCACATTGAAATTATCCTTCAAGATTGGCCGAGGCATCATCGAGGGCACAACGACGAAAGCTGTCCAAGTAAACACCACAGTGTCAGTCCAGGATAAAGATCACAGAACAATCTCGGCAGGTAAGCGTTCTTTGTGGGTTGCGGCTCTGGTATGTTCAACATACTGTATGGTATCTGTTTCAACTTGAGGGCCAGCTTCACCTTTGTGGTGAACGGCGACGCTAGATTGACTCGGCGTTAGCTTAACACTTCTTGATTCTTTGAGTAGGCACGGGCTATATCTCACAGTCATATCCAAAGAGGACCACAGGGGCCGTGGGTGCTGAGCCGTCTCCGGTCCCCATGATTGTAGCTCTCAGGCAGTTTTAGTCAACTAGGAAATTGGTGGTGACCAGAAAGATGGCAAAAGGATGAGAAAGTTCAAACTCAACTCTTCTATTCTGCGAGGATTGCGGTTAATCATCAAAGGGCGTGCTGGTACCTGACATGAGTAAACACCTCTTTGCGTACATGTACGAGGTACGCGTCCGCGAATTGTAGCAGGAAGAGCTGAAGTCAAAAGTCGGATGAATGGGTATTTGTTGGTGCTTGAGCCTCGGTTCGGTCAGAACTCGTCATTTGATTTTGACGAGGCTGGCTCAGCCTTGTTCAGCCTCGTGCTCCTATACAAGTTGTATCTTGGTCGCATTGTTCAACAGAGGCACTCGGTACAAAGCATAAGGTTTGACCCGCATGTCGATGCCACCTTGGTACGATGCCCCTCTCCAAAGCTGATTCTCCGTAAAGTACAAATAGTTCCCGGCCACAGAAAAGGTGTCCGTCCAGCCGATCCGCGGATCTTTCACATATGTCTGTACTGTCCCATTTTGATGGTTGGAAGTGACGATAGAATCAGTTTCAACACTTCCAGCGTAGACTATACCGTTTGAATCACTCTCCAGCCCATCACTCACACCCTTTTGGCCGAGGTCCATTACCGATGCTGTGGCAAAAAGTTCAGACGATGCACTCCTGTCTCGTAGCCGAGAAGTAGGCACACCATACAAATGACGCCCCGCAACCACTGAAAAATACAAGACATCCCCGTCGTTGGAAAGAGTGATTCCGTCTGCACCAAACGCAACCCTGGAAATAGACGTCCCGCTACCTGCGTTCACATATACAGAGTCGCCCCAAACGTTGACGTAGAAGCCTAACTCAGGACGGACCTGCGGAATGTTTTCCAGATGACGCCATGATTCGCCAGTCCCTAGATCCACCACGATGATTCCATTCCGCCCTTCGCTAGAAGAATCCGTAATGTAGGCGATACCTTGGCCCGAGGTCGTAAGAGAAGAACGCAAGTCAAATCGAACGTCGTTCGGGTAGGAGTCGGGATAGGCCACCGTCGGCGGGAAAAGAATGATCTGGAAAACGCTGTTTTTGGTCAAGTCGACGCCCACCAGTTTAGGACCGCCAAAGTTAGAGGTGGTCAGTGTGCCGTTGCTGAGGAGGGCTCGGCCAGTGTCCAATATCCACAAACGATCTTTAGGGTCGACAACCACACTTTGGACAGACATCAGATAGTCCGAAAGACCTTTTGTAGTGGGCGGATTTGTTGAATAGTTGACTGCTCCTCCTGGGGGAGAATTGACCTGTGCGCTGGGAAAAGGGATCTCGGTGTTGTTCGAGCCAAGCTCAGCGACCTGGTATCTCGTATTGGTGTAGTCAAGCCCTAAAGAATAGCAGGAAAACATGCGTCCAGAGGCAGAGACAGCTACCCCTAGAGGCAGATGTCAGTTGAAGTTAACCTCGGACGAAAAGTGGCAGGTCGCGTACCTGTCGGCCATTCGTCAAAATAGAGGTGCATCAACTCGAGTGGCGGACCCACGCTCACTGGATCGCGATCAGGGATTTGAGCCGTAACAGCACCCAAAAGCGCATAGAAGAGGACATTTGTGACGTTCAACTTCATTTCGATAGAGTTGTTGCCTGGTGAAGAGATTGACCGTCAAAAGTAGCGAGCCAAGAGGCCAGGTGAACGTGGTCGAAACTGCCTGCAGCAAGCTATGTAGCTGTCTCCGGATCTGCCAAAGCTTGTCATCTAGTGGGTTTTTGTGCATGGGTGACGAAATCACAGCGGAAACTGTATCCGCGGTGTGATGACCATGGCAAATCCATATGGTACAATTGGTCGACACGAGATCGAGAAGATGGAGTCGAGAATGAGCAAATTCGTGATTGGTGTATTCTCAGCCGCAGCTTTCAGCTCATGAGATATGGCGTGTTGCACTGAGTATCAGGTCAACTGATCGACGTCATGGTGACGACCGAGACTTCGGCAAGTGTGACGAGGCTGAAGGACAGCCTGGCAGCATTGGGCGAGTCTATAGTGCTGTGCGTCTGTTCAGAGTAGGCGAAGTCCACAACAGTCAATGGGCACTGGTCGCACCGTTGCTTGTCTTTCCCACCAGAGCATTGATAATGCTTCCACAAATCGTTTGTCCGACGCGCTCCAGCTGTCCAACCCCATGTCCAGCATGTCTTCGTGATTGATCTCGATATTGGCCTCCGCGGCCTGTTCAGCCAACAAAGGCTGGCTGTCCTGCTGGCCCATCTGATCATTGAAGTTTGAATCGGTGTCATCATCATCATCATTGTCGTGGTACCTGCCCTCAGCCTCCGTACTGCCGTCTGCCCTTGAAATGGCAGCTGTGACAGTTTGAAAGATGGTCGCGGTCAGGCGGTGGAAGTATGCAACCACCGCAACTTCACGGCTCTGCTCCTCCTCGTCTTCACCATACAGCAGCGTCGAGTCTCGTTCGATCTCATGTTCTTCTCCCTCGGCGAACCCTTCACGGCGGTCTCCAGCAGAAGCCCACCAAACGAAAGAGGTGTATGCCATTCGAGACCAAGATGGAGGTTCCACCACTAACTTGTTGGTGGAGTTCGAGGATGAAAGTGAAGAAACAGATGAGGCTTCATCATCAGTAACAGCCGTCTCACTTGGTTCTATCCTCCGGAGGCCACGCATGAGGTTCGCAAACCGACGAAAGTCTCGTTGAGTAGCTTTGATGGAAACTTTGGGGAAAGCCTTGGTCAATTCTGGGCTTGAAACAATAATTCGCGGAAACACTTTTCCTGAGGCAGCCTGTAAGCCAGCCTTAGGCATGAGTACAAGGATATCATAGAGGTCGGGTTTTGAGGTGAGCACATCATCCGTCGTGCAAGCGATGAAACCGTGGTTGCTTCCGGCGGCTCGAGCCTGCTCGAGCTGGGGGATGTCCATAACACCAACAGTGAACAGTGCACGCAAGCGAGCAGCTGGGAGATCGACGTCGTGAGGCAGCAGCGATTTTGAGACAGACGAAAGAATGGACAGGTTATATACTTCCACAGTCAGTGTATGACAAGTTGGCGTGACAGTTTCATGCTCACCAAGATTACAACAGAACTCAACAGGGGCATCCGTGACGATCAAGATGCGTCTGCGAAGTAGGGCTGCTCGATAAAGTGGAAATATCAGGGGTCCAAAGAGCTTGATGGAATCCACCAGTGTCAACGCAGGATGGTGAGGCGTCAAGGCATGATGCGGCTGGATAAAGGTTGTCGCCGCGGACATTGTCCTTGACTTCTGGTACCCATTGGGCCGGCGGGTTGGGTCCTCTTCTCCAGACTCAAGAGGCGTTTGTGGCGCTGCCTCTTCAGGCCGCAGCTTGTATTTCTCCCAATACTCTTCGAGAGCAGTAACACTGCCTGGGTTGTCGATTTGTGCACTGCCCTTGTCAACAGATGCAGCCGGGAGCGTTGTACCGCGAGATCCTACCTCGATAGTTCCACCAGAGACTGTGCATGACGCCAGATCCGGCCCATGCGACCGTGTTCTAATGGTACCAGTGCACCAACCGCCAACATCCGGGCAGCACGGTCTGCCTGCTCATCTGCCTTGTTGATGAAGGCGCTAAGTCCAGCATAATCATCGTGGATAAAGTATCTTCCCAACCATTCAGTAACTTTGACCAGCTCTTGAGTATATCACTCACACCAGATCCTGTTCGACGTTGTGCAGACCGGACGGTAGGGACTTGAACTCGACAACATTCTCGACGGGGACTGTAGTGGCTGGTCAGTGTGCGCGCTAGAAATGAATTGAACGGGGAGGTTTACCGTCGTCAACAGATTTATGCCATCCTAGAGTGTATCTGCAGGATTGTTAGCATGCGCCAAAGACTTGAAAGGGCGCATAGCCATACCCTTTGCGATGGTCAAAGTTGACCAAGAAGAGGGCCAAGATGGGAGGAGTCGGAGGTTCGTTCGACGTGTCAATCCTCAAGGAGTTCGAGGCTTGGTCCGCCATTCATGAAGGCGCTCTTGCATAACGACAACAGAAATGCTCGTGCTTCTGAACATCGGTGGGGATATGGGGTAGGGGGAACGGGTCACAATTGGAGATGTACGGGTAAATCGCCAATGCGAGTAGCGTGGCTTCAAAATCAAATGTCAAATGACGTGGGTTTGAGACATATCAAATGACAGAGCCTTACACTCCACCACTCCAGACAGCACTCCGTCGACAATGTAAATTAGATTCATCCAACACAGAACCCCCATTCAACGACGTGAGACGTTGAATGGTCCAGTACAACTAAGCGAAAGAGCATTATCGCCGCCACGGTGCGTAGAAGACCTGCCTAAAAAGCGAACTCCAGTGCGATGCTAGCCACTTGCTGCAAACAACACTTCATACCTTACTATATTACTCTACCAGGGGCACTACCATCCTCCATGATCAACGAAACCAAAGGCTGTGACGGAATGATTGTTTCTACACTATCCTGTGCTGTCCCTTTTTCGTTATATGTGTGGAATGAAATCCGTCCATTGTACGTTGAGGTATGCTGTCCCTGGCACGTTTCTCAACTCTGCAAACGCCTCTGCAATTAAATAGAATCGGGCCACCCCATATATGATCGCCAATGGCGTTATCGTTGCAAACTCCCAGGGCACCGGCAATTGCTCGGACTTTCTCTTCATTGTGGCCGATCGTCGAGCGAGACGAATCTTGTGTTCTGCCAACGCTTTTCGGTTGAAGACGAATAGATATATCGTCCTCCAACGGCCCAGGCGTGTCCAGGACGCTGCGGTCTCAAAGATCCAGAATGCAGCAGTAATACCGAAGAGGAGAAGCGAGCAGATATGCCAGAGCAGGCGCTCGATGCGGCTTGGAAATTCAAAGCTCCAGCCAGCCACGTGAATGGCAGTGAAAAGCAACGTAGCAAAGCACAGAAAGTATTCTTGTATACCATATGGGTTGGTCGGAAACCTGTCGTTGGGAATCCGTTGGATCGGCCTCTCTGGAGGAATGACTGGCATCTTCATGAAAGGTTGCACATTGACGGAATACCCAGGGCCATTTTCATCAATAAAATCCAGCGGCGTCAAGCTCCAGTCGCGGTTGAGCGGATCTCAGCAAGGGAGTGGGACGAACGGATGTGGATGGGCGTCTGGACATCTGCTGGTTTGTGAAGCCAGAAACAGGATGTCATGAGCGAGCAGACAACAATCGCAAGTGCGTTGAGCTCCAAGGTTGTGATTGCCAGACCTTGAATAGCACGAGCGATGCATTGGATGATCAGATAGGAAATTTGAAATGCGGTAACAACTTTGGTAAATGTGTCCTGCTTAGACTTGTCCCAGATTTCTTTGCGGGTAATGGCGGGATATTCGACAAATTTATTGACAACAAGCCAGTGAAGCTGAGTTGCGTTGATTGGGAAAGGTTCACCGTCGCGAGCGTGAAACACGAAGCCTCCCATATCGGCAAAGAACGCCTGCCGCATGTGCCAGTCCTTGTAATTGTACGCCTTGAAGGACACAACGGATTGTTTCGCTCGACTCCACTGACCCGCAGCATATGTGAGAGGGAACTCAGGGCCCAGAATACCAAGGGCCATCCATAACAGGCGGCGGCGGAAACGAGTGAAGAAGCTGTCCTTGGGAGCAGGCACATTGAGACACAACATGCTATACGTGCTGATAAATATCGTCACAATCGATGTCCAGAGAATATCAAAGGTGCCCCGATAGTCAGGCTGGTTCACCCAGTGTCTGATTCTCGTCGATGACGAGAATATGCTTTGCAAATTGGCGTCTGGAGCACAAGTAGAAGTACCTGGTCCTGTCGCGTTCGATTTGGTTTCTTGACTCTGGCATATAATGGGAAATAGTGATAGGCCTAAGAGAAGTTGAGTCTGCCAATTTCTCGCCCTTTGAGTCCCATGGTATCTCTCGGTGGGAACAATGCTGCGCATGAGTGGCTGTGGAGAGTCGTGGAAGATTCGCTCGATGCTGATACTCAGTACCAGTATCCAATGCTCGATGCTGCTTCACAGCTGTTGGGTGGTGGATGGGCAGAGAATGGAAGAGACTTAGTGCTTGCGGTTCCATCTTAAAGACGAGGAGACTCGGTCAAGCGCCGTCCAGCGTCGACTGCTGCTGCTATCTCTGAACCGAAGCTGAGACAGACCGTTCGTTTTTAGAACGTGCATAGCTGCAGCATCGACCAGGATTGGAGTCCGGCCCCTGAGGAATACATTCAAGTTAGTCCATAAAAGTATTATGCTGCACCAAGTTCATGCTGACAGCCCACCTGCGATATCAGTCGTGGGTGGTGGATTCTGCACAGAATCTTCAACGTCGAGTCAAGCACATCGTCAACACCCTGACGATTAGCGACGGTTCGGGACGTGCCATTCTTCGTCAGGAATTCGAGTCCCAGCCCACAACCTGCAGGGAAAGCCTAGACATGAGACGCTCCCCGGTCCATGGTGGAGATTGATGTTTCACAAGCCGAATGCTATACTCGTATGTACTCTGTAGGTCCAGGCACTGTAGTTGCGCCGGTGTTGGGGCCTTTTTGCTAAGCGCCTGGCTGGTGGTATCTGGAGTGATCAAGGACGAATCGAAACACGAGATGGGGGATTCGCGCGTACTTATCAGCTGTCGAAACAAACCTCTTACAGGGAGTGATGGCAGACTAAACATTCCATATCTTATTATTTCTCTTTGTCTGTTGTAGTGCGAGAAGTTTATGGCCGTTGTCGCTCAGCACCAAGAAGTTTCCCTCCCAAGTTCCCGAGTTGTTGTTGTTGCGCAGCTGCGATGATGACATTTTTCTCGGCGATCCTTCGACCTCTCCTCATCGGTGTCACAGCCAGCGTCGGCATCTACCTCGCCTTCCTGAGTCTCCTCACAATCCCTTCGCTTCAGGATCATGTTATCTACCTGCACCGTGTGACGCTGACCTGGTTCCAAGATGTCAACGTACCCGAGCATTGGGGTTTTCTCCGGAACCAGGTCACCCCCTTCCTCCTCCAAACGCCAGACGGCGAAACACTACATGCGTGGCACGTCCTGCCTCTCGAGACATATCGAAAAAATGAAAAGCCGCTGAGAGAAGAGCCGACAGGGTTGTGCCACAATATTAAAGAGAAATTGGGGTTTAAACTACTAAGAGATGATCCGACTGCTAGGGTGGTCATATATCTACATGGAGCAGCCGGTACACTGGGATCAGGCTGGCGACCTCAGAGCTATCGTGCTCTCTCTGCTGCTGCGCCCAATGTCCACATCCTCGCCATTGACTACCGCGGGTTCGGCTCGAGCACTGGGTGGCCGTCAGAAGCTGGTCTTCTAACCGACGCACTTACATTGACAGATTTCGCGATGAAAACTGCTGGCATTCCGCCTGAGCGAATCGTCGTCTTTGGACAGTCGCTAGGCACGGCAGTCAGCATATCTCTCACGCACTATCTAGCCTTTCAATCACCTCCGACCTTTTTTGCGGGAATCGTGCTCGTAGCGCCATTTGCAAACGTCGAACTTTTGACCCAGACGTATAGCATTGCCGGCACTATCCCTCTTCTTGCGCCTGTCGCACGTTGGCCGCGAGCTCTGGCCTGGCTGAACAGTCTCATCGCTACCAAATGGCCATCAAAGGATAAACTCGCTGAATTTATCCGTCTGTTAGAGACGACGAAGCTTTCAGAGCGGAAGACGAGCTACGACATCACCATCATCCACGCACAAGACGACTATGACGTCCCGTGGACTCACTCGGAGGTTGTGTTTTGGCATGCTGTCAACGCAATCAGACCGCCCGGAACGAGCCTGAGTTTTGAGGAGTTGGAGGCGGAAAAGGCCAGGCGGAAAGCTGAGCTTGGAGCTGGCGGATGGGAGGTCGAGTGGAGAGGCGAAGCTGGAGTGGTGCGAGAACAGATTGTGAAGCACGGCCTTCATGATCGGATCATGAGCTATCCAGTCGTGAGTCTCGCCGTTGCACGGGCATTCCACAGCCTGGATCTGGAATAGATGGCCACACGCACACATAAACAAAGCTCCAAGTTCTCACCGGTCTCGAGGGTTTCTTCCGATGTGCTTGGCTCTTGACTAGCACCGAATGCAGTGGGATTCGCCACACCTTGAACCAGTGCGAGTATACGAGTATGCCATCGTGCGAACATGCTTCATTAAAATCATGACTAAACACCACATCTTGGCCATCCAACCGCCCTCGGCAATCGCCACTCCACAAGGCCATTCTATTTACTGATCTCTTTTTGCCCTCGACTAATCAGTCCACAGTAGATCATTCCATACCTGATCTGGTCGTTGCTCAGCTTCGTTTCCTCGTCATATGGTCTTGTACATACGTACAAACAACCCTCCCGCTTCTCGCTTCCCGCTAGAGGGGTAGATCAACCTGTACCAAAAAAACCCCGATGATTCAGCCAGTCTCTAGGTTTGCATCGCGCGTGGTGGGCGCTGGGTTGTTGACAGTGTCTTACAAACCCGCTCTAGCATTGTCTAGGCACTACTGCATCTGGTCTAGTTCTATTCTGACTTTGACTGGGCCCTGTCGATTCTTGTGCCTCGGGGTGAATATTGATAGAGAATGTCATCAAACTCTGCGCTAGCTTTGTGGACGACGACGGACGTTGTTATGCTCGTTGTCGAGAATTTGTCTTTGTCTGCAGGATGGGGTCGTTGCGCTTTGTCAGCCTACCGGGCGGCCGAAGGGGAAGGGAGATGGCTCAGGCCCATACAGTCAGTCATGCAGCGAGATGTTGGAGGGAGAGAGATTGATCAGGCAGGAAGCCGAGCTTGTGGTGGTATGTATATAAAAGAAGAGCCTGGCCCCAAGGCAGGCCAGTCAGCGCAGGCAGGGAGAGATAGTGTACACTCCAGCAAAGCCAGCAAGTTATATCCTCTCAAGACGCCATCACTACCAAACAATCAACATGGCCCAGACCTTCGTCATGCGAGGAGTTGAAGGGAAAGTGAGAAAGACACCAGCGAACATTCCCGAACTCAAACCTAACGAGGTGCTCGTCAAGATCACGCACAGCGGTCTCTGCGGTACCGACTTATTCTTTATCGATCCGGGCTGCGCTCTGGGTCACGAAGGGGTCGGGATTGTCGAGAAGGTGGGCGATGCGGTGACGGCTCACAAGGTCGGCGATCGAGTGGGCGGAGGATATCTGAGAAGTGTATGTCCCGTTCCATCCAGTCTTGCACAATACCCTTGTCACAAGGAAACCCCTGCCTTGATCCTCTCTTCCTACTCTGGGCCCTCGAAGACTCTTCGTCATTCACTTGAGCTCCGACCTAACCCAAACCTCCTCTCTCTCTGTCCAGAGCTGCGGCCAATGCAAATACTGTCTCACGGGCCACGAAACGCTGTGCTACCAGCGCGACATCTTCGGCTTCGCCAGCTTCAACAACGGCACCTTCGCCACCTACTACGTCGCCACCGAGGGGTACGTCTACGCGATTCCCGAGTCGATGCCCTCGGAGATCGCGGCGCCGCTCCAGTGCGCCGGCGCGACCGTCTACGCGGCGCTCAAGACGTACTATCGACCGGGCATGCGGGTCGGGGTTCTTGGGATCGGCGGCCTGGGACACCTGGCGATCCAGTTCGCGGCGAAGCTGGGCGCCGTGACGACCGTCTTCAGCACGAGTCCCGACAAGGAGGACGAGGCGCGCGGGTTCGGCGCATCAGAGTTTGTGGTCCTCGGGCACGAGGCGGAGGGGTTGAAGGAGCCGGTGGATTTGTTGCTCATCACTTCGCACAAGGCTCCGGATTGGTCTACGTGAGTACCTCTCCTTTTCCTGATATCACCCTTTACCGTCAGGAAAGATATTTCCTTTCATACTGGATAGACTGGAGTGCCCGTCTACATGGCTACGGCTATATATGGCTGACCAGGAGACTGTGGGAGGGATAGGTTTATGAGTGAAAAGGTCGTGGCTCGGGGAGCCCCGATCGTTGTCCTGGGGGCGATTGGCATGACTCTGGAGTTTCCGTAAGTTTTTCTCTCCCTCTCTCCCTTTTATGCCCCCTTAACCTCAATCTTCATCCTCATCTCCATCTCCATTTTTATTCTTACATTTTGAGCAAGATTCCTCCCGTACTTCTTCAACTGCTACAACCTGGTGACCAACCTGGTCGCCTCGCGCGCCACGCACGCCGAAATGCTCGCCTTTGCCGCCCACCACGACGTCAAGCCACTAATCGAGCAGTTCGCCATGGACGAGGCCGGCGTGGCGGAGGCTGTGACGAGGTTGCAGAGTGGGAAGGTCCGGTATCGGGCTGTTTTGAAGGCGTAGTTCGGTGCGGACACGGACGTGTACAAAGGGGGGGGATGATAGACGGGACGAATATGCTGGTTTGAGAGATAGGACATGCCTCCCACCGGGTCCCCAGAGAGGGAGAGTAAGTAAACGAGTCAAGAATGGTCGATGGTTGACAGCTAATGCTGGTGACGGACGACAACTCCAGCCCAGCAGGGATATCTATCATAACATTATATCATCCCTTCATCACCCACTCGCTTGAGCCGGCTGAAAAGGGCAAGGGAAAAGAGATGAAGAAAACAAAAAGATATCACAAAAGAGCTAGCGATCGCCAATCTTGTCCAAAGATCCCACCCTACCCAGTATAGTACTAGTACCATCCTTCCTCAAAACCGATGTCCTGTTCCGCTCTTCTCACTTGCCCTTTTGCCATTTGGCATTCATTACAATAGATGATAAAGTAAATACAACACATAGAGAATTCTCCGACCGCCTCGCTTCGCTTCAAAGAGTGAAGTATGAATCGAGAGGTGACATCCAGGAGGTAGGGGAGGAAGAGGGAAAGGAAAAACGCTGTGTTGTCCACAGATATGGCCCTCCTTTTTTTTCCATCTCCATACTTAACTCCCGCTAACAAGGACAAGAAGAGTAAGATTATAACTCAAGAAGAGGGACCGGGATGTATGAATAAGTTATTCCCCCTCCCTCTGATCCCAGCCTCAACCTCTACTTAACCTCATTACCACTCATGTAGGTCTGTATTCACTCTCTCATCACGTCAACGGACACTCTGGATTATCGCTCGGACACTCGTACGCCTCACAGCTGGTGCTGCCGCACGTTTCCTCGATGAAGACGCCGCTGTCCCACCCGGGCGCCGGCGACGCGACGACCTCGTTCGAGTACAGGAACTGGCGGCACTCGCTTGTGGCGGCGTTGTAGGTGAAGGCGGTGCAGAAGCCGTTGTCGTCGCACTCGCGCAGGCACGACTCGTAGTCCGGCTGTGTGAGGATGTCCCAGTTCGGGTTCGAGTCGAGCGCCGTCAGCTGTTGGCCGCAGTAGACGGTCCACTGGCAGCCGCCGCAGCCGGGGCCGGGGACGATGGCTGAGGCGGTTGGGCAGGCTGTGAATCCTGTGGTAGTGGTAGTGGTAGTGGTGGTGGTGGTGGTGGTCGTAGTTGTAGTGATTGTGGTGGTTGTGGTTGGCAAGGTAGTACTCGTTGTAGTAGTGGTAGAAGGTGTGGTAGTAGTTGTTGTTAATGTAGTAGTAGTGGTAGTACTAGTTGTAGTTGTGGTAGATGTAGTGCTTGTAGCCAGCGTTGCTGTGGTGGTAGGAGAAGCCGTTGTAGTTGTCGATATGGTACTGGCGGTGGTAGTAGAGACAGTCGTCGGTGTAGCCGTTGGAGTCTTGGTCTTCCACGTGGGCTGAACCGTAACCTAAAAGCAATGGTTAGAATACATCCCAAGACAAGCATCAATCCATAGTCTCTACCTACCGTGATAGTTTTGGGCACCTCAATGCATGAACACGCAGTCTCCTGCTCATGTGATGGCAACCGCTCGAGCTGCTCCAGCAGCGAGTTGATCGGGTTCGGTCGTCCCCACGAACGCTTGTCGAACCAGCCGTGACCATGGCCAAGCGACGCCGTTACGGTCACGGTCACTGCTGGCTCGGGGAAACGGCCGGCACAGAACTGTTCAGCTGGGCCATACCCTGCCAATTCAGCATATTGCGCATATATGCCCACCTCGCAGACCCCATTCGACCCAATCCAACCGGCCAAGGCTGGGGTGGAGAGTCCAAGGCCAGCGAAACCGAGAAGCTGGCACCGCATGCTGGAGGCTCGAAGAGGAATGTCGAGAAGCTGTCGTTAGGGGGAAATGTAATAAAGTCGTCCACCTCTCATATAAATGCGTGAGGTTCTGTGGAGGTCAGATATAGCAGTCGACACGATATGACCAAGGGGTCAAAGTAGGGCCTGGAACCTCCTTTACTCTTTGCCTGGCTCGTACTCGGTACAGTGTGATCGGCCATAGTGATGGCCGCACTGACTATATGGCCAGAGAACCAGACGAGGGCACGCCATGGCGTATACCCCCCAGAAACACCGTTAGCTCGCCCTCTTTACTTACTTAAACGGGTAGAGAGGCCTGAACGTGGCTTGCACCAGTGCCTGTTTTGGAAGCAATGATTGACTTGACGCATACAGTCTAAACTGAATTGGACCTGGTCAGGGGCCAAAGACGCCAGATGCATTGTCAAATCTCGCATCGGCAGATTCCAGCTGTTCGATACAAGCGTGTCGCAGCGAAGAGGTAAAACCAGGCCTTTTCTGATCCGTCGATGGATTCCAAAGCAATTTTGTCTTGTCACGTATTCGGGGTTTTGACGTCCTGTTCCAAAACATGTCGTCCGGGTAGGAGCCTCTTACCGTGACTGCCGTTTGTATTCTCTCAGTCTTGACATTGGCGAGGTGGCGCGAAAAGGAGTGTATTATGAGATGGACCCTGCCACCACCAGCAATGTACTTGGTAAACTCCATTTCATCGTAGTCCCCGAAAGCTTCGTGTCTCTTGTATCAAACAAGCCATGGCGTCTAGCTAAATGATTGAAGAATTGTTAGCGAGCGCTTCGTCTTACAAAAGTCCGATGTAGAAGAGCTCCTCGCAATTCCTTGTGTCATTTGAATATTCCTCATTCTCTCAGAAGGGGCTGATCTTTGCAGTATTGTAGTGGCTTGGTCGGGAGCATTGAAGCTCATCAGAATCTTGTTGTCAAGTCGTTCGTGGGCTGTCTTCTTCCTCGAGACACCGACTGCTTTTGGTCCTCTTGAATATATATGAGATTCCACCGCCTCCTATCATGTCCTGGTCAAGGGTGGCCACCTGCTCGAGACAGACATCATCAATTGCAGCCAACACTTGTGCCCTCAGCTTCTGATCTCCGTCTTCCTGGGCCAGAATTGAAGTGTCCACATGCCTGTATTGCATCAGTTGATGTTTCTCTGCCTCAAGTTCAGTCACCATGGATGGCATCTCTGCGCTCGGCGTGTTTGCTGACGACAGGGCTTTTGATATTCCAGCAGGGTCTTCGAGCTTCTCATCGCCATACCCGTCTTTGTCGTTCCCACCTAGTGACGGATCCTGTTGCACGCCATCATTTTCATCCTGGCCTGTTCCCTCCTGTCCCGCACCCTCACAACCACAGTCGATCAGGTCATGGGTTCGTAAACCGCTGCCCTCGTCCAAGCGGAAAAGGTCTTTCAACTCTTCTTGACTAAAACTTGACGTGCCACTTTGAGCCTTCGTCTTCGGCTCATTGAAAGCGGACGATCCCAGATGTGACCCGCCTTGCATGATACTGTCCGCCAATGCTCGCTTGACCACCTGCCGCTGCCAGATGCGCTCTTCCAAGCCACCCTTGATCAGAAACCTGTAAATCTTACAGTGTCTCTTCTGCCCCTGTCGGTAGATGCGGGCCACTGCCTGATCGTCCGTCGCAGGGTTCCAGTCCACGTCAAAGAGAACCAGACGGCTTGCCCCGATCAGATTGAGCCCGACTCCGCCTGCCTTAGCACTCAGAAGAAACATGAAGCACTGTGTCGCTGTTGAGCGGTTAAACTTGTCCACGAGGGCCTGTCTCTTCTTAGCTGCGACTGAACCATCAAGACGGAGAAAAGACAAGTTGGAGTTCGCTGCTAGCTGCTGGATCAAGTTGAGCGTCGAGGTGTAGTTGGAAATGACCACGACCTTTTCATCGGTATTCGTGCGAATTTGCTGCAGGAGTTGATCGAGGAGACGGATCTTGCAAGACACTGAGTTCTGATACAGTCTGGACAACCCATCGGGAAGCATTTCGTTTAACGTGACAAGCGACGACGAGGGAGTTGATTCATCATTGCCATAGTTGGGATCCATCAATGCCGGGCTGTTGCAGAGTTTCTTCAAAATGTTGATCAGCTGAAATGCCGTCTCCTGGCTGCGCAATGCACTTTTGAACATAGGTGAACGGATAACGCTCCGATATATCTTTGCCTGGGCTGGTGTTGGTTTGCAGAACAGCACATATTCCGTTTTCGGGGGTAAGAAGTCTGCTAGAATGTCCGCCGTCCTGCGTAGTATAAACGCCGACGTCGTACGAGTCAATTCCTCACTTGCATCTTGACCATGCTCAATGTCCGCCGGCAACGCATCCGGTTGACGACTCCTCATAATGGGTTTCTCAAAGTCCCGGATGAAACCCTTTTGAGAGCCCAGACACCCGTCGTTCACAAAGTTGACCATGGCAAAGAACTCGCCCAGGTCGTTCTGTATTGGAGTCCCCGACAGAATGATCCTCCGCTTCGTATTCAACGACTCAATAGCTTGGGCGGCTTTGTTCTTCATGGTCTTGAGACGGTGACCTTCGTCACAGACAACAATGTCAATGGGTGGTCCTTTGGCAAGATCATCGGCTACAATCCTCAATCTTTCATAGCCAATGATCATCACCTGGTAGACTTTTCCATCAAAGTTGTTCAGACGAGTCTGTTGATCTTCAAACTCAAGCACCCCAAGCCTGTCGGACCCGAGCCATTTCTGGAATTCTCGTTTCCAATTCCGTATGAGGGTTACCGGACAGACAATGAGAGCCTTTCTTATTACCGGAGGTTCTCGGAAGACTGGATTTTGCCGCAGCAATGTCCACAAGAGCGCGATTGTGGTCAGAGTCTTGCCGAGTCCCATGTCGTCTGCCAGGATGCATCCTTGACCATCAGGATTACGCAGCCCCATGACGCATTCGTAGAGGAACTTCACTCCTTCTTGCTGATGTGGTCGCAACTTCTTGCCAATTAGGGGGTCTAACACCACGTCCACAATTTGTCTCCGCCCAGGTAGACCTTCGGGTCTCCTGAAGACAATTGCTCCATCCGCATTGGGATCGTGCCGTGGTCTCGGCGATTCACCTGAGCCTTGTGGGATTATCGTCGACTCCTTCAGTGGTTGTTTGAATCCGCTGGCACGACTGAGTGGTGGAGGACGTTGGTTCTGGACCCGAGCCTTCTCTTTCTGTATTTGAGCTTTCATTTGACTCTGTATGCTTAACTTTGCCTGTGGAATATCAGAGGGTTTCGTTGACAGAGACGCGCGTGCGGCCTTATGTTCGACGTCCGTAGGCTTGGGCTTGGAGCCGATCGCTTGGAGGTAGGCATTCTTGCTGATTTGCGAATCGACCTCGACTTCCTTTCCACTAATGGTCAGGTTCAAGCCGGGCTGTAGGGGTAAAGCGATGGCAGTGCGGCCAATGATCCTTCCCGGCTTTGCATAGAGTGTTGCCTGGCCATCCTTTACGGCGAGGACCCCATCATCCGTCCAAGTTTTGTTCTTCTTGTTCGTGGGGATACGCCTGGAGTAGTCATGAGTGAACGGTGTCTGCGAGGTCTATAGGTCACGTACCAAAGAATCGCGAAATAGCTCTCGGGGCCCTCTGATTCATTGCCATTCAGCTCCAGAGCAGGACTTGGAGGGTTTGAGATCAACTTGAGGGGTGGTCTTGCGCCCTCATCGGATGACGTCTTCGCTGCTTCAGTACGAGTGTCGGAAGTGAGCTTTCTTCGCTTGGCTGGTGGTATCCCCTGGTCGAGAGCTTCGCTGCCCCCGGGTTTGCGGATAGTGAGAGGCTTGAAAGGCTTAGAAAACATCGTCTGTCACCCTGGGTATAGTGGCACTGTGAAAAAGTCCACCAAGCCACAAGAAGAGATATACCGAGTACAGCACGCGCGGCGCGTCCTACGCGTGTTCACGCGCGTCCACGTGAATGATGACGTCGATGTCTCAAGCTAGCGAGTCTAGACAGAACCTTCTCTGTGAGCTTAAATTCGAGCTTAATCATGTTTACCCTTGCGAGGAGAGACAGATCAAGGCACGGGAAAGTAAACAGTTCGTGTCATCTTTGATCAACATTGCTTATCGTGTATCTATGTTGCGTTAAACATGAGTAGCCTCATTATAGAATTATGGAAGAAGTGAAAATGCGAAATCAGAGTCGACCGCCCATTCCTCCTTCCTCGCTCCATCCCCTAGGAAACACCTTGCTGCCGACGTTAGAAGTCAATGAAAAAGACAAAAGGAAAATTGTCGGGTGTGACGGTCGTCTAGATCGGGGTGCTGCTTGATGCGCTGGTGCTGCTTGTAGTGCTCGTTGCATCCCCGTTCGAGGTCGTGGAGGTCATTGAGGTTGTCGAGGTCATCTCCGAGGTTGTTGAGGTCGTCTCCGAGGTCGTGGAGGTCGTGGAGCTTGTCGAGCTGGTCGAGCTAGTCGAGCTTGACGATTCGGTAGTAGACATTGTAGAGGATGATGATGTGCTGGTAGGTTCCACTGGATCAATCAAGCTCGACGAAGTAGTCGTCATTGTCGAAGTGGTAGTCGGCGTCTCAGAAGTAGTAGTCATGTCAGAAGTTGTGGTCGTCATCTCAGAAGTAGTCGTAGATGTGCTGTCAGCCGATGTGGTCGAGGTTGTGGGTTCAATAGGGCCAATCAATGAGCTACTTGTCATGGAGCTTGTGCTGCTAGAAGATGTGCTGAAAGGCGGGATATCATCAAAGCTCGTGGTTGTGCTCATTGTGGATGTCGAGCTCGTGCTGCTGGAAGTTGAGCTTGTGCTGCTGGAACTCGTGGTTGTAGGTTCGACGGGACCAATAACTGAGCTACTCGTCATGGAGCTTGTACTGCTGGAAGAGGTAGTGAAAGGCGGGAAATCATCAGAGGTGGTAGTCGTGCTCATTGTGGATGTCGAGCTCGTGGCACTGGAAGTCGTGGTTGGGGGCTCAACAGGTCCGACCGCGGAGCTACTCGACATAGAGCTGGTGCTGGTAGAAGACGTGGTGAAAGTCGGGATAACATCAAAGCTCGTGGTCGTGCTCATTGTGGATGTCGAATCTGTGGATGTCGAGCTGCTTGTAGTCGTGGATAGAGTCGACGTGCTCGAGCTGCTTGATGAAGTGGAGAAGGGATCCACCGCAGATGAGGCGGAGCTAGACGAAGTAGAGGTGGAGCTGGTTGTGCTCGACTCGCTCATAGAAGACGTGCTCGACTCACTGGTCGTCGAGGTAGAGGACGAAGAGGTCGTGGAACTAGACGAAGTGGACATGGAGGTTGAGGATGAGGATGATGAGGTGGAAGTGTCATCCACCACTGAAGAGGCGGTGGTGGTGGTGGTCATGGTCGAGGAAGTGGAGCTGGAGGAAGTGGTGCTGGACATACTGCTGGTGGTTGAAGTCGTGCCAGGGTTGATGCTTGTGTCGGTGAGCCTAACAGGGAAACAATCATCAGGGAGAACGAAATCCCAATAAGCGAAGACCGTGGCGTTGGTGAAGACGCAGAATTGGGCGGTTCCGAAGTCAATGTCACCGGAGATGGCGTTGATTTCCCATCCGGAATAGACGGCTGGAGCATAGGTGCCATCAGTGCTGGACTTGCGAAGTGGTTCCGTCATTGTGTCGCTGTCAAAGCCCATGAAGCCAGACTGCCCACTGAACCCGAGGATCTGGTTTTGATCATCGTACACCAGAGCCCAAGCGTCGTCCATGTCAGTGACAGCAATAGCAACAGTTCCCGCGAAGCCGAGGTAGCTGGTAAGCGTTTGGCGCCTCATCTTCGACCCGAGACCCCCATTGAGAGACACCAAGAAGCTTCCGTCACCCATTACCCGGTCCGGGGGTGTATCTGGAGTGACCGTCGCAGAGGTCGTCGCAGAGGTTGTGGTAGAGCTCGTGGTCATCGATGATGTCGTCGAATCCGTAGTGCTAGTGCTAGAAGAATCCGACGTCGTTGATGTTGACATTGAAGTGGACGACGAAGAGGTGGTAGTGCTATCTCCGATGGGTCCAACCGATGATGATAGCGAAGAGCTGGTGGTCGACGAGGTCATCGGTGTAGAAGAAGTCGTGCTCGAGCTGTAGGTGAGGGCTGGGGACGACGTTTTTGTGGTCGAGATTGGATTCAAGGTAGGCGATACTGTGACTGTGACAGTGTGGACACCTCCATTGCCGCCTTGGCCGGGCTGGAGAAAACCAGGGAGCCACCCGTTCCAGCTTGGCGTTTCCTGAGGGCCGACTTGATAACCACCGCCTTGAGAGCCGCCCTGCTGAGAGCCACCCTGATAGCCACCTCCTTGTGAGCCTCCGTGTCCAGAGCCACCTTGAGAGCCACCTTGGGAGCCACCATGTTGAGAGCCGCCTTGCTGAGAGCCGCCTTGCTGAGAGCCGCCTTGCTGAGAACCACCTTGAGAGCCACCATGTTGAGAGCCGCCTTGAGATCCGCCCTGAGGCCCAACTTGATAGTAGCTGCCGCCCTGAGAGCCACCTTGCTGAGAGCCACCGTGTTGGGAGCCACCTTGCTCAGAGCCGCTTGGAGAGCCACCTTGAGGCCCGACTTGATAGCTACCGCCCTGAGAGCCGCCTTGAGAGCCGCCTTGAGAGCCACCGTGTTGAGAACCGCCTTGCTCAGAGCCGCCTTGAGAACCACCGTGAGGCCCGAATTGAGGGGGACCGCGCCAGCCGCCCAGTCGTCCTGGCCCATGTGGCCCGTGACGACCTCCAAACCCACCGAACCAACCTTTAGCAGCCGGTTTGGTAGGTTCGCTCACGGCCTCCCAGGCTTGACTGGCCCCATCACAGGGACCGAAGCCGGTAGGGTACGCGCAGAAGGCGATGGTCCGAGTAGACGTCACTCTGACCGTGACATCGGGAGAGTTCTTGAACGCAGCGGCAACGCCGAGAGAGGCGAGAAGAAGAGTTGAAGTCAACATATTTGCGATAAAAGGAGTGACTAGAATCACAGAAAAGGAATGGACGGCACTCGGTGCCAAAGAGATATCACACGGGAGGGAAGAGAGAGTGTGTGGAAGATGATGAATGAAGAGGACTGAGGAGCGACATTGGCATCAAGATATATAGAAAAGATCAGACTCACCCAGTTAGGAGGTATACCTACCATCGCGGGCCAGGAGATTCCTGTCTCCAAAGTCTCAGTTGATGGAATTTCGGCACAAAGCCTCAATCACCTTGCATGTAATTTTCGATCCCGACATCAACATTGTAAAGCCGGATTGGAGGTTAGTGGCTAACGTTAAACTGCCTTTCCAGCCTGTGTCGATAGGTGTGTTTATGCTTCTCGAACGGTCCCGGCCATTTTCAAGGTTGGGGAGACGCGAACAGGTTCTTAAAAGGGAAATTTGGCGAAGAGCCAAGCCAAGCTTTGTTCAGGGGACGCGGGACGGTACTGCCATGTTTATACCATAAATAGTTAGTCTGGTTGCACAAAGACGGTAAGGCGCCGGCTAGGCCTGTCGGATTCAGCATAATTGTGGCGCTTGGGTGGCGTGTGCTCTCTGCCTCACGCCTTTAGCGCTTCATCTTATCTGGTAGATCCCGACGATCTTCTGTATGCTTGTTTACTTCGTGGAGGCCACTACCTACAGGTCCTTTCGTAAACAAAGTTGACTACCCTCCAACTAACTCAGCCTTCTGCTTAGATCTTGAATGCTCTTCAAATCTTTTGCCGAGATCAGAGGGAGCCAAGCCACTCGCGCTCGTGTTCGTAAGGTCTGTTTACCTAGAAGTTTTGTGCCTCCATCCCATGCGCGCCAATCATGCAATCACGACACGGTTATCTAACATAGAGGCGCCTCGTCGAGCACGCCAATCAGCGTATCCACACAGAGCACGATGGCAGACTCAACTCTGGGGACGGCGCCACAAGCCCTCGGGAACCACACGCTCGGGGCGATCATCCTCATAGATTTGCGACGAACCCTATGGAGATAGATCGAACAGAAGCTGGGGAGGATCGTCATATTCAAGGGGCCATCGATACTCGTATCTACTGGAACGCGAAACGCGTGGTTATGGGACGAACCACTTCCACTGATGAAGCCACATGCTCCCAGGCCGACTTCCCTTCCAATGGCCCCTTTAACCCCCCAACCGTATACCCACACCAGATACAACACACCAGAGTACAAGTACACGATCCGCCTTGACGAATCGATAGATTTGTAGATCGCTCAATCTAATCTGCATGCTCCCTCCAGCCCGTCCACACCATGTCAGACAAACACGCTTCCTGGTAACTGCGCTAGATAAAACGCAGCCACCATCAGGTCATCGGATAAAAGAACTGAGACAAGTAAGAACAAGCACAGGGCCCAAGGCAATAACAGCCCAGAGGCCAGGAGGTTCTGAGTAACATGGGTCAACGGTAGGTGGGAGAGCGGAGAAAGGCTCCGGACAAGGTAATCTCTCAAATTGGTTGAATGCCCAGTTGTCGGACGGCCGGGAACGTCTTCACATGCTTCGGGTGTCATGATGTCGGCCGTCTTCCTGCCCAACTCGAGTTGATTGTTCGTCGACTCGAGTTCCCCCTGTAGTATCTGCACCAGAGCCCTCAGTTCTTGGATTTCATCCATGGCCAAATCTACCCTCTTCTGCAGTACCAGCATAGGGGATTTCGCCGAATTGGGGGCTTCTGGCGGAGGGGTGCATGGGGAGAGACTGGCGCGTCGACATGGAGAGTCCGGGATATCAGATCGTAGTCTCAAGGGCGACAAAGGATGCCTTCGGGCAGTAGGGGATCTGGTGGACCGGTCTGGCCTCATACGCCACACGGAAAGTGGCGTGGTGGGCCCCGACACCACGCTCATTATATCAACCGGTGAGGTGGGCGACAGAGCCAGGGTCCTGATTTTGCGGGCGCCGAGTGGCGTGCCACAGTGAGCGATACTACTGTTCAGCGGGGTTTCGCACTCCCCTTCACATTTCCATTTGATGGTGCCAAATGTGGAGCGGAGGACTTTCATCAAGACCTCATCACTTCCCGCGGCCGTGTCAATTGACAGCGTGAGTGATGGCATAGGTGATATTGGCGGGGTCCCATGGCTCTTGAGGAGTTGTCTCAGTGCAATTTTAATGACGGGTAGGAGGTATGTCGATCCCCAATCCTCGATCGCTTCGATCCATGCCTGGAATTCCTTGAAAGCACTCGTGTCGTCAAGATTGAACCTGGAGAGTTCCGACATACAGTAGCGGCCGTCAGCATCAACGTAGTGGTAGTAGACAAGAGCGATGGAATTGTCGAGGGCACAAGAGAATGATATTGGTTTTTCAAAGACCGGACGGGGCTTAGTGCATTTTCTGAACAAAAGCTGCAAGGCCCTGACACAGTGGGCTCCGGCGATTGCACATTGATTTTTGGCAGACTGGACAGCATCCTCCGACGTGGTGTTCAATCGCTCAAAGACAAGGAACGGGCAGTAGGTGTTTGTTCCTGGAGACACGGTGCCCGAGTCGAAATCGACAATCGTCCCCGTTGCTGATGTGCAATGAGGCAGAACCGACAATTCTCTCTCGTTGAATGCCTGCGTCGTGAACCCAGTAAGGAGGCCAGGTCGAGGAACAGGCAGCTCGAAAAGACTCTCTTGAGCCTTGACGGCTCGCGGCGGAAGTGCTTCTCGATTGAGCTTTGGGGCCAGAGATCGATGGAGGTTGAGGTTGACACCCGTCGTGGGGAGGATGTTCGGAGGGAACACCATTGACGATCCAAATCCCTTGTTACTTGTGACCTGTTCCCGCCATTCTATCTCTTGATTGTCGAACCGGTCAAGCTTCTGCAGGCAAGGCCTCAGTCTGTCAGAGAAGGGCCGTGACAACTCGGACAACTGGAGATTGTCGGTGAAGATGATCCGAAATGCACTGAGGACAATCGTTCGAAAGTCGGACCATCTAAGGTGACTACCGTCAATAGCTCTCAGCAGGGACACTGGCGTGTCTGGCAATGGGCTTGAGGTCTCCATGACTGAGGAGAAAGGTTGACAACGACAGTCTTAGTGACAGGCCCAGGTGAAAGGTCAACAAGTCTGTCCTTGACTGGCAGACCTATTCTGGGGATACGGTGCACGGTCGACCTGAAGGATGATGAGAACATTTCTGGGGAATCCTGCAAGGTAATATGTCAGTACCACGTGGAGGGCGCTTCCGTCTGTGACAACATGTAGGCGCCGATGCAGGAGCAAAGAGCAGGTATCGTTCTCAAACAGTGCTAACAGTTAGTCAGTGCCACTGACACCTCGCCGCTTGTTTGAACAATATATCTGGAAGGACACCACACCATTCCCGTCTCGCCAATGTCCACGGAGACGCGGGATACTAGAGCATTCCACAGGAGCATGAAGACGTGGCCATGGTCTTGAAGGTCACAGGGCGCGTAGGCAGCCTCTCATTGCCTAGATGGCTTTCTGGGCAGTTTATAGCCAGGTGTAATGAGATGAACAGGGACGGGAGAAGGTCGCCTGACGCTGGAGCCTCATTTGCTGAGTCGAATGGTGTATATCTTGCTGGGCGGCTAGAAAAGGGTCAGCGGCTACGCAGCTCTTCGATGCCTCACCATGTTTGGGGGCCAGGAAATGCTTGAGGTGAGAGTTGAGAAGAAATCCTTCCATCACTGTAAGAGACATGAGTATTCCCAAGCGATGACTAGCCGATCTAAAAAGTGACAAGAATGCCACCTCATCTCTGGTGTTGATGACGAGATGGGTGAGATTCGAGGAGTCCCGATTAGAGCCTCACTCACGTATCTGGCATCTTTGCCGAGATAAATGCGTTAAACCCAATGCGGTAACATATCGACACGGCCGCGCGCAAGTCTTCTCTGCTCACTCCATCTCCACCATAAACGATTCTTGATGCTGACTCCTAAGTCTGCGTGTGATATTTTAATAACCCATATCGCGAAGCTTGGAGACGGGTTATCACACCCACAATGATGTGGTCTCAGCGAAGGCTTGGACTACCCAGCGAGCCAGGAATTTGCAGTCCGCCCGTACGAAGATCCCCAACTGAAACTCTCGATCTCGTTCGTGTCAGCTTTTACTTCAATACGAGCTTACCGGCGCGATAGATTTTCTTGACACTTTCGATGCGCTCTGACTGAGATGCGACAACTTTATGCCTCATTCGAGCAGAAGACTTGCAAGAGTGACATTTACAAGTACTCTGGACACCATGGGTATAAAAGGCCGTTGTCGCCAGTCGCCAATGCATTGGAATGCCGGACACTTCTTGATACAGTTTTCTTTCGGCTGCTCAATTGAAATTTATAACTAGCTCATCATGGGAGACGCTGAAGATGGCAAAAGCCCTCTGCGGATAGCAATCATTGGCGGAGGTATCGGCGGACTAAGTCTACTATTAGGGATCTTGAGACATTGTGATCAACGCGTTCTCGAACCACATCTATTCGAAGCTGCCCATGCCTTCTCCGAGATTGGCGCCGGTGTTGGCTTTCTCCCCAACGCGGTGCGAGCCATGCACGCGATCGATCCCAGAATCTACGACTCCTACAGCCGAATCGCGGACAAAGCACCCTCAGTGACTGTCGACGGCCGAGAGATGTCGGAATTTGCCAATGTTTATATGGGCATGGACGGAAGAGGAGGAGCCAACACGGACAAGGCCTTTGAAAGAATATGTACCATCCACAATGAGAACAAATTCCGCAATGTCCATCGGGCAGTATTCTTGGACGCTATGGTGAATCTCCTCCCTGGTGGGTTCCGAGGTGGCCTGGTCAATTTCAACAAAAGATGTGTGGATATACAGGACGATGGGAAACGTGTCAAGGTTCTTTTTGCGGATGGTACCTCGGAAATCTTCGATGCCGTCGTTGGTTGCGACGGCGTCAAATCGCAGGTGCGGAATATCCTTCACGGCGAACAGGAAAAGTACGAACCACAATTTACAGGCAAATATGCCTATCGAGGACTCATACCCATCGATGATGCTATCAGTGTCCTGGGGAAAGGGGTGGCAATGACCCAGGCTCTGATTTTTGGCTACGGTGGCCATCTGGTAACATTCCCTATTGACCAAGGCAAGACGCTCAACGTTGTCGCCTTTCGAGATGCGCCGAAATGGAATCATGGCACCAACTGGGTTGTTCCCGTCACCGTGGAAGACGTCCTCGAGGATTTCAAGGGCTGGAGTCAGCCCGTGAGCAAGCTGCTATCCTTGTTGAAAAAGCCTGATAAATGGGGCCTCTTCGACCTACCTCCTGCGGCGTCCTTTGTCAGAGGAGGCAAAATTTGTCTCGTGGGTGACTGCGCTCACGCTTCCACTCCACACCTCGGTGCAGGGGCGGGTATGGCCATAGAGGATGCTGCTGTCCTCAGCCGACTTCTCGGAGAAATGCATACGCCTGAAACTGTTCACCTTGCGAATGCTTTTGCGGCGTACGATTCGGTGCGGAGAGAGCGAGACCAACGACTTGTTGTCGCGAGCAGAAATGCCGGCATGCTTTACGAATTTGAAACGCCTGGAGTTGAAGATGATCTGGAGCGAATCCGACGTATTTTGGACAGTCAATGGGATTGGATTTGGGATTTGGACATTGGGGTTCATTGCGAAGAGGCAATCAAACTAATGTACTGCCCAGAAAGACTATCTAGTCTTTCTAAGGCATGGTGACCTTAGATCAGATGATGGCTGTTGCTCCAACGGTTGCTCGCCATCCTCAACACGAACTTGTAAGCTCAATACCTATCAGCCATTACTTCTTCCCACTGCCCAAGTTCTCCTGGATAGACCCTGTACGCGCTTGTCAGCATAGAAACACTGACGTTGTCCTGTAGAAGATCTCTAAAGTGCAAATCAGCCGTTCACAAGGACAACCTACCTCCTACTGCTCCTTGCTCGGTGAACTGTTTTCCAATGGCGCCCTGCGCCGAGAAGGGACCTCCAACTGCCTATTGTCGGAGAGGGAGCGTTAACAAGTCCCCAAAAGGTAGAAACTCATCTTGCTTGGATAACAGCTCGAAGTTTCCGATTCTTGTAACTGACTCAATTCAACTTACCTCGCCGACACTGCCAATGGCTCCCTCGGCTGCTTGGTGTGAGCTTTGTTCTCCGTGATGTTAGGTCCTCAAACTCACGTCTGAATTGTTTTCCAATTGCACCGTCCTTGTCAAAAACAGGCTTCTTGTCTCCCTGCATTTGCTCGGCGGCTGACGATTGTTAATATGGTGCTCGACCTTGCACAGGATTCGATATACCTGATTGCGCAGCACCACCTACGGGTCAATTCTTATCAGCGACCAGTCTCCACAGCCAAAGGCACTTCTTTGTCACTCACCAACTGAGCCCTGTGGCGTAAATTGCTTCCCCACAGCACCTTCGCTGCTCAGAGGACCACCAGCCTTTTCTCCCATTTGTCCGATTGCTGCCACTCTCGGTTAGCCTACACCGAGAATCAAAACGTCTCATCAAGGAGACGGTCCAGGGAGAGGTCAATCATACATCCTTCAGGTTTGAATTGAGACCCGATGGAGCCCTTATTGGCGTCAAGTGCCGATTTGTCTTGATCAGACATTCCTGCGCAATGATGAGCGAATGCCTCTTCCAAACCTGACCACGGACTGACTTGCTAGAAATATCGAAAACGGTCTGATTTGTCGTGAGAAGATTAGTCGCTGAGCTCGCTTGGTCTGACCAACAATGCGAATCATAGTTGGAATTAAAGGGTTGAATGGACTTGTGGACAGTAAATCCAAAGTCGAGCAGGACAGTCTTATTTGACGTACCTGTAGAAATATCAGTTGGCAGGTCATAAGGTCATGGATTGATTCCCTTTAGCATCATGTTGACGTCAACAAAAGAGCCTCATGGCACATTACCTTTTTATACAATATGGTTAGAGCACAGATTGATTGTAGGGCAGACTTAGCTTCCGTCGATAAGCAACTATAGGGTTGACTCAGACCACAGACTGAAGGAGGGTGTCTGCAAGTATTTTGTACCACTGTCGCGTGAGTCCGATCTGCACAAACACCCCTCCAGTGCCCTCACCATTGACATCGACGTCATGACCCATGAGTCTTGACGAGTGAGGGTGATGATTCGATCTATAACTCTTCCCCTCTCAAGGTTCACGCTTATTAGCTCCAAGGAGATTTCCATCCAATTGGTGGAGGATATTGGTAGCTGAATGAGCACAGGTGGCTCCACCACATCAGAAGAGGAACGCGATCAATGACGACGACCGCCAAGTGAGAAATACGAGGAGGAGCTGCGCGCGAGAGTGGTGTCGTTGGATGCACAAGTATCTCGACGAGTAGATCTGCGGAATTGGCCAAATCTAACAAATGCATAAAAACTGACAAATATTTCAAGACTGACAAAGTCAACAAACACTGCCATCTTCAGTGGTCGACACAGATGACCATGTCGCAGGGCTAAGTGATTGGTAGCAGAGGACTTGTCTACATTCTCAATATGGCATCTCATAGACACTATGACCGCCGTTTAACAGAATCTTTAACGGGACATTCAGCCCAAGAAAGGCCCTTAGACCGCACGTTGTATCCTTCCCACAAGTGATAATGCTCATTTCCCCTGATGTGCATGGCGGCTGCCGTCTCACAAGCTGGCGGTCCTGTCGACAATGCAGGAAGCTGCATGGCGACCTGCATCCCGTCTCTCTATCTCTCTCCCTCTTCTCCCCTTCTTTGCTACCTCCTTTCTGCTCAATTGCGCATCGCTCACGAAGGTTTGGTTTCACAAGAGATCGAGGGTCTACCTTTCGTTGGGTTTTTTGGATCTCGATTGGAATGCCCCATTGTTAATGTCCTTGTTCAGCCCCTGGAGTGATTTGGACCTCGTTGTCATTTTACATGGAGACCGTGACTTCAGCATTTCCATCTCTATCTGCAAATGATTGCCCAGTCATAATATCCTCCTAAAGAGACAAGGACAGTGCTCGGTTCATTGTTATCCAGTCACCGCCAATTTTCCATGACATCCACACCGTCCTCTATCAGCCGCATCAATGCGACGGCCATCGAGAATGCATTTCCTACCCCACCGACGCGCGAAATGGCGTCAGATGGTGCATTCCATCTCAAAGGCCGCATATCGCCAGCCCCCCTCAAATTTCCGCTCTTACAACGCGCTCAATCGACACCTCCTGACCTGACGCGCCCAACGAAATTCGCGATAGTTTCAAAGAGCTCACAAGGGCAACAGTCGGATGTCGCCAGCTTGGAGCAATCATGGAGCCGACTGCATTTGTCCAAGAAGAGGAGTCAGTACTACGATGATGCTTTTGCCTACCGTGAGTCAAGCAATACGGCAAAGGAGCGCGTTGCGAAAGACTGGGTGATCCTGGCCGAGATCAAGTTGAATTGCTGCGTAGGAATGGAAACCTCATTTCCAAGCCGTGACTGACTGGTTCCAGCTCGAATCCGAAAAAGAATTCCTCATCGACCTGTCGTTTCGCTTGTCTGAAATTTATCAACGTCCTGCCTCGTGCATTATGGTCATGGTATCCACTGACATCCCAATCCTGCTCGGCGGGAACTCTGAACCAGCATACCACCTCACTATCACGGCTTTACCGTTAGAAATAGCAGCCACAAAGAACAAAAGAAGTACACATTTGATTCAGGATTTTATTCATGACACACTTCACATTCCGCCAAAACGGGGCGTTGTGCGGTTTGATGCCGTTGCGGAAGAGAATCTGGCAACAAACGGGTTGACTGCGCTTCAAGAGATTGAGCACCTGGAAAGACAGTCCAACGACGAAGACGGGATGATGAGGGCACTTAGTCGACAAAGAAGTCGACGAAGCAAGAAATCAACTGCGCCAACTTTTGCAGAGAGGTTTCGTGTTGGTCTACCCTCTATCAGGTCGACCACCCCTTCGACTCAGTTCTTCAATACGGTGGAAACAACAGAGTTGAAAACGACTTTAACCAGCGGCGGTGGCAAGAAACGTGTCAAGAAGAGGCAAAGTATTTTAGGTTTCTTCAGGAAATGACCAGTACTCGGTTGGATTACATCTTATTCGACTTTGGAACCATTAACTCTGGAGACTTCACGAGTAACGCAGTAACGCGCCTGATATAAACAATGAGCAAGTGTTGGCTACGGTGCATACCATAGTACAGAGAATACGTCAAGTACTCAGTGTTCGATTAGTTTTCTTTGCGGCGTTTATTGCATCAAACTGTTGTTTTGTGGCAGTGGTTTTCACCTCTGCCTCACCTCATTGCAACTGCGCTCTCGATTTCGTGACTGTCACTTCCCTCAAACATACATCGCCTGCCTGGAAGGAGGAACTTGCCGAATCTCCTTTGACACCATCCCCATTGCGCACAGATATTTATCAGTGGCTGGCCGCCAACGCCAGGGTATGTCAGGAATTGTACTCTCATATCTTCCCGTCCCCTCGCTTACCATAATCAATAACAATCATGGACCTTAACGACCACATCGAATACTACAGAATCCTCGGCCTACCAAAAGATGCATCACTAGAAGAGCTCGACGCACGATACTTTGAGCTTATAGAATACTGGACCACAAAAGAGGGAAAAAAACACAACGTCGAATCAGAGCTTGAACTGAATTTCATCGACCAAACTTACAAGGCTCTTCTGTCAAAGTTCCTGGCGGACGGACAAGAACTCGGACAGCGGGGAACACGGACATACACTATGAAAGATGTTTCACAAGGCCAGGACCGGATTGTAAGATCTTGCCTCGACGACGGTGACATGTGGAGCCCTCCACCTGAAGAGAGATCTCCCTCGCTTGAGTTGGAGGATATTTCCGACCGGCTCAGGCGCGAACTTTCTCAGCAAGTGCTGGAGAAAGACTTGGGAATTGAACCTGGGTTTTCAATCAGTGATCTGGCAGGCGAGCTCCACGATGCACCGGACAGAGCCGTCATCGTCCGTACGTACAACGCGACTAGAGAAGCTTTGTGATCTGCACTAACAATATCCTTTGCAGATGCTGTCAATTGCCAGGGAGTCTGGGGATATGGCGTTGCGTTGTATCTCAAAGGATTGGTATGTATACCCAGATTACCTTGACTGGTATGTCGCTGACACAGGCAAGTATCCAGAGGCATTCAGGATATATGAGGCGCACTGTGAGGTTGCTAGTCGACCGTACGATCTCACTGGGACCTGCTTACTTATTCCTCCACAACCTTTGGACTACGAACAGGAGATCATGATAAGGCTCAAGGGCACAGACAAGACCATTCCAACAGGAGAGTCAATATTCAGACCGCGGCGTTGGATCGCTTGCCTCTTCACAAGTATTGGCTATGGTAGACGAAATATGAAAACCAACAACCCAGGAAAAGACTCTAAAGAAAAAATCATCAACAACACCAGAATGGCACTCGAAGACCTCCGAGTCCAGTTGGAAGCGTTTGGTCCTTCCAATTTAAACCCCAAGACCGCCTGGAAGACCGACGGTGACAAGCCAGGTGAGATCTGGAGTCCCAAGTTCAACAGCGGCGCGTTTGGTGTGGATTGGGAGGACACACGCATGCTGATCAGCGAGGAATTTAACGGATTTGAGCGTCCTTGGACTGTGGTGGAGAAACACAGTAACGGCGAACATGGGTCTTCCATGGGAGAGGACAAGAATGAAGTTGCCATACGGGGAATCCAAGGTCACAGCGAGGGGGATTCATGAAGAGCGTGTAACAATTACCGAGGATGGTGTCGTGTTGATGTCTAAAACACAGAGCTTGGCCTTCATGTCAACCTGTAAGGCAATGAGTGAAGAACGTCCTTGACATGCAAAGGAGTATTGGAACTATGGAGGCGAGAAAAAAATGGAAGCAAGTGTGCCGAGTGTACAACAACAGAACAACAGCGAAAAACAATTTGGCTAACTACCCGACCGCAACACGCTCAGCTAGTAACGATCATACACTTCTTGATAGCTCTTTGAACTCTCTATCGACTGATACTAATCTCGTAGTGTGAGTCCTACTTTCCGTGGATATCTTATTCTCGACTGAAGCCGCACGGTTATGTTCCTAGAAAAAGCTGTTGTAAACTCTGCATTCGATCTCTGAGCTATTCGACTGCGCTCTCTGCCACATAATAATTGATACATGTCCAAACACTCGAGGAGCAGAACGCTTTCAGTTCCACTGCGAAAATTCTCCAAAAAACGGCGACCCCCATCTCGTCCGTCTCCCTTGACTGTTTTTCTCCGTTTCCGACTGCGAGCTATGCCATCTCTCTAAGGATCCATCCACCGAGATGATCAACAGCATCCGAATTTCCAGTTAGTTGCTTGATGACAAGGTCATCTTGCCATTGACTGCTTCAATGATAGTGATTCTTCACCGCTTGCACGTCATTCTCGAGGAAAACCTCGATGCGGTCGTCCATCTTGGAGCTGATGTCTTCACACCACAGAGACGCCACTACTCCCGCTCCACCAAAGGCGATGGAGACGAGAGCCACGGTCCTGATGGCGACAAGCAAGCTGCTCGTGAAGGCCGCCCCGGCAGCAGTAGCGATTGCGGCTGTGATTCCTGGGACGGACATGACGGCTTGAGATCCAGCTGGCAGGGCTGAAAGAACAGCCAAACCAAGGTCGCGAGAACCTCCGGCGGCCACGACGGCCGCGACCACCTTCTTGAGGGATTCTCTCGCCAGAGTCCTGTTGATGACGGTCACGTAGACGGTGGTGGCAATGCAATTCCCACCGAATCTTCCCACACCCCTATGTATTTTTTTTGTCAGCACACTGCGCACCTATTGGGATTGGGAGGAGAGTATCGAATGAAAACATACGCAAGTGAACCGGCAATGCCGAGCTCGGTCTGGGGCGCTCCAAACTGACAATATGTGATTGACAGAAACTGGGCCCACGCAAAAGCGACCGAACCGAGAAAATTGAATGCGATCAATGCAGAGCGGCGGTGAGGCGACACCAGAGCCAAGAGCCCTCCGAATAGAGTCATCAGAAAAACGACAGCAAATTGTTGCCATTTCCAGTGTTTGATATAGGGTCCGGCCACGCTGAGGAGGACTCCGCCCGTTGCCAGTCCCAGCCCTTGTATGACCGACAGTGCCATGGCGAGACCAGAACTGGGGTCGTCCGGGGAGAAAATGGCGCCGACAATTTGACCCCAGACGATATTGGTACCCAAGTAGTAAACAGGCACGACAAAGGCGACGATAAAAGGTGCTGTCAATGTTTGTCCCCGGTTGACCTTGAAAAGGTGCGGCGGTGTCAGTGGCTGCTTCAATGGCGCCCATGTCTCCCAACACCCAAAGGCGACGAGGGCGGCGAATCCAGAAACCAGTGGACCAACGACTTTGCCATCGGTTGAGTCCAGGTAGGAAGCGAAGACCACGCCGACCAGAATGAGGACAGCCGCAGCGCTGAACAGTAAAGATCCGATGTAGTCGAGCTCTCTGAGTGCTTGTTTGAAAGAGAGACCTCGTGGATGGGCTGGTGGGTAGTAGAAGAGGTAGAGCACAATAGCCCCGAGACCATTGCCGATGGCAGGGATCCTCAGAAGCCATGGCCATGTACCATTCGTGAGAGCGTGTCGGGCAGCTACCGGTACAACGATGGTAGAGACGACAACGAGCGAGTCAGCGAGGGTAACTGCTGCAGGGCGCCATTTGTTGGGTAACAACTCGGGAGCCGTAAATGTAGCCATCTGGCAGATCGCTCCACCGAGTCCTGCGATGGCCATGCCCACGACGATTTGGACAAAGCCTTTGGCGGTTCCTGCGATAATATACCCAACGCAAACGAAGACGTTGCCCCCGATCAGAAACCACCGTCGCCCGAACAAATCGCTGTTGGGCCCACAGACCATGAAGGAAACGAGCCCGGTGATGAAGTAGACCGAGATCATCCACGTTGCCTTGTCTGTAACGCCAACTTCCTGGGCGATCTGGGACTGCGTGATTGCCAGGCCCGGCATTGGAGAATATGCGAATCCATAGCAAGCGGTGATGGTCTGACCTTTTGTTAGTATATTGCGATATTGCTTTCCTTTAATGCATCCAAGAGGATATGAGAGAGGGACTTACAGCGACCACAAGCCAAGTCTTTGGGGTGACGACGTCTTTCGAGGATGTTTCAGGCGATACTCTCTCCTCTTGGGAGACAGTCGACCCCATCTGCCTGGCTTTCTCGTCTTCGGTGACTTTCTGCTCGAGGGAGCCATGCTCGACGGCGCCTTCCATGACGGTCATGATGATTGACTGATTGATCAGGGGAGTGAGCCTCACTTTCTATGAATCGAGGATGTTCTGCTCTTCCTATGGCTATGGGATTCTGGTGGTATTTCTGATAAGTACTTTAAACCCTTTCGGGGGTCGTCCCGATTAGGTTAGTACATTATTGTCTGGGGGACCCCCAGGGCCCGGGGTTCACTGACCGTAGACCGGGGCTCGATGACCGGAGATCTACCCCCTTTTTCAAATCTACCCCGTATTCTATGCTGCCGCAAGTGCAATTTGAGGGCAATGTAAGCAATTACTCGGTATTCCGTGCCGAGACCAACAATCCGGCTCGCCGATGTGCGACCCCAGATTTTATGAGCCACAAAATATGGGGGTCTGAGAAGATCCTGCGTGATGGATTTATGAGTGAAACCTTGCTTGGCTATAGGCCATTTGATGGAGAGAGACTGATGGAACGCGGTTTTAGGTGGTAGAAGCTTAGCTACGAATCGACAGATGAGATAATCATACAAGTGGTTGTTTGCGCAGAAACTGGAGGAATTGGAAGTTGTTACTCGAGAAGATTGATGTGTGGACTGCCAGTCCGACTTAGATACCATATTTTCACTCCTTGATCGGCTCGTGGAGCGAAACACTTTTCTCGGAAATCATCAACATTGTCCGCCTCATATCGTCGTCCGAGTAGTCCGAGGGACTCTTGATCTTGTACCCCTTGGGTCCAGCCTCGAAACACTCCCCACTGACATCGTTGCTGCCCAACATTGACTGGAATGCCTCGACCACACTCGACATTGGCGTCAACAGCCCCAAACCTTCCAGCCTGTCGGAGAAAGCGTTCGTCATGGCGGTGCGCACCACCGCGGGACAAACTGCATTCATGGTGATTTGCTCCCTCGGTAGATATTTGCCAAACCCACGGACAAAGCCCACGATGCCACTGTTCCGAAAACTGATTAGCAAGGGGAGCATCGAGCCGTAGATTGGGGAGGATGATTACTGTTTTGTAGCTGTATACATTGGCAAGGTTGCGGGTGCATACAGACCACATATAGACGAGACACAACCAACTATGGCGAGTAAAGTTCCCTGGTGTTAGTGCTTCTCGACTTGTCGACTGTTCACTGACAAAAGCACCCGACTTACTTTTCCCCTTGAATCCAAACTTGTTCACATCCTGCCGTCGAAATTGCTGCAACGCCAGACTGACCGTGTACAGCACACCTGTCAAGTTGACGTCGATGACCGACAAGTCTGGCTTTTCAAAGCCCTTGAGATCCTTCCCTCTGTTTGGGAAACTTCTCCTCTCCGAAAGTCCCGCGATGGGGAACACGTAATCGATACGGCCGAATGTGTCGACGGCCTTTTCAAAGGCAGATACCTGCTCATCCCAATTCGTCACGTCCACCTGTGCCGTCCAGGCTACTTGAGCGGTTTCGTTCAGTTCGGCCGCGAAGTCGATGGCACTGTGAATATCACGATCCGCAATAAAGACCTGACATCTACACCGACAGCGTGAGCTTCTGGCCAAGTGACAGTCTATAAAGGGGTTGTCGGTGTTACCCTTCTTTGACAAGCGCAATGGTTAATGCGCGACCGATCCCGCTTGCACCTCCTGCGATGAGTGGTTAATTGATGAGCATTCTGGTTTCGAAAAAAGACCTTGAGCCCGAACCAGTGACAAAGGCATAACTCCCAGCTTCAGACATGTTTCGATCCTGTGCAACTGAAATTTGTCGAATACGTCAAATCGGGACCATAGGCACTGAACCTGAGAATAATAAGAACAGGGGCAAGACGTGCTGTCTGACCTTGGAGTCACAGTTACATTTCTCCATCAATGACGTTTCTCTCTCCTCCCCCTTTCTTTTTTGAATCACATGAAAACAGTCAATTAAGACTCGGTGGAGAGAAAAGTCACGGGAGCACCTTGGGCAGACCCGGTCGAATAGCTCTCCTCGGTGATGTCTTTCCGACTAAGCCGACATGTGTATATCACGGGCAATTCCACCGAGAAGAGAGCGCCGGGCTTGGAGCTTTTTAACCGGACGGGGTCGTCAAACCTAAAGTGATCAATGCAACTCGCTAGTAAAGGTAAGGGAAAGGGCATCAATACGGGCAGTAAATCAGAGGAAGCACGGTGCCGGCCCGAAACTCCTGCCGCAATCTGCCCTCACTCTACGGAGTTCGATGTCCAAGACGAAACGGTTGGTATGATAGGCTGGGATATGATTGCAAGCTGACGATGTCATTCGGCATAATGTATTCGAACCTACAAAGAAGGAATACCCGCCGTCGAAGCGCAAACAGCACCTACTCAAGTCTAACACAGGATGGCTCGTCTTGAAGGAAAAGTCATCTGCATCACTGGGGCGGCGTCTGGGATCGGCTTCGCACTCGCAAGAGTGGCCGCTCAAAATGGTGCCAGACTGTCCATCTGTGACATTCAGAGAGAAATGTTAGCAAAGGCAGTCGCAGATCTCAAGTCTACTGGGGCAGATGTCCTGGGGACCGTCGTCGATGTCGCTTCTGATACGCAGGTCGATAGCTGGATCGCCACCACGGTCGAACATTTCGGCAAGTTGGACGGTGCTGCCAATTTCGCAGGCATTGAACGGACACACGGCGCCTTCACCCAAATCAAGGACCTGAGCAATCAGGAATGGGACCTGGTCCTCTCTGTCAACTTGACGGGGGTCATGTACTGCATCCGTGCCCAGACAAAGGTCATGAAACGCGGAGGTTCAATTGTCAACGCGAGCAGTATTGGGGGGTTGCGAGGTAGAGAAGGTCTGGCACCGTACTGCGTGGCCAAACACGCTGTGATAGGTCTGACGCGAACGGCCGCAAAGGAGAACGGTGCGAATGGTATTCGAGTGAATGCTGTTGCTCCGTACGTCTCTCACAGAACAAGTTCAAGCTTTGGCTATCCTTCTCGCACAACCCTGGCTGACCACTACCAGAGGACCTATCGAGACACCCATGTTTCAGCGGTTACGAGACACTCCTAAAGATGATCAAGAGACGAAAGTCATGACACCCAACTCGATGCCTCTTCAGAGGAACGGCCAACCGGAGGAAGTTGCAGCGTTGGCAGCTTTCCTGCTTAGCGATGATGCAAGCTTTATCACCGGCGCCGTGTATCCCAGTATGCAAACCCCCAAGACGTTCTCCCTTTGTTGAGTCTGCATGTCCTGGCTAATGATGTCTTGTCTATAGTCGATGGTGGCGCAACTGCATAACACATGTTCAACCCTGGCTACTAGGTACTGCAAATCACTTGCCATCGGCACGGTGGATACAATAGAAGAAGTGTACAGATCCGAGCACACGTATACGGTACATATTCGAGTTCCGTCCGGTGGTCGAATACCGACCATTACTCTTACACCTTATCTAACCCACCGCCTATCTGAGTGCTTACCCCACATCTATAGGGCTTACTCGGCGGTCGAATACCGGTCGTAACTCCCTGCCTAGTCTGGCCAGCCTAACTAAATACATATATATCCACATCTATAGGTCTCCCGAGTACCTCGTGCTCGGTGCTCGAATACCGGCCGTGGCTTTTGGGCCTAACTCAACCCGCAGAGCTGATTGGATATTGATTTCTGTGTGTCCTTCGTGTCCTTCGATTGGCTACGAAAGTTCACGGATGTGAATCAAGGGCTGGCACAAGATCAGGTTTTGGTGCAGTCCTTTTTCTTCACATTCGCGTGCGCCCGGTTCGCCAACCACTACCAAAATCCACATTACTCCGCACTATGGACAAGCTCAACGGTCCCACTGTGTAATCACCAGAGCTCCACTGGGAAAAAATCTGCGGAGAAACAAGGGATCAGGGTTTCAAGACTTGGCCTGAAGTCTTGCGGCCATCCAGCTTTGGACCACGCGTCCTGAATCAACACGGCCCTGTTTCCCCTTTCAGATATTTTTTCAATACAAGGATAGAACTACAAGATCATACGAATCGCTCGTTTGTACTTGATATTCACGATTCTATATACCATGTCCAAAATAAAAGTACTTTTGCTTGGCGCGACAGGCGAGACCGGTGCTTCGGTACTGGAAGGACTGGCAGCAGACGATGCCTTTGTGAGTTCCGACAATTGTGGTGCCAGGTCAGGACATACAAGCTAAAGATTCTGGTTGTAGCATGTCAGCATCGCAGTTCGCCCTTCTTCGACGGATAAGCCCGCAGTTCGTGCTCTTGTGGCTCGTGGCTTCCCAGTCATTGAAGTCGATCTGGACACGAAGCTTGATCCCTCTCCTCTTGAGCCATTCAACACTGTCATCAGCTGCATTGGCCCAGCGGCTCAGCAGAGTCAGTTGAATCTGGCTACCGCGGCCAAAGCTGCCGGAGTGAAACGCTTCGTCCCTTGCGCCTTTATCACCATCTGTCCTCCGGGCGGGGTCATGCAACTACGAGACGCGAAGGAAGAAGTCTACAACCACATGTTCCGCCTTCATCTGCCATACACCATTATTGACACGGGGTTTTGGCACCAGATCTCGTTCCCACCACTACCCTCGGGTAGACTGGACGATATTCACTTCATGGGAGAGAATAATCTTTACGGGGATGGCAGTGCACCGAACCTCCTTACCGATCTCCGTGATATTGGACGCTTTGTGGCCCGCATCATCAAAGATCCGCGGACGCTGAACAAAAAGATCTTCACGTGGTCGGACGAACTGAGCCAGAACGAGATCTATGCTGTGGCGGAGAACCTCTCTGGTGAGAGAATCGACAAGAAACCAGTCTCCTTGGAGGAGATGGAGTCCATTGTCGCCAAAGCCAAGCAGGATCTCGCCGCTGATCCCACGAACATCATGGCCAAGATGGCACTTTGGACCCAGGAGTACAACCTCTCGAAATATTTCCGCAGAGACAATACGAGAGAGAATGCTCTTTACCTCGGATACTTGGACGCCAGAGATCTGTATCCTGACTTTCGGCCGATTTCTTTTGTCGATTATTTCAAGGAAATCCTACGAGGGAACGGCAAAAAGCCTTATGCAGGTAGGTGGTGACGACGGAGCGAATACAATATCACCTCGGCATACCTATATAGAGCTTCTGAGTAGCCACGAATTGGTCCATCTGTCCGTGGCCGATCTCAGGCCACGTCTGATGGTTTATATAGAATACCAGCGGGGCAAGAAGGTCTCTCTTGAACCCTGCTACGCAGATTAGCCTCTCGGCACCTATCATGTTTCAGGTCTACCTAGACACGATCTTGTGAACGAGACGGGTCTCAGGTACAACATTTTGCGCAGCCATGGTTATGCATCGAACCATTTCATGAAGGCCTGTCGACTGGCTGGAATTGATAACAAAATCCCCGTTCATTTCTCCTCATTGTTCTCCAGTAGCTCAATATATTGGCCAACAACGCTGCGTATTTGCTCCTCAATACCGCGAAACTTCAAATTGAATGTCTTTTCGGTCTTGGTGCTGGATATCTTTGTATGAAGTGAAGATCCCATGGCCGCCTGGGGATTGATCTTCCCTGCTTTGGCCGCTTCCGGGAACAATTTCTCGATCAGGCCAGGAACGGAGCTCCAATCCACTCCAGTGCCGCTGCCGTCTTCCTGTTGCCAATTCAACATGTACGTGTCACTTGGGATGTCCGGGCTCAGAGCCTGTACATGTAGTTTCGCGACGTCGTCGTTGTGGACCGTGGCTCCAGGTTTCGGCCCCTCCCATCGTTTGCCCAGTGCCAAACTCAACAGTAAAGCGTTCGTGCCCGTGACCATATCCGCAGCCGAAGTCTGCAGGTCGTCTCGGCCCATGACATACGTCGGGCACAAGTGTACGACGTCGAATCTAGGTTTCGCTCTCCCCAGCCACTCCAGAGTGCCGTTGTATGTCGCGACCTTGGATGCGCAGTACGCCTGAAGTTCGCTCCCGTATGGTCCGTTGTCCAACGAGACTCGGCCCTCAGCGTCAAAGACTTGATCGCCGCCACCCGTGACGGCGAAGACTTTGAAGGGGACGACAGCGACGACCGAGGCTGTGATGACGACACGTTTCACAGTGCCTGCTTTGGCGGCCGACTCGAGCATGCCCATCGTGCCTCTCGTGGCTGGTTTGATGAAGAAGTCATGATATTCCTTCTCGGTCAACTTGCCACCAGTGGTGATACTGCTTGCGATGTGTATCACTTTGGAAACTCCATTCACGGCATCGTCGTAGGCCCCGGGCACCGTCATGTCCGGCACAATGACAAAGGACAGTCGGCCTGGGGCCAGCGATGCTTCGAGTTGGGCATGGTGTCTTGCGAGAGCAGACCTGATAGCGTTGAAGCGTGCCCGAGAGCGGAGTGCTAGGCGGACGCGATACCCGCTCTCGAGAGCTATCACGACAGTCCGGAAACCGATGTGGCCGGAGCCACCGGTGATTAGTATGAGCTCCTTGGACATGGATCGCCGGGACTGAAAGCTGTCGAGCCAGCAAAATAGTAGTGGCGACTTGTTGTTATCTCTTGGAAGGACCTCAGAAATGCGGGTTAACAGACGGGCGATGTCGATAACCGGGGTATTCAGAACAATGTTGGCCCAGATACTGACCGCAGCTGTGTGAGCGACCTCTCCTCTACAAGGAGCTGATTTTCATTGCATAATTGACCAAGGAAAGATAGCAAAGTCATTTGGAGTCGACCAAGTGGGTGGATATTCGTGAGTCTTGAAATGTAAACTTCATTCGCATACAGACCCAGGCTACGGTGGAGAGCAAGCGATGAACGGTCCATACGGCGCCGTACCAAAGCAACAAAGATCGGTTTGCAGATGATTGGGCGGTCGGGATTCGATTCCCTTAGAATTGAAGATGGAGGAATATACACTTTCGGACCAAGTGTCGTTGCCATTTAGTGTCGGGGAAATTGTCTTTCTCCCACATGACGGGGAGTGGCCCTCGGCCGCCCACTGACAAGAACGGACAGAGTCAGGCAGTTTAAAGGGCTTGGAGACAAGAGAAAGTGGTAAAAGTTTGTTGAACAAACAAGACCTAGGCTACAGCACTAGGACCCCCTGGTGCATTTCTCGTCCTTGGACAGGGCTCACTTTTGCGCGGGAGATCGGGGCGCACAAGCACGCAACCAAACAGTAGAATACATTGCGCGACTCAGAACACCCTCGACAGCCAATCCAGTACTCGGTTGGGCATGATTCCAGACTCCAACCCTGCGTGCAAGTCCAGAACCCAGTCTATATGCACACTTGCCGGGCATTCCACATTTTCAACCTTGTTGCCTGCCTCGTTGAGCTTCTCTCCCAGCTCGACAATGTGAGACTTGAAGCATTCATCACCTCCGTATATATTCAAGATGGACTTGGCAGGGATCCCTCTCCACCAGGCGACATCGGCGCGGAGAGGTTCCGAGTAGTTGTTGACATCTTCCGGGTCGACGTATGCAGGGCCGAGCAGGTGCATGCTGATGGGAGCGACGCAGTCTTTGTCTTTGTTTGCCGTCCAAGACTCACTGTCGGTGCCAAAGCTGACCATGGGCGAGAACAGGAGGACCCCAGCAAGTGGAGCGTCCAGCCTCAACGGCTCGACTCCGTCGAATCCGTGCAACAGGATGGATAGGACCCCGAGGGTAAGATTTCCCCCTCCGGAATCTCCGCCAATGGCAACCTATATAGGGAGACATGGTGTTAACTGTCTGGGTCAGGAAAAGTGGTTTTTGATATATGGACACGTACGTTGGATGCGTCGTAGCCTTGGCCCAGAATGAATCGCAGAGCCTCCAGCCCTTGGATGATTTGGGTAGGATATCTTACCTCCTTGGTCAGTCCTAGATAAAAATGGTCAAAATCCCATCCATACAGAATTCAAATCATGGGCTTAGTAGCGGGGTCTGTCTGCCTCACCGTACTCCAGAGCCGCAATGACAAAGTCGCTTTTCGGGTTCAAAGACTTGAGACATTCATTCCAGAAGCGAACATGTCCCTTGAGCGCGGGAAAGCAGAATCCTCCACCTATACTTTTTGTAAGCTGTTTGTTGACCTCTTCTCTCCAAGGGATGGAAATCTCCCTGACCATGGAAATACAGAAGCACCCCTTTCGCCGGACGATGTCCAAGCCAGTGTATCCGTGCGCCTCTGCCCGCTGGAATGTCTTGAATTTCATGCTCGAGATTGAGCTTCTGCGCCTCTTTTGTGATCAATTCCCCGGTGGGTAGTAGACTGGCTTTGAATTCGAAGGGTGTTTTGAATGCTTCCCGGAACGCACTGTTTCGGGCATCGTGGGCGGCAGAGCGAGACATTATTGCACTGGTCTGTTCCACGGCATGTGATGGAGGTCATGAGAACCGAGATAGATAAATGGACGGGTTAGACTAAAAACGGGGATTCAGCACGTTGGCCTTTCTGCATATATCATGTATGCTGCGCAGCTTCAAAGGCGATTGGGGAGCCGGAGTAAACAATTTGCGCCGCCGAGCCATGTTCTACGTTCCAACATTTGGCTTCTTGGTTAGAGTCAGATGACCATGGATGATCACAGCCGTATACAACCCAGGATCGGGACTCGTTATCCGAAGTACGGGTTATATACGTCTCAAGGTTGGTGGATCACTCGTGGCTGATGGGGCCGGTCATCGATGCCCGGGAATCTACATACACGACTCGCAGCCTTGCGCATTTGACTTGTATCAGTACGCGACCAGTCGACCCCGTATGCGCTTTCAGCCCATGATTACAGCTGTATGAAGCCGATCTCCAACAAGAGAATGGGCCAGGACTGTGGTTGTGTCCGGATTCAACCCCGACTAGTTCTGATCCAGCCAATGCGATCCCTTTACAGTTGAATCTTCCGTGTCCACATCGCCCAGAAAGTTTCGCCAATACAAGTTTCGGCGAGGTTCGTCCGACCGAAGATAGCTAGATTCTCCCCCTCCACGGTGGCAATTCTCGGTGGCCCTCCCCTGACCTCGGTGTCTCCCCCACACAAGGTTCCCCCGCCTACGCCCTCCATGATGAGCCTGGAGGTTGCTATATGTGATAGTGTACTTATAAACAAGGGCCCATGTTCGCGCCCACGCCCCTTACTCTAAACACTTCGACTAGAGCCTCTGGTAACTTACACAGAAACAACATGGCCGAACAAGCACCTCAAGTTAACGGCGTGCATCGCCAAGTCAATGGCCACCAAAACGGACACGAACCTTTTTTCGAGGCCATCATAGTTGGCGCTGGCTTTGCAGGTCTTCGCGAGTTGTATGAGCTGCGAAAACGTGGCGTCTCTGCTCGCGTTTTCGACGCTGCGGGTGGAGTGGGAGGTGTAAGTCTCTTCCTTGTCACTTTCCCTCACATGGCTGAGATTGAACTGTCTAGACATGGTATTGGAATCGATACCCCGGTGCCCGAACCGACAGTGAAAGTTGGGTTTTCATCTTTACGTTTCTGGAGGAATTGGGCATGGAATGGTCATGGAAAGAGCGATTCCCTCAGCAACCAGAGGTCGAGCAGTACCTGAACAAGATTGCCGACTATCTCGACCTTCGGAAAGACATCCAGTTGAACACTCGTATCGTATCGGCTCATCGTGACGAGGTCCAAAATCGTTGGAGAATCACCACCGACAAGGGCGAAACTTATACTTGCAAATTCCTGATTACAGCTGCTGGAGTCCTGGCCACGCCACTCCGGCCACCTTTTCCTGGTCTGGACTCGTTTCAAGGTGAATGGTACCAATGTGGACTGTGGCCCAACAAGAAAGTCGACTTCACAGGGAAGAGAGTCGGACTTATTGGAGCAGGGGCCACGGCAGTCCAAGTTGCACCGATTGTCGCCCACAATGCGAAGAGCCTCACCATGTTCCAAAGGACACCCAACTACGTTGTTCCAGCTCGTAACTACCCGATCACCAAAGACCAGATGGACGAAATCACCAGAACCAACAAAGAGATATGTGAACGCGCCCGGACTCATTCCATGGGTTTCGATATCATTGATTCGAAATTGAAATTCGACGACCTGGAGGACGAGAAGGCCATTCAACGCGTTCTCGACGCGGGTTGGGAAAAGGGCGGGTTTCATTATTTCTTCGAGACGTTCGCAGACACGCTCACCAACCCCAAGACCAACGAGGTGGCCTCTGAGTTTGTTCGCAACAAGATCCGTGCCATTGTCAACGACAAGAAAACGGCGGAGCTCCTATGCCCTACCTACCCAATCTTTTCCAAGCGACCACCAGCTGGACACAACTACTACCAAACGTTTAATCGGAGCAACGTCGAGCTTGTCGACGTCAAAAACGACCCTATTCAGGAGATCACGCCAAAGGGGGTCAAGTTGGCAAGCAATAAAGAATACGAATTTGACATGATCATCTTCGCTCTAGGTACGTACAGATTTGCTCTTGTCTCAGATTCGCCAGCTGATCAGTTCACAAGGGTTTGACGCCGTCACCGGCACCATAGCAAACATCGGTATTCACGGTAGTGATGGCCAACCAATTGGTGACGTGTTCAAAAAGGAACTAACGACATCATACGGCGTCACCATCCCAGGGTTTCCGAATCTATTCATGATCTTTGGACCCCAAACTCCCTTTGCCAACGGACCGATGGTCATTGACATCGTCGCCGACTATATCGGGAAGACGATATCGTACCTGAAAAGTCACGACATCGACCGCATCGAGTCCAAGAAGGAAGCGGCCGAACGCTGGAGCTCCGAGGTCAACCACGTTTTCGAGCAAACCGTGGTCGCTCAAACGGCAATGGACGTCAAGTCATGGTATGTGGGCGCCAACATCCAATCCAAGCTCCACAAGACTCTACTCTACTTTGGGGGAATACCGAGGTACATGGAGATACTGAACAAGGAGATCGAGGAGAGATATCCCTCACATACCTTGTCTGGACCGAAGGAAGTTACGGTGTAATCATTCCTGCTTGGTGAAACTGGGGCTCAGCGACTACCAAAGTTTCATATACACGAGGGTTTTGTCTGTATTCAGTGAAAGGCTTCTTGGGAGCATTTGTGGGCAGAGACTCGTAGAGCATGTATATGTGTGTGTGTGTGTGTGTGTGGCCATTACTTTATCACAAGTAAACAAAGTCAGCAATCAAGTCGTGGAGATTTTCCAGATCGAGGGCCCACCTGTCTAGACGGGCTGGGCTACTCCGTTACAGAACCAGGGTCATCGAAAAGCTCCTGTCTTCTGTCATCAGACTAGATTCTCATTGCGCTATTCTATTCTCGCACGTGGAGAGATACGGAGCCACAGAGATCTCCTGCCGATGGGGGAAAAGAAAACATCACGAAGACACGGGTTTTCAAGAGAAGGGGGGCATGGAAGCTTGATCGCGGTCGAATGCTTTCTGCGGTATCGTACTGCGAGTGAATGCCGGAGGGACAGAGATAGACAGGTGAACACTATGTGAACCAGCACGGATTTCACTAACCCCACCATTTATCCAACAGCTTAGCATGAGGTACCGATGGGAGGAGGCATCATGTCATATCTGAAGCACAGAACAATCATCATCCGACATCAGCATCTCAATGATAGACATTCTTTTCTGCTTGGACATCATTCTCCAAGAATATCTCGATCTTGGGTGTCATTTTGGGTCCGATATCTTCCAAGGCGAGCGTGGCGAGGATAGCCAGCCCACCGAACCCGACCGAAGCCAAGGCCACCGTCCTACCGCATGAAGTATTAGTATGGTGTTGTTTTGGTTTGCCGCCGGCGGGGAGGGAGGGAGAAGACAAGAATGGGGCCTGTACATACCTGAGGCCTGCGACGTAACTTTGTTGATATGCGCCAGCTGCCGCTTCGATGATGGCTGCAGTGGCGCCTTGGACTTGTGCCACAGCTTCCGCCCCAAGCGATAGGGCACCCAACACAGCCTCTGCAACTTTGGCCGAACCGCCAGCGGCTTCAACGGCGGCAGGGACTTCGGCTGCAGCATGCGACTTCTGAACGCTGGCCAGGATCGTCTGGAACACGCTGACCGCAATGGCGCCACCGGAAAGTCTTGCCACGCCGGCCAAGCCGCCAGCAATACCGAGTTCGACTTGGTCTGCACCAAATTGGATGTAGGCAATGGAGAGATATTGAGCATAGCCGTACGCGGTTGCCGTGAGGAACGCAAATGCCACAGCGAGACCTTCCCTGTCCGGAGTGATGTAGGCCAGCAAGCCACCGAAGAGAGTCATTAACGTGATGGGAACCGTCATCTGCCATTTCCAGTGCTGAATATAGGTCCCGGCAAAGGAAAGGATCATGGCACCGGTAAAAATCCCGAACCCTTGGACAGTCGACATTAGCAATGTGATATGAAACGGCGTAGTAGGCGTGGTGAAATAGGTCACAACCATGGTCGGCCAGACGATGTTGGTACCGTAGTAGAACATGGTAACGACAAAGCCGACGATGAACGGGGCGGTCAATGTGCGACCTCTATTGTGGGTGAATAGGCGGGTCGGGGCGAGTGGTTGTTTCAAGGGAGCAAATGTTTCCCAGGCGCCGAACATCAACATCAGCGCAAACCCCGAGACAAGAAGGCCAATAACCAGAGGGTCGTTTGACGGTCGGACCTGGACGTAGACGATGCCCGTGAGAATCAGGGTCGTCGCCCCGGTGAATGTCAACATGCCGACATAGTCGAGTTGCTTGAGAGCCACGTGCCATGCGACGCCCCGCGGGTGCCGGGGGGGAAAGTAAAGGAGTGCGAGGACAATAAAGGATATAGCAATGCTAATCGCTATGCCCCAATATCCCCAACGCCACTTTCCAGATAGTTAGTGGGATGATTTTGACCAGCGAGCGGCGTCTCGTTACTTACAGCGTCACCGTGTCTGATGGCGATTCGAGCCGTAGGCGGCCCGACAATGACGGAAAAGAGGACCATGGCATCGGCAATGACCACAGCCCAATGACGCCACTTGTTGGGAAGAAGTTCAGGTGCCGCAAACGCGGCTAGTTGACATTGGCATCCACCGAACCCAAACAAGACATGTGCAGCAATGGTCTGGCCCAGGGATTTTGAGGTGCCGCCTAAGATGGCCCCAATGAAGACGAGAACGTTGCCCGCGAGGATGAAATATCGCCGGCCGAACAAGTCGCTGCATAACCAGTTTAGGAGACGAGACGCAACGGGGACAGACGACACGTTATCAAACACACCTGTTGGCACCACAGAGCATGAAAGAGACAGTGCCAGCAAGAGGATAAACCGAATTGATCCAGGTACCGCTTGCGGGTGCCCCAAACTGAGTGGCGATTTGTATCTCGATGGTACTGAAGAATGGGACTGGCCAGAATGAGATCCCATAAGAGATAGCTAGAGTCTGCAGGCAGAGTCACTAAGTGCTGGAGAAAGCCAAATGCTAGAATGTACTATCACCACGGCCCAAGTCTTCGCTGTCACAGCATAGTCGTCGTCTACCATTGGTGTATGCAAGGTGCTGTAGTCTGCGCCGTGTGACGACTGTAGCTCCACATCCTGAACCGACTGTATGGTGCCACCCTCGTCGTGCTTCATGGAATAAGGCTTTTCAGAATTCATGACGCCGTCCGTGGGAGACCAACTGGTCAATGAGCTTGAGCTATGGCAAGAGGAGAACGAAAGGGAGACGAATGGCCAAGCAAAGTAAAGTGAACAAGGCGACAGCCAAGATCTTCTATTGAAGTTGACTCGGTGGGAGAATGGTATATAAAATCTTGTCTCCGGGGCCCAGGAATTCAAGGCCTCAGGTAGAGTAAAACCAGACAGGAAACTGGCATTACTGGACGGATCTTCGTCTAGTTCCTATAGCGACCCTTGAATGGGAATCACGAGGTCCATGCCGAATGGCTCGATATCTCAGACGCCTCGCCGAGTCACGCATATTGAGGTGTCGCATTCATCCTGTCCCGGCACTCGAACGCCGCAAGACGGATTCATCTTTGTCCCGAGCCAGCTTTTGGATCCTGTAGTAGCCCCGTGTAGTAGTGCGATGCCAGGCCCCGGAGCTCGATCCAGATTCTCCCACGTTGTGCCGGGTCTGAACCCTCCAACATAGGCGACCAAGTCGACCAAAGTCAACCTATTCAAGCGCCAAGTTGGTGTAGTCACGTGAGAGAGATTGCCAAGGCGGCACCAGGACCGGCGCCATACCCAATAGCTATACCTCGTTTAGTCAGCCGGCCCCGGGACCCGATAGACTTTGATGGTATTCATCTATTGAGCACCATCCGGAGCTGTTGTTCGGTCATCGATCCCCGATATTTTACCCTTTAGGTGGGTCCTTGTTTTACTATAGTTTTGCACAGTAATAATGACAGGTCAACGATGTCAAGAGTAATCAAGCCAACAAAATTATGGCGTACATTTCGCAGTCGAAGGCGTTTCAAGCCCTAATACACCCGAGGATGCAGGACAAGTGCTTTTCCCAATGTTCCTCTTGTCAGCACGGCCCAAAAAAAACCCCTCCCATTGGCACGTAAAATGAGCTCCGTTTTATTTTCATACAAACAGGTCCTGAAAATCATTCCATGAACCCATGGTCATCAGGGCTTCACAGTCCTCCAAAGCAAGCATGAATTGCCCGGGGTCCATGGTCGAGGTGGCGTCAGCAGATGACCAGTCCTGCTGCATGACCTGGCCGAGCAGGGCGACGGGGGGGCTCTCGACCACGGTGTCGTTCGTCGGTCGGCGCTGCAGGAGGGAAGCGTTGGCGTCTCGTAGAGCTTGGGAATCTTCCTTGGCGCTCAAAAGTTTACATCGTCGCATCAGGTACCGCAGTTGCTTGAGCACCGTCTTGGCGCTCATGTGGCAACACTGAATTTCTTCCAGGGCTGCGATGCACGTGGTCAGGGCGGACAGGCATTCGTTGGTGGCTTCTGACGACTGCTCCGCGCGGAGGGCGATGAGGACCACGGCCGCCGAAGTGATGTTGTACATGGCCACCCCGACCAGCGTCATGGCGGACCCGTGAGATGCTCTGTAGTCGGCCAGAATGTGTCCGATCTGCAGGACGTGGTCGAGACAAATGGCTCGCGATTCTTGCGAGGTTGCGGTGCTTTCGGCCTGGTTCGTCCCGAATCTCGCGGAAGAACGGTGCAAGAGGATCATCGCCCCGTGAAATTGCAGCTGGAGGACGTATACCGCGGGAGGACAGCCCGGGTTGTGTCTGAGACCTGGGTCGAGGCTTGATTCCCATTGAAGTAGTTTCTCGCGAAGAGTTTTCAGCTGGCAGTAGGTGAATGACTGTTGGTTCAACGCGTGGGAAATCTCTCCCACGATGGTGAACAGCGTCGCCCAGGCCATCAATATGGCCAGGTCTGACGAGGATGGAGAGGCCTTGTCGACGGGAGGGGAAAGTGGCGAGATGGTGACATCGCCCAGATTGATGGCGCAGGGCCGCCCAAGATAGAGACCCCAGCCGCGGTCGTAGGCAAAGCATCCCCAAAAGACCACTTTTCTGACCTCGAAATCCAAAGGAGATGAGCTGGTGGATTGGAACTCCGCATCATCCTTGTGCAGCCCGAGTTCAAATATCAGACGAGAGGATCGTCCCGATTCCAGCCACCCCTTGGTATCTTGCCCGCGCCGAGAATATACGGCACTGAGCAGCTGAAGACTTTGAATGGTTGTCAACCCTACCTTGTTCTCGATTTCCTGTTCGGCCAACTCGGTAGCCTTTCTCAGCAAGTATGGTTTTGATCCTTCAGCGTCTTCATCCCGGCTGAGTGCCAGTGCTCTGATCTCGGGGACTTCGGAGAAAACGGCTGCATTGACCAGGATGGCGTAGAGGAGGGCTTTGCTGTAGTATCGCGAGCGGCCGGCCTGCATGTCCTGCAAGAACGCTTCACGGTGGACCACCTGAAGAACTTGGTGTTGGAAACGCCAGTACTGCTCCAAGAGGTGGTCGCGAAGCACTGGCGAGATGTTTTCCTGGTCCTCCAGTTCAAGTCTCCCAGCGTCGTCCCACTTTAAGAAATTATAGGGCATCTTTTCGCTCGTGTGTAGGCTCGATGTAGGTCCGTAGTACCTGGCCAGACCACTCTCATCGGCACGAAAGTGAGGTTTTTCTGCACACAGTCTGGCAATGAGAGTGTGGGGTGTCTTTTTGAAGTCGATGACGCTTGTGGCCGGGGCCGAGTCGTTGTTCAACGCCGAGTCGATGTTCACGGCGGGGAGCGTGGCGGCCGTGTTGGGTGACCGGACTGAACTCGGTGGTGTCAAGTACAAATTTCGTTCTGCCCTCGCCTCCGACTCTCGCAATTGCTTTTCCAGACTCTCAATTCTTCTCTCCAGCTCCCGGGTTCGTCGCTTGGACGACGGCCTCAGCCGCTCATCTTCATCGGGAACGATGCACGGTATCTCCAATCTTTCGCACTGGTTGCAAGTCGAACTCTTTCGGTAGCATTTGATCTTTTTCTGTCGACAGCTCAAGCACGCCAGTGACCGAGCCGCATCCTTTGTGCCTCCGCCTCCACGTCCATCTACCTGGAGGTTGGCCGAGCTTTGACGGCGCTTCTTGCCTTTGGGACTCGGCTCATTGACGGGCGAAACCGCCAGGTTCATCGAGTGCGGCGAATCCACGTTGATTGTGGAAAGACTGATGAAACCATTCGCAGCGTCAAATAATCCGGTCTGAGACATGGTTACAGCCACGACATGAATAGTACGTTGTTATATCGAGACCAGGGCAGAGCAATCGGGGTTGAGACCCAAGCGACAAACCATCCAAGGGAGGCGGCAAGGGCTGTGTTGGTTGAGAGAGAGAGAAAAAAGATCGTGGAGAGCGGGGGGGGAGGGATCACGACAACAACAAAGTCAAGCAAACATGCCTAGCAGTGCCTAGCGAAGACCCTATACCGAGTCCCCTACGACTCCGTCTCCATACCTAGACACCCACACACCATAGTGCTTCCCCCACACTCCCAGCCTTTCTCTCTGGTAAGGCGAGGGTGCCTAGACTACAAGCAAGTGTGGGGTGAACAGCCTCAACCTCGGTTCAAAGTCTACTGCATCGCAACCAAATATTGACTAGGGATGGCTGAGAGACAACGAGAGAAAAAGCCTCTGCCACATCACTACACAGTACCGCCCCCCAGGCGACCGTAGAGGTTGGGCCCTTTCCCCCAAAGCACCTAAGTCGGGAGAGTACATAACAGTGATGAACGGGCATTGTTCGGGGGCGCAAAACAATTACCCCGCGCGTCCAAGGGTTTGCCCATTCCATTGCCCCCTTTTCCCCGCGTTCGTAATTGTAAAAATACGGCCTGACCCGATAACTTGGTTACCTAACATCCCTAGGTACGAGCAGGTGGGTAACAAGGTTGGAAGACGAATCCACAATGGCTTTCTTCGGGGGTCGATTACCGAGACGATCCAAAAAATGAACCATTTGCAGCGAGCGGCTTAGCGAGCAAAGGGCGAGCAAGGGCGAGGGCTCGTCCCCCGTTGTTGATTTATTTGAAAGGTCCTCGAAAAGCGGCAAAGCTGATTGGATCTATACTGTACCTCGTATTACTGGATGGTCCTTGGAAAAACGAAACACCATGGTTCAACTCAACCGCCATCGCACAACCACGGCCCAGCCGAAACCCAGATACGGCCATCTATCCCAGATTGATCCTGTATTCGCAAACCTCAAAGACGCTCTCGACAAGAGATTCTCCGAGTTGTGGTCGCTGTCGCTGGACGATTTGAAGACGGCGTACCGAAATGCTCCTCCGGCGCTCCCAGAAGACGTCCCTGTAACGGGAAAGGACTACCAAGTCTCAGATCGAGAGATGTCGACCAGAGACGGCGCAAAGATCGGCTTGCGGATCTACAGGCCAATGCAGAGCAGGGCAGGGGCCGTGTTGGTTTTGAAAGCGCACGGCGGGGGTAAATTTTTGATATTTTCCTTCTTCTCCCACCACTGCTCTATATCATATATTCCTCTTTCGCTCATACTTGTGACTTATATCCAGGTTGGGTCCTGGGGAACCACCAGGTCGAAGAGGTCGAGAACCGCATGTTGGCCGCTGAACATGGCGGCGGGGCTGTGGTCGTCAGTGTCGACTATCGCATGGCCCCGGAGTACAAGTTCCCCTACGCGGTCAACGACTGTTTTGACGCCTTGAAATGGGCAAGTTTGTGTCCCCCCCCCCCAAGGTTGCCAGATTAGTGCATCGAATCTCTGACAGCGCACAAGTGCAAAGCCAATGCCTCTGACTTGGGGATCGATCCAGGATCAATCATCGTCGCAGGGGGAAGTGCCGGAGGGAACATCGTAAGACGACATACATGAACCCACGTGAAGAAGCATGAAGGATACTGAGGAAATGAACGTCTCAGGCAGCTGTCCTCGCGCTCATGGCACGCGATCAAAACGAGCCTGGCATCATCGGCCAGGTGTTGAACATCCCCGTCACCTGCCACCCCGACCTTTTCCCCCGAGACAAATACGAGTATGGCAGCTACGAACAAAACGACAGTGCCAGCGTCGTCGACGCGCCCAAGATGCACTGGTTCTGGGAACAGTACATGCCCGAGGTCGTCCCAGATGTGTATGCCAGCCCACTCTTGTCCAAAAGTCACGCTGGACTCCCACCCGCTCGTGAGTCAATGTATTACCAAACCGAAAAGAAATCATCCAGACTCTAACCACCCGCCTAAAAGTGATCCAAGTAGCTGGCCTCGATCCTCTCCGGGACGAAGGCCTCGCTTACGCGGAAGCACTCGAGCATGCTGGTGTGCCAGTCACTCTGAAAGTGTATCCTGGATTGCCGCATGGCTTTTACCTCGTTCCGACCCTGGAACAGACGCGAGAGTATTGGAAAAGCACGGTAGACTTTGTCAAGCATCTCAGCGCATCCGCCAGGATCTAAACTTGTCAATGGCAAACCCTCCAATAGGGCGGTTAACGTCAATTGTTATCTGATAGACAGATGCTTCAGACTGTAAGCAATTCCTCAAATATTTCATCAATACAAGACCTAACCGTGGTCGTTCTCCTAAAAGTAGAGAGCCTTCAAGGCATGGAGAAGGTCATGCACCTCCTTGCATGTGAGAAGCATTTTGGCGTTTGACAAGCCACTCCTGAGACTTCCATGCCCTTACTTTGACATATTTAGGGGTTGTTTCAGATGCAGAGTTCAGGGCCAGTGTCTATCGCGATATTGACGTCTGAATGGACGTCTCCTACGCAAGCTTGAAAGCCTTGTATCCGGCCGCTGCCACTGCTTCGCACCTCCTCCGAAACTCCGGCGCAGACCCCATGTACCGGGCCACGATTCGCTTTTCCTTGCCTGCCACATTGCGATTGACGCCCGTCATCCACGAGTCAACCTTGGTACTCAAAAGATCCTTGCCCAGGTCATGGACGTGGTCTGTCCATTCTTGCACCTTTTACTGTCTGTGAGCGGAGAAGGGTATGCGAAACTTGCAAGGACAAAACTTACTCCTTCGTCAGTGGCCTCGATGAGAGTGATGTTGTGAGCCCGACAGTACTCTATGCATTCTGCTATCCAGCCCACAGCAAATTCGATGCTGCGAGGGATATTCCCATAGGCTTGATGGGGCCCCATCGACATGAACATGTTGGGGAAGTTCTTGACCGTCAAGCCCAGGAATGTCTTTGGGCCGTCTTTCCATTCGTCATAAAGTCGATGGTTATCAATGCCTTGAAAGTCAATTGCATCAAATGCTCCAGTCACTGTTGCTCAAACGCCTCTGATCAGCTCAACTCGACGCGTGCCAAAGATTCGTTAGAAGCTGGATGGCACAACCACTCACCGGCATTAAAGCCTGTAGCATAGATGAGCATGTCAAATTCGAATGTCTCTTGGGTGGTTTTCAGTCCACTCTCGGTGATGCGCTCAATAGGAGTTTCGGTCAGATCCACGAGGCGCACATTGGGCTGGTTATATGCTTCGTAGTAATTCGTCTCCATGGGGACTCTCCGTGTCCCAAATCCTGGGCCAAAGTCAGTCCCAGTGTCTCAACTCAGGGTCGAAGCTCAGTAGATGGCAATATGTACCGTGGTTCTTGGGGATAAGTTTCTCCGCTGTCCACGGGTCATGAACTCGTGCCCGGATCTTTTTCGCCACAAAAGCAGTGACAAGATCGTTCGCCTTCTCGTCGACGAGGATCTCCTTGTAGTTGGACAGCCACATGGGAAACCCTGGCGTCGCATACAACTTCTCCCAAAAGGCTTCTCGCTCTTCGGGAGTAGCATCCCATATTGAGTCGTAATTGGCATCGTGTAAAAAGCACGCTCTGGTCCGATTCAACGTCTCCAATATTTCAGGGTATCGCTTTCGAATCGAGGTCATTTCTTCCTCCTCGATCTTACTGTTGAGTAGTGGAATCGCCTGCATTTACGTTAGCCAACGAGTTACCGTCTCTGGGTGAGCCAAGTCTCCAGTACTTACCCAGTTTGCTGTCCTTTGAAACACTGTCAAGCTCTTTGCCGTTTTGGCTATCACTGGTATGGCCTGTATGGCTGTGGCTCCAGTGCCTATAAATCGAACGGGATACACAGTCAGAACTTGTTTCGAGTGCTGCATGACTAGCGATCTTACCGATGATGCCCACCCGCTTGCCTTCGAAACTGACCTCTTCATTGGGCCATCGAGACGTGTGATACGCCGTCCCCTTGAAGTCTTGTACGCCGGGGATATTTGGCAAGGTTGGATTACTCAACACGCCTATGCAGGTGATGAGGTAGCGGGACGTGTATGTATTTCCAGATGCGTCGGTGAGTCTCCAGAGGTGATTTGCCGGGTCCCAATGCGCTTTCTCGACGCGTGTTTCGAACTGCATGTTATCCCATAACTCGAGCTTGTCGCACATGAACCTGATGTAGCGCTCGGTCTCGGCCTGTGGTGCGAAATGCTCGGTCCAGGTCCACTCGTCTAGAATCTCCTTGGAAAAGAAGAATGCGTACGAGTAGGACTCGGAGTCGAAGCGACAGCCCGGATAGCGATCTAGATTTAGAAAGAATGGGAGTCAACGTAAGGCCCCTTTCAGCAAAGACAGGCTGACTGACTCCAGTACCAAGTACCACCGACCGACGTGCCTGCCTCGAGGACTCTGTGCGTCATATTCAACTGCTTCATTCGATGAGAAGCATAACATCCCGACAACCCAGCACCAATAATGAGGACATCATAATCCGGCTGTACTTGTTGAATGGAACCCATAATGCTAGGACTATCACAATTAGGTGTTGAAGGTGTACAAGCATCCACAAGGGTTCTCAAATTGGGTGAATTGTTTTCTTCTGGCGACACTCAAAAGGACTTTCAGATGGGATGGCAGTTCAATAAGGCTTCAACGCCCTGGTCTACGAAACACACCACTGGCTGGTCGGTGAAGCCAAGGTTCGGGAATCGATCACCGTCGGGCACGCCTGTTCTTCTTAGTCTTCTCCGCACCTTTATGCCGTAGGTACCATTTCAGGGCCAGAGCCCGGGGGGGGGGGGGGGGGGCGGACACCTAAAGCTGGCCATTATTGCCACTCATACCGAAAGAGTCCCGAATCCAAGATGAACGAAGGCCGAATTCGCGGTCTGTCCCTCCTTAGGGCCTGGATGTGCGGCGGCTCGTCGTATGCACCATCGAGTCGCAGCTGGACAGATTTAGCCCGTCCTTGATTATGCTGGGACACTACAGCTGCGCGCACCCAACGTCTACAGTATTGTCTGTCAGCCGGATATTGAGAGCTCGGTTCTCTGATGATCTCCGTAAACACATTTCCTCTACCAGCCACTCTCTCTGAGGCAGGGTTCCTGAAGCTCTCGCAACTAGTGACGACGTTTGGAGGAATGCGGTTCACAGACTATAAGCCCCTATCAGGCGTTTCACTGAGATTTCGCAACTATTGATGATTGTTGGATAGAATACTCTCGTCAATCATCTTCTGAGGCAGTGTATCCTCAACGAGTTGTGCTGAACGGCAGAACTTGGGTAGATCGAGGAACCTAGGCTTGACACACCAAATGCTATTATGTTGAAACTATTGACAGGTCGATGCCATGGATATATAGGTATATATATAGCGCTAGGCCGAAAGACCCCTCCTCTCAACTACTCAGCCTCCTCGTTATCCCAGAACACAAAGGTACGGACCTCAACGCTAGTCCTTGGTTCTCCCTCTTCGTCCTGATTTGCCAGCGGGAAAGACGAGTGCACGGCGCATCGCGCGCGGCCATCCTTCTTGGAGTCAAATATCTTAAACACCCACGCCTCCTCGGGAGTCATCTCGCTGGCAAAGTACCATTTCTGATTGGGATTGTGCGCCATATTTGTAACCTCATATCTCGCCGCCTTTTCCCCGTTGAGATTGTACTCATACCGCTGCTTGTGACTCATGTTCTGAGACACGTTGGCGTACTCTCCTGCGCCCTTGGGGGGCAGGTTGGCGACAACGGTTCGGAAGTCCCTCTCATCCACGGTACGAAAGTCGCAAAAGGCCAGAGGATCGCGCGTGACCTTCTTGATAATGGGGGCCCAGACATTGACAATGGCCCATCGTTTCTTGACCACTTTGTCCGCTTCTTCCTCTGGAAGGTTGAGGTACAGAAGTTGTTCGGCACCGCGGTAAGATTGATCGACGTGGGCGAATCTCTGTCACGAGAACTTCGTCAAGACACATGGTCCGTTGGTCAAACTTGGGGCAAGGATGGTGACTTACAGCTGGATTCGTGGCCGTGACGAAATCGGTATCGGCTTTGCCCTCCGAGGCCTTCAGTGACGCTTGAGTCGTATCACGCCGAGACAGATGCGAGATGACATGAACACGATCTCCTCCAGTCCTGTAGTGGGAGGGTGGCCCGAAATCAGTCAGGAACAAAGCGTTGCTGATAGGTTACTTACACTTTCTTGACAAGTTCGACAATTTCCGGATAGTAGATCTGTCTGATCTGTTCTTCGTCGGCGAATTCTTTCTCCTTGGACACATGGTCCACCAGCTCGAATCCAGCCGTGTCGAAGGTGAATTCGGAGCGTGCTTGACGCATGTCGTGAATGTACATTTCGTGGGGGACATGTTTCCTACGTTTCTCAAACGCCGTTCCTGGGTAAGTTTGAACTATGCCTCCGTCTTTCAGCTCCAAGTAGTAGTTGAGTGTCGTCGGCTCCTTTGGGAGGGTGAGGGTTTCGGTAGCCATGCCGACAAAGTGGTGTTAGAATTTGAAGCCCAAGCTATGAGCTGATTCTGAAGCACAAGTATGTACGCTGTTTGCGAAAGGGACGGTGGTTTTCCCTATTCTCAGCGAGTGCGGACGACCGTTTTTATACTTTCATGCTGTATTGAGATTTCATCGCCACTGGCCGAAAGGACGTGAAACAAACGACCTGGCGCCGAGACCTTTTCGGACTGGATGCTTTCTGTGTCTATTTCTGAGATGATCGTCTTGGTCGTCCAGTCGGTACATGCTCGTCTCCGCCTTAGAGGCAGTGGGACCTCCTCTTCTCGGTCATCGATGACCGAACGACTAGCCCCCGGTATGACCTATACGTGAGGACCGACATGGTTATTCTTTGAAACAAACTTGCAGTCGCAGGCACGGCATCCCGCCAGGAAGAATCTTTTGGTGCAAATGAAGGACAATCGCGAAATCATGCCATCACGCAGGGCTGCGCTGCTATCTTCATCTTGGGGGAACGATGGACATTTTCGAAGCTCTGACCAATGCTTGGACCCTATCAATTAGGTGAAACCAAGTGAACAACAGCAGGTCAGGCGCGGGTCTGTATCCATATGCTCCAAAAAAAATTGTCTCGCCAACTACAGGGTGGTAGGGAAATCACCCTCTGTTCGGCTGAGGGGTAGCGAGCCTCACTCGTGTTGAGGACTTCAGCAGTCGCCTTGCACCGGCCATAGTAGCAGAAGGAAGCCATGACGTGAGGAATTGCGTAAGCTGTCTAAGAGTCCTTCCTCTGGTGGAGTAAAGGTTTCGATGCCCTCCTCTGTAAAGTACAAAGTCGTCTCTAACGTCACTTGGAAATGCCAGCACCAAGACACCGTCGTGCCTTCACACTGTCACATTGTAATTTTCTGGACTGCAACACATATGAGAGAATCGGAATCCGGCTCCACCATTAGTAGTGTGCTGCCCTGACTTAAGAGTCCCAAAGGTCTGTAAGGCATAGATGATTCAAGTGGGTTCGTCGGTCACCACAGGACGACATCTGCCACAGTCTAAGGCATGTATACTGATTCAACGATGATCCTGCGATCTCCTGTGTCTGATGGATATGCACTGCGTCACTTGGCGACAAAAAGCTTTGATTTGCTGGCACAAGGCGTTGGACATGGTTGCGGGCATAATGAAAGCATCAAGGAAGTCGACCTCAGCATAATGCTCCCGACAAACAGCAGAAATTGATCATTTCACAGGCAACTCCAACACGGGAATCGCAAGCCGTGATAATATCATGAGAAACTCTTTGTCTGATTCGGACCCAGAGTTTCAGTCCGGCAAACGAGCGCCGGTCTCCCATCCCACGTCCCGAAGTTTGTGCTGGCCATTTAGTTACTTCGCAGGTTAAAAGTTTTGATACTCCTTTTGTGGTCAATCTCCAACCCAAGCATTTTTGGTGACAAGCAGAAATATGCGGGCTCTCCGATATCACGGAAACAAAGATATCAGGCTTGAAGATGTTCCAGAACCCGAGTGCAAGCCCGGTTGGATTAAGCTGAAGAACGGGTTTACTGGTATCTGCGGAACTGGTTCGTTGATACCTCGGTCATTCGCTTTGTACGCCACGAGTCCCTGGGCAAGCTGCTGATGATCGGCGATTGATTAGATCTCCATGAGTACACCGCCGGGCCGTCTTGGGTCCCTACAACGCCACACAACTTGACGGGTGCCACCATGCCTTGCACCATAGGCCACGAGTTCTCTGGTACCATCGTGGAAGTTGGAGAGGGACTTTCGAATTTCAAAGTCGGGCAAAAGGTTGCCGTTGAGCCGTGTATATCAGATGCCACGTGTGAAGAATGCAAAGAGGGCTTCCCCGTCATGTGCGGCAATCTTGCTGTGGTTGGCTTCAGTGGATGGGACGGCGGGGGCGGAATGGCCGAGTACGTCTGTCTACCACCCAAGAATATTCACGTAGTCCCAGATAGTATGTCGGTTGAAGTGGCAGCTCTCGTCGAACCGCTTACTGTTCCATGGCGAGCCATCAAAGCATCGGGTTTCAAGGCTGGCCAAAGTGCCCTGGTGCTTGGAGCAGGTTTGTTCATTCTTCGCAGAACGGAAGTATTGGATCTTCTGACCTTGTGCCCAGGTCCTATTGGCTTGATGACTATCCTCTGCCTCCAGGCGTTTGGTGCAGGCAAGATTCTCGTATCTGATCTGGCCAAGGGCCGCTTAGAACTTGCACAGAGTCTTGGGGCTGAACATGTTTTCGATCCGACCAGGGACGACGTGGGACAGATCAGTAAAGGCATTTGCGATGGGAGAGGACCGCACGTTGTGTTTGAATGTGCTGGCGTCCAAAGCTCGTTGAGCACCGCCTTTGCAGCCGTCCGAAAGCGAGGAACAGTCTTGGGTCTTGCTCTATGGGAAAGCAAGGCCACGATCGACCCTAATGAGATAGTCTTGTGGCAGATCAAATACGTGGGTATCCTCCCTTACGTTCCGGGTGACTTCCAGGAAGTCATCAAGGCAATTGCCGCGGGCAAAATCTATCGGCCTGAGAGACTCATCTCGGCAAAGATACCGGTGGAGGATGTAGTGTCTAAAGGGTTTGAGCTTTTGCTCAACGACAAAAGCAATGCTGTGAAAGTATTGGTAGAACCTCTTAGCAACAGCACCAGTGTGGGAAATAAGTAGATATAGCTAGGTCAAACTTACGTACTGGGATCCAGAGCGTAGCCACATCTCTGTCAATGAACCTGTCAGTACGAAGGCAGTTCGAAAGCCGGGGCGCTATCAAAGAACCTTGCAGAATCTCAAAGTGTCCGCGAGGATATGATTCTCACTTGCTTTGCCAAGGCACGAACATGTGACTCACCACCCCAAATGTAAGGCGTTATAAAAAAGGGGCGCGCTATCCCATAATAGGCTTAGCCGTATTTCTCTCTTGGCATCATTGAAATTTCAGATGTTGGTCACGTTTCCTGTCGGTCGAACAGCTCACAGTATTCTCTCAAAAAGTACGAGACAGTCTTCTGGGGTCCCCTAGAAAAAGATGGAAGGCAGCACATCTGACTCGCGTCCGGCAAAACGAGCCAAACTCGACATAGCCCAAACAGATGGCAGTTGTGACACCGGCTCAATGGCTCCGTCTACTCAACCCGCTGGTGCTCCGGCCATTGTGCCCGGGAGTCTAGTTTTGGACGACAGCGCAAAGGAACGCGAAGTAGGTATCACGGCCTTCGTTGGCGGATCCAAAAGCCTTTTCCAAGGGATTCTCAAGAAGAGATATACAGATTTCCTGGTCAACGAGATCCTACCTGGCGGAACGGTGTTGCATCTTCGATCAATGAGTGCGAAAGACCTGCAGCCACATGGTTTGCATAATAACAGCTCAGAAGGTCCGGCGCCAAAAGATTCAAGGCATGTGGAGCACGAGGCAAATGCATCGGAGCCATCTGCGCCGAAAGATGAGACTTTGAGAGAGGTGGAAAGGACAACAAATACGAGCACTTCAGATCCTGCTAGAGAGGAAGGCTCTGGCGTCCAAAATTCCGAAGTAATACTCTTTTATGGTTCCCTGGGTAGAGATTGTCCAGACTGACACGATACAGCTTTCCGACGATGATCGTGCCCAATTGGTCGAGTATTTCAGTGAGGAGACTGTGGCACAGATCATCACCCTCTATGAGTCCATCCTGCGGAATCCGGGCAAGAAATCTCGGGACTATTCCACTGTTCGGACACCATTCACCTCGGACCGCAGCGTGCGGTGGAAAATTCATCAGGACATCCGGCGCATCTTTCATAGCAAGATCGACTCTAGCACAGATAACGAGGGCATATTGGTGCTCACTGCAGCATCGTCGTCAGCAAACAAGAATCGTAATCGCGACTGGTCAAAATCTAACGAAAAGTCCTCACGCCCAGGAAAGTTAAGTTGGATAGATCGTGGGGGGGAATACGTCTATTTCACACTTTACAAAGAAAACAAGGACACGCTTGAAGTCATCTCTTACCTGACCAAGCAACTCAAGACAAACAACAAGACGTTTCAATTCGCGGGCACGAAAGATCGGCGTGCGGTGACCGTACAGAGAGTCAGCGCGTACCGTGTCGAGGCAGAGCGGTTGGCTGCGTTGAACCGTTCCCTACGATATGCGGCCGTTGGAGATTTCGAGTACCAGAAACATGGCCTCGAGCTTGGCGATTTGACTGGGAACGAATTTGTGGTCACCTTGAGAGACTGCCAACTTGTTGAGTTAGCCTCCGGAACGAGCACCGCTGAAGAGAAAGCCGCCATCGAAACCTATCTTTCACAGGCGCTTCAACATCTTCACAGACATGGCTTCCTGAATTACTATGGACTCCAGCGGTTCGGGACTTTCGCCACACGCACTGATGTTGTCGGACTGAAGATTCTAAAGGAAGACTTCAAGGGCGCGTGCGATGCTATTCTGGAATTTTCGGCCGTGGCACTGAAAGCCTCACAAACTCAAGACTCGGGTGTCCTTGTGAGCCAGGACGACCGTTCTCGCGCCGAGGGGATCAATATCTGGCGAACAACCGGCAGGATCAATGATGCGCTTGACAAGATCCCGCGCAAATTCTCCGCCGAGACAGCATTAATCCGACACCTGGGCAAGCGGCCGCAGGACTATCTGGGTGCTCTCCTTGCAATTCAGCGCAACCTCAGACTCATGTATGTCCATGCATATCAGTCTTTTGTGTGGAATCTTGCAGTGGGGGAACGATGGCGGTTGTTTGGCGGCAAGGTCGTGGAAGGCGATCTCGTGCTGGTGTCCGAGCACAAGGAGAAGCAGGCCGACGAGGCACCATTAAAACAAACGGTAGATGCCGATGGGGAAATTGTTGTTGAGCCGTCAGGCGATGACCGCGCCTACGACGTGGACGACAGGTTCGAACGTGCCCGCGCACTCACCGCCGCCGAAGCCGAGAGTGGCCAGTACTCCGTTTTTGACATTGTCCTCCCTCTGCCGGGCTTCGATGTCGTCTACCCGGCCAACGCAAGCGGCGAATGGTACAAGACCTTCATGGCCAGCGAAGCCGGTGGCGGGCTTGACCCGTACAGCATGCGGAGGAAGCAAAAGGACTTTAGTCTGAGCGGCGGGTACCGCAAGATGGTGGCTCGGATCGGGGAGACATTCGAAGTCGGCGTCCACGAGTACGGCGACGGCGACGGAGACAAGCAGTTTGTGGAGACGGACATGGAGCGGCTTAGACGGGAAAAAGCGAACGCAATCGACACTGTTGGAGGAGAGAACGGTTCATCCTCAAAGGCAGCTGACGGCGACTCGTTGGAGGAGGCACCTCAACCACTACTGCACGGAGCGAGCACGGCGGCTGCAAACGTCGACGCGAATGCTACGAACGGTGCCGACATCGCTGCTCCAAGCCACCCACAGCGCGCGAAATTGGCAGCAGTGCTCAAGTTCCAGCTTGGCTCGAGCCAGTACGCGACCATGGCGCTGAGAGAGCTGTCCAAGGGTGGTATTCAAGCTTACAAGGCCGAGTTTTCGGGCGGAAGGTGAATGAAACGTAGTAGGTTGGTCTACCTGGGGTGATAATATTGGGGTTGATGATGAAAATCCACATTGCAATAGCGGTCATCCCCAGGTCAGCCCTCATCGAAGAACAAATGTCTCGATTTCTGGTTCGTCCAAGAAGTCCTGGCGCCGCTTCTGGTCAATTCCCTCAAGGTCGTGGCAAAACTGGTCCGAGAGAGGATTGCGGTATCTTCCTTGACCTTGCAGAAATTCGGATGTGTTCTGCACCCAGTGATCGAATCTGAATGTGTGGTATCTGGAACGGTGCAATGTCCGATCGTCGGGTCCGTCTGGGACAGTTCCGTTCCAAAACCAAGCAGCGCCAACGAGGGTGTATCGACCTTCCAACTTCTCGCGTCTGAGAATGAATGGAAGAGGACTACCGTCTAGCACAGCGATTGTGTCCCCATCCTGCGCCGTGGTGGGCACAACCACTCCTGCAAACCTTTTATGGAATGGCGTATGGCCAGACCGCGGTCTGATACTTCGACACTCATATTCACCCCCAATGCAGAGTTCTCTAATTTCTGAAACGGATTGTCGCGATTCTCTTTGTCTGAGCCGAGTACCAACTCGTTGCGATTCCACTTTAGCATTCCCGGTGGCTGTTGGCCAAAGGAATGACGCTCACCAGTGACATGGTGGTCTCCTACTGTCCCAATCACGTAATCTTGTAGATGAAGCTCGTTGATGTTGTTGTGATTCTGCCGTAGCGCCCTCCGATAAGGGTCATGTTGGGATTGATAAGTACCGTCTGAATGCTTGAAGTCAAAATGAAGAAATGGCATAGAACAATCCCGTGGATCTTCCCAGTCTAGAGCCCATGATGGCAGGTTAGGGGATCTTCCACGGCCTCCGAAATAAGAGAGGCAGTCAAGCGTTTGTGTCTCATTGATGAGATACTTAACCACATCCTGATACACTTCTGAGACACTTTTGCTGTAATCGATGGGGAAAGCGCGACGACAATTAGACGGGAAATGCCCTGGCAGGTAGCGGTCAAAATCAGTCATCCCTACCAACGCGTAGACTCTATCACGTGGATTCGAAGCGCCAAAAGAGACGCCAGCGGCAAGGACTTGAATGATCTGGTTGGTAAGATTTCCAACACTCTGATCTCCCCGAGGTCGAGACTTTCCATACCTTCCGTATAGAATCTCAACATGAGGTGGGAGAAGAGTTAGAGACTTGGCAGATTCCACAAAGATCTCGAAATCAACCCAGTAAGACCCGCACTGCAGGGTAAGACTGATCGCTGCAAATACCTCTTGTCGAACCCATGTCCTTCTGAACCATTCCCGCTGCATCAAGGTCTCCACCACAGCCAAAGTTTGCGGGTGAAAGCTTCGAGTGTGCGTCTTGGGAACGATGCTTTCATGGGAATTGAACACGAGGTCTATGCCGGGTACAGGTGAACCTAGCCACGCAATGACATTCACCGCTTTGTTGAAGATAAGAGGCATCATTCGGACCTGGAGAGATTTTTCGTCCGCGTTGTCCTGATTGATGCATAGCGCATCGCACCAGAGCCATCGCGGTCCACTGTGAGCGGCATGTGATTTTCTGATGGCCCGCAGAGCTTCTGCCATCGCGGGCGGGATTTGAGTCAAGACTCCGTTGGAGAAGATGGGTGCAGTTCGATCCGGGTGGCCCCAGGAATAGGACAGTGCTTCATAACGCACGCGTTTCCGTTCTTTGGGCAGTCCCAGACCATCCAAATGAATCACGTCGGCCACATGCAAGTTACAGCGCAGAGGCTCGTCATCTTTGTTCGGGAAGAGCTCGATGAGGCGGGTCTGCCATTCGCATAGAGGCTCAAAGAGATTACCGTGGCAATTTGGAAGACGACTCGCCGCGCAAGGCGTCGGCGCCTCAGGAGAGACTTGGAGATTAGGGATCAGAGACAGATCGCCCAGAGTGTCGGACAAATCACCTTCTGTATCCGGTGCAGTCATGTTGTTGAGTCAAGTCGCCTGTTCAGCGCTGACCTGGAAATCAGTCTCGGGGTCGAGGAATTATCACTTCCGCGGCTGGATTTGCGAGATCTGGGCTCGGAATGCCGGCTCTGCCAGGACACCAATGTCCAGAAATAGGAATCTAAACTTGTACAAGTTTTCAGTGGCTTCAAAAGTGGTGCTTGCCTGACTTTGACATAGATCTGTGCTAGTATTGTGTAGTAAGTAGGAGAGTCAAGCGATCGAGAAAGTGTAGTGTGATGGACAGGCTTAAGGCCTAACTCGATTTAAGATGGCCGCTAACGTTAACGGGGCTGGCTTTATCTGGGAGGGGCAGACAACAAGCATGGACGGTGATAAATGACAGCCTCCTCCATGTACGTGAGCGATTCATTCCCGAGAATGTTCGTCCGGCTTGGTGCGGCGGAGCGTACATGAACCAGGACGCTGTGACAATGATCATGGACATTGACGACGTGGATTTGGTTCTCACGGAACTCCAGAGCAGGGGCAGTTTGATAGGCGACTGGGAAACCCCTTTGAACGGGAATTAAACAAGGAGTTCGAGAAGAAAAGGAGCGGTTTCAGGGATGGGATTCTCTACACCTACAGATGCCCGGGCCTGCCTGAGCTACCAGACTGCAGGTTCTGCGTTCGTAATGGAGTAGTCCTCAAGCCCGAGGATACCAATAATGCAGCCCCAGGGTGTTGGTACGTGATTGTCGGATAAATGGGAACGCAGCCGCGAGGTCGGAAGTGGAAACAAGCCCAGTTCTTGCCTCCCATCATCTTCTACTGTGACAGCGGAATGCTGGCGAACAGGGGACGTACGTGATGGATTACTTGACAGGCGAAAGAGAGTGTTGTCTCCGAGGTTGATATCTCTCACGAAATGCACACACACACACACGCAAGGAGCTTGGGGTCTAATAATGAAAACTGGAAATCCCCCTGGGCGAGGAGTCACGGAGTCTACGGAAAAAGTTAATGCAGCATGTATGTAGTTATGTAGGCTCAGGACGACACAGTGCAAAGGCAATGCCGGCAGATTAATGAAACCGAGCGTTCCAAAACTTGGTAGCCCTGTTCACTTGATAGACGGACATGTCTTGTGGGCAAACGGCCATAAGATTCTCGGGACGTACACAGGTATGTGCGGGATGCGCGTTGCACCGTCTCCCCCTTCTCTTGCTATGGACATAGTTACCAAGTATATCGATCGAGGCTCAACCGGACCACTCAGACAAGGCCAAACCAACCCCAAAACCCGAGTCCTTTCCATGCATACATTCATACCCAGTATTACACAGCAGCATGTCGCGACATTTGTTCTGCTCTGCTCTGCTCTGGCTATCTCACCCCACCTACCTCCCCTCTCGCTCTAACTCCTGCATATTCTCCCTCATCTCACTTTCGGTAGGGAGATTGACGACGGTGAGGTAGAGAATATTCTTGTGCAGCACGCGCCGAATCACCCCTTTCCTGCGTCGGGGCAACCTGCCCATTTCGGCGTTGCGCACGTCCGTCTCGCTGAGCTCGTAGCCGCGGCGGCGCGCCTGGCGCTGGGCCCGACGACCGCGGCGCTTGGCTTTCGGGTCAAAGTGGCCGCCAGTGAGGAGGCCGAGGATGGTGCCCGAGTTCGCCGGGTGGTTGGGGTCGGAGAACCGCGAGGCGAATTTCTTCTCTGGCGGGGGCATGACAAGTCGGCTGTCAGGGTGCATGCCCGCGTACGAGGCCTGGGCGCGCCGGTCGAGGTAGCTGGCGAGGAAGCCCGAGGAGGAGTGCACCTTGTCCTTTGTGCTCTCGGGGAGGAGGCTTTCGGTGGTGCCTGAAGTACCTCCCGCACTGTCGAGCGCGGCTTGAGCGGCGGCGTCGAGGGCAGGGTAGACGAGGGGTGCAGATTCCGGGAGGGAAAGCTCACCACGACTGACGCCGGAGGTCAGGCGGATCTTGGCGAGCGCTTGCTTGAGCTCCGAGTCGGGGATCGAGGTCGCCTTAACGAGAGCCTGGTCGGTACTGGACTTGAGGCCCAGGTTCGTCAAGTCCATGCCAATCACAGGATCGTGCGGGTTGTCGGGCTTGAAGGTCATGATCATGCAGTACAGGCCGCGCGGTTTGAAGAGCGATTCGTTGATTTGGTCGAGGTACGTGTTGCGCCGGTAGCGCGACTGGAGCTCTTTGCCGGTGCCGCTGGCGACCTGGATCGCAATGGAAACGGCCATCGTGATTGGATTCGGCACTAGCCCCACGGCGAAGCATGCCAGGTTGATCACGTCGAAGACCGGACTGGCCTTGGAGGCCACGTCCAGGTCGTTAATAAAATCGATAAACGTCTTTTGGTCTATACCCGCGCATTCGCCCAGTAGCGGTGCATACGCCCGAACGAACCCCCGGGATTTATCCTTGGGTCGACGTTGGGGGAGGATGACTGGACATGGGAGTTTGGTGAGTTGTTGGACGGGAGCCGGAACGATCTTGTGTTGGTGCAAAAAGGCTCTGGCAACCTCTTCGTCTGATGCAGGGCTCGTAGCTGCTGCTTCGTCGTATGTAGGAGGCGGTTGGTCAAGCTCCTCGGCTACTTCATCGAGGGCCCACTCTGCCGTATCATTGTCCAAGTCTGAACTGCTTATGCTCGAGGAATCGTCGTCATTGTCGTCGTGGGCGTGAGCGTGAGATTTCTTGTCTTCAGAGTGGCCAGACTGGGCGCCAGACTCGAATCTAGACCGAGAGCTTTCCCCCACCTGGTTTTCGCCTGGAGGGTTGGGAGAAACCCCGCGCTCCCTGGCGGCCTTCTTCTCCTTGTGGTCGGCGATAGCCTCTGATGCTGCTCCAATGCCTGCGCCGATTCCTTTGACGAGCCTGCTAATGATAGGCATGATTGAGAGATTCCGTGGCGAGAGCGGGGCTCACTCTGCAAGGCAGACTATAAGAACTGCGATATGCACCACGAAAGTTTGAAGAAGACGTTGGAATTTTGTCCTTCCTGTATGTTGTACCTTCTGTCTTTCTGAATTCGATTTTGCTGAACTTTGACAGGTATATATCTACCCAGAGATAGGGTATGCAGCTGAAAAGAAAAATGTAGGCAACCACCAATTTTGTGCCATTTGAGGCTAGGAGCGCGAAGATAAAGCTGGTGGTATTCAACACTGCCCCGCGCCAGAATCCAAAATCACACATCGCGACATGGTCCAGAAAAGGAAATTCCAATCGAAGGAGGAATTGGCAAAGTGGGACAGTAAAAGCTTAGCTTTGAGGCTAATTAGTAATTGCGGAATAAGCCTCGGGGGGCCCTGGGGATCCTGGGGGCCTTACAAATGGACGGACGAGACGGCGATAGGGGTATCCCTGGGACGCAACATTGTTTGGATCGGTGAGAGCGTTCTGCAGCATAGCGGGAGTCTGAGCCGAGAGTGAGGGAGCATGACCATCGCCGTGTCACCCTAGATCGGAACCATTAATACGAAGTCGACTGGTTCTTGAGAGTAAGCCACAGAGGTACCACTTATCTGCCAACGCCTTCCTCTGCTCGTTGTTTGCTTCCAGCATGGGAAGCTACACAAACCATCGGTTTGGAGCCTTGCTTTCGGAAACGGCTGCGCAGTGTGACCATCTCCTTGCGAGCCTGCCGTAACGCCGTGAGCGCAGCACCGCAGTAGGATATGCGGCTCAGTCGGGTACAGAACCAGGTCTGTACAACACATTCGATGAGTGCGAATCTCCCAGCAGGCGGTCAGTCACTCTCAGAAATTTCTGCTTGAGGGGACCACTCCGACATCAGCTTAGTCAACTCTGATACGCAAGAGACGTATGTGTTTGGCATGGGATGTTGCAAAGGTCGTGAGTGGACTGGGAGGGAGGTATTCGCTCAGAGGTGAACACGTTACAAAAAGAAGATCAACTTCCATCCTGTCGCACAGCAGAACAAGCCTAGCAATCTGGATGTTCATATGACTCTCGGTGCAAATCACAATGATGTAGCTTGGGTTACCTGGGGAACTGGTAGGTTTGGGAGCAAAGACTTGATAATAACATATCGAACCGTGGTCAGGTCGCAAGCTGACTTGATCTGAACCCGTTGATCTCTGACCGATAATGCTCTGAAAACCGTGGAGTAGAGGGGCGGACTCAAGTCAAATTGCATGATCCTTGTCCTTGTCAGGCTCGTAGTCCTGGGACAATCCTACCAGCAGATCCTTGTGAGTTAGATCTTACCTTCCTTGCCTGAATATCGCTTGTTGCAAACCTTTCGTGTGTGATTGCCAGCTTCAATCATTGACGCTCAGGCGAGAGATCTTCCACGTTGTTTCACCCAAGAAAAACTTGATCTCTGGCTGAGCTGAAAGCGGCAGCTCAATATTGGGTCAGATGACACCACTGGCTAGGTAACGTGTTCGCGTGGAAGCAGATCGTCTACTCCGTACCTAAACTGGAACCTTGTTCTTGTTGTCATGGTTCGAAAGGATTGCACGAACGCACTCTTTGCCAGAGCTGGGTCGGAATCTTCGAGATTAATTTAATCCAATTAATCGAATTAAGACCGCAAAGTGGTATCATGCATGATTGCCGCCCCCATCAGCAGCAGTAACAAGCAGAAGAACTGATTTCTCACGTCTTTCATCTCACACAATCGGTTGTCGGGATTGCCCATACAAAATGGTGCCTGTGCCTGTCACCTTGGTGTAAAGTCGGCCGATCACGTCTTCTCGGTGGCAATCAACATCGGGAATGCATGTGATCCGGCATACCCAATCCCATGGAGCCACAGAGTTTTCAGGGAACCCTAGGCAGTGCCCCGCAGTGGTTCGCAGGGGTTCTGTGTACAGTACGGGGCATCTCCCAAGAACTATGAACACATTGAGGCAAACCGACGAGGATGAGAAAAGTTGTCTGTGGAAAAGGGACGATAACGGCGATTTCTTTGTTCCACAATTCATTGCTCTGGGTAGTTAAATCTTCGGGAGCGAGAGTGGTGTCTTTGTGCCGCTGCAGCTGCAATGTTGACAGCTGTTCCCCGCAAGTTCACGGACTGCGGAAAGATCTGGAGCCAGTGGCAGAACTCAAATAATTTGTTGAGCTGCTGGATCAAGACAAGCACCGGCTTCGCCCTCGAAAAATTCCCGCACGCGGAGGAGAGAATCGTTAGAAAAGATTTGTGCGGACAAATCGGTTGGCCAGGAGCCATTTGTGCCTGATTGTTGCATGAAAGAAGCCACAAGGGTCCAGGACAACATAATAATTGCTCCGGCTCAAGGGAATCATACCAGGCTCTCCTTTTCCATGGTTCTCACGTGAGACAGATCGAGTAAATGCTCAAATGTGAGGAGGTCATCAGTTCGAGTTGGACAAGCAAGAAAAAGACCAAGGAGACCACATTATCGGCGGAATAGACACATGGTTGTTGGGTAAGCCGTTAAAAATCAAAGTTTGAGTCATGCGGAGACCTGGCATGTCAAAAGCACGGTGGTCACGGCGCGGGACTTCTTCTGCTTGCTCGTCGGAAGAGCTGATTTGCTCGTGTCGTGGACTTGAAACATGCATTCTGCAGGCCTCTCCGGAGGACGAATGCATGCATCATGGCTCGGTGCCGATGTATTGCATGTGAGAGGGAAATATGTAGGCGGCTTCCATGTGCATGTGTCTTAGTGTAATCGATCTAGACCAGGAGATAAAGAGTGGCGACTGGCCAGATGGATTATCAGGGTCCTTGCTCCGTCTGTTTTATCTTTGCTGTTCAGCTGAAAAGACCACGATGCTGTTAAATGGACCCGGACGACGACCCATGCTTTACGAGTATTCGTTGTATTGATACCTATAAGGTGACAGCGTGTAGATGCGTTGGTGTCAAGATCCCTACCTCGAGTGAATCTCTCTTTACCAATGGCTGCAGGTAGGTAGGACTTCGGCAAGAAAAAGCCTCCAGAGAACCAACCAGCGACGATTCCAAGGCTAGCCCAAGTGACGCAACATCAGAATGGATCTAGTTTGAAGGGGCACGGGCTTGCTGCTTGGATTTCATGTGCGTTTGGATCCATTCTCTGGGGCCGTGTGAGGCGACGTTACTCCGTACAAGGGGGAGGGCCAAGCCCAAGGGAAAAACAGTGACGGGGCATCATCGTACAAGGTTTTCGGTGTCCTGGCCTCGTATGACCCTATACATGTCAGGAATGTGTTCGACGGGTCCCTGCACGTTGTTGCAACTGCATGCCTGTTTGGCACAAGTGTGATTTCTTCTTCCCTGCCCTAGTGATCCTGAATGTCCATCCCATCTCTTTTCAACGAGCAATCTGGAGGATGAGGCAGCGAAGGGGCGGGAGCGATCTGTAGGTGTGATAGCTGCGGGGCTCTTCTTAACCCGAGAGAGCCTGGTGGGCGCCTCTAAAGGTGATCAGCATCGAACTTGTTTCGGTTGTTCGGTTCCTCAACCTATGGGTGTGTGCCCAGGAACTTCCCCATATGCGCGCAAGATACTCGCTACGGAGAACAGGTCCTCCTACTCCGTGGCAGCACCAACTACTTGACCGAGGTGTCCCTGAGTCGAGGGCGTTCGATGCTGAGAGTTCTAGGGAAAATTAACAGAGGACTGCAAATGTTGATCGAACCATAAATCACCTCGTTGGGGAAAAGTTGGTATTCAAGGCTCTCCTTCTCACAGGAATTGTCGGATCGATTCGAGAGTCAGTCTTACCACTTTGACTCTCCGTCTTCCGGCGTTTGTCCATATCGGAACTTGTGGAGAGAGAGATTGGAATTTGTGCGGTCTGTGTGTCTGCGTCATGCTCACAAAGAAATACGAGTCGTGGGTCCAGCCATCTCCGCGTGATCGCTAAGGACAGTGCAGTAGCTAAGCACCACGATATATTTAATAACAGGCCAGTGCTCCGTAGGTACAGCCAGGGTGGTCAGTCGTTGAGAGTCCGTGGCTTGTTGGAGACGCGGTTCATGACCGCCAGTCAGAGGAATGGACGGAGGCAAGAGTCCTGTGATGGGTGTCAGCATTGAGTTGTTTACGAGCGCGCGTTGAGCGTGCTCTGACCTCTCTTTCTGGAGCGAACCCTAATCTGAAACACATGAGAGGACGAAATGCTCAGAGTCATTGGACACGGTCTGAAAGGGGTAGTGGTGAGGTGCCAATGGAACAGAAAAAGGAGTATTTTTTGTATTATTATTATGCATAATACGGGTAGGGTCAGACGCGAGATATGGGGAGGGTGCATTCCAGGGAACACGCCGGGCTATGGGGCGGGCCAGATTCATGACAGTTATGTACTACCACGCGTAGGTAGGTATGGCTGCCAGGCGCAGTGGGAGCCCTGATGCTCCTAGGTAGATGCCTAGCACGTCACTAACCTTAATTGTACCCAGGGCACCCACAGGCCTCGAGCATCAACCACCACAGGCATCAACCACCTTGGGGCATCACGCATCAAGCATCAAGCATCACGACGCGTATCCCACTCCCCTTGGTACTCCCTTTTACGAGTAGTGGTCGTGGTAGTGCGCTGGACACGATCGGGAACTAGCCAACTAGCTAACCCGCCTAAAAAGAAACTCCCGCCTTTTGGGCCTGTCTCCTGAATGGTGCTTGGGCCATTTTGTGTCCATTGTCACCACTGGCTGCCAAACTGCGGTTGAACCTCTCCTTCCCTCTTTTATCGTCCACTTCCAATTCATTACCAACACCACTTCCCGCCATCATCCATCCCACCTCTTCTATATCCATCCAATCGACACAATCTCTTCGTTATTGTCGTCGTTGTTATCACTTGCCCTTTCGTCTTCTCCTCCTCTTTGCATTTCATCCCATCCACGGCCGCCTTCGCTTCACGCTCTTGTCCTCGCGCCGCAGCTGTCTACCTTCGTTTCTTGAGCTACCAGGTCTCCCCTGCGAAGCTTTCTGTCTCCTGTGAAGACGACTTTCTTCAAGCCCTTCGCTTTTTCTTGTTCGACATTCGACTCTTACCGTCACGTACATAATCTACCTTCGTTCAATTCCTGTTCAGTCTAGGGCCTCCTTGGACCCGCGGCAGCAAAACCCCCATCTATCAAGGGGCTTGAACAGATCCACGCTCTGACCCTGGCATGTCAAGACGTGGTGCCATATTTTAAGAGAGAAGAGAATAACCATACCCCAAAGTGCGTGCCTCCTAAGTTTACGCGGTTTGTCGAGTTCCGGCCAACCTGAAAATTGGCTCAGGAAATACTGACTTTGGCTATCCGCAGTTGATTCCTCGAGGAAAGACTCTCCTTTAACCGGCCCCCAAAATTGAAACAAGATTGCCCTACCACGACCTGGCTCATACCAGGCAAACTTTTGCTTGAACACAGCCAAAACAGAAGATGGCTGCTTTGGTCCAAACACTTCCTCCCCAAACAACGACGGTTACAATGCTTGGTCGCCCCTCGTCTTCTGGGGGGTATCCTTCTCAGGCCTCACAAGGACAGACCAGAAGCCACCAACCGAGCCGATATAACATGCCTGCCACTGGGTATAGAGGCATGCCAGCTAGTGGTCCCATTGCCCCTTACGCCTTCACGTCCACACCGCAGTTGGCCACCAGCAATCTCAACGCCAATCCCAATGCTCGCCCATTCGCTCTGAATACCGGGCGCTCGATTTCTTCCCCAAAAGCCCCTCAGCCAATTCCGTCACCTTCCTCGCAACCATCCTCTCCGAATAGTCCTACACATGTCGATGCTGGAAATCGTCCTCTGTCGCTGGGACTACCCCCTATACCCTCCGGCTCTTTCATGGGTCCTCCATCGACAGCTGCGCCGAAACCTTCGCCAGATCGTTATCGAAGAAATGTGCGACGAAGTGACCCGGAGAACGGATCAACCCGTATTCCTGCAGGCTCTACTCTGCCATCTGGCTCTGGAATGGCGGCAGTCGGCTCTCTTTACAATCATCCTACTCAGTCCAATAGTACACCGTCTCTGCATTCCCAGCAGTCTTACCGAAGCTCACAGCAAGGCACTAGCGTTCAGCCTAAGAGCTCCAGTGCTGATGATCTTCAATTGGTTCGGCCCCAGCCCGCAGAGCTGGCTGCAAGGTATCGGAGACGTAGTTTCGGCAGCATCGAGACTGCAGGTCTGAACCACGCTTCTGATAACCAAGAAACCGTCTCTCCTCACCCAAAGGCATTTCTCGATTCGTCCCCTGGTCAAGGAGGTGCTCTACTCCCGCCTCAGCGACCCAGCCATCACAGACACACCTCGAGTTCTGACAGCGTGACATCCTCGGTGTCTGCTCGTTCCTCCCGACCCGGTTCCGTAAGTTTTCTGCTGTTTTGCTGTGAGAAATGCCTACTTACATTCAAACAGTCTCGAGCAGAACAACCATCCGTGGCCACCCCTCCTGGCCCCGTTTCCTCCCCTTCCTCCCCTAGGCAAGAATCGAGACTTGCTGGACCGTCTCGTCTTGGAGATTCGAGCATTCGCCAGCCATCTCCATTGTCCCGACCTATAAACATTCTCCCTGACAACGCCGACGAAGGACGTCCAGCGGTTGCAACCTCCATTGCTCCCCCGGCGTCCGCTTCACATAGCCTTGCTGTCGAACAACTCGCTGCGGTGAACAATAAGGAAATGAAGAAGCCCAAGTCGAAATTGCGGAGGGCATTTTCATTTGGTAGCGCGGCAGAACTTAGAAAGGCAACTGCACAGCACAATCTTGAGAAGAGTGTTGCAAACAATCAGACACAATCCAAGAGAAACTCGAGATACCAGGATGAGCTGGAGCCTGAACAAGCGCGTATTGCTGAAAAGCAAGAAGCCGCTGGATTGGGTGAAAGCATTTATTCTGGCCAGGGCAACTTCTTTACCGGTTCGACTGACAATTTGTCCATCTCTTCGACTGCTTCTTCGGCTTCGGTTATGCTCCGTAAAATGGGGAGGGGAGTCAAGAAGGGCACTCGATCTCTCGTGGGCTTGTTCCGGCCAAAATCTGTTGTGGGTGTACCTGCAGCCGATGCGCCAGTCAACTCGGCGACGATAGCCCAGGTGTCAATGGTCACAGTCGAGGCAGAGAGAGAGAATGTCAACGTCAACGCGAACCCTCACGAGCAGGCTAGAGGAGGTACTGGCTTCCCCAAACTGGAGCGCAATTCCATCGATACCAAACTTTCCTTTGATAGTGGTACCGTATCCAGTGATACACGATCACGGCGAAGCATTGTTGGTGGAGAGAAAGAGCGTGCCGAGGTCCTAGCCGCTGTAAAGAAAGGCATCCTCAAGCGGACGGATTCAAATCAACCATCCCCGAAGGTCAAGCCACAGGATTTGAAGGCTCCCGATTTCAACCTGCCTCAAATTCCTCATATGAACGACTCACCCAAATCCAGTGCTCCTAGCACACCTGCCGACGAACCACCACGATCCGGTCATCGTCGAACCGACTCCATCACCATTGAAAGCAGCGATCATGACGACTATTTTACTTCCATGACTAGACTTGGCAGCTTAGACTCGAAGAATACACCAGTGACCCCGCAGGGTCTAATTCGCAACATTTCATTCAGCCCACGAATTCAGTTTTATGATACCTGGCCTAGTGGAGAATACGATCGACGGGGTGAGATAGCAACTTGCAATCGATTGACTCCGATGCTAGCACAGCAAATCAAAGAGGAGCTCAATACCTTCAAGATGGTGCGCAACATGCCTTACTCTGAGATTGAAATACGGCTAACATGTTACAGGAAATGGAGGTTCACGAGTCATCCAAAGTCTACACGCATTTCTTTTAGTGCGCACGAGTCACACCAACGGGCGATCTTAGACATATCACACTGTTCACCGAGTTGACACTTGAGCAAAAAGTGATCACTGAGACAAGTCACCAAGAACACTAACGATTCCTACGACCCTTGCAGTACATTTGCAGCAAAGCATTGTTTCTGTCGCTTGTTAACAGCACGAAACTGTTCGTCGGGGGCCTCTTTTCGACTCAGGCCCTGTGTACATTTAAAAAAGCTCTTTCTCATTGCATTTCACCTCGATCATGAAATTAGGTTCAAAGTAAGGTGTCTGGCGCAGGGCGACAACCACGCAAGGATGGTTATTAAGGCGGCATAAAGAGAGAATACATGTTGATCTTGGGTTCCACTCTGGGGGGAAGGAGATTTCAGCATTGGACCTTTCAGCCAACCCTTTTTCTTAATCGAGGACAACTTGGTTTGGGCACCTGACTCAACTTTGTCACTGGAGTGACGGGCATCCCAGGTTGGTTTCTATTGGAACCGGCTTGGATGATATTTAGCCTAGTACAAGTAGGAGACCAGAGGGCCGCTGGGTTTCTCTCGTGCCCATTTGGTCTATTGTCAGAGGGAGAAGAGAGCATGCAGCTCTTTCTCTCACGGAGGAAACTAATTGGTTCTATCGTCTTCTGAAAGCACTTCCTTTCACCTTTGCACATCCATACTTTGCACAAGGCTGACTTGACAAGGCTGATCTTGATTCAGATCACTGAAGAGGAAGGTGAGCCGCGACCACTAGGTTATATTTGGGATGGTCAATTTTGTACATTCTTACAACGTGCCATAACAGTCACGTGGATTTACAGCCCTTGTCGATGGCAACAAAGACAACTCGACACTATGAGCCTTGAAAGCCGAGGTTCCTTGTCCAAGCAAAGATGCAAGGTATTTGAATCAGTCTACCTACTTGAGGTCTGTGAGGGGCGACGCTGTGGCCCATAATCAGTCCTTCCCTGGCCAGTATCTCAAGTATACCAGGTCGGCTGAGGAACCTCATCCAGCAAATAAAAGGTCCCCAGCTCCCGCTCCTTATACGCCACTGGGTCATGCAGAGTGTGCGTCCTCACGTCCCTCCAAAAGCGATCCAACCCAACTTTTCTGGCTGTGGAGCTGGCACCAGTGACCTCAAAGATTCCACTGGTCACCTGCAGGCTGACATCTGTGGCCACGATTTTGATGCTCGCTACCCATTCCGCAACCTCGCCCCGCCGCCGAGCGCTCACATCTCTCTTCTCACTATGGTCCCGGTATACGTCCCGCAATTCCTCACCAGCACGATCTGCCAGTGCTTCAGCTGCCCTCAGATGCGCGTGGAAGTTCCCGTAACGCGCCAGGATGTAGTGCTCGTCAGTTGCCTTTTCTTTGTTATCCCCGCCATAGGGCCACGCGCGGGTTTTGGACGTGGTCCATTTTTTGGCCTCGTCAAGCGCACCCAGTGCGATGCCCACGTAAAAGTTTGAGAAGACCAGCTGGATGGTCGGTAACAAGAGGGAGGCAAAAGGAACCTTCAACACGGCGTCAATTGGTTTCTTGGTCGTGCTATCCCACCCAAAAGCGTCGGTCCAAGGGACGCGGACGTTCTCGATCTTGACACTCCCGGACTCGGTCAATCGCATGCCAATGTTGTCCCAGTCATGGCCAAATTGGATTCCGGGCTGTTTTGTGGGTACAATGGTGAAAATATGGTCCCCGGTACCATCTAACACGCCCTCGAGAATCGTGGCATCGGACACGACGCCTCCAGTATTGAAGAACTTGGAACCATTGAACACGAGTTCCTCGCCATCAATGGTGATTTTGAGATCAGCATTGCGTGGGTTCACGGCGCCGCCAATGAACCAGTTATTATCTAGGATCAATTTCTGCACGCGCTGTCTCTGCTCGTCAGTGCCAACGACGTTGACAGTCGTGGACCACAGGAGATGATAGCCTAGAAGCATGCCAATGGAGCCGTCGCCCTTTGCCACTTCGCGGATAGCCTTGTACGCGATGGACCAATCCTGACCAGCGCCGCCATATTCCTTGGGTGCCAGGAGTTTTGTCAACCCGGAAGCTTTGAGAAGCTGAATTTCGTCGGATGGTGACTTGTTCTCGATATCTCGCTGGGGGGCGTCCACGGCGAGAATCTGAGCAACATCCCTTGCGCGCGCAATCCACTCCTCTGAAGTACTAGGCGGCGCTGCTTTGGAAAAATCGACATGCTGGTCGACGCGAGCGGCCGTCTTAGGAGTTTCGACCAACCCCATGGTCACTGACAAGACAGGTCTAGGTAAGATGTCCAAAACCTCCTTCTCAAAAAACAAAAACAACCAACTTCGTAATCTGACAAGTCAAGAGTTGCGTGGATCGTCGCTAACAGCGCTCGAAGTATTGCTTTTTATACGAAAAGCGCGAGGGCAGATTTATCAGACCACATGTCGAGTATCTGCCCTCTGGTAAAGAGGAAACATCCACTCCGTACAAACCAATCGAATAGTCTGGGCGTTCTGTCCGCCATTTCTTGTCATTTATCTCTTCAACTGACGTGCTCGACCCAGTTGAGCACGAATTCCAACACAGTTTTTCGAATACGAACCTGCAATGCGGAATTGTGTCCGGAGCGAATCCTAATCTCGAACATACAGCGAGCGATTTTCAAAGCCTGCCAATTCCCGCCTGTGCTTGGGGAGGCTTGATCAATATGTCAAAAGATTGGATTGAGGTGGATGGTCCCTCCCAGGCATCGTGGTGACTTTGGTTTGTTGCAGTATTGCCCCCATCTTTCACCAGGTCGAGGCGACAAACGGAGCATCAAAGTGATTTCGAACTAGTCCCGACGAGAGAAATTCCAGCTGCTCGAGGAATTCGAGACACTAGAGAATAGCGAGCGTGTTGCGATGGTTAGGGATGCATCTGCTGCTCTCCTCAAATTCTCCTGTATAGCAACAATACGACAATTGTCTGGACTCCCCGCAAGGCATTTTAGTGCCATTCCAAGAAGCTCTGTTGCTGGCTTATAGCCAATCAACACCCAACCTCATGATGACGACCATCGCGCCTTTGACCTGCAGCATCGCGGACTCCTTGGTGGCTGCATATCGACTTCGGTTCAAAGACCAATGGCAGGTCACATTGACGACGCAATCTTGATGGCGTATGCCATCATGACCTGGAACAAATACTGCCTACCCTCTCGCGCTGGGTCTCTGTCTGTGTGTCTGCGGGGTCGATAGGAGCAGCGCTCTTGTGATTCTCGGCTGCACGACTCTTGCTCCGCTGCGCGAGTCTTCGATTGGCGCAACGTGCACAAGTTATGGACACAATGACACAGTTCTCTGCTTGGAAAGTTGAGTATTACAAGACCTAAGTTCCATTTGTCCGTCAGTTGATTATCCCTCAAGCCAGGTTCTCCGCTCGAGAAATTTTTCAAGCAAGCGAATAGACATCTGAGAGAAAGGGAATGAAATGTCAACATAACCTTCCTTGAAAAAGTCGAGAGCAGTAATTTGTGCCGTCGAAAAGACATCAAAGCCTTGCGGGACGTGGTGGTACTTGTGAATACTTTTCGCCCGATATCTAATTCGCAAGGCTGAGCCGATGGCTTCCAACGTTGTGGTTCCTACCGACCAGGCTGATATTAACTCGGCTCCAGATCGGATCAAATTTGCGTATGGTCTACACACTCTTTTCGTTGATCTAGCACTAATCTTTATGTCAGCTATTGGGTTCCTAACGTGTCCGGCGGCCTTGTCATATCCAAAATCCCGCAGCGGACCAAATGGGACCTCGAGTCGAATGTCAAGTACGCTCAAACAGCAGAGAACGTCGGCTTCGAGTATGCTCTCTCACAAATCCGGTTCATGTCTGGCTACGGAGCTGAGAATCAACATGAGCCTGTCTCCTTCTCTCAAGCTCTGCTCCACCAAACTAAAAAGCTCAATCTCATTGCCGCACTCCTGCCCGGGCCCTGGAACCCCGCCGTTGCAGCCAAGCAGATCGCAAGTATCGACCACTATTCCAACGGCCGGGTGGCAGTCAATGTCGTTTCGGGCTGGTTCAAGGCCGAATTCACCAGCATTGGCCAGTGGTGGCTCGATCATGCTGAACGTTATCGACGATCGAGAGAGTTCATCACCTGTCTCAAGGGCATCTGGACAGAAGACAAGTTCACTTTCCGAGGCGACTTCTACCAGTTTCACGACTACACGCTCCAGCCCAAACCTCTAAAGTGGGAAGGCAGGGATCACCCAGAAATCTTTCAAGGTGGAAACTCGATTGACGCGAGGGAGAACGCCGCCACAGTGTCCTCGTACTATTTCATGAATGGAAACAGTAAGACATAGCCCCACTTGACAGTTATCATGGAGACCACTTTCACTGACGGGGACAACATTGTAGCTCTCGAGGGATTCCAGGCACAGATCGCCGATGTCAAGGAGCGTGCTCGTCGTGAAAGCCGAGAAGATCAAGTCAAATTCGCAGTCAACGGGTTCGTAATTGCGCGGGAGACCGAGGAAGAGGCAATCCGTGTCCTACAGGAGATTCAAGGTAAGGCGGACAAAGAAGCTGTTGAGGCATTCGGCGATCAAGTGAAGAATGCCGGTGCGTCAACCGCCGACAAGACTGGCATGTGGGCGAACAGCAAGTTCGAGGATCTTGTGCAATACAATGATGGGTTTAAAACGAAGCTCATCGGGACGCCCCAGCAGATCGCCGATCGCATACTGCTTCTGAAGAGTCTGGGTGTTAGTATATTGCTGACTGCCTTTCTCCACTACGACGATGAGGTTGAGCAGTTTGGAAAGGAGGTCATTCCCTTGGTGCGGAAGCTGGAGGCAGAGGGCAGAGGGAAGGACGCTGAGTATGAGATCAAGCTAACTGGCGAAGTGTACAAGCCCAGGAAGCCTGAAGAGGCAAAGAGCACATAACAGTGTCGTCAGAGACACTCTCTCCAGTCTCTGTTGGCTGGTAAGGGTGAAAGGTCTTCTTCTGAGAGCCCCTCCAGTCCGCTCCTCAAATAACAATGCACAACTGCGCGTGACCGGGAGATATATCTCCAATCTTAGTTTTCTCGACTACACACTTGTGCACTTGAACCTGCTCTTGGGTCGTAGAGACTGCATCAGTGGCAGCCTTGTGCATTGAAACAGGCGCAAGGCTGAGGCGGAATAGGGCGGCCGCGTCACGCTTCTCGAATGGGACAAGCCGCGGGGCTTGGCATCCAGACCTGGCGGCCCCATGAGTGGGAGAGGGAGTGGGAGTGGGCTGCGAGCCTGCGACGTCAGCGACCCGAGTCCACTTATTGTTCCCTCTTCACCTGCTACCACCACCAGATACGGCATCTTTCCATGATCTAGGGACCCCAAGAACCGACCTCATACTATCCACGCGGTCTGTCTGCGAGCCCTTCGACCGATTACGAGACACTCCCTCTCGGCGGAGCTAGTCTTGTCGCCGTTTCCTTCCCGTTCCTGCTGATCAAAGCACACGAGCTCTCCCTCGGTACCTGGCCAAGATGAGTGGCTTCAGGTCCGTTATGAAGGATGGATGGCACCCCAAGGGCCGGGATGGAGGGAAAGAATCATGGAGAGGTGATTTCAAGGGCATCAACCAAGTGGTCAGTAATTGATTCCTGCGACCTATGCTGTCGTGGCGGAAGGCGCTAAACGGTGGAACAGGCTGGCTGGATGGGGAAAACCAGAGATCCCAACAAGAAAGACGAGGGCGAGCATGTGTCGCGGCCTCTTGCGACCCTCAAAGATCCGGCCTCTTTTGGCCCACCGCCCAAGAACGTCAACTATCACGGCGGCGCTGCCTTGCCCAACGAGATTACACCGCAGAGGGAAGGATGGGGTGCTCCCTTGACTCAAGAGCAGATTTCCAGCGCAAGCCGAGCAGTCCACACTCCCGAGCAAGAAGAGGAGGAAGAGAGAAGGCCTTCAGGTCCGCCATTACCGTATCGTGCTGATAGGACAGGGCTCAAGACAGACCACCTCCCCCCTCCTCCCGTCCACCGCGACTTGCTTCGGTCTGCGGAAGATGTGGAAACAGGACCATCCAAACCGAAGCCGGGTCTACCTCCAAGACTACCCTCTCGACAGCATACAGGGAGTACAGCTACCCCTCCCCCCGTCGTCAATTCTCCGCCTCCGCCCGTCGCTCCCCCAGCCTACGATGCAGTGCCTGCGGCCTCACCTAACCCACAACCAAGTACGAGTTACGGCATCAATCAAGCTGCTATCAACAGGCTGGGGAATGCAGGTGTTTCAGTGCCTGCTCTGGGTATTGGGTCTGATCGAAGTACAAACCCCTGGCAAAATGAACAAAGCCAAACAAGTGCTGTGAAGAGCCCACCTGCAGCCTCTCAAGCACCTGTAAATCAACTATCAGAGCTTCAAGCTCGCTTCGCCCGCATGAATTCGAACTCCAGCGCCGCCCAGCCACCAAACTCTACACCTCCTTTCGTCACACCAACGCAGTCTCCGCCACCCGTCAACACCACTGCACCCATCCAGCAACCCTACGCGGCGCAACCGCAACCACCAGCGCAAAGCCAGGCCCAAGGGACGACTTGGGCGGAGAAGCAAGCCGCAATGCGTACAGCCCAAAGTGCCTATAAGGACCCAGCATCCGTTTCTGCTGCTGACGCGGGATCGGCTGTCCGCACGGCCAATTCATTCCGGGAACGTCATTCAGATAGCATCAACGCCGCAGGCGCCAAAGCCAGCGAGTGGAACAAGAAGTATAACGTGACAGGGCGCCTCAACTCGTTCCTTGAGAAGCACAGTTCGCCATCGCCAACCCCGGAAGACGCCCAGTCCCCCAACGGTGCCAACGCAGGGGGCACTGCTCCCATGCAAACATCTCCGCAGAGTCAAAGTCCAGAGATGGCGGCGTCGTTATCACGCAAGCCCCCACCACCTCCGCCACCGAAGAAGCCAGCAAACATGCATGGGAGCGTAGCTTCGATGGGCGTTGCCCCTCCACCTGTGCCGCTGGGGACGAAGCCGAGTTACTCATGATCAGGAGTGAGGTGAGGTGAGGTGATTGCGTTGCGAGCTACAGCGTGTAGATTTTATGTAGGGAACATATCGCAATTACATACTTTATATGTAGTCGAGTAATATGCTTCTTACAGAGCAGAGCATACTAGTTGTCCCTGGTGCAAGTTGTGTCTTGTGCGCAGTAGTGCGTCCACGGCCACGATTGACCTTGAAGAATCAGTCGTCCATTTTCCATACTGTACATTTAACTCGATATTTATTCCTGTAGTGCTTCTTCGGCTTCTGATTCCACGGCTCTTCGTACCCGGACAACGCAGGCATCCAGCGTGCCCCATATGCTTGTGCTTGTTTGTGCAGTGGCTAATATATACAACAGCGACTTGTGAGCGACTTGTGAGCGACACCAATGTGTGATAGTGATCCACTCGAGAGCAGCAAAATAGATCACAGAGGTGGTTGCGGCTGCAGGTGGGTGGCTGCTCCAAATCGATTGAGGTCACAGAGGGAGAGGGGAGGTTCTCTCCTCTACATACCTTCCCTATCCGGTTTATTGCTTTTCTCAACGTCTTCTTCTAAAGAGGGCACCTGTAGACAGACGATATATGAGCGATGGAGAGGGAGATGGAGATTGGGATTGGGAGATGGGGAGAACGAGGGATGGGATGCCCGGTTGGGTTCTTCGTTGTTGGTTGGGTAGTCTGCACGACTCCAGTCACTCTAGGATATTGGGAGACAAAGGCGTCATACAAGGTTGACTTGTCGACTTGCTGGGTCAATCAATCTGGATATCCCAGAGATAGAGCAGAGCCTGTTTAGCGAACATAATCGTATGGCCTGGACGACTCTCGCCGACACAGGCTGAAGCATATTCTGTCGGTCAACGAATACATCGTTGGCAGGAGCACACCAGCGTTATGGCTGGCAAAGCCACTTCGACTGCCGGACTGCAAGCTGGCAGGTTAGTCTCTGTCTGGTCCGTCTCTCACATCCCTCCCTGCAAAAAGACCTTGCGTCTCTCTTTCCAGTGCGTGTCGACAACGGAGGAACTTGAACTCAAGACCGTGCGGTCAAAGGCACCTGGGTTTGGACAGGAGAAACTCCTGAGGAGCGCCAGCTCTCAACCTATCATCGGACAGGGTGCGAGTGTGAGAGTTCTCAGAACGAAGCGCGTGGGGGTGGTCCGTTCCATATACCTCGTACATATCTGCCTTATGCGAGTGTTTCTGCATGAAGTTGCGGCCTTTTGAACGGCAGGGGTGTTTGACGCTCGGTCCATACCGCGGACCTCGACTTCGTACCGAGTACATACCTGTAATGCCGCCGAGCAAGGGTGTTCTGCCATCAAGGAGAGGCCACATCATGTAATAGATTGAGGTTGATGTACCGAGTAGGCAAGGGAGGCTGGGAACCCGAGCGGGTCAAAGAGCTTGGATGTTGTTACTCATGATTGCGGAGCACAAGAATAGCATCTTGCCCTCCCCAGTGACGCAACGGTATTTAGCCTAGCTACAACCCATGAAAGTTGTTGCTCGGTGCTCCGTACGGAGTACTAACCTCGTCCCTGCGCCCGTTTCGATCACGTTAGTGATATTGCATATCCACAAAGATCCGCCCACGGAGGAGAGCTTAGATCTAGCAATCGAGGGACGATGGAGGGGAAAATAACGGGTTTCTCGCATGCACGCGCACGCATACGGACCTGCCAGCCACTCATTATTAGGCAAGATTCCTCAACGGGCCTGGCAAGCGTGGGAAGGAAAAAACCTTAGATCAGATGCGATGGATGGATGGGACCTGTGTGGTCAAACACATCGTGCGACCCAATATCCCGTGGACTCGACTGGACTCGAAGATTGATGATGACAAGAGATCCAAATGGGAACCAGGCCATTTGAGTCCACTCCATGAGAGATAGATGGGTCCTTTTTCCGCGATAGGGAGGCGCAGATGCGGTGCGGGCTGCCTTGAGCCGCAGCATGGTATGTACCCTCGTACAGAATACATCACCGAGAGGCCGATGCTGTGTAACATGACCTCCGAAAATTGTACCCTCGCACGGCGGTTGAGGACAATAATGAGTAGGCACGGTAGCACCAGCTCAGGGCAAATTTCTGATGGGCATCTTATTACTCCCCCCCAAGGCTGAAGTCGCACCAAGTGCCGTGTTACCTGACAGGGAACTCCGCAGCCATGCAAGCACACCGTTGCCTGCCACATTATTATTTCAACGGCGGGACTACTGGATTACCTACTAACGACGACTGGAAACGGAGAGTTGGTTAGATGGATGGAGGAAAGGGACTTTTCACTCGTGGGAACAAAAGCATGTCAACTGTTGCAGCCAGCCATGCTGGGTCTTTTTGATTCAAGATTCGATATGACTAATGAAAGCGACAAACCTAGGCAACCACGGGCGCCGTTTTTGTCCAAGAGCAACTGGATCGTCTTTTTACAAAAGTTTTCCGTGCCCGGATGTTGCTGGGGGAAACAAAAAGTAGGCAAAGTACGTCATGGTTTCGACTGGGGACAGACTAAGGATCGAAGAGGCGTACCCCAAGCGCCCAGCAGAACACTCGTCAAGGACAAACAGGTTGGTTTGCTTGAGTCAAGATAACCGCATTGGGTAAGACGTGGGAATGTCAAGCAGGTTTGCAGGCAAGTGTTGGTGGTTCGTTGCAACTTGTCTCAGGCTGTCGCTCACTGACCATGTCGGAGGTCGGCAAGTCGCAATCTATAACCTCCGTGTCATGTGATTATACCCAATCATCAGTGCTCCACGTGCTCTGTTGGTGGAGCATCGGACATCTAGATTTGACGCCATCTGTAGCTTTTAATAGACATTGGATTCCGGCGTTGCAATGGTTCGCCAGAAGGGCTGGCCATGGCTGCGTGCAGATGCCATTGCAGCTCCAAGTAGTTTCTGAAGGCGGCCGTTCAGGTGCAGGGTTTTTTTTTTGGTCCGATTCATTCAAGTCCTACGAGTAGAGAGCTAGATGGGGAGTTGCCTTGCAGGTGAAGGAAACGCGCACGATTGTCCCTAAAACAGGAGACACACGTAGACACGTAACAAGATATAAAGTGTCACTACAATTGAAACTCTCAGCGCCACCTTGTTGCAGATATTGGCGCGCACCTGAAATGAACCTCGACGAAAAATGTGACTTCCGTGGCGGTCGGGGGCCAGGACTAGTTTATAGTAGGTGACCAGACTGGAACATACCAGTATGTACCTCGTAAGTACGGAGAAGCGAGGACCAGCCCAGTTGCCCAGGCTGAGTCGGCAGTCGGGGCTTGGGGTCGGTTGATAGGCGAGAAACTGCAGGCTTGGAAGGGAAGGATGAAATGAGGTCAAGGCAGGGAAAATAAGATGGCGTTCGGATGTCCGCCGGCCTGAGAAGGAATAGTGAAGCGTGGTGGTTTAAGGAAGCACGGAAGCCAACTGGGAAGCTAATCTATCCCAATGGGTGCTTTGATGGGACCGGATTAGAGCCCCTAAATTCAGCAAAGGGATAGCGCACGTGGTTTAAACGCAGGGGAGCCAATCCTCATTTCCTCTCCCCCAAATGCCAAGAATAAGTTCTTGTTAGGCTTCGGAGCGTTTACCCTCAGACCTCTCCCAGAGGGGAGTAGAAGGGGCCCGCCTGACGGGCATGGCACTGGCGGTTCTGGTTAAGCACGTCCTTGGCCGACAGCGCCTAGAGCTCCTAGAGCTCCAGGGAGTGCCGCTAGCCCTAGTACCTGCGTGAAGGGTGAGCCGCCCATGCACCCCCCCTCTCTCTTTCTCATCCACTGCCCTCCCTACTCCGTATCAAGGCTACCCTGCCCTGGTCTCGTTAAAAAAGAAAGTCCCCCTTGGGAATCCTCCTCGTATTCCCTTACTCAGTAGGCCATCCTTCGCCTTTTTCCGCCTGGCCTCAGCTGCTGGCGAACTGGCATCTTTTCCTTGTGCGAGACCCCAATTGCCAAACTGCGCCTCGCTGATCCCGGACTTTTCGTATTCATCATTCCCATCTTCGTCCCAGAACGACTCCTTGCAATTATAATCCTTCCAGCCCACGGGCCACCCTCATACGTGTTCTCTTATTACTCTCGGTGCTGACGCTGAGCCTGCGACGAGCCTGAAAATACACTTTTCGCCAATCCCTTCTCTCCTTACTGTCGGCTCTCTCCTCCGCCAACCCCCAATACCCAGCCCAGGCTTCCAGACCGCAGATTGGGCCTGAAAAGTCGGCTGACCTGCGACACAATCCTGGGCGCTGTCCTGCCCCCTTTGCCCTCCGATCCTCTCCCTCTTTACATGTCACACTCCTACCCTCTCGCGGGGTCGATATCACTCTGGATCTCGCAACCGTCCTTCGTCTCTTCCTCACGGCGCCCCGTGTTGCCCGTCGAGACCTGCCAGATATCTCATCACCCTCTCTTTCGTTCACTCCGTCGCTCTCTCAATCGTTGAATCCGACCCGTACTCCATCGTTCACCATGGCCTTTACAAACACCCCAGACAATTCCGGCTTCACGGGAGTAGGCCAGCAAGACATCAACACTTCATCTCTTGCCAGCGTTGCCTCGTCTTTTGCGAGCGAGTTCTCCCAGACCACCGGGACTCATTTCACACGCACCAGCAGCGGTGCATCGCAAACCGCCGCATCAGATTCCGACACGTCGAGCGCCGGCACGCCTGCTCCCTCTGCCTCCCAAACAGCTTCCACCACCTTCGCTACCTCGATTGCCACCCCCGGCTCACCGTCAGAGTCACTGAACTCCAGCGTGGGCAGTCAATCTACCTCAGCATCCAATGCGGCCAGCAGTACCACAGGTGGTGCCGTCACCGTCTCAGAAAAGTCTTCTTGCAACAGCATTTCATGCTCTCCCGCCCTCAAGGCAGCTATTGCCGTCCCGATTGTCGTTGCTGCCATCGCGGCCATTCTTTTGTTTTTCTTTTGTGCTAGGAGGAGAAAGAGACGTGCCGGTGCTGCCATGTCAGAGAAAGCGCCGAAGAAGCCAGGGAAGAAATGGACACGGCATCTGCGAGCCTTTTCTTTTGACGCTGAATTGCTCATGGGCGGACGATTTTCCAGCTCCAATAGCATTCGCAGCCGAGATCCCAGCGTCCGAAGTGGCCCGGGCACACTGTCTCGCGCAAGCGGTCACAGCGGGGAGCCAAGTCTTCACAGTATTGACGAGGTCGCACCTCCGTACCGAGATGCTGTGACCAATGTGACGCCACCGAGCCCAACTCGCGCCAACCCTCATGTCACCAATATTGCAGCTGATCCAATTCCTCGGCCGTCCTCGACAGCCACAGCACCACCTCCATACCGATCTATTGTTGGCGGAGCCGGTGCTGAACCGCCCAGTCCCTCCACGATTCGAAATCCATTTGCAGACTCAGCTCCTGTCAGTCCCATTGAAGGGTCACCTTTCAATGACCCCCCCGAGGAAGCGTCTGGCGCCCTGCGTCCTACTCTGAGCCGTGGTTCTTCCATGTACCGCAGTGTCATGACGGAAGATGATGCTACCCCCACCGCATCCGAAGCTGGGAGCATACGGCAAGCAATGGTGGGCAGGCGTGTGTCTGTCAGGAACGGTGATGGAGCCAGTGGTGGCAACAGCAGCTAATGATGTGTGATTTTTTCTCCATGGTCTTTACTAATTCATGGCGTGGCGTCTGGGAACCGGTGATACCGAAAACTGCTGGAATGGCTCTAGACCTCTGCAAAGAGCCTGTTCTTTGGTGGGATGTTGACGCAGAATGTTTTGAAATGTCCGACATATACTGTACATGAGCGAAGCCAATGCCGAGAGCAAGAATTTCTCTTAGATTGATGGAAAATCCGAAACGTCCAAGATGAGCTGGGCAAACTCGTGTGATCATGAAAAGGTCGGGGGGGAAGTTTTTTATACCATACTATAACAATTTTGTGTCGTCCAGCCTGCGTCTGCGCCTTGCGCTATTTTGTTCTCTGTTTTTCGCTTCTCGTCTATGCCACACGGTCGTACAAACGCAGGAACGGGCCATTCGCCGAGCGCGGTGTGCTCTTGTATCCCCTCCCTATCTATGGCTTCCACACATTTTTTGAGCTATTCAAGGTCCCGGCCGCAGGGGCACTAACCCTGATTTCTCTGGTGTACAAGTGCAACAGAGACTAGTGCGGCAAGGCACCAATTCAAGCGAGCTGACAAACGGCATAGTGTGCAGACAGTATGTTGTTCTGCCGGGTGGCCGGGTGAGTGTGACAGGCCCGTTTTGTTCCCTGCTTTCTCTCACAAGTCAAGAATAGAGCTCTCTCAAAATGACCAAAAGATCGACGGGTCCGCGGGGCAAGAGGACGATCAACGCTCGCTCGAGATCGACGTAATAGCACCAGCGCAGTCAACAGACACCCTAATTTTTCCGGACACTCGCGGAACAACTTGCTCCGGGTCTTTCGCCCCCATTGCGCCGGATATGAAGAGCTCTGGCTAGGTAGGAGTAGAGGTAACACCGAATGCGTGAGAGATGCAGGCCGGTTGACTGATAACCATGCGAGATGTTATCTGGCGGTGGTCGCGGAAGCGTTGGGGCCTCAGGATTGAGATTCGGGGGAAGAAGCAAATCGCTAGTACTTTACGAGCCTTGGGACAAGGCTATTGTCCTTACTGTGAATCCACGATAGAGTCAGCCAGTAGACAACTTAGTTGCAATCTTTGCATTGTGTCGAAGCTTCTCTTGGCTTCATGCATCTCGCCACGAAGAATGAAGCGACCCAAGTACGAGCGAGGTGAGGAAACGACGTTTTCCGATAATGGATGCAACGTTGAGGTGCATACACCGTCTCACTGACTACGTCTATTCTGCAAGGTCGACTTTCGCCCTCTTCCTCTCCACACACAATTGCGTTTCCGCCACTTCGGTCTCCAGCTGCCACAAACTGTGGCCAGACCAACTCCCCAGGCGTGGGGTCCCGGTCAATCCCCAATGCTTTTTCCTCTATGTGCGAGGAATATCCGGAGACGGCAGACAGCCCACCCAGATCGACATGATTTCCAGGCAATCTATCCGCCTCGTATTTAGCCGGCACATCCTCATTGGTGACTTGCTTCGTATGGATCATTGGTGGGCACTCTGGAATGACTTGAGAATTTCAACCCTCTATGGGAAATATGGAGAAGATGGCGACTCTGATGTCCTCTTGAGGCGATTGCGAGTGGAGGTCCTAGAGTTACATGCGCATGTCGCTACTCAACGTGCTCTCAAGGGGGTGGCCATGTGGATTTCTCCCACATGAAGGGATGGCAGAAGGTATAAGGGTGCTTCTTTCCAGCACTCGTATGGCATTTTCTTCCCCTTCTAGTCCAGGTCAAGCTGTTACCCAGGCACGGGACAAGAATTCGCTGTCAGTCCTGGCATTTGTCGACAGGCTGCTCCCACGATGGCTTCCCACGAGGTTCCCCAGGATTACATCCATGACTCTGACCAGAGTTCTTCAGTCGGAGTCAAGGTCAACGCCACAGAATTTCAAGAAGACATTGGAAGCGTCATAACCGCAAGAAGGGAGCCCCCTCCATATGTGAAGTCACTCAGTCCAGAGGAACGAAAGGCCGCAGAGCGGGCCCTTGTTCGAAAAATCGACTTTCGACTGATCCCTATGATTGTCATCATGTTCGTTGATGAGACCTACCCCTATGGGACAAGTATGTGCGAGGCTGACCCGCACTCAGGTATATTCTCAACTACCTTGACCGCAACAATATTGCTGCAGCCAGACTTGCTGGTCTCGAGGACGAGCTGAAACTTCATGGCACGCAGTACCAGACAGCTGGTATGTATTCTGCTCGGTGACATCTCGAGACAAAGTCGCCCCTTTTTCTGACGATGGTATGCTTCTAGTCAGTATCCTGTTCGTCGGTTACCTCCTGATGCAGATTCCATCCAACTTGTTTCTCAACAAGATCGGCAAGCCCCGTATCTACCTACCCACGGCTATGGTCATCTGGGGAACTATCTCCGCCGCAACTGCTGCTGTCAACTCCTTTGGAGGTCTCATCGCCGTTAGATTCTTTCTTGGTTTCGTAGAGGCCTGTTACTTCCCAGGCTGTCTGTACTACCTCAGTTCCTGGTTTACCAGGAAGGAGTTGGGTTTCAGGACGGCGCTGTTGTACTCGGGGTCTCTTATCTCGGGTGCCTTCTCGGGCCTGATCGCCGCAGGGATCACCAAGAACATGGATGGGACTGCGGGCTTACGAGCCTGGAGATGGTTGTTCATCATTGAAGGCTGCGTCACCATTCTGGTCGCGTTACTGGCCATCTTCATCCTGCCAAACTTTCCGCGAACGACGCCCTGGCTGAGCGCCCAGGAGAAGGAGCTGGCCGTATGGCGTCTCGAGGAGGATATCGGGGAGGACGATTGGGTGGGTGCCGAGCAACAGACTTTTTGGCACGGTTTCAAGCTCGCCGTCAAGGATATCAAGATGTGGATCATGGTGAGTCTTCTCTGTTGGATCTTGCCTCTTGTCTTCTAACCCGACTGTTCTAGATGCTCATGCTGTTCTGTATCGTCGCGTCCGGCTCGGTGACAAACTTCTTTCCGACCGTCGTCCAGACGCTTGGATACGGCGATATTGCCTCGCTACTGCTCACCGCACCACCCTACGTGCTCTGCGTCATCACGGCCTTCTTCAACGCCTGGCACGCCGACCGCACCGGCGAACGCTTCTTTCACGTCACCTTACCGCTCTACGTGGCTGTGGCATCGTTCATCCTCGCCGCCGCGACCACGGCGACCGCACCGCGCTATCTCGCCATGATGCTCATGGTGCCGGGCGTGTACACGGGCTACGTGGTGGCGCTCGGCTGGATCAGCAACACGATGCCCCGACCGCCGGCCAAGCGCGCCGCCGCCCTCGCGGCCATCAACGCCGTCAGCAACACCTCGTCCATCTACGCGAGCTACATGTTCCCCGAGAGCGACGGGCCGCGCTATGTCCTGGCCATGAGCGTCTGCTCCGCCACGGCATTTATCGCCATCTGTGCCGCCACCGTGCTCCGGATCATCTTGGCAAGGCTGAACCGCAAGCTTGACCGCGGCGAGTGGGTCGAAGGCGCGGTCAACTCTCCCGCCGCCACTGCGGCCGCCAGAGATGCCAAGGGCGTCGTGGGCAGTTCAGTCCTTGTCCAGGAGGGCGCGGTGCCCGCCGAGGCTGCTGCAAGAGGGTTCCGCTTCTTGTTGTAAATCGTCCATACGTGGAAAAATCACGGTGATAGGTCTCTCACTGACTTGACTTGACTTGGCTTGTCTTTGAACCCGCGGTTGATGTGTATATGGATCGACGGATTGAATATATAGAAATAGATTGCATTCATTATTCATCCAACGTCAACGCTAGACATAGACTTTGGACTTGAGAGCCTAGGGATGGATCTAAAGCTAAAAATCAAACGATTCAAACCCAACATGTACGACTAAGTACATGTCTTTGTCCGCGAGGCTCACTTGATGCTCACTGATGAGACATGATGCTAGACGATAAGCCACCACCGACGGTTGACTCGGGCATGGCTCAAGGTTCACGGTTCATGACCCATGGCCCATGGTTGGATCTCCTTGTAATTTTCTGTCAGGCTCTCCTCGTGCGAGTGACCCAGCGACCCACACGTACCTACATAGGTATGTAGGGAGCCGAGATCTAAGTTCCGAGTTCTGGATTCTGAGTTCTTGGACCCCTGGGGAATACTTCACACCTTCAACTCGAGGTTTTCAAACACCCTACAAGTACATTGTCCTCTTTGCATGTACGGATGTAACTAAGCAAGTTGGAGGCGCGAGGCCAAGGCTGAACACATACATACATAGATAGGTAGTAAATCGACGACGACGACGACGACGACGACGATGGACTGAGCTCTCACCGCTCCCATTCCCACGGTGTGTGTGCGGTGTCGTGTACACATCGGAGGCTGCCGACGCACCACTCTGGTGAGGCCGCGGCGGTGCACTGTCCATGGAACAGAAAGAGACGCATGAGAACATATGACAGTGAGGGAGAGTTAGAGGTAGGAGTACGTTCGGAGGGAAAGGAAAGGGAGTGGCAAAAAAGAGGC